GAGAAAACAGAATGTAGAAGTAAAAAACATTTCTGCCAATTCTGAAAAGTTTATTAGTTTCAGTTATAAGTTACCTTCTTTGACAGAAAATGTTTGGGAAGGTTGTGAAGTAAGATTTCTAGATTCAATGTGTTTCATGTTATCTTCATTGGATAAACTTGCAGAAAATTTGGATAATGATAAAATGAATATTTCCAGAGATTATTATTCAGAACTCGAAATTTCTACATCCGCTGGATTAAATAAGAATAATGATGTTTTCAAAACTATGAGGAAAAAAGGAATTTATCCATACGAATACATGGATTCATTCAAAAAATATGAAGAAACTAAACTTCCAAGTATTTCTTCATTTTATGATAAACTGAATGACAAAGAATGTTCCCAAAAAGATTATCTATATGCTAAAGTGGTTTGGAATAAGATGAACTGTAAGAATTTAGAAGATTATACTAGGATTTATATGATTAATGATGTTCTTCTTTTTAGCAGATGTCTTCGAGAATTTCCGTAATCTAAGTTTAGATAAATATGGACTTGATCCATGTTGGTATTATACTAGTCCTGGATTATCTTGGGATGCTATGTTAAAAATATACTAAAAGTTAGACTAGATACTATTAATGATACAGAAAAAGTTTTTTTCATGATTGAAGATGGAATAAGAGGTGGAATAGTTAATGCTATTAAGAGATATACAAAAGCAAATAATAAATACACGTCAAAGTTCAATCCTGAGGAAATATCTAACTTCCTTTTATATCTAGATGCTAATAATCTATATGGTTGGGCTATGAAACAATTATTACCTCATAGCAACTTTGTTTTTGAGAAACAAATCCAACTTAGTGTTTTGAATAATTCTATGAATGAAGTAAGCAAATCACAAATTCGAAAATACATAGAAAATCTTAATAGTCAAGGAAAAGGATGTATTCTAGAAGTAGACTTGGAATATCCAAATGAGTTGCATCATAAACATAATGAGTTTCCACTTTGCCCTGAGATAAGAGACTTTGGTAATAATATTAAGAAGTTGTGTAATACTTTAGAGGGTAAAACAAATTATGTTATTCATTATCAAAACCTGCTACAAGCTCTAGATCTTGGAATGAAATTGAAGAAAGTCAAGAGAATTCTGACATTTGATGAGAGTAATTGGCTTGCTTCTTATATTGATTTGAATACTGACCTTAGGAAAAAAGCTAAAAATGATTTTGAGAAGGATTTCTTCAAACTTATGAATAATAGTGTATTTGGTAAGACAATGGAGAATGTTCGCAATAGAGTTGATGTTAAATTAATATTCTCTGGTGAAAATGAATCGATGAAGAATGGAGAAACTCATTACATTTCGAAGAAGGATAGAATAGGAAAGTTAGCTAAGTTGCCTAACTTCAATAGGAATATAATAATAAACAAAGAATTGAATCTTGTTGAAATGGCAACAACTAAAAATAGTAATGAATAAGCCAATTTATGTTGGATTTGCTATCTTAGAGCTTAGTAAATGGTTGATGTTTGATTTTTCATTATAATGTAATGAAGAAGAAATATGGAGAAAAATATTAAGTTGTGTTATCAGGATACAGATTCCCTTATTTATGAAATTTTTCACTTCCGACTTATACGAAGACATACAAAATGATCAAAAAAATAAAAAGAATATTTCGATTTCAGTGAATATCCTGAATGCCATCCTTTATATAATGTGGAAAATAAAAAAGTAGTTGGAAAATTTAAAGATGAGTTGAATGGTTTGATAATGGAAGAACTTATAGCCTTGAAGCCCAAATCATATGCTTATAAAATTTCTGAAGAAACACGTGAAAGCTTAAACGTTTATTATAAAAAAAGAGTTCATGAAGAAGAAGAAAATCCTAAACTCTCAAAAGTACCCAAACCTGGAGAAGAAAATAAAAAGAGTAAAGGAATAAAGAAGTGTATTGTCAAGAAGTTAAAAGTTGAAGATTTTCGAGAGAGTCTTTTCAATAAGAGTATTGTTAGAAAGAAACAATGTTGTATTCGAAGTATCAAACAACAATTATACACCCAAGAACAGGAAAAAGTTGTGTTTGACAATGAAGAGACTGAAGCAAAATTGTTGAGTTTCAAGAGGATTATCATTCCAAATTCATATGAAACAAATGCTTACGGTTTTAGTCCTCAAGAAATGATAAAATAATTTTTTGGAAATCCGTGGAATCCAAAAGTTTCAAAAGTAATAAACAGTAATAACCACTAATGATGTGTTCCAAATTCTTGAATTTGAAATGTTGACAATTCGATGACTGATTTTTTTATCTTTACCTTTCGAGGTTTTTCAAATATTGTTGAAGTTCTAATGGTGGATCTAATCCGAACGAATCAAAGTAATAAATGTTCTTATTATTCTTGGAGTAGCAAACCCAATGAGTACCTTTTACCTTCTGAAGAATCTAAATTTATAATACCAGTTTCTCTTGATAGTACCTTATCCGGCAAAGTATCTCGCATAAAGACTCCACGAAAATTGTTTATCTTTAATGTGTCTACTAATTCTAGGAGATCATAATTTGTCAGAGGTTTAAGATTTTCTGAAAAGATCATTTATTTAGCATTATTTTTATTCACCGTTCTAGCGCACCTTTTCGACCATCTCGACCATCCATTTCGACCACATTCTAGAGTACCGCACTTTTCGACCATTTTACCATTTTTGAAAATTGTTGAAAATGACACATTTTTGATGACCAAAGGTTAGAAATCAATGAAAATAAGCCTTAAAATGGCTTAAAATGTGTAAAAATTGAAGGTGGTCGAAAAGCTGCGGTAGAACGGCAAAATACATATTATTATTTTTGTGTAGAAACTTTCGTCAGGGTCGCAGGAAAAGGGGCGTGTTTATAGATGCCGCGCGCTCCTTGCTGTGCGTTAATTCACGCAGGAGACGTTTCGAAAACATATTTATTTGAGTTTTTTTAGAAGTTTTTAAATTAAATATTAGAGTTTTTCATATTGAATATTGCTCTTTTTTTCAATATGAGCCTACTCTTCAAGCACCCACGCTGCTGAAAAAGCGAGTTTTTGAAGAAGGTTTCAATGCATTTCGTAAAAAAAGAAAATAACCGACAAAATAGACCTTTGCGAAGGACGAACAGCATTAAACCGACTTGAAAAATGTAACAGTCTACTAAGAAATTTACTGAAAAAAATATGTAAATAATCACCAAGTCCTTTTTTTCAGAGAGTTTTTTTAAAAAAAGGGCGAAAGCGTTTTTTTACTTTTGATTTTTCTACTTCTTTTATTTTTTTCTCTAAAGTTTGTGCGTCTACATGGAGTGTACGTAGACAATTTTTTTAGGATTCTTTACTTGACATTCCGAAAAAAATTCAAAAAAAGTTGAGTAAAAAGCGAAATTTAATACTTTTTCTCGCTGCTATAATGGATATAATGATATAGGAAAAAAAAGATTCCAATTATGAAATGAGTAAAAAAAGCAACTATAAAGCCACAATAAAAAGGAGAAAACTTGAATAGAATACATAAATAGTTTTAAAAATAACTTCTTCACGCTTTCGAAAAATTTCGTGGCCTTCGCGGTGTCTGCAGATTTCTAGCGACGCGCAGTTTTGAAAATTACTTTCGAGCGTTTAAATTAACCATACTTTTCGGGCCATCCTAGGAATTTTTTTATTTTTTGATATGTTGTAGAGAAATGTCTGATGTCTGATATTATGAAATAAAAAAAACTTGCCCAGAACGCTTTGGGCCGTTTTTCAAAGCGTTACAAAAAAACGGAAATTTTTAAGCTTTCATATAAACTATATAATCGATGAAAAAAACTTAGTTCTCTATTTTTTTAAAATTTGCAAACAACTGCAAACAACCGTTTAAAAATATAATCAGTAATTATCGATTGCGTTTTTCGAAAATAAGGAATTTCGAAAATCGTGATTTTCAAATTGCGTTATTTTTTGAGGCCAACCATAGAATTTTTTTATTTTTTTGCCAGAATATGCGTTTTTTTAGTTGCTTTATGATATTCAAGAATAAAAAAATTTGCCCAGAAACTTTCAAGAAAAAAACGGGATTTTTTTATCCGTTTTTTTGGCCACAAATGCGTTTTTAAAAAAACTGTCGTCGTACATTCTTATTTCTCATTTTTTTCAGTATTTTTCTTTTTATGTAGGATTGTTAAGCATAGCCGATTGTATGTTTCCCCCAATTTTTTCCCAAATCGGTACAAGAAAACTGTTTTAAAATATAAAAAGAACCAAAATGCAACGAAAATGACGAAGTTTTTTGAACAGCGAAGTGGGCGTGGCTCTGCGGTCCCTACCTATATAAAAACCCAATTGATTATAGTGGCGATCCGACAATTTGACATCGATCGAGGCCAGGAAGTCAACATGCGAGTCGGCATTCATACTGGGAAGGTGAGTAATAGGAAAATAAGTCATTTGGAATCCCCCCTCCCCCCTCCTCCTTGAATAAAAACAAAGAAAAAATGAGGAAGACGGGAAAAACGGCTGTTTTTGGGTTCTTACAAACGATGGCAACTTAATTAAATTAAATTTTTGATTTTAATCTTTTAAATATTCCTTGTCTCACTGTTATCAACTTATTTTTTCCGATTCAAATAATTTTAATTTTTCAATTTGGAAGGTTCAATTGAAGTTTTTTTTTCAATTGTCCATTCTATATTTTTTCCCACAAATTCTCTCTCATGTTACCCCGTTGAAGAGGACCCAGGACTTGACGGGGATACAAAAATTTTTCTCAGAAATCTGCATAAAATCCAGTTCCCGATGAATTTCAAGTTAAAAAAAAATACAAAAACCTGATTTTTGTCGTAAAATTGGTCTGATAGTGACCCTGAAAAAAAAATTTGCCCTTTTTTGGTCGGGCTTTTTTTCGCTTGAGGCTAACGGGCTTGCCCTCTCCTAAAATATATCCCATCCGTTCATATTTTTTGAGAGAAATGGCGATTTTGTGACAATTTGTCGCGTTTGAGGTCATGTGCGGGATGGTCGGAACGAAAAGGTTCAAGTTCGACGTGTTCTCCAACGACGTGACGCTGGCCAACGAGATGGAGTCGACGGGAATCGCCGGCCGAGTTCACGTCTCTGAGGCCACCGCCAAGCACCTCCACAATCATTACATCATCGAGGAAGGCCCTGATTATGATGGTCAATATTCATTTTTTGGTCCCTTTAATGTTCAAAATTTCCCTCGAAAATGGTATAAGGGGAATTTTTGAGGGCGGGAATTTTCGGGAACTCGGACAGAACAACTCTTCGATTTTCTTCTTTGCTTCTTCAATATTTTGAATATGATGGTCAGCTAAAAACTGAAAAAAAGTCTTGTTCTAGAAGGAGGTGAATTTTTCTATCATTCCAACATAATCACTAAGTTCTCATGTTTTCCTCCAGTTTTTCAAGATGAAAAAAGCGGAAATTTTCCGATTAACGTCATAGAAACTCTGAAAGTGTCAAAAGCACCTGCACTGACATTCACGCCTGAAATTCCAGTTTTCAATGAAGAAAAGGTCTTTTTCGGGACTTTGAGGAATAAAAATTCTTAGACAGGTTATTATCAAAAAAAAAATTAGTTCTAAAGATTTTTTGAGAAACGATTAAAAACTTTTTGGAAGGAACTTAAGTTCTAAAAAGTTACGAAGTTTTTGGTCGCATTTAGAATTGCTCACTGCAAGTTTTTGTATTTTACTGACGCCAGCTCATTTTTCCGAAGTCGTTTTTGGTCGGTTGCACCTCGTAGGCACCCTTTTTTCGCTTCAAGCCATTCCTCATGCGACCAATTTTCAATTTTTAACCTTCTGAAAAAGTTTTAGTGATGAAACTATAAATTTTCACTTTTCATAGGTGCAGGAAATCTTTTTTGAGCGTTTAGCCATTCCCAATGCGACCATGTTTCAAATTTTTACTTTCTGGAAAAGTTTTTAAAGAGGAAATTTCTGAAATTTCGATTCTTATCGGTTTGAAAAATACTTTTTTCAACTGAATCTCTCCAAAATGAACTAGGAAATCTTTTTTTAGGTTTAGCCATTCCCAATGCGACCATTTTGAGTTTTTTTAAGCTCTGTAAAACATTTTGAATAAAAAAATTGAATTTTCGGTTTTTTTATAGGTTTTGGAAAAAGTACATTTTTTTCGACTCAATTTCTCTAAAATGAACTAGAAAATCTTTCTCATGATTTTAGCCATTCCCATTGCGACCATTTTTCAAATTTTTACTTTCTGGAAAAGTTTTTAAAGAGGAAATTTCTGAAATTTCGATTCTTATCGGTTTGAAAAGCACTTTCTCAATGTCCAAAATGAACTAGGAAATATTTTACAGGAGTTTAGCCATTCCCAATGCGACCTTTTTTTGCTCTGTAAAATGTTTAAAATTAAAAAAATTGAATTTTTGTCGATTTTTATCGGTTTTAGAAAAGGACATTTTCGACTCAATTTCTCCAAAATGAACTGAGAAAAAAAAGGAATGTGCAAATATTTGGCCTCCATTTTCATATCCACTTCAATAGGCCCATAATTAGGGGCTTGGAAATGCGTGCCGGAGAGCTCTCGAAACGTCTTTTACCATCAATTTTCGCTCATTTTGACCGAAATAGAAGGGCAAGAAGCAATGGGATTCAGTTGGGGAAAGAAGAAGAAAAAGAAGAGGAAAAAGAAGAAAAAAAGTCACGACCAAATGTAATTTAGGCCCACTGCGGATGCAAGTACAAGGGACGGAGAAACGCGTGAAACCAGCCAGTTTGTTTTTCATTTTTTTGAGGGGTCAGAAAGAAATATGTAGAAAAATTGACAAGAAAATTGAGAGTTTTGAGCGAAAATTACTCATTTTTCGAGTTTTGAGCGGAACCTTGAGCTTTTTTGCATTGTCTACTGAAAAAAATTTGGTTCTAGAAGCTACTTTTAATCGCATGTAACTCTTTTAGGGCTGGAACTTTCCAAAGTCGTTTCTGGTCGGGTGCAGAAAATATGTAGAAAAATTGACAAGAAAATTGAGAGTTTTGAACGAAAACTAGTCATTTTTCGAATAAGTATCGATTTTGAGAGGGATTTCAAGCTTTTTTGAACTTGCTACTAGAGAAAATTGAGTACTGAGAAGCTATTTTTGGTCGTATTCATTTCTTTTACGGCTGGAATTTTTCGAAGTCGTTTCTGGTCGGGTGCACGTGTAGCCCTTCTCCATTTATGCTTCTGGAAAACTTTTTTAAAAATAAGTCTGAATTTTAAATTTCTATGGACTTCTCAGCATTAAAATCTATTCGAAAATAATTTTTTTACGCGATTTTTTTTTCCAGAATGAACTATTAAAAAAATGTGCAAATTTTTACCTTTTTCTTTTTTTTTAACTCGATTTTTGACTCCAGAATGAGGTCGTTTTCTGACTTGGAAAATGGAACTTTTAAAAAATGACACGTAAAGTTGAAAAACGCAAAAAACAAATTAATTTTTTAACCGAAACTTGTCATTTTTCAAGGCTGTATTGGTTTTGAGCTTTCTGTCATATCCTATTGAAAAAAAAAATGAGGTTTTAGAAAACTATAAATCAAATTTTTTTAGCTGAAAGTTGAAGTTTCATTTACTTTTTTTGAGAAATTTCATCATTTTTTTATGCAGTTTTTTTCGGGTTTGAATTCGAAAAATTAAGCAATTAAAAACCATAAAACTTGGAAAGTGCCGATTTTTCGAAAAAAAATTCAGTTTGAAACTAAAATTATTTATGTTTTTCATAGCTTCGAAATGAAATGTCCAAAAATTTAGGCATGAAGACCTACTTCATCAAAGGTCGAATCCACGAACCCACCGAGGAAGGCGGCGAGGCACCCGAGCCTGAACTCAACTCCTCCCAAACCAAAATCGGCAAAAAATACGGCTTGAAACAAGTAAAATGACATTAACTTGCGTCTAAAACCCGAAAAATTATAGAAACTAGCCGGAAAATTGAAAATGAACCACACGAACTCCTACCCAATAAGAGCGGCCGTCGGTCGGGAAGGCGGCGGGAGTCTGAGGATAAAACTCGCCGAGAGGAACCGAAGCACCCAACTTTTGCCCAAAGAAGTTGATTCGAAATAAATTCCAAAGTTCAAGGATTTATTTTAGTCAAACTCGATCTGCATCATGGAGGACAACCGGAAATCGGCGTCCCTTCAAGCCTTGGCCACCAATAATTTCCATGGTAAGAATGGAAAAGTTTAAGAAAAATGAAGCCTTGGTGAGCATTATAAACATTGAAATTTCAAATAAACATACTTAGGTAGACCAGAGTGGTCCCTAAAGGGGTTGGGGAGAAAAACAGCCCCTGTAGGAACAAAATAAAGCTCCCTAGAGGAGTAACATTTCGGAATTCCTTATAGGAGTTTGGCGTTTGACTCATCAGCTTTTAAAGCAGAAGTGTCTTTTATAGGGATCTTTAAATATTCTCAAGTTTTTTTAACAATTGAAAAGACGTATTTGAAGACGTACTTGATCGATTGATTAATTTTCTTCTCATGAAGTTCATAACAATAATCGAGACTTTCCCCTTTAGGAGTCACTAACGGAAAACCCTTACAGGGACTTTCAAGGTTGAGTGGCTCCTATATGGAAAGCTTCATTGGCTCCTGTAGGGGCCACTCTGGAGCTCCTAACTATACGTCATTTTTATTTTCAAATCAGAACGAAAATTAAAGGATCTTTATAGGGATCACTGAAGCTTTAGGGGTTCGTGAGTCAGACCCTTAACTTCTATAGAGTCCACTCAAGTTTAAGCCTTCTAGGGAGCACTTTTCTGTCAGCGGTAGGGTATTTTTTCCTCCTAAACCCTATAGTGACCACTTTGGTGTTCATAAGTATTTGAATGATTTTTTGAGATATTTGATGAATGAAATAGACATTATTGGCTCAAAATTATTTTTTCCTTATCCCTCTGGCGCTCCTGAGTATTTTAATGATTTTTTGAGAGATTTGGAAAAGGAAATGGACACTTTAGGCTCAAAAATTTTTTCTTCTTACCCCTATAGTGAACACTAAGGCGTTCTGAAGTTTTTTAGTGATTTTTCGAGGTTTTTATTGAAGTAAGAGACAGTTGTAAGCTCAAAATGTACTCAAGAATATTCTTTTTTTTTTATATAAAGATCACTCTGGCGCTCCTGAGTAATTGGAGGATTTTTTGAGGAATTTGTAGAAGGAAATGGACACTTCAGGCTCAAATTTTTCTCTTCTTAACCCTGTAGTGAACACTTTGCCGTTCCCTGAATGTTTTTTCGAGAAATTTAAAAAAGGAGAATGAAATCTCAGGCTCAACTCCTGACACGAACAACACCTACAGCGACAAAGTCGAACACAAAAACGGAAGTGGAAGTAACAGCGTGAAAGGAAGTCGCAGTAGTGGACTTCAGGTTGATTTTCCATTGAAAAGACCTTGAACTTCTTCATTTTTCTCAGCTTTCCCTCCAAGACGCGAATTCGGATCTGAACTCGGTCGGCGGCCTCGACACGGCAATATCTCATCATCATAACGCCGCTTCCTTGACTCGGTTTTTTTTTCAAAACTTCAAAAATGAAATTTCCAATAATTCAAGAAGAACTTTATCACTGATGGGAATGAAATTTTGAGCTCACCAATGTAAAAATTTGAAAAAAGCGACTTTTTATCTCTAAAAAAATCTATTTTTCGTGGTTTTTTGATCACCAGATAAAAAAAATGTTGTGTCTAAAAAAAGTTGAATTTTGTTCATTTTTTTGATGTGATTATTCAGAAATCCTGGAAGTTGAAGTTGAGATTTACGCTGGAAAAAAATTGGATTTTTGTGACATTTTTTTCAATTTTTCCCCTGATTCTTCAGAAATTTGAAAATCTAGGTATTGTGTTAAAAAAACTTGAATTTTTGTGTGTTTCCTGATCATTTTTTTCTCCTGATTTTTTTCAGAAATTTCAAAAAATTTAGGTTAAGATATTGTATTGAGAAATTTAGATTTCGTGTATTTCAGTCCGAATTTTTTTGTTATCTTTCCAAAATTTTTAAAATTAAGTCATGAAGGTGATATGATTTCTTGTGAAAAAAAATCGATTTTTTTGTGTATTTTTTTGTCAGTTTTTCCCCCTGATTCTTCAGAAATTTTAAAAAAATTTAAGTTAAGATGTTCGTTGAAAATATGGGTTTTGGTGTACTTTAGTTCAAATTTTTCTTATTATTTTTTTCCAAAATTTCAAAATGAAGTCAAAAAGGTGATAAGATTTTTGCGTTGAAAAAAATCAATTTTTCGTGTTTTTTTCAATTTTTTTCTAAGAATTCAAAAATCTTCAAAAAAATCCTTCAAAAAAATCCTAGAAAGTTTAAGTTAAGATTTTTAGTTTTAAAATCGATTTTTGTGTATTTTTGATCAATTTCGCGTGGAATTCAAGTGATTTTGTTTCTAGATTCGACACGGACAATCGGGATTTCGACCAAAGACTCGCCTTGGTGATCGGACAGGGCGAAGGAGGCTTCGACAAGGGATTTTGGGCCCATCACGACAGTTTGAATCCCTGGACTCTGCGCTTCAATGAGAAGGTTTCGGAAAAGCATACTTTTAGGCTGGAAAACTAGAAAAAAGTGGAAGTTGAAGGAAAAAAAGAATCCTTGCTTTTCGAATAATTATGGAAATTTAAAGAAACTCCGACTGTCAGAAATCTGAAAATGAGCTTTTAGGGCCAAAAAGGTACTAGGAGAATCGGTAAAAAGCTGAAAAAAGGAACGAAACTTTTGGAGCAGGAATAATTATTGAATTTCTCTGGTTTTTTTAGGTTTATAACACTTTAACGTTTCTCTGAGCGCTCATTTATAATTTATGGGAAAAATCGTTGTAATATTATTCTGAACTTGGACAAAGTCTTCAAAGCTTCTAAAAAGTTTGAAGACTGAATAATTTTTAACTTGTTGAAAAAGCAAATTTCAATTTCTGATATTTTTGAAGACTAAAGAAATTTCATTAAGTTCAAAAAAATTGAAATTTTTAGATTCAAAACATGTCTAGAAACTGTTTTTTTCCCTCATTTGGAGGCATTTAAACGCAAAAAAATCGACTTCGCGATCAGATTAAAGGTGTAACAAGTTGAAAAATCAAACCTTCAAGCTAAGAAACAACTAAGAATATTGGAAAAAACAGAAAAAAAAGAAAAAAAAATTTTCTTTGAAGCACGATTTACAAAAAAATGATTATAGATTTTCTCAAGAATTTTTCAAATCCAAGGTAGAAAAAAAGGACCTGAAGTTTTATGTAGGATTATCATATCGGTAACTTCAAAAAAAAAAATTAAAAAGCTGCTTTTTCAGGCATATCTCACTTTTTATGTTTCTCTAAGCTTTCATTTATTTATTTATTAGGAATTCGTTGTTGGGAGCTCCTTTCGTAATTTAATATTAAGAACTCCAAAAAAGCCTTCAAAACTTATGAAATTTTAGGGAGTGAATAATTTTCATTAGGCTCAAAAACTTAGGCTTTTCGATCCGAAAACTGTTGCCAGGGCTGGAATTTGTCTCATTTTCCTTTTGTTTTGAATCATTTTTTTAATGAAAAAAATAGACACTTGGGTTCAATAAAAATCTATAGATTGAATTTTTTTAGATTGAAAAAAATACTAGGAAAAAGGTAAAATACGTTAGAGAAAAAAAGTAAAAAGTTCTTGTTTTTCGAATAATAATTGAACTATGTGAGAATTCTCCAAGATGAAACACAAAAAGGAAGTTTTATGTAATACCAACCAAATGAGGATTTGAAAAAAAAAATGGAAGTTCGTTTTGAGGCTTGCTACACTTTAATGTTTCTCTAAGTCTTGAAATATAATTTACTGGAAAATAAAATTGCTCCTCGATAGTTTTTAAGCTGAATATTTTCATTACGTTGATAAAGAAAATGCGATTTTCAATCCAAAACCAATTTTCCAGGACTAGAATTTGTTTAATTTTCCACTTCTTTCAATGAAAAAATGAAATTTTTTTGGTCTCGAAATCTTCCATTTCTCAGGACGTCGAACAAGAATATCGGGCTCATTTCGGCGACTCCGCTGAACGATTTGCGGTCCAGAAAACGCCGGTCGGACGTCATCAGGTGCATTTTCATATTTTAAACTATATAAAAATAATTATTTTTTTGCAGGAAATGGCTGTGGAAGAGAAGGATGTCAAGAACAAATATCGGTATTCCGGCGTTTTTTTATAGGTACTTTTTTTGGACTTCTTCCGATAAATTTCATAACTCGAAACTTTGACAAATTTTTATTGGATTTTTTTCTGAATCTTAGAATTTTTTTCTAGTGTAGGTTATATTTATAAAATATGGTTTTTCAATTTCCTGAAAAAAATTTAATTTGTCAATTTTTTTGCTCTTGGAAAAAGTTTCGAACAGAATATTTTTGATAAATTTTTGGGGACTCATTATTTTTAGTGTTTATTTATCGCTCTTTTTTTGGTAAATTTTTAGAACTCTAGATTTTTTTAAAAAAATTTGACAATAGTATTGAATTTTTTTGGTGCAGATAATGTACGGAAAAACTCGAAAAAAAGTGTTTTTTTATTTTTCAAAAGGTTTTGTACCCGAAATTTGGAAAAAGAAGGGCTAATTTTTGAATCCTCATTTTTTTCCTGGCTGGTTACTGTTTGAGAAGTTTTGGATAAAATTTCTTCGAGTTTCAATAAATTTTTTTGGCCTTTTTGCTTTTTGGAGAAAATATGTTTTTTTGCTTTTTTAAAAGATTTTTGAAAAATTAAATTCCATTTTTCTCATGGTATTTTTTCCAGTAGGGACAAAATATTAATTGAGAATATTTCGTGAGGTTTTAACGATTTTTTTAAAAAAAAATTTTTTTGAACGATTTCCTAATTTTTTTGAGCTAGGAAAATTATAATTCGAAATGTTCTGTTGAGACCGTTCAAAAAAATAAAAAAATAAATCATTTTTTTAGACATAATGGTAGCGGCTTTCATCTTCGTTTTTGGCGTCGATCGTCGCTTTTTCTGGCCGTCCGACCTCTCCCAACTTCCCTGATTATTTTCTTCCCCCTGGCCACTGTTCTCCTCGTTCTGACTATCATTTTAATTGGTATTTCTTATCGGTTTTTGTTAATCTTTCCATTTTTTAGGTTTGCCTCTTTTGAGCCGGAAAACGCTGATGCCGTGCGTGAACCAGTGGCAGCCGAGGCATCTTATCGGTTTGTTTTGATTCTCCTGTAAAGAAGGGAGAAAATAGCCTCTAAAGTAAGAATAATGCGCTCCAATGATAACTACAAGTAAAATGAAATTCATAGGTAATTTTTCAACAAAAAAAGGTCATAGTACAAGATGACAGGGATAACGAAACTCTGATACTAAATTAAAAGAAAAATAGCCGCCAAATAGGTAAACGCGCTCCAGCGAAAATTATGAAAAAAAAATTTCTTTGAGGATGTTTCTCTATTTTTTACAATTTCGGCAAACTTTGTCCGGCTCCCCAATTCCAAAGAAGACTCAAGACACTTGTGAATAAATTAGGAGATTCTGAACTTGCAGGAGCTTTCCTGATAATGTTGCCCGTCGGAATCGCCCTCTGCACGATGCCGCAGTGCACCCGGGGAGAATGTGCGGACACTTTACTTTCCAGTCGACTCGTTTTCAGGTATAAAAATACCTTGAAATGGGCCAATTTTCAACGCTAGTTTCTGAGGAAAAGCGTGCAGAATAGGAGCCTCACGAGGTGTGAGAACTGAATGGGAGGCTCTAGAATAATATGGAAGGTTTTATTCAAATATCATGTAAACTCATTGAGTTCATGAAGTTCATGGATTGGCAAATCAATGATTTTTTTCCAGCTACGTGATGATGCTGGCCTTGTTCGCCCACTGCAACTTTTCTCAACTGGCCGCTTGGCCGAAAACCATCCAGGCCATCCTCGTCGGCTTGCTCCATATTGCTGGCGTCTACTTTTGTCAGCACAATCTCGAGTCTTTGACGGCGGCCGTTAGTTTTTCAGTGGAAAAAAGTCCGGATTGAATATTGAAAAATATTTTTTTCCTACTCTTGATTTCGGTTCCTGTTGATTTATTTGACTTGAGTGACCCATTTTTTGCACTTTGCAAGCGGCAGTTTGTTTTTGATTTTCCAAAAATCTATGGGATTGATCAGAGAGAGGAAATGATGAATTTAAGTTCCAAAATTATTAACCTATTAGAGGTTTCAATATGAGATGGCTTTTGCAGACGAGTTTTAAGGTGTTTCCCACTTTTTCCTCCAATGAGAACATCTAAAGATCGTGTTTTTTTGACGACAATTTCAAGAAAATCAACCCCTTCCCCCAGTCAAAAAGCGAAAGTTTTTTTCACGTCGAATATAAGAGTTCACGCAAAAGTCAGGCCCAAATCCCGAGCCGCCCCCCTTCTTTTTTTCCAGCCAGAAACTTTGATTGTAGACCAAATACATTAGGGGGCACGAAAATTCGTCAAAATTACTAAAAAACGACCGGTCAATACTGCGCCGCCTCTTTCAGAGCCATGGAATTTTTGAAATTATTTATTTCAATTTTTTTCGAACCTATTTCTCAAGGCGCAAGTTTCGTCACGTCAGGAATTTATATTTGATACACCAAAAAATATATATAATCTCTGTATTCGTTAACTCAGACAAAGATGACCTTCTTTCCAGGACGATATTTGCAACTCGACCCTCACCACTTCTGCGCCGCTTTTCCCAGGCCGAGAACGACTTCTACCGCTGAAAACCATGTCCGCGCGGCTTCTCCCTCAATCTTTCGGCTCCCCTCTCTTCATCTGGGAACTACTTCTCGACGTGGCTCTTTCCATCGTCCTGGTCGCCTTTTTGAACTATCAGGTTATCAAATCTGATCGGAACATAAATTGACAGTTTTTTTCAGTTTGAAGCTGCCTTCCGCATGTCCTTCTTTGGGGATGTTCAAGCCAGAAGGGATACTCAGAGGATGCAGGTGAATAAATGAGAAAAAGAAGGAGAAAACGTTGAAAAACGGAGCCAAATTTATTGAGTAATGGTTTGAAAAAAAAAAAAAATTTGTGGATATTTTGACTTGGAACTTGTAAAGATTTCAGATTTTTTAAGGCTTTTTCTTATTAGAAAATTCTAGACTTAAATTTGGTTTTCCAAGCCCAAAGTTCTGAAGAAATTCGAGTTGGCTCCCTAGATAGAGTTTGAGTGGTCTCTATAGGAGTTTAGCGACTCCTGAAGCTTAAAGAAATTCGAGTTGATTTCAAATATTTGTAAAAAAAAAAGTTTGGCGATTCCCATAAAATACTTTTCCACGCTATAGTGGTCACTAGAGGGGTCAGAGAAAACAGCCCCTATAGGGGGACAAAAATACAGCTCCCTAGACAGAGTTTGAGTGGTTCCTATAGGAGTTTAGCGATCCCTGAAGCTTAAGAGGTCCCTATAGTGATCTCCCAATTTTCGTTCAGATTTGAAGATTAAAAAGACGTTTTAAATGAAACTTGATCGATAAGTATGTTGACTTTTTTTTTCTTCAAAAAGCGTCAATTTATATATTTTTGCGCGCAGAAATTTCCATTTTTTAGGGGGCATTAAAGGCTTCAAAATGACTTTTATTTAGTGGCTACTATGGAGGAGAACACTGAAGGTTTCAAACCAGAACGAAGTTTGAAAAAAACACTAAAGGGGACCCTTGAGGTTTATGGGTTCGGGCGTCAGACTCTAAATTCTTATAAACCCTCTAGGGAGCACTATTTTATCCGCTATAAGTGCCGTTTTTTTCTTCCTAACCCCTCTAGGGACTACTTTGGGTTTTGGAAGATCAAAATTCCACCAAACCATACTTTTAAAGTATACCTTTAAACGGTCCTAGTCAGTTAATGTAAAATTTCTTTTTTTTTTAAAATTTGGACCTAAGAGGACTTAAGGTTCACACGATCTAACCATAAGTTCATAATAATTTTTTAACATAGTTTTTCCTTCAGATCGTAAGAGATCAAGCTGATTGGCTTCTGAACAACGTCATTCCGGCCCACGCAGTTGAAAGCTTGAAAACCGACACGAAATACAGTGAGAATCACGAATCGACGGCCGTTCTCTTCGCCAGCATCACCAACTGGAACGACATGTACGAGGAGAACTTCGAGGGCGGACGCGAGTTTCTGCGAGTTCTGAACGAAGTTGGGCTTTGTGAAAACTGAATAAATGGGTTTTCATAGTCTGTGTGCCACGACTTGAAATTTCACGGAACGACATTCCGCTGTTGCGCTGCGTGCGTTCGCGAAGCGCCTTTCGAATCTAGGTCACGCTTCCAATTTATTGTCATCGCTGTGGGAGCACATGAAAGGAGAGTACCTTAATAAAAGAAAAAAAAAAATTAAAGGGCGACCTAGGTTCGCAAAGGCGCGCAGCGGCACAGCGGAATGTCGTTCGGTGAAATTCCGAGTCGTGGCACACAGGCTATATATGAAATTATCATATTGTAGAGTTCATTATAAGGTTACTTTTGTGAAAATTGAACGTGAAACGGAAAGGAGCTTGATTTAAGACTTGACATTCAAAATCTCAACAGACTGTGGGAAATTGGCGAAAATTTCCAAAAATTGACAGTTTCACCTTTTTTCAGTACGTTTTTGTGACACCCCAAAGTTAATTTTTCTCGAACTATGTCCCCGATTTTTACTTGAACTTTCCAAGGTCATCGGCGACTTTGACGAATTGCTCGACCGACCCGAGTTTTGTCACATTGAGAAGATCAAGACGATCGGAGCCGCCTACATGGCGGCCAGTGGACTCAATCCCGAACGGAAGAAGAATATGCTCCATCCGAAGGAACATCTTTATCAGGTCTTGGAGGGATTCCCGGGTTTTTGACTCTTTTTGAAGTTCAGATGGTCGAGTTCGCCTTGGCGATCCAGCACGTCTTGAGCGTCTTCAACGAGGATTTGCTCAACTTCGACTTTGTCTGCAAACTTGGACTCAATATTGGTAAGCTCGCAAAAGTGGCCACTCTAGGGAGGCGTGCTAGTGTTCTCTATACGTCTAACATAAAATTAAATCATGAAAGGCCCCTCTAGGGACCACTTAGAGGTCAGATCCTAAGCACCTATAGGTACTACTTGAGTTTTAGCCCTTTAGGGAACACTATTTGGTCTTTCATAGGGACTTTTTTATCTTGACCCCTCTAGGGACCACTAAGGTGTTCAGGCATAAATGAAAAGACCATTTTTTGAGGCCGCAAGTCATGGACTTCAGAACTTAAGCTTCCATAGGGAGGGACCACTTGGATTTTAGCCCTCTAGGGAATTTTATTAGGTCTATTCTACGTGGGCAAGGTCTGAAAGGGTGGAAGATAGAAATGTTCCTTTTTTGCTGCCTTTTTGGTGCCTTTTTGCGGCCCTTATGCACTATTTTTGCTGTCTCTCCCTTTTTCCACCTTTTCTTGAGCCTTTAAACTCCCAGAAAAATGCAAGGCTCGATAAAGGGACTTGTTTTGCTGCCTTTTTGCGGCCTTTTTGCAGCCTTTTGACGCCTTTTTGCTGCCTTTTTGCGGCCATTTTCTACCATTCCGACTTTGCCCAAATAGTGACATTTTCTCCCCTAAGCCCTCTAGGGACCACTCTGGCCTCCACAAAACTCTTTCAAATCGTTGTAGGACCCGTAACGGCCGGTGTCATCGGCACAACCAAACTCTACTACGACATTTGGGGCGATACGGTCAATATCGCCAGTCGGATGTACAGTACCGGAGTTCTCAACAGGATTCAAGTGGAAAAAATCAAAAACTCCTGAAAAAACAATGCTTTTGAGGTTTCTCAACACACCCGCGACATCTTATTGGATCGTTACGATTTCGAATATCGAGATCATATCGAGGTCAAAGGAATCGACGGCGGCATGGATACTTATCTTATCGTGAGATTTTCAATTTTTAAAAATTTCTAGTAAATCAATAAAAGTTGAGTCCTTGTTGGAAGATTTAAAGGCGCAGGAATTTTCTTAAATGACGCTTAAAATGCCTTTTCGCTTCGAGACCTTTATAAATATTCGCTATGCTTCTTTAATTTTAAAGCTTGGATTTTCGAGCAGAAGTAAACCAAAAATAACATTGAAAATGCTTTTTCGCTTCAAGATCTTTATAGAACTTATCTATGTGCCTTCAGTTAATCCGTTTTGATTGTCGAGAAGAAATGAACCTAAAAAAACACTGAAATTTCTTTTCGCTTCGAGACCTTCATGAAATTAATCTATGCTCCTTTAATTACTCAAGCTTGAATTTTTGAGCAGAAAAGAATCAAAAATAGCACTGAAAATTAGTTTTTGATAAGCTTGTAAGATAGTTTTTGTCATTTTAATCATGTATCGATTTTGAAAAAAATCATTTTTTCTGAATATTTCATCGATGAGATATTCACGAAGTACTAGAGAACGAGCTTTTCAAAATTTAAAAAAAAAAAACGTGTTTTGAAGCAATTTTTTATTGGAGAAATGAGTGTAAAATATGCAAATTAAAAATATATATGAAAGCTTTTTTTTGGAATATTAGCACAAAGATAAATTAATTCAATAAAAAACGCCTTTTTTCCAATACGAACGGCTTCCTAATTTTTTTTAAAGGCATAGGGGCAGTAAAAAATGGTGTTTCAGGTGAAAGCAGTATCTTATACATTTTTTCTTTGCGAATCGAATGGTGTACTCAAAAAAATTACAGATGTGACAACTTTAGAAGAAAAACGCAATTTAACTTTCCCGCCTTTGATTTTGAAAAAAGCTTTGGATCGGTATGCAGACAACTGTTTACAGTAGCCGTGCACGCGATGTTGCGGACGTCTCATTAGACTCGCATTTTGGGAGAAATAACCGGATATCTGCTTCAAATTAAGGGTTTCTTCTCTGAAAAATCGATTGAGAAAACAGAAAACACACATTGATAATAAAGAAAACACAAATAATCGCTATCCCAATCGAAACCTTTGTAAAATCATCATTTTTCACCAGAAAAGCATTTTTGCGATCAAAGTTCGCAAATTATACATGAATAGAAAGCTTTTGTGACGAAAAGAACTTTGGTGACGACAGAAAAAATTGAAATTTGAAAGAAAAGAAGAAAAAAACGAAAATCCGGAAGATGGCGAAGCCTGTTGTCCATAGAGCAACTTTACTGCAAAGCGCCCTTTTCGCGGGAACTCAAGCTTTCCTTTCTCCGATTTTGAATTATTTTTTCTCCAAAACTAGGAACTTCTATACGTTTCCAAGTTCACCGTTCGATTCGCAATGGAAAGCTCTACAAAGTACTGCTTTGAACTGAAACACCGTTTTTTGCTGCCCCTATGCCTTTAACTCATGTTTTCAGGAATTTTTAACTTCTGCTGAATCATGGAATAATTGAAGAGTTGTTCGTCGGTTTGCGAAACTGTCGTTGATCAAACGTAGACGGCGCGTAGAGCATCTCGCTTTTCTTGTGAAAGTAGTAGACGACTTTCAAGCGTTTCCGACGATCACTGCTTCTCCATGTAGGAACGGTACGGCGCCCAGCTTGTCCAGGGCTGACGGGCGTCAGATTAAATCTCAGACGAGAGCGGAAATGAAAACCGACCACTCGGGTGGTAGAAATGAGATAATAATAATAATAATAATAATAATAATAATAATAATTTTTCTCTCGATTATTTTTAAATTAATATGCGAAATAGAGTCAAAAAAATCGTCATTTTCCTTTTACGTAAAAGCTTAATACGTTTTTCAATACATAGATTTTTTTAAAATAATAACTATTGTTTTTGTAAATTTTTAATAATTCAGGTTGGACGAAAGGCTGACGCGATTCCGGCTTCAGTGAAACCAGTTTCAGAAGAAGTTTCAGAACTCTAGAAATTATCTTTTTTTCTTATTTCTTTTTGTTGTAAAATTCACTCCATTAATCACTTTTTTTCCGAACTTTCCCGGTGCAAACCTCATTCTAGTCCATTTTCCTCAATCTCAAAATAGACACCCTTTCAATTTATGAAAATCCCAGAATTTTTTCTATTTTTTTTTGTGAAAACAATTTCTTGCCATTTTCCCTCTCAACGTTTCTTTTTCCACTACGGGTTACCCAAACCAATATAATGTACCACTACTCGAAAAAATACCATTGAAACCGTATGAAAATCTTTTTTTTTTCCCTTGTCATCTTACCAGCTTTCTCGTAAAATTCGTGCATTTTATTGATTTTTTTTATAGACGATAAAAGCATTTTTGATAAGTTTTTCTATTCGTGAAATGATTCTTTTGTGAAATTCAAGAGGCTGAATGATTTTCGATATTTTCGAAATTTAGAATCCATCCGGTCTTTTTTGAAGAACTCGAAACAATTTTTGAGAGGCCACTTCAGGGTTTTGAAGTTTTAGTGGTCGCTATAGTAGTCAAATTAGTGGCCATTTAAGGGGTTAAAAGTCGGTGGCCACTATAGAGGTCTAAGTGTTACTACTAGAACAATAAAAATTTTAGTGGCCACTTTAGGGGTCAATGGATCAACATAAGTGGTCCAATCTGTTTGTTTTTAAGTTATCAGAGTTACTGGAAGGAATACTGGATGAAAAACTACTGAAGTGGCCACTAAGTAGAGAACCTTTATAGTGGCCACTAAAACGGAAAATAGTGACCACTATAGAGGTGGGTTTAGTGGCCACTTCAGGGTCCTCTCCAGGTAGTCCTTGGCGAGCCTCTATAGAGGCCACTAAAAATTTTCAGTCAAAGAAACTTCCACGTCAGTTCTCCGATTTTTACACGTCGAGTCGTACTCTATGCAGTCTTTTTTTGATTTTCAAGTTCTCTAGACCGTGAAAAGAAGCCAGTTTGACGTTTTATTGAATAAGTAATAAAACAGGAAACACGAAAATTTACTTTACAAGAAAAAAGGTAGAAGAAAAAATTGATCAGTCGGTATCCTGTGTCGCTTTGGAGATCGTTTCATCCTGAGTCGGGCAAAGCTCTTCCAGAACGTCCTGCAAATGTTATTGGTTTAAATATCAAACAACAGCAAAAAAATAACTGACCTTGTCAAGCTCGAGAAGGCTGCGCTGCTGAGACGCTTTTTCGATATCCGGCTGATAATTTTTCTGCAAAAGTTGAAGTCTTGTTCGCAAAACTGTTTGGAGTTGGACACGCCTATCATATTAATCAATTGTCAAACAGAACCCGTTCAACGGAATTCGCTCAATTATCTGGGGCAAAGTCGGAATGGTGGATAACGGCTGTTAGAAGGGAAAGGCTCAAAAAGGCCGCAGAAAGGTAGAAAAAAGGCAGCAAAAAGGTTGCTAAAAAAGTGCCTTTTTCGAGCCATTCCACGTGCGACCATTTTCAAAACTCACCAACACTTTGTCCGTTTCTGCGTCTGTCACTGGGCCATACTCGCCATTCTGAAAAATTTCTATATAAAAAAAGAAGAAAAGAAAACTGACCTTCTCCATTTCCGCCATCAAATTTTCGAGATAATCGATAATCTGAAAGTTTCCAAATATCAATTATTCGGGAAAAACTCGAAAAACTTCGTCCATCATTGGCCTTTCATCAAAATAAAATGCCCAAATGTTCTCCTCGACGTATTTTGCCAACTTTGGCGGCGTTCCTTCCGGGAATTGGTTCAAAGTGTTAGACATAATCTGAAAATGGAAATGTAAAGTTTGAAGTTTGAAGACATTTGGCGAGTCAGATGTCAAATGGAAAAAAATAGAGAAATTTAAAATTTTCCACTTTATATAGTCTGTGTGCCACTAATTGGAATTTCACGGAACGACATTCCGATGTTGCGCTGCGTGCGTTCGCGAAGCGTCTTTCGAATCAAGGTCAATTGATCGTTATTGCTGTGGGAGCACATGAAAGTAGAGTACCTCAAAAAAAAAATAAATAAAGCGCGACCAAGGTTCGCAAAGGCGCGCGGCGGAACAGCGGAATGTCGTTTGGTAAAATTCCAAGTCGTTTTATGTCTCTGAGATTTTTTTAATTTCATTTTCTAAAACTTTTACTTTATTTCTGTCATTCGAAGAAAAACAAATCAAACATACACAAGCTTTAACATCATCAGATAGCAGACCTTCGTAAGGTGGGCTCCCCCCAGTGAATATCTCAAAGAGGAGAACCTGAAAATGGTTTTTGTTTACAGGACTGATCGGAGAAAAAGCTCACCCCGAAGGCATATACATCAGATTTTTGTGAAAATATATTAAGGGCGAAGACTTCGGGAGGCACATAACGAAGAGGAATCTTCTCCGCTACCTTCATCCGCCAGAAACGTGATTTTAGACTGAGATGGAAGTTTGAGATTTTTGGCTGAAAAAGACATTTTCGATTCATGCGAGGCTTAGAAGGTCCTCAAAGCTTGCAAATATCAAAAAAAAAACTTCTTGTTAGAAACAGTCCTATCAAAAAAGCTTTGAAAACAGCTCTTGAAATTTCGAAGTTCAATGTCTGACCGTTCCGTCGGACGACAGAAGTATGTTTCTGGCCGCAATGTCTCGGTGGATGACGCGATTGCAATGTAGGTACTCCAGGCCTTGAGCGATTTCCACGGCGAACCTCATCAGTCTCTTCACACTGGTAACCGGGAAATGGGTCAAAAGGTACATATCAAGAGGACCACCTGCAAAAAAATGATTGTTCATTTAATACTTGTAATATTTACTCATTTTCACTGGTAAAAAAGGGGAAGTAGTCTCACAAGAGAACTGTTTTTACTTCCCATTTGAACTTTTAATGAAACTATAGAGGGATGAACTTCAAGGCATGCTTATTCCGAATCAAGAATAAAATTTCTCGAGTTTTGCCTCGTAGCCGAGTTATGACGGCTCAAAGTTTGCAAATGAAGAGAGTGGAACGCAGCAAGAAGGAATCTGTCTGGCGCACGAGCCTTCAATTCCATTTGGGCGCTTAGTGTAGTGGCTAGCGTGCCAGCACTGCGGGCACTGTGGTCAGGGTTCGAATCCTTTCAACGAAACTTATTTTTGCTATTTTTTCCTTCGAAGAAATCTATCAAAACTTTTGAAATTTAATCGTAATTTTTCTCAAAACATGAGCAGTCTCCAATTTCAACCGTTACAAGGAGATTTTTCGAAAATTTCTCGGTTCCCTTGTCAGTCATAATTGATTTGAAGAAGCTCATAACGGCGCCAATCATTGATGCGAATTTCAAGGTCAACAGTTTCTCAAAAAACGGAAGTGACGTCTTTCAACGAATTTCTCATTCAACTTCAAAACCTCATTCATCGAAATTTTGGGGACTTACCCGGCACGAATTGTATGACAAGCTTGAATGGATGCTCGTCAAGACACCAGCCGAGAATCTGGATGATATTCGGATGCTCCAAGTCGAGCAGAAGTCTTCCCTCTTCTATCAGCTTCTGACTTTGCTCAGATGCGTTCGGCAATCCCAGCTTGACCTGAGATATGAGGATCAAATATTGATTTTCTTGTCCTTTTTTCGAACTTTGATCCTACTTGCTATCATTATGAGGCTTACAGTCTTTTCGAACTGAATGACAGTGAAAATAATTTTTGAAGTGTTCTTTTTTTTTCGAATTCTTGAAACCGACCGACTTAACTGCGGCTATTTGTTCAAGAAGTCCTGGTCGATCAATTTTGCATAAATCCACGTCGAAGAATCGGCCGCTGCTGAGCTGAAAATTCTTGAGTTTGTCTTTTTTCTGAATGCGTTGATATCAAAACAGATAACAGCAACTTTGGATATTTTGATCTCTCTGCGTCTCTTTTTGCACATTTACTTTCGCTGCCGCGAATTGAGATTTTTCGAGTGTCTGCGTCTCTCTGTTCCCTCGCCGGCGAGGTCAGAGAAACATGAAAATAGCAGGTCAAGATGAGAGGTTCGGCGAGAGACAAAGAGTGCGCAGAGAAGTCATTTCAAGCCGCGAAAAACGGACTTAAGATATCACTCACACTTGTCATCTTCTGAATATCCTCCGGCTCAAATTCGAACATTTTGCGAGGCACATTGTAGAGCAATTTAACATCAAGGCTTGACTAAAAAAAAAGATTTGAGAGATTTTTGCTTTGATTTGATTATAAAAAGTCTAACCTTGTCGGAATGAAACACATAATACGAAAGGAGACTGTCGACGCTTTCGAAATAGTTTAGACCGTCGATAGAAAATCCTGCTTCGTCTTTCTCAATGACGTACGTGTTCACTTTTATCGGCACCCAGCCGTCCTCGCTCGCGGCTCAATTTTCAAAAATGAGAAAAATCGTTTCAATGAAAAACTTTGAGAAAAATTATTATCATTGTTTCCCGATTTGGAAGGGGAGGGAGGCGGGAAGCGTAGCGTGTGCGTACACGGTTCTTGGCACGAGTTCGATGCAACCGCTAGCGACTATTTGGAAAACGCGCTTCTCGCTCTTTTTCACTTTTTTCTACTGTTTTATGATGCACACATGAACATAATCAATAAATAACTTAAAAAAGGAATCAAAAAAGCGATAAACGAGCTCTCCAAAGAGTCGCTGGCGATTGAATTGAACTGGCGCCAAGAACCGCGTACGCACAAGCTACGCGTCCCGCCTCCCTCCCCTTTCAAATCGGGAAAAATTGACTATATTTTCAAACTGTTTCAAGTTGTGGCGAATCAACCATTTTGAGTACAAAAATATTGAAAGTTGCTTTTCGCAGGGAAATCCCGAAATTTAGTTCGTTCACCTTCTTCGACTTCCTCCTTCGGTTCAGTTTCCCAAAAAGGATCCTCTTTCATCTCCTCTCCAACGTTCAGAATGATATATGTTGTATCACCGTCTGAAATTCTAATTTTCGTCTCGCTTTTTTCCCGACGAACCGTCTTCCAATCTTATGATATAATCGCCTATTTCCTGGATCATTTTCCGAGCGTCCATGTCGTGAATATACCTGATAAAAAATTGAGTAAAAATTCGGAATCAGCGGCAAAAATCGATAGCGTTTTGCTAAGTAGCCAAGAAAATTTTGTTTCAAAATCCAATGGATTTTTCTGAGGAAAAATTATCTATTGTCTTCGACTCAAAGGAACTTTGAGAGATTGAGAAAAGTCCGAAGAGAAGCTAGAGAAAAAGAGATTTTCAGCTTCTCTGGCGTCTCAAAAGGCCACTGCTGCGCTTTCTTTTTGATTCTGACTTATTTTGTCAAAATTCCATTCTATACTAGGATAATCTTGAGAAAAATTAACCCGTGGAATCCGGGCCAGTCTTTGAGAGAGTGCTCCGATTTTTCGGGAGGATCGACGACCGTGAGTGGCTGCGGAACAAGGAGTTCGTGTGCTGTAATATTTCAAAACTTTGAATATTGAAAGCTTTGGGCTCTTTTTTATTGAATTGAATTGATTTTCTCAAAAACGTACTTTCCATCGGCGGGGGACTGATTGGCGCATTTCTCGATTCGGAGCCTGCTCGAAACCTTGCTGAAAAATTAGAAAATGTTTCATTTCATATCAATCACGCAAGCTGAGCTTTACTGAGAAGAAGTGAAGTGCCCCTTGTAGGGAAACACGTTTTCATTGGCCACTGGAAAGAGTGCTCAATAATTTCAAAAACTTAGCTGAGATGCTTCTTAGAGCACGCTCATCGCAACAAAATAAAAAATTAATCGACTTGCGTTTTTGAACCGAGTACGGCGCTTTGAATATATAATAAATTTTGTTTGAGTGATAGAACTCATGTCAATAGCAGGCCATAACTAGGCTGAAAACAAAGTTCAATTTTATTTTTGGTTACGATCAGCCTGCTTTGGTCGCATCTTAGCAAATTAAAAGATAAAACTGAAAAACTAAAACTAATTGGAAAATAGAAACGAACTTTTCAAAACATTTTAATTTCAAATTTTAACAATCGCCGGTATCAATTTGGTGAAAAAGCTATTAATTATAATATACTAGTATCTTGAAAAAATAGTCAAGTTGAGCATCTTTTTGATAAATTCAAAGAATAAATACTCTTTTCGGCACAATTGTTTTTAAATAATACGGATTAGCAGGATTCAGTGAATAATCGTATTAAACACATAAATCGTAGCCAAAATCAAAAGCAAAAGCAAAATCGAAATGAAAGCAAAAAATGAAAATAAAATAAAAGTCCCAAACATTTTCGAATATGAAGAATTTACGGTGGGAGGGCAAGTTCGCTATATCGCGCAATTCCCACAAACCGCGTTCAAGGCGCCTGAAATTTTAGAGGACGCTTAGTGGCGACACAGCCGATAGTGGGCGCTTAGTCGCCTCCCAGCATAGAGGCTACTTGACATTCAAAATCTGTATAGACTCTAAATGCTGTAATAAAGTGACGTCAGGGAGTAGCGGTTCGCGATTTAAAGAAAACTGATTATATTTCGTAATGATAGAAGAGCATCAATCTGATAAAAGCGAAAGAAATTCATGGAAACGTTTTCTGAAGAAATTTCGACGAGAACGTCTTATTTGCACACTTTTCCTCGACGGCGTCTAGCAAAACGACTGATTCTCCTCCTTGTTTTTTTTTCTCGACATGCTCTTTGTTTTCAGTTAAAAATGATCTACTCAGACAAGGATCTCATTGTATTCTAGTTTTTTGAAGAAGCTGGTTAACCCAGACAAGTGCGCTCCAGCGAGAACTTCTGATTGGCCCTCGCTGATAACTTTTGTTAACAGTAGTATATAGCAAATCGATTTATAATGCCGTGTTCAAAGTAATTTCCGCGAAATGCAAAATACCCGTTAGAGAAAGGAAAAGATCACTAAATTTTGGAGAGTCAGAGATCATTTTGCATTTCGCGGAAATTACTTTGAACACGGCATAAAGAAAAACGATTGTTAGCAAGTCTTAAATTTTAAAAAGTCAAACTCATCGCATCTGAAAATCAATAGATGGATCACAACAACCTTTGAGCCTGTCGGAATAGTATCGGATCATCATCATCATGTCGAACTTCTTGGTCGGCGCTGATTTGTCGGGAATGCCGTTTTGAAACGTGGCGTTACGTCGAATTTCAAGCGTATCATTTTTCTAATTTGTTTTTTTTTTGCGGTGAATTTTAAATGAACCCTTAAATGAACACGTTTAATAAAAAAATGAGAGAAAAAAAAAATAAAATGAAGGGAATGTGACCTAGTTAGTTTCATATAACAACTCCGAGCGCTCCGACGAGCTGACCTTCTCCGGAATGAGCGAGCTTTTTGTCCTACTTTTTCTGTTCTGTCCCACTTTCACGGAATCGACTTTTCATCTTTTTTTTCTTTTCCTGACAATGTTCCCAATTTTTTTTTCAAAGTTTGATAACTTGAGAGCTGCAAGGTGACTCATTAACTTATTTGTGAGAGCTGCACGTTTCTTTCGGTTATTGCTCTGATGGAGGAGGTTTGATTGAATGACTAAAACGTGTTCAAGACTTTCGGACATGCTTCTCTCATATTTAGGTTGAAAAAGTGCGTTCGATCGATTTGTCTCAGGCCAAAAATTTCACTGAACAGAATCAAAGGCTCTCTGATGTTTTTAGATTGACAAAAAACAAGTTGATTCCTATGAAATTTCGTTCAAACGAGTTGTAGCTTCGAGATATATTTCGAAATAGCTGTTCGTAGGTTTGAGTTGAATTCCATTCGATTCAAGCTTCGGCGCAGACTTTTCTGCGCTATTTGCGTTTATTTTAGCTTCGAGTTCGACATGAGGAAATTCAGATTTTCCGATATTTATTCAATTATGTTTAATTCACACGGAACCTCGCAGTCGGATTGTTTCTTGGGCCCATGATCACTTTTGTGAAGTAATGCCCCTGGAAGAGGCCAGAGATGCAGAAGAAGCTCGCCTCTCACCTATAAAAAGAGGGGACGGCCTTCAACTGAGTCAAAGTCTCCCGACCTGGGCCCACTCCCTCGATATTTATATATTTTATTCTGATTATATTATTTCTAGCTAATGAATATTTCTATTTGAATAATAATCTATTTTATTCGACTACATCGAATTTACCGATGAGGTCCCGGCATGACCAAGCCGAGGACTCACACTTTCTTCTCGGCCTGCTTCATGCAGCTTTTCTTCTTGGAGCACTGCGCGACCAATAGGAAGATGGTAGCGAAAAACGCGATCTCGACCGGCAAGACCGATAGAAACGCCGAAGTTAATTAGAATTTCCACGTCAATTGTCCGATTTTAATCCCAACGGCTACACATCTATGCGGTTTGTTTATTTGCTTATCAAGTTCCATTATTTCTAGACCGTAAAAAAAGCCAGTTCGACGTTTTATCGAATGAATAATCAAACAGGAAACACAAAAATTTACTTTACAAGTAAAAGAAAAGAAAAAAGTGATCAATCGTTTTCCTGTGTCGCTTTAGAGATCGTTTCATCCTGAGTCGGGCAAAGCTCTTCCAGAACGTCCTGCAAATGTTTTTGGTTTAAATATCAAAAAAAATACTGACCTTGTCAAGCTCGAGAAGGCTGCGCTGCTGAGACGCTTTTTCGAGATCCGGCTGATAATTTTTCTGCAAAAGTTGAAGTCTTGTTCGCAAAACTGTTTGGAGTTGGACACGCCTATCATATTAATCAATTATCAAACAGAATCCGTTCAACGGAATTCGCTCAATAATCTCGGGCAAAGTCGGGCAGGTGGATAATGACAGCTTTTAGGAAGAGGCTCAAAAAAGGTCGCAAAAAGGCAGCAAAGAGAGCCCCCTTTTCGAGCCTTCCATATTTCTGGGATTTTAAAGACTCGAGATATGGTGGAAATAAGGAGAGGCAACAAAAATGGTGCATAAGGGCTGAGAAAATGAAGCAAAAAGGCAGCAAAAGGGGAGCCTTCATCACCCTAAAAGGAACACTTCCATGGAGTCTTTATGACCCTCGGAGGGTCCTTCCGACTTTGCCTATGATCAATGTGAACTTGTCTCAAATTTGTTTTTCTCAATTCCCGTCCGCGCGCATTGTTTTGGATCAAGCGTGAAATGATTCGAAAGAAACTAAAAAGCTAGTTTTCATCCATTAGCGCAAGTCGCTAAAAGTCGGACGCGTCTCGAGCCATTCCACGTGCGACCATTTCAAAACTCACCAACACTTTGTCCGTTTCTGCGTCTGTCACTGGGCCATACTCGCCATTCTGAAAAAAATTTCTATATAAAAAAAGAAGAAAAGAAAAACTGACCTTCTCCATTTCCGCCATCAAATTTTTCGAGATAATCGATAATCTGAAAGTTTCCAAATATCAATTATTCGGGAAAAAAACTCGAAAAAAACTTCGTCCATCATTGGCCTTTCATCAAAAATAAAAATGCCCAAATGTTCTCCTCGACGTATTTTTGCCAACTTTGGCGGCGTTCCTTCCGGGAATTGGTTCAAAGTGTTAGACATAATCTGAAAATGGAAATGTAAAGTTTGAAGTTTGAAGACATTTGGCGAGTCAGATGTCAAATGGAAAAAAAATAGAGAAATTTAAAATTTTTCCACTTTATATAGTCTGTGTGCCACGAATTGGAATTTCACGGAACGACATTCCGCTGTTGCGCTGCGTGCGTTCGCGAAGCGCCTTTCGAATCAAGGTCAATTGATTGTTATTGCTGTGGGAGCACATGAAAGTAGAGCACCTTAAAAAAAATAAATAAAGTGCGACCAAGGTTCGCAAAGGCGCGCGGCGGAACAGCGGAATGTCGTTTGGTGAAATTTTATGTCGTTTTATGTCTCTGAGACTTTTTTAATTTCATTTTCTGAAACTTTTACTTTATTTCTGTCATGCGAAGAAAAACAAATCAAACATACACAAGCTTTCACATCATCAGATAGTAGACCTTCGTAAGGTGGGCTCCCCCCAGTGAATATCTCAAAGAGGAGAACCTGAAAATGGTTTTTGTTTACAGGACTGATCGGAGAAAAAGCTCACCCCGAAGGCATATACATCAGATTTTTGTGAAAATATATTAAGGGCGAAGACTTCGGGAGGCACATAACGAAGAGGAATCTTCTCCGCTACCTTCATCCGCCAGAAACGTGATTTTAGACTGAGATGGAAATTCGAGATTTTTGGCTGAAAAAGACATTTACGGTTCAAGTGAGGCTTATAAGGTTTCAGAGCTTTTGAGCTTGCAAAAATCAAAAAAAAAAAACTCTTTCTTGTTATAATCAATGTTTCTCGACTTGAAAGGCAAGGGAGGCGAGACGCGTAGCGTGTGCGTAGGCGGCTCTTGGCACAAGTTTGATTCAATCGCCGCCGACTTTTTAAAAAGCTCGACAACCGCTCTTCTCTGTATTTTCCACTAATTTTTGATGCATAAACTAACCTAATCAATAAAAAATTGAAAAAGTAGTGCAAAGAGCGATAAATGATCTCTCCAAAGAGTCGCTGGCGATTGAATTGAACTGGCGCCAAGAACCGCGTACGCACACGCTACGCGTCCCGCCCCCTGCCCCGCCTCCCTCGCCTTCGGGAAACATTGACTATAGAAGGTTCTCAAAGCTCTTGAGCTTGCAAATATCAAAAAAAAAACTCCTTCCTGTTAGAAACAGTCCTATCAAAAAAGTTTTGAAAACAGCTCCTGAAATTTCGAAGTTCAATGTCTGACCGTTCCGTCGGACGACAGAAGTATGTTTCTGGCCGCAATGTCTCGGTGGATGACGCGATTGCAATGTAGGTACTCCAGGCCTTGAGCGATTTCCACGGCGAACCTCATCAGTCTCTTCACACTGGTAACCGGGAAATGGGTCAAAAGGTACATATCAAGAGGACCACCTGCAAAAAAAATGATTGTTCATTTAATACTTGTAATATTTACTCATTTTTCACTGGTAAAAAAAGGGGAAGTAGTCTCACAAGAGAACTGTTTTTACTTCCCATTTGAACTTTTAATGAAACTATAGAGGGATGAACTTCAAGGCATGCTTATTCCGAATCAAGAATAAAATTTCTCGAGTTTTGCCTCGTAGCCGAGTTATGACGGCTCAAAGTTTGCAAATGAAGAGAGTGGAACGCAGCAAGAAGGAATCTGTCTGGCGCACGAGCCTTCAATTCCATTTGGGCGCTTAGTGTAGTGGCTAGCGTGCCAGCACTGCGGGCACTGTGGTCAGGGTTCGAATCCTTTCAACGAAACTTATTTTTGCTATTTTTTCCTTCGAAGAAATCTATCAAAACTTTTGAAATTTAATCGTAATTTTTCTCAAAACATGAGCAGTCTCCAATTTCAACCGTTACAAGGAGATTTTTCGAAAATTTCTCGGTTCCCTTGTCAGTCATAATTGATTTGAAGAAGCTCATAACGGCGCCAATCATTGATGCGAATTTCAAGGTCAACAGTTTCTCAAAAAACGGAAGTGACGTCTTTCAACGAATTTCTCATTCAACTTCAAAACCTCATTCATCGAAATTTTGGGGACTTACCCGGCACGAATTGTATGACAAGCTTGAATGGATGCTCGTCAAGACACCAGCCGAGAATCTGGATGATATTCGGATGCTCCAAGTCGAGCAGAAGTCTTCCCTCTTCTATCAGCTTCTGACTTTGCTCAGATGCGTTCGGCAATCCCAGCTTGACCTGAGATAAGAGGATCAAATATTGATTTTCTTGTCTTTTTTTCGAACTTTGATCCTACTTGCTATCATTATGAGGCTTACAGTCTTTTCGAACTGAATGACAGTGAAAATAATTTTTGAAGTGTTCTTTTTCTTCAAATTCTTGAAACCGACCGACTTAACTGCGGCTATTTGTTCAAAAATTCCTGGTCGATCAATTTTGCATAAATCCACGTCGAAGAATCGGCCGCTGCTGAGCTGAAAATTCTTGAGTTTGTCTTTTTTCTGGATGCATCGGTACCAGGGCTGTGCGGCAATCGATTGCCGGTAATGCCGGCTTTTATAGAGTTTTTGAATTGCCGAAAATTTTTGAAATATACTTTCGATTTTTGGACTCTTCGAAGCTCCATAGTTCTACACTAAGAATAACTGACGAGATAAACGCGATGTCGGTGGCGGTAAATTGACGAACTCGCAAACATTTCGCTTTTTTCTCGCGCCGGTCTCGCATTTTTCTCGGCGCGAGCTCGCACTTTTCTCGGCGCCATCTCGCATTTATCTTGCATTTCGGAAACTTTCAAATTGCGAGAGAAATGCGAGCTCGCGCCTAGAAAAGTGCGAGCTGGCGCCCAGAAAAATGAGAGACCGGCGCGAGAAATATCGCGAGATGTTTGCGAGCTCGTCAATGTACCGCCAGCGTCTCGCGTTTATCTCGGCAGTTATTCTTAGTGTAAGTAAGTTTTGGAAAAAATGTGTAGGATTGGTGTAGAATTGCGTCATTCTGCTACTTGGCGCGTTTTAACCTCCAAATTTTCGAAAATTTTTATTCGAATCATCAGTTTTTCGAGTTTTCAACAGCTTCGTAAACCAGAAAACAAAACTAAGTAACCTTTGAAATGAAAGTTTTTCAAGATTATGAATTTATTTCATGTGAAAGTTATATAATTTGTTAGCAATTATGTTAAGCACAATCTATTCTACGTTTAACAACAAAAAAGCGATTGAAAAACGGTTCAGAAATTCACAAAATGAATTTTTAAAAAAGCGTGCGGCAGCGGCACACCAGTTCAGGCCTACAGTCCGGTTTGCACTACGCCTTTTCCGCTAGCCATACTAAACCGTTTTTCACTCATCTTTCTATTCAATAAAATGAACGAGGCTATTTTTGACATGAGTAGATAGAAAACTACAGAAAAAAGCGACTTTTTACTTACAAAAAATGGATAACCTCTATTAGTGTATGCACAATTAATTTGAACCTACTGTGTGCCAAACCGGACGGGCTCAACAGATGTGGCAGATAAACCGTGAGATTGAGCCTCCTGTTCTAGAATTATTCAACTGATAACTGAATAGGAATCATATTATCTATAAATTAGTTCATTTTGCTGCGTTTTCTCGAAAATTGCCGAAAAAAAATTTAAGAAATTGCCGATTGCCGGTCTTGCCAAAAATATCGATTGCCGCACAGCGCTGATTGGTACTGAAATGAGATTTAGTAACTCAATGTTTTTCTAATGCTGTCCAATGAAATCACGCGCAATTCGGTTTTAATCGGGCGCAAAAAAACAAAAAAGTCCGGCGTTGGGCAAGAGTTCCGTACCGAGCCATTTTTTTTGTGATCATATATTTCGGAAGTGATATAATTGCTTGTCAAATAGAAAAAATGGCCAATTTATTTAGACTTCGAATAATTTGACCTCTCTGCGTCTCTTTTTGCCCAATTACTTTCGCTGGCGCGAATTTTCGAGTGTCTGCGTCTCTCTGTTCCCTCACCGGCGAGGTCATAGAAACATGAAAACAGCAGGTCAAGATGAGAGGCTCGGCGAGAAATGAAGAGGGCGCAGAGAAGTCATTTCAAGCTGCGAAAAACGGACTATAGATATCACTCACACTTGTCATCTTCTGAATATTCTCCGGCTTAAATTCGAAAATTTTGCGAGGCACGTTGTAGAGCAATTGCACATTAAGGCTTGACTAAAGAAAGAGATTTGAGAGATTTTTGCTTTGATTTGATTATAAAAAGTCTAACCTTGTCGGGATGGAACACATAATACGAAAGGAGACTGTCGACGCTTTCGAAACAGTTTAGACCGTCGATGGAAAATCCTACTTCGTTTTTCACAATGACGTACGTTTTCACCTTCATCGGCATCCAACCGTCCTCGCTCGCGGCTGAATTTTCAAGAATCAGAAAGGTCGTTTCGATGAAAAACTTTATATTCAATGTTTTCCGACTTGAAAGGCGAAGGAGACGGGACAAGGGGCGGGACGCGTAGCGTGTGCGTACGCGGTTCTTCGCGCCAGTGCAATTCAAGCGCCGTCACCTATTTAAAAAGCTCGGCAACCGCTCTTTTTCTGTATTTTCTACTAATATTTGATGCACACATGAACATAATCAATAAATAATTCTAAAAGGATTGAAAAGAGCGATAAGCGAGCTCTTCAAATAGTCGCTAGCAGTTGAATAGAACTCGTGCCAAGAACCGCGTACTATTGACCGCAGACGAATTTTCAAAAATTTTTTTTCAGCATCAAGCTTTGTATGGTTTGATAGCTGTTTCAATTCAAAACACATACCGTTAAGTTTTTCGAAAAAGATTGAGGATAAAAAAAGTTATGACGAAAAATGACAAAATTTTTTTGTTCCATTCACGTTTCCGTACGACATTCCGCGAGAACGCATCAAAAAAGCGTGAAATTTTTCTAAAACGAGAGAGGAAGCTTTTTTGTACATGTGTGTCAAAATTTATTATCCAGTTCCACATATTTTGCAACTACAACAAAATGAAAGTGAAAACCAAAAAAAAGCCACTTTTTCTATCGCGAAGAGGGGCGTGGCTCTGCAGTGCCTATAGTCTGTTCAGATTTTGAATGTCAAGCAGCTAACTCCACCCCCAAGGTTACAATATCTTTCGCGTCAATGTTTTATCTACATATGGCAATGGCCCTTTAATAAGGCTGCTTTTTTGACCTCTTTTTCTATCTTTTAGATCGAAAAAGATCAAAATTAGTCCTGCGCGATGAAACATCGACGCGAAAAGGTACCGTCTCAGCAGGGGCGGAGTTAGCTGGTTGACATTCAAAATCTGAACAGACTATAACCGCGTACGCACAAGCTACGCGTCCCGCCTCCCTCCCCTTTCAAATCGGGAAAAATTGACTATATTTTCAAACTGTTTCAAGTTGTGGCGAATCAACCATTTTGAGTACAAAAATATGGAAAAGTTGCTTTTCGAAGGGAAATCTCGAAAGTTGGTTAGTTCACCTTCTTCGACTTCCTCCTTCGGTTCAGTTTCCCAAAAAGGATCCTCTTTCATCTCCTCTCCAACGGTCAGAATGATATATGTTGTATCACCGTCTGAAATTCTAATTTTCGTCTCGCCTTCTTCCCGACGAACCCTCTTCCAATCTTATGATATAATCGCCAATTTCGTGGATCAATTTCCGAGCGTCCAGGTCGTGAATATACCTGATAAAAAATTGAGTAAAAATTCGGAATCAGCGACAAAAATCGATAGCGTTTTGCTAAGTAGCCAAGAAAAATTTGTTTCAAAATCCAATGGATTTTTCTGAGGAAAAATTATCTATTGTCTTCGACTCAAAGGAACTTTGGGAGACTGAGAAAAGTCCAAAGAGACGCTAGAGAAAAAAAGATTTTCAGCTTCTCTGGCGTCTCAAAAGGCCACTGCTGCGCTTTCTTTTTGATTCTGACTTTCATTTTGTCAAAATTCCATTCTATACCAGAATAATCTTGAGAAAAATTAACCCGTGGAATCCAGGCCATTTCTTGAGAAAGTCGTGCGGTTTTTCGGGAGGATCGACGACCGTGAGTGGCTGCGGAACAAGGAGTTCGTGTGCTGTAATATTTCAAAAATTTGAATATTGAAAGCTTTGGGCTCTTTTTTATTGAATTAAATTGTTTTTTTTTCAAAAACGTACTTTCCATCGGCGGTGGACTGATTGGCGCATTTCTCGATTCGGAACCTGCTCGAAATCTTGCTGAAAAATTAGTAAATGTTTCATTTCAAATCAATCACCACTAAGAATAACTGACGAGATAAACGCGAGACACTGGCGGTACATTGACGAACTCGCAAACATTTCGCTTTTTTCTCGCGCCGGTCTCGCATTTTTCTGGGCGCGAGCTCGCACTTTTCTCGGCGCGACCTCGCATTTATCTTGCATTTCGGAAACTTTCAAATTGCGAGATAAATGCGAGCTCGCGCCCAGAAAAATGCGAGATGTCTCTTTCGAAGAAATTTCGAACATCTCAATCGCACACTTCTCTACGACGGCGTCTAGTAGAACTACTGATTATCCTCCTTATTTTTTTTACTTCGCGTTAAATCGCAATTCGCTACTCCCTGACATGACGTCATCTTGACTTGGCTGTTCGCATACGCAGCCATATTCTTTGATTTATTTTCCACGTTTCAAATTTATAAAATTAGATTCGACGAAAAAGTTTTCCAGTCACATGAGAAACAAAAAAAATTCACATTTAAAAATCCCCTTTTGATTGGAAACTTTTTTTTGTTCTCCTATTTTTCTTACTTCTTTTTAGAAACCTTTGAAAGGTTTTTTTATAATTTTTTTCAAAGTGGGGCTTGCGCATCCGAACCCCCTAAAGTCACATTTTTTTACTTTTTGTCGGGGGTTTTTTTAATTTGAATTTTTTTAAACAAAGTTTCTATACTAATTTTTTATTTGACGTTTGGGGCTGCCGCCCCCAAACCCCCGCTGCGGCTATAGTCTGTTCAGATTTTGAATGTCAAATGCAATGACGTCATTCAAAAACAATCTGTGGATGGCTCGCTCTCTGATTGGTTTATCGCACCACTATGGGGGCGGAGCTTGGGCGACGACGAAAGTTAATAAATGGATCACAACAACCTTTGAGCCTGTCGGAATAGTATCGGATCATCATCATCATGTCGAACTTCTTGGTCGGCGCTGATTTGTCGGCAATGCCGTTTCGAAACGTGGCGTTACGTCGAATTTCGAGCGTATCATTTTTTTCTAATTTTTCGCGGTGAATTTAAAAATTTTTTTACACTAATTAAAACGTCGTGACTTTTTTTAATTTTTTTGATTGAGAAACCGATCGGAAAACATTCTTTATTTCTTTTTTTCTAAAATTGTTTATTTCGAAAATCTCCAAAACTGCTTCATTTTTTTCCTATGCGAAAATTTAGTGGAAGAAGTTTTGAATTATAAAAAAAAGGTTTATAGGACTTCGAAAAAAATCTATTTTTATAAAAAAATCAACACACTTTTTCTGATTTTTCATAGTCCTTTGAATAGAAAGATAGTTCAATTAATTAATTGCAATAATTCATATATTCTTGCAAAAAAAGTCAATCGGATATTTCGAAAATTCTTCTCCCAAAGAAACTTTTTTTCGGATTTTTTTCTCGAATTTACCGTAAATTATTTACGCCTTAGTTTTTTTGAATTTTTCCAAATATAGATGATATATATTTCACTTTGGGAAGAAATCTGAAAAAAGGATAATTACACGTTGTGCTAACGTAAGAAATAATAAATGTGAGGCACGCCACCACCTGTCGGAGAAAAAAAGCGGCTCGAAACGTAAATCCTGAGTAAACCACTGCGAAAAGCTGGAGTATTCCCTGAAGGGAGTTTGAGATTCAGTGAGTCCTTTGTTAACTTCAAGAAAAATCTGGTAAGACAGAGTGGCATCTAATTTTTTTTTGTGGAATCGTTTCTTTCTTTTTTGAGGTTTCGTCTTAAAATAAATTAGCGTTTTCACGTGAATATTCGTTCAGAAATCTTACTTGAAGGTTTAAAGGGGCATTGCAAATTTATGAAGAGGTCTCAAAGCGAATATTTTGGGTTTACGAGAGCTGTGCGCCTTTAAGCTTTCAAGGAGCGCCTTTATGCCGTGTTCAAAGTGATTCCGCGAAATTCAAAATAGCCGTCAGAGAAAAAGAAAGATAACTAAATTTTGGAGGGTCAGAGCCACGGCGTTTTTTTTATTACGCAAGGTCAAGACTTCTCGTAAATTATGATGTTTAGGGTGTAAGCACACCGAGACGCACTATCGCATGCTCAAAATTGTTTTTTTCAATTTTAGAATTTGCAATTTTAGGATAATAACTTCTGAAATGTTCGAAATCTTGTCAGTTTAAAAATTATGATGTGAAAAAAACATTCATTTGCGTTAAAAAAAATTTAGGAACGATTTCGGAAGGGGAAAACTCTAAATTACTGATTACAAAATGAAAACAAAAATATTATGAAGGTGAATAAGCTCTCATTGAATAAGCAATTGTAAATACGAAAAATATTGAAATAAGGAAAATTCGAGGAGAAAATGAAAACAAAACATTTTATATACCTCGAAAACCTAGCTTCAGAAAAACAAATAATGGATAGGAAGCAGAAATTTTCAGAAAAAAACCTCGTATGGCGAAATGTTTGTTTAAATCCGAAAAACCATGAAACAACTGGAAAAAAAAATATAATTTAGATGATTCATATAACAAAATCTTCAAACTGCATCAGCAATGTCAATTTGGCTCTAATTTACACGAAACTGGTTTCAAACTACGCCAAAGGAACTGGATAATAACTTGTACTTATAGAAAAAACGTTAAAAGAAGTATTAATAAAGAAAAAAAGCAAAAAAATGCTTTTTTTCAACTAACTCTTTCCGTAAATCTTGCGAGAGCTTTAAAGGGTGGGTATTGTAATCCAAAAACGGGTCCTGAACAGATCAAAACTACTGCTGCCGTAAGATTTACGGCGCCCGCCCCTGGTATTTTTTTTCTGCATTTTCTTTCACTGACGAGAACGCTGTGAGAGACCATTTTGCATTTCGCGGAAATTACTTTGAACACGGCCTTAGTCATGCTAGAAAAGTCGGTCGGTTCGGTCGGTCGGACAATTTGGAAATCTAGGCCACGCTGCAATATTGCTCCATGGAACACTCAGAATTTCAATCTTTTTTTTTTCTTTTCTGAATATTTCTTCTTTTTTATAGTTTTACTAAGAAGTTCGCGTTGCTTTTTTTAATTCAACTGTATCTTTCTCGCGAGTATACGATGGTTACTACTTTCAAAAATTATAAACTGATTCAATTTTTTTGAAAATTCTTATTAATTTTTTTGGAACCAAAATAACTTCATATAACCAAAGGAGTGAAAGTAAAAATTGTAAGTAATCGGAAAATGAGATAATGTGTGAAATACACAAAAAAATGAGAAAGAACTTTTTTTAATTTGAAGGCTAAAATACGATCCTTTACATTTTCAAAAAAATAGTACCAAATCGATTCATCCAATAAACGCCATTCATAAAAATCTAACGACTTCCTTTTTTTTTACCATAAAAAAACACCTGGAACCATTTTTTTGCAGTTTCAGCGATCCATGACCGATATCTCTCTCTTTACAACGACTTCAGCCATGCGAAACAACACGAGGATATTCTCCGGTCGTAGAAAATTCGGTGCAAAAAGGTGAGCTCAGCGTTTGTGAAGAAGTGTAACGCCTGGGGACATGAAGGCAGCTGTCGACTTGGACATTTTTCCGCCTTTTCCCCACTTTTCTACCTGTTTTCCAAAGCCTTCTTCATTTTCTTTCTAAAAATCGTATTGTGAACTTAAGTATAGTCAAAAAAGCCTCATAGCCCATTCCGCGCCATCTTGTCCCGTTTTTCTCGCGCAAAAAAAAAACCGTATAAAAAAATCCAATCAAAGTTCGCTGCAAGACCTATTTTGGTGTCTTTTTCGCAGTTTCGCAGATCAAAAATGGGTTTACGGTAGCTTTTTTTTTCTGTGCTTTCAAAACTCTTTCGTATTATAATGCTGTGTTCAATTTGATTACGCGAAATGCAAAATACCCGTTAGAGAAAGGAAAATATCACTAAATTTTGGAGAGTCAGAGATCATTTTGCGTTTCGCGGAATCAAATTGAACACGGCATAATAGTCAGATCGGGTTTGCCCTAGGAGCAATGAGAATTAGTCAGAAAAAGGAAAAAAAAAAGTTTCAAACTTTTTTTTTGAGAATCTTTAGAGTTTTCCTTGAGATAAAGAAATGCCAGAAAAACCAAAAATCTCATTTTATTTTTTATCAATTTTTCAAGTTTGAGCAACTCCACATGCGACCAAGTCGACAAAAAAATTAAATTTCTCATGGAGATTTTTTGAATTTTTTGGTTTTACTCAGGAGCAAAAAATCAGCCTTTTTCCTATTTTTTCGTTTAGTTTTTTTTAACTTCGATCCATTCCACATGCGACCGGGGCGAAGAGAGAACTCAGTTTTAAAGTCTTTCCTATCGTTTTTTTTCTTGAATTTATAGCTTCACTCGAAAGCGAAAAATCCAGGATTTCTTTTTCTTTTTGATCATGATTCAATTTTGAGACATTCCACGTGCGACCAGGTTAGAGTAAAATTTGAAAAAAACTAAATTACTTCAAATTTTGAGCCTTTCTTCGAAATCGTCCATTTTCTGAATTTATCGCCTCACTCAGAAGCGAAAAATCCAGCAATTTCCCTTCCTTTTCTCTCTCATTATTTTCCCTCCATTTTATAAACTAAACCAAACCAAACCAAGTGCAGACTTGTCTGTATATATTTATATAAAAGCGACGGACGCCATTTTCAAACAACGATTTGGCCTGAATGACGCATCGGGCAGCCAAAAAAAGTCGGGAAGGGCGAAAAAAAAAGAAAGAAGAAGAGGCTTGGACTCTGGCTCCGCCCCTTTTCAAACGCAACCATTTTTTGCCCCGCTTCTTTTTCCACGCGCGCCCAATTTGTTTGATCTACTGGTTATCGATTCGTTTGACCCCTCCAAGGGTGGCAAAAATAAGAGAAAAATGATCAAGTGGTGGACGATGAGCGTCAACGAGGCCGTCCAGGATCCCCTACATCTCCATCTTTTCCGGCTTTTCTCCCTTTTTGCGGAAACTTCGCCCCAAGGCTAGTTTCCTTCTTGTTTTTGTTGTTTTTCAGGACTGATTCTTAATCAAAGTTTTATATTTTCTAAATAAAATCGAGATCCTAGGCCATCTTTGGCTTGAGCTTCATGTTCAGATCATTAAAAAAATGCCTGAACAAAATTTTTTTCTATTTATTTTTCCATCTTTCTCCAAAAACCCTTGATATTGAACAATTTAGAAATAAAAAGTTCACTCAATAGTCGTTTTTTTGAACCATTTACAGCTCTTAATAAACTTTATGGTGTTTTTTTCGCGGTTTATTTTTAGACTGATTTCGAATCAAAAATTCATAGTTTCTAGCAAAATTCAAGGTCCGGGGCAATTTTAAGCTCGAGCTTTTTTTCTAATGGTTTTTGAAAGATTGAAAGTTCTTAATAGACTTTTTGGCCGAAAAATTCGCCCAAGGCTAGTTTTTCTCTAGTTTTTGTCCTTTTCAGAATTGGTTTCCAACCAAAATTTCATAAAAAAGGGGGTTTCCCAAGTTTTTTCTATTCTTTCAGTTTCCTGGGACACTTGAATGATCAAAAAATTGGTTTATAAAACTGATTTTTCACCGTTTTTTTAACTAATTTCCAGCTTTTTTTTTTTCAAAAAACTCAGGTTCTGGCTGGTCTAGGGTAAAATGGACTTATATGTCGTTTTTTTGAGAATTCGAAACTTACTAGAGGATTTGGTGTATTTTAAAAGTTTAGGGAGAAAAATCGATTTTTGAAGCTGCTTCTCTTGAAAAATAGGTGATTACTGTTTCTTCCAGATTTCATAAGTTATTGGGCCTTTTTTGGTCGATTTTGGATATGTCTTACGATTTTGTTGTTAATATTTTTGAAATTATGATTTTTTTTCAAAATTTTGTTAAAAAATTTATTTAGGTTAAAACACCATTTCCAGATTAATTGCGAAGCAAAATACGAAGCTTTTTTGCTTTAATTTTGTCACGAGGCTTCGTTTTTCCTACTTTGTTTATCGAGAAGGGAAAATAAACCGAAAGGTCGTTTCCTTGTGTGTTTACATTGCGTAAAGGAGTTTGAAGCTCGGTTGTGGGAAAATCGTTGTAAACTCGATTTTTAACGGATTCTCGACTCGAAAAGTTTTTTTGGCCCAAAATAGCTTTGCAAAACTATTTAAAAAAAATTTTCAAGGTAAGTTTAATCCAAAAATTTTGGTTTTCTAAGCTTTTTTTTTCCTATTTTTCGATCGATTTTGATAAAATGGGTTATGAAAATTAGAGAAAAATCAAGGGATTTTTTTTGAATTGCTCTGTAGAAAGATGGTAAGGAAAGTCAAAACATGAATTTTCCAAAAAAAAAAGGGTTTATATTTTTTTTTAACATCAGTTTTTTTGGTATATCTAGGCCACTTTTTTTCAAAAAAAATATTTCATTTTTCAATCATTATTCTGAAAGTTTTCCGTTTTTCAGGAACCTTGAAGCCGTTCCAAGGAGAATTTCTGATCGACGAACTTTTGCGTGAAGCCGGCCGGCCAACGACCTCGAAACGTGTCGATTTTCCCGAAGATCTGACTTTTCGGTGATTTTCCTCGCTTTATTCAAAAATTGAAATGAAAACTGTTCAGAGAGCTTCTCAACCTGCTCCAGCTCGTTTTCCCGGATCGACGAGAGTTGGAGCCATCTACGGATCGCGTTTTTGAACGATTCATCAACCACGTGATAGCGAAAGTGAATAATTTCGTGATTTATGGGGGGAGCCTCGAAAGTGCGCTCTAATGCGAAACATTTTAGTAGCCTCTTTAGGGTTTTATGTTTCAGTGGGCTGAAAAGTGGCCATTTAAGTGGCGGAAGTTTAGTGGCCATTGGCTTGAGCCTTCAAAAATGGGTCCTGACACGATTTTTAAAAAAATGAGAGAGCGTTTGGTTAATGGAGAGCGCAGACAGGCCACGCCCCTTATCTCAAGCTAGCCGTGAATATTTAAATATTTCCTTTGTTGGCTCTTCACGCCCACGGATTTAAATTTGTTCGTTTTCACCGAAATGGTCGCACGTGGAATGGCTCAAAACGCGCCCGACTCAAAACGATTTTCGCAAGAAAACATCAAAAACTGATTTTTCACATTTTGAAACAGTCTGATCTCTCTGCGGCCCTCTCCTTTCAACATGCTTTTTTTCATTTTTAAGACCTAGTAGTAGGGAAAAGAGACGCAGAGAAGTCAGATTTTTTTCTCAAGTCGTGGCGATTGGACTATAAGTGTTGAGGGCCTTGTAAACAGCTTGAATGACCTCTGGTGAGAGAAAAGAGAGCGCAGACAGGTCAGGCTGTCCAAAAAAAAATCGAAGAATAGTTAAATTCCCATAAGTTTTTAAGGCGAGCCATTCCAAGTGCGACCATGTCGTTTCACATTGGGCTATTCAACTTCAAAGAAAACTTGTTATGAGTGTAAAATAACAGAAAACGAAGAAAATTATAATTTTTCAGGGATTCGTCCTATTCCGGAAGCAAAGAAAGTCGAAAGGATGCCTCGGCGGCCGATTTTCCAAGTCAAAACAGAACGATTGGACTCCGGGATGGTGCCAAGTGGTCCCTGGAGAAGTTCGAGTGTGGCAAGTCGCCAACAAGTCCGAGAGCCGAGTTCGGGTTGATGAGAATTCTGTGGTACAGGTGAACCTTTCCTAAAATTTATTTTAGACTGATTTTCTAAGGGTCAAACTTAACGGTCTTCCAAATTCCGCTTTTTACGAATAAATTTTTTTCCGGCCGCTTCAATTTTTGTCTTATTCTGAATCAGAGGAGTGTAGCCTACACTGTTTAGGAAAAAGCCGCCGATTTTGACAGGGCGGTTTCGAATTTGGCCCAGGTCCGCAATGGGCCGTCGCGTGTATGCAGACGCCGCTTCCTTTTGCGATGTGAATTTCAAAAATAATGTACACTGATAGAAAAAAATCGAAAAAAATTTTTTTATTTTTCTTTATAAAAAAATGAAACAACGGAAACGGTGTCTGCGTACACGTCGCTTACACCCGACGGCATATTGCGGCCAAATTTGTACGGAGCTTTTAGAGTCGACGGCCTTGCCCCACGATTCTACTTGTTAGAGTGCAATAATTCCCGTTATTGGTTGTTTTACTTTATTTTTTTTTCGTTTAAACTGCTATCATGCGAAATTAATGAACCTATTATTATTCTTATTCTTATAGCCGTCGCGTGTAAGCGACGTGTATGCAGACACCGCTTCCTTTTGCGATGTGCTCCTCAAAAGTACTGTACACTGATAGAAAAAAAGCGAAAAAATTTTATTTTCTTCATAAAAATAAAACAACGGAAACGGTGTCTGCGTACACGTCGCTTACACCCGACGGCATATTGCGGACTGGGGCTGTACTTGAACTTTTTATTCTAAATACTTAGATTTTTATCATGCGAAGTGAATGAACCTATCATTACTTCTATTATCGTTATTATTATCGCCATTATTATTATTACTTGATTGAAACGGAAACAAGTTGTAGACGTGCTCATTCGAGACGGATCGGTTCGTCTGGACGGTTTCTTCCGGTTCGGAATGTTTGCACTTTGCACATTTCGATCAACTCGCAGCTCGCGCCTTCGTTCGAGGTTTCTTTCTTCTTTTTTTTGTCGCTGTTCAAACAAGTGTTGCAAGCTTTCGAGTGCTGTAGGTGATATGGTGGGTTCAGTGGGAATATCGAAATATTAAAGGGTATTAATGAAAAAAAAAAGATTCAAGTTTCGAGTCGTTCAAAATGTGAAAAAAAAAATTTAAATTAAATAAAAATTCGTTTTTTTTTTCGAGCTTTCGACAGTGCTGTAAGTGACATAGCGGGTTCAATGGTAATATCGAAAAATTAAAGGATTTTTTTCGATGAAAAGAAATTATTATTGTTTCAAGTTGTGTAAAAAATGAAGAAAAATTTGGAAAAATAGAAAGTCGTACACTTAATATTGACACCTTGGCATGCTGGAAAAATCAGTCGGAAGGCCATTTTTTTTTAATCGAATTTTTTTTTAGTTTCTAAATGTTTGAGAGTCCGAAATCCTTATAATTCTCTATTTTGGTTACTTTTAAAGTTTCAAAACCCCATTATTGGCGACTCAAATCAGTAGATTTTTTGATTTTTTCAACGGCGAATTCCTTTTCAACCTTTTTGGTTTGACCTGAACACAATATATTCTATGTGCGAAACAGTGTTGATAAGATTTTTTTGAAAATTTTTTTGGCGAAAATAATTCAAGAAAACGCACCACATTCCTAATGATATGAGGGAAGTTGAGCGAAGCGTCAAATTTTCTGAATTTACAAAAAAAAGCAAGTGCGCGCTCCTGATAAAATGACGTCATTCTACACTGAATATTCAACGTTAATAACTTGTTGGTTGGCCTTTGGCTGCGTACTTGAGGTTCCAATTTTCCCGCCAAATTTTTTTGACGTCTCCCCACACCGTTTGGGAACGCCGTGAAAACTATGAATTTTTGTGAATTTCATAACCAGATGTTTCTCAAACTAACTTAAAACTAGTTAAATTTTAAATAAATACGCACTTTGAAACAGTTAACACCTTAACCAAGTCCGAAAAACTTTTCAAAATTTGAAAAATCGAAAAAAATATCGTTTTCCAGCACGCCCTTCACTAAAACTTTATTTTGCCAAAATTAAAGGTAAAAACTTCTTGCGAAAATTCAAAATGTCTTGAATCTCCTTCTCAAACATTTTCTAAAACAGTAAATCGAGTTATTCATTGTTTTCCGTTCGCACCGCGCAATTTTATCAACAGTTTTGTTTGTCCTCGTATCATTGGGTCCCACGGAAGAAGTGAGAAACTCGGCGTCCTCCATTCAATTCTTCTGTTCCCGGTGTTTTTTTTTCTGTTTGAACGAAATTGTTTGCTGAGAGACTGCTTAGGGACTCAAAAAGTCGAAATTTCAACGCCAAGTTTTCTTTTTCCCGTCGGGTTGCATTCCGGGGAGTTCCAAAATGACGGAGATCATTTTTTGAAACGATAAAAAAAATCATTTCGGAAGTTAAAAATCAAGAAAAGCTTGGAAAATTGATGTAGACAAAGAAAGGCAAAAAAACTTAGCAAAAAAAATTTTTTTGATCATTTTTTTCTACAATTCTCAAAAAAAAGACAAGAAAGTTCAATTTCAAATATTTTTTTGAAGCCTTCGAGATTGAGAAAACCTCAAAAAAATTATTTTATTTTTTTCTCATTGCAAAGCTGAAAAACAAGCCAGAAATTCTTCAAATAATATTTTTTTGAACGTCTAAAAAAATTTCATATTATAGCAAATTTTAACCTTTTTTTCTCGATTATAAGTGAAATTGAAGGCTAAAGGTAGTGACCGAAAAGCCCCGCCCCTTTTTGCGATAGTAAAGGTTCCGTTTTTTTCGATTGGTTTTTTATGTTTTCGTTTGGACGAAAAACTGCATCAAAAATAAGGGTAAATGGGTGGAAATATAGAATAAAAGCTTTCTCTTCCAGCTCATATACTTTTTTTACAAAAAAATCATATTCGTTTCAGCGGAGTGTTGTCACAAAAAGTGAAACGAATTTTTTTCCGTTTCCATTTTTTTAAAATTTCTCTGAAACTCGATTTTTATTTCCTCAAAATATTCTTAATTAAAATTAGAATCTTCGAAAAAAATTAAACCAATTTTTTTAGTATGCCGAAACTTTTTGAGAGGAAACTTCGAAAATAATTTTTTCGGCGAGATGTTGGTGCCAACAAAAAATGAACATATCGCTTTGTAGCGAATATTTTCTCATGTGAATCGATCGATCGCACAAGTTTTTTTTTCATATTGAAGCGAATCGAATTTTCTTCATTCTTCGGCAATAAAATGGAAAATTTTAGTACGCCGAAACTTTACGCTACAAAAAATTTCATTCAAATCGGGCATTTTATGTATTTTTTCAGTCAAAAGTATCAGCTCAATAAAAAAATGAATAAAAAAATTCATGTACCACAGTAGATACGGGAAAGGTGTTTATTTTGTGAGAGTACGATTTCAATTTTGAAGAGGGTTCGGAAGGCAATTTATACTATCAAAATTGAAATTATTCAATAAATAATTTTTTTTTTCGTTTTCATATGAACCAGGAGGGTTCAATGATATATTTAAAGGCTTGATAATTTCACAAAATCCGAAAACTGCCATTTCAGACATGAGATTAGCCAGTGATCATCCGACCCCGGAAAGCCTGACCAGTTTCGATTTGAAGAGATCGAGTCGAGGTTAGTTCAAAGTGGAAAAAGGCCTTATTTCATTTTTTAAGTGCGCCCCAGCGAGAAGGAAGTCACAATGAAGAAAGAATTTGAAAAAGAACGATTGCAATTGGAAAAACAGTTGGAAGAAGAACGAAGAAATCGGAAAGATGAGGAAATTGTGAGAGGGTTGGCGACTAGGTGAGTCGAAAGAAGCTTGAGAACGCCAGAGTGGTCCCTAGAGGGGCATTTTCAGGAGCCCTTGAAGCTTCCCCTTTAAAGATCACTCTACCTCCCCGAAAGGGGCACGAAAGCTTGCAAAAATGGCCACTCTAGGGGAGCGTCTTGTTTCAAACCATAAAAAACTTGGAAGACCCCTATAGGGATCACTGAAGCTTTTCAGGGGCTTAAAGGCGTCCAACTCCTATAAGGATCACTTGTATTTTAGATAGCACTGTTAGGATTTTTTTTTTTCCTAGGCCCTTTAGGGACCACTCTGGCGTCCTTGACTTTGAAAAAAAAAAATATTTTTTCCCGCCCAAAACTTATGGCGAATGTGTCGCGGCTTCTTTGAACCGAGTTACCTAATTTTTCAGCGCAACCGACCTGAATCGACTTACGCGTGGCTGTAGGTTCATACTTGAGCCGTGAAAAGTCTCGCAGATATTATATAAAATTTGTGAAAAACGCCCTTTTTTGAGCTTTTCTGAGCTTTTTTATCATGAAAATGTCGAATCTATGTATGAAAAATTCGGTCTAATCGACCAAATTGAACAAATTTACAGGATGTTGGAAGAAGAACGACAAAAATCCGAACAAATGCAACGAGTTCTAGCCGAACTACAGACCAAACTGCACACTGAAGAACACGGTTCGTAATTTTACCGTTATTCACTTAAGGGGATACTTAGGAAGTTATTTGTTGAGTTATCTTCAAAGGGAGAGGTTTACAATGAATCTACATCTTTGGAACTTGAGTGGTCACTAGAGGGGTAATTGAATGTATAGGGGCACTAAAGCTTGCATAAGTGGCCACTCTAGGGGAGCATGTTAGTGGTCCATATGCGTCTTCTTGTTTCTCAAAGATCCATATAGGGACCACTCAAGCTTCAGGGGCAAGGAAATAGAACTTTTAAAACTCCTATAAGGACCACCTACTCCTCGAGGAAGCACTTCAGGGGCTATTTTGTCTCCTTAACCTCTCTAGGGACCACTCTGGCGTCCCTAACAGGTGAGTACGACCTTCCTGAGGTTTAAACTTTAGTTTATTCTTCATTTTTAAAACACTGAGAGCCTCCCCCCCTCTCAGACTTATTGAGTTCTTGACTTTACCACGAATGCCGATGACGTCATCTCTAGCCTTCAGAACCGACGTTTGACGAATACGACGGCGAAGAAGACGACGACGACGAGGAGACGTCGGCGGCTGCCGCGGAACAAGAAGCGGCCGAAATAACGCTCCCCTCGAGGGAAGACCAACTCCGACACTACGCCTACCACCTCAACGCCAACGTCATCTACCTCGACGGCGATGACGTCGTCGCCGTCGCCGAAGACGATGAGGTGAACTTGACGCTTTCGGGCCTCGAAACCGGCGTCTGAACATGTTCGTTCCTTGATACTTCTAGGCGTGCCTTTGTGTGTGTAGTTTGATCTTTTCTACATAGTTGCTGATCTTTTTTTCATTTTGGTAAGAAAAATTGCTTCTAAACAGGAATATGCTCCCAAAACTCCCAATTTGAAGGTTTCCGCGAATTCTAGATTTTTTACGGATTCCGAAAATACTCATTTCGCCCGTCATTCTCCCAATTTTATCCCAAAAAAATTTCTTTGAAGTAACTTTGTGCCTTTTAACGTAGAGGGAAAAGTTCTTACCTATCAAAAACTTGAAGGTAAGAAAGAATTTCGAGTACGCGAATATTCGTGAGCGTGAATGGTGCATACACCAATACTGGGGACTCGAATCTTTGAAAATTTGAGCCTTCTTTTTTGTTTTTTCAAGCTCAATTCCTACCATCAAAAACTTCCCCATAACCTTTTTTCTAAAGTTCAGAAGGAATAAAATTTGTACATTTTCTGAGAGACTCGATAATTAAAAAATCAAGGGCTTTTGAACTTGGAGCTTTTTTTATTGTGGGTTATAGTTTTTTTTTCGTAAAATAAACGATGGTATCATGAATTCAAAGCTTAAAAGTGTGTTCAATAACCGTTTTCCTAGTGTAAAAAAAATTTGAAATTTTTTTCTCGGTTTCAGAGACATTGTTGATTTTTTTAGCTTTAACTTACTAGAAAAGATGGCTATCTAAATAATTTTTCCTGTGATAGCAAACTGGACCTGTAAGGAATAACTGTAGAAAGTTTGACAATAATTGGAAAGTTCCCCGAAAAGTTATGGCGAAAAATGTGAAAATATACATCTTGTCTTTTTTTTTTGATAAAGGATTATGTGGAACAGGCATATGGGTTATTTTTCTTTTTTTCTCATTTAATTTCCATATTTTTCATAATGAATCATTGACGCTGGGGAATAGAAATCCATCAAAAAGTTCATAATGAATTTATTCACCAGTTTCTTTACAAATTCAACATTTTCAGATCTGGAAACAAGACTATCTGATCGTCTCAACGCAGTCCATCTAGCACAGGTGCACTCCGAACGGCTTGTACCGCGATTCTGGAAAAAAGTCCCAATTAACGTGTTGATTTTCATAGTTCATTCATCATTGTCTTGCCTTTTTGTCGAAAAAATGTTCAAAATTGGACCTAAATGGTCTCGAATCGACTTTGGAGCGCTGGGGTGACCCTAGGGGATCTCGTAGGGTTCACTCTAAGGACCCCCTGACACTTGAAATTACAAAAGTGGTCACTCTAGGGCTTTTAGTTAGAAAAATGATCAATAGAGGGTTAATCTATCAAGTTTTGTCAATTACGGTTTCAACTTTCATATTAAAAAAAAAATTCCCCTCTAGGGATCACTTAAACTTTAAAGGTCGAACCCTGAATCACTATACGGACCACCTTAATTTTAACCCTCTAGGAAGCATTTATTTTTTCCCCAACCCCTCTAGGGACCACTCTGGCGTTCCTAAATGAGATATTTCAAAGATTCAAGCAACCATTACTGTTTCAGTCTTTTTCCAAAAATCTATTTAAACAAAATGATGAATGAACTATCAAAAAGACTTCTCTACATTGCCATATTGAATGAATTTTATTGATTTTTTCGTGGTTATAAATAAATTTTTTCTTTCCTAAAAATTACCTTGGATCGAGGAAAAGAATGAATAATATGTCAGTTGACCGGTGACCGCGCCTGGCTTCGCCGGATTTTTTCTGACCGTTGTTACCTGAATTTTGGAGAAAATCAATTTTTTTTTATGATTCCTGTTTCTCATTTTGTTCATTTGTCATCGTTTTGGATGTGATTTTTCACTTCTTCTTCTGCCTCATGCCGTGTTCAAAGTGATTCTGCGTAATTCAAAAAATACCTCAGAGAGTGAAAAAGATAACTACATTTTGGAGTTTCAGACATAATTCTAAGTTCCACGGAAATTATTTTGCAAACGCCATAAATGATCCGAAATCGATCAATACAAAATTTTTTTATGATTGCGGGGATCTGATAGCGAAACGGTTGACATTAGTTTTTTTATTGGTTTATATGAAAATACTGAAAGCGCAAAGGTAACTAAAAAGCGTTTTTTTCCAATTTTCATCTAGTTTTTCAATCATTTTTGCTGAAAATTTGCAAAAAAAAATTTTTCTGACATTTCTTGACCATTCATGAAGCTGAAAAGTCGATAATTTATATTTTTTTATACTTAAGTTGGTTTACCTTAACCCTTTATTACCTAATCGAAATTTTTGAGCGGTAGTAATTTTTTTAAGACAAGAAAAAAAGGTTTTTGAGAAGAAATTAAATAAAAAAATAAATCAATTGAAAGATTATTTTTTTATAAAGAAAAAAAGCTTTTTTTATAGGAAAGAAGAAATTTTTTTAATCATAACAAAAAGAAAAAAATGTTCATTTCAATATTTTTTTGCCCACCTCAAATCCGTCCGGTCCTTCAACCTTGACCTCAACAATGTGCCAGTCGGTCATTCTAAAGTTCAAAAATAACTTTTTTTTTTCACCGAGCAAAAATCACTTAGGATCGCTGACAAGTCGGGCGACGACTCCGTAAAATCCGAGATTTGACGCGGCAATCGCGGCTCCGGCCATCGTATTCACGTTGTTTGGAGCCAAAGGGCACAAATCTCGGACAGTACCTTCCATTTGAAGTTAAATTTAATTGGAAAAAAAATTTTTGATTTTTTAAAAAGTCAGAAAAAAATCTTTGTTTTTACGTCTATTTATACAACCTTACGGTTTCAAGTACCTGACAAAATATTTGGGCTTTTTCGGTTTTGGCTTTTTCGTCAACGGCACAAGGTTAAAATTCAAAAAAAAATTTTTTTCCAATTCTTAATTTTTTTCGACTTAAAAAAACGCTAGAAATTTCCGTCTTTCTGATAAATTTCTTGTAAAAACCGAAATTTTTCTGAGGTTTTTATTTTTTTCAAAAGCATGAAAATTTGCTCTGGATTTGATATTTTTCCTAGCAAACAAGAAAAAACCTTCAAAAAGGACCGTGGCTTTTTCAGTCTCCTTTTTCGCCTCCTCATTGATTTCCTTAAGCGGAGAGTTCAACTTGAAGGAAGATGGGTGCTTGGTCATCGTCACTGTTAAACCCTTAAGAGGTCACTTTTCCGAACAACCAAAAATAGTGATTCAACCTTCAAACTGCCGAGATCAGCCATTTTTCGGATATCATTTGCGCCCCAAAAAGCGCCGGCCGGCACCAAAACTTTTCTTTTCAAAGCCAATGATTTTTTCGTCAGCTTGTCGAGAAGGTCTTGTGATGCCAGACATGTTGGCGAGCCGATCTTTAACAAGATAGTTTTTTTTCAACGCGTATAACTGACAAATAAATCAGCATGTTCCAGAATAAGTTCACCGTAGGTTTCGATGATATTTGGGTGAGCGACTTCGATAACGAGGTCCAGGGATCTTCAAAAATCATTTTGAGTCATAATTTCAATTTTATTAGGTCGAAAATACCACTCACTTCTCCCGATTCGAAACTTTTAATTTTTGCCAAAAAGACAAAAATAATCTTCAATCTAAGTAATATTCGAAATAATCAAGTTTACTGGTATCTTGAAAGCCATTTTTTTGCGACAAAATAACGGTGAAATGAGCCAAAAATTAGTTCAAAAACGAACAATTATTTGAAAAAAATAATTAATTTCATTTTTTTCGAGGAAAGTTAGCTCCAACGCACTGTTGCGCGGAGTATCTATCGAGATAATTTTTTCTTTTTTCGAAAAAATTTTTTTTATAATTTTTGGCGTCGAAGAAACGGAAAATGTTTCAAAACGCAAAAGTGAGTTCATTGACGCCTCAGATTTGCTTAGAAAAAGTACTAAATTTTTTTTGTAGCTTTTTTTTTACATTTCAGAACGAGTTTCATTTTGATCGAGCCATTATTTATTTTCAAATTTTCATTTAAATAGTTTAAGGTAATAATTTCGGATTAAAGAAAATTCTAATTTTATGCTCAAAAACTTTGAAAAAAACGAGAAAAATAAACTCTTTTATCATTTTTTTTCCGTTTTTTTTTTCTCTTTCATAATTCCGTCTTTTTTTTCTTCTGAAACTCACTTAAGCGCCCCCGCATCGATGTTTTCCAAGCTTTCCACTCCATTCTCGCTATCACGTGTCCGGTTCCACACTTTCACAACTTCATATTCGTCCGGTCGTTCTCGTAGTTTTTCAATCAGAAATTTACCTGCAAATTGGTGTTTTTCATGCCAACTTTCGGTTGTCAAATCCATTTTGAGGGAGAATTAAGCCCTGGCCACGCCTACAAAATCGTGCCGCAACCCGTTATTGAGGCATGAACGTGATTACGCTGAGCTTTCCCTTTCTTTATATCCTTCATTACAATATTTCGCTACACTTTTGCTTTTTGTTTGCTTGAAAGCTTGTAAACTTTATCTTTTCTGGAAATAAATGGAAGTTAGAAAAGTCTTTAAAGACGATCGCGAATTAAGAAAATTAATAAAGAATTTTTTCTTTTGATGCTTTTTTTATGGATCATGTTTATTTTTGTTGATTATTATATTTTCTTCTGATAAATGTTGCAAAGTTTCGATGTTTCGAAATATTTTGTATGAAAAATGGAAGAAAAACAGGAAAAAAAAGATGTTTGTGGTTTTCTACAAATTATGTGAAATTTCAAACCCGAAAAGTTGAGAGACCTGTTGAAAACACATTTTTTTATGTTTTTTTGAAGTTCATTTTATAATTATTACAAGAAAATATTGATTTTTTTAATAAATAAAGAGCGTACCCAAATGGCCATATCCAATAAAAGCCAACCTTCAGCTTTCCCGGCTCCATAATTCGTTAATTAACCTGAAAAAAATAAAGTTAAAACAATAAAGGTAAGGGTGAGAAGACAGTGAATGGTTCTCTTTTTTTGGCCGTGTTCCTATTGATTTCTCCTTTACCGTCATTTTCCAAAGGTCAGAAGTACAAACGGAGATTTTATCTCTCTCAGTTTTTCTTTTTTTTTTGCAATTTCTTTCATTTTCGAATGTTATTCATCATGATAATCATTGATCATTTTCTCAGGAATGTTTCTGGAATTCCATTTTCATTCTTTCAGGGCCCCCGCAACGCCATTTCTCTTGAATGTGGTGAAATATTGGACGGATCGTCAGAGGTTTGTTTTTCATTTCGTATAATATTTACATTTTTGCAGGTTTCGGTTCATATTTTGTTGTTTTTGATAATAATGGTTTCACTTTGCAGTCCTAGTTTAGGTCTTATAAGAAAGGAATTCGAAAATACGTTTTTTTTTTTAAATTTTTCCGCCTTGATTTGTAAACAAAATGTCTCGTTTTTGAATTTTTAAAAACGGCACAAACATGCAAAAGATGAGAATTTCGAAGTTTAATCCTTCCAGAGTGAAAATCAAAAGTCGATCAAAAAAATGTTCTTTCGTTCATTTTAAAAAAATAAGAGCCCTTGAAAGGCTTTCTAAGTTCTCTTCATGTTGAATTTTATGATTTTTGTTTTTTTTTAATGAAAAAAATCTAAATAGCGCAGAGTCGATACAATATTAGAAGCTAGAAAATAGCAGAAAAAGCAGATTTTTCGGCGTTTTTTTGCAAATTTCTCTGGCCTTAAATATAATTTTTTGGTCATGGTAAGAAACGATCCAAACTCAAAAATCACGCAAAAATGTCGTTGAGCTTTTTTTCTCATCTTTAATTCTTCTGAAGTGCTTCCAAACTTCATTCATATTGACGGCTGTAGCTTATAAAATGGCTCTCAAAAAATTTATAAACTTTTGAAAATCCATTTTTTTTGAATCGAAAATGGCGACCCAAGATCGAGAATCTCTAGAAATGTCGTTGAGCTCCTTCTTTTCATTTTGAGTTCTTCATCGCAAACTTTATTCATCTTGACAGTTGAAACTTGGAAAAGGCGAATTCCGATTAAAAAACTACTAACAAGGGAGGTCATTTTACTTTGCGAGTGGGTGTTTCTTGAAAAGAACACTCCTTGATGCACCAGAAGAAGGTTCTGAATGTCGCAAGCGGCACAACTTCCTAGTTTTCGAGAGATAAAAGTCTAAACCCTCAAAGTAGCAAATTTTTCGGATTTTTAACGGGTTTCTTTGACTTTGAGGCGTCTTTTCTCAAAAACGAGGAAGTTGTGAAGGTTGAGACTTTCAGGATCTTCTTCTGGTGCATAAAGTAGCGTTCTGGCGAATTTGCACGAAATTCCCAAAAAAAAAAATAACTGAAAGTGTAATTTTCTTCCAGAGTAACGGTCCGAACTCGAAAACTCCGCAAAAATGTCGTTGGTCCATGTGCAGCGGTCTCCGTCGCCGTCGCTCGGCGATGAGAGCGAAATTTTGGTCCGTTTTTGATCAGATAAACATTTTTTATCTCGCTGAGTCCTCCATCATTTTCCTGCAGGATCTGGAATCCTCCCGATGTTCTTCTCGGAACAAAAGCATGTCTGAGTGCTATTTTGCCGTCAGAGGAGCCGCCGTCATCCTTCCCCACAGGTTCCTGTTTAAAACTTGTCTAGTCAAACTAATGATTTTTTTGAAGTATTGATTGAAATCATGTTTTTCTGGAATTCATAATTGAAAACTTGTTCGTTATTCTGTTCAAAAAGTCGACTAATTTAGGATTTATTGTTTATTGATTTTTTCGAAGTATTGATTGAAATTTTTTTTATGGATTTCATAACTGGACACTTGTTTGTTATTCTGTTCTAAAAGTCGATTTATTTAGAATTTATCGCTTTTTTGCCGAATTAATGATTTTTCTAAGTTTTATGTTGCTAATCCGAACTATTTCAGTCAAATTATTGATTTTCCTGAGTATTGATCGATTTTTTTTTCGATAACTTTTCTGAGAGTTTTTGATGACACAAAAACACAGGTTTAATACCCATTTTTGGCCAAATTATTGATTATTCTAATTTTTATGTTGCAAATCGATTGAAAGCCTGAGAAACTTTATAAATTTCTTCATTTTTTGCAAGTTAATCCGGATATTTCGAATCGAATTATTGACTTTTTGAAAAGTTTTGATCGAAATTTGTCTTATTTTGAAATTAACCAGTTAAAAATCTATGTGGATGATTTTTTTTTAACCCAAAAAAAGCGTACTATTTTTTTTGTCAAATCATTGATTTTCTTCGAAATAGTGTTACAATTCGAGTGAATGAGTTTGAAATTCAAAGATTAGCGATTTTTAATAATTTTGGGGCTTGGTTTTTACTCAGGAAAAAATAACCTATCCGTTTTTTTCCACAGATTTTATCACCTTCTTTGGTCAATATTTTGATTTTTCGGAGTATTGATCGAAAAAAAAAATGAAAAAGGGTCCTGACACGAATTTGAAAAAAGAAAGAGTGCCTGGTTGGTGGAGAGCGCAGAGTCCTTAGTCATTTATAAAACTTTCTAGAATAAGCTCAACAAGAAAAATTCTGCAAATAAGTCATAACATTATTGATTTTTGGTTCTCACTATATTTAAAACCTTGGAAACGGTAAATTGAGGTAAACGGTTTTTGAAATCCGCCGATTTTTCGGAATTTCATGGAGATTTTTAGCGAAAGCTCGCCGACTTGCTCGCATTCGGCGGCTGACGTCGAAATCGAGGGACATTTACAGGCGATGACGCGTCTTTTGAGGCCACATGACAGCATCACCATGGCCGTTCGTCTCCAAACTCAGGTTGGAATGGTCTTTTTTCAGGTGAAAATCGGTAAAAAATGAAGAAAAAAGAAGTTGAATCCTCCCAGGTGTTTCTTCGAGCTTTTCTGGATTTTTTAATCCACAAAGAAGTTTTTTAATGCAACACTCTAGCCCTTTTAGAGATTTTTCAAAGTTCGAACCTTTTTTTTCTGAAAAAAGCTCAGTTTACCGTTTCAAAAAAAAAGTGGTACTAGTTAAAAAATTTTTGCGTACTTCTGTCCGCACTCTGTTACAGATGGTCTGAATTTTTATATTTTTTTGAAATAATAATTTCGAGTTCTGAAATCTCTTTTTTCAATGTATGAAAAATGCATGGCTAATAGTTTTTCGAGAAAAAAATAAAAATGGAAAAAAAGAAGTTGAAATTTCTAGGTATTTCTTCGAAGTTCTCGGGATATTTTTAATTCAAAAAGAATTTTTTTTTCATGCAATACTCTAAACCTTTTTAGAGATTCTTCAAAGTTTGAACATTTTATTTTTCTGAATTAACTCAGTTTACCGTTACAAGAATTTCTGATTAGCTGAAAATTTGTGCGTACTCTTGCTTGTACGCTGAGGGACATTTCTGAATTTTTAATAAATTTTTAAATTATTTTTGAATTTTTTTGAAAGTTTTTTTCTTATACAAATTGTGTGGAAATTGGTTTTCGAGGTGAAAAAAATCGACAAAAAAATTTAGAAAAAAAGAAGTTGAAGCCTTCCAGGTGTTTTTTTAATATTTTTTTCTGGATTTTTCCTATCTAAAAAAAAATTTTTTTCAAGTTAAGATCAAATTTGAGAATTTTTGGCAATAATCCAGAGTTTTTTTAGAAATTTTTTTAAAGCTCAAATCATCTATCCCTTTAAAAAAAGCTCAATCTACGTTACAAAAAAAATTTAAATAAGTTCAAAATTAGTGCGTTCCTTCAATCATATGTGTTTGAAAAAAAACTATGAATTTTATATATTCGAAAGTTTTTTTGAAGATTCATTCAAAGTTAAACATTTTTTTCTAGTGATATAATTATCGCGGAATGAAACGAAAAAGGCCAAAAATCACTCAAGTGATCACTATATGGCTCGGAAGCCTGGAGCTTTTCCGCGCAGTTTATGAGTACCAATAAAAACTTTTATTCAATCAATTTTTCCAAGGCGAAATTATTACAGGAAAAATTACTTTAAGTTAAAAAGATCCCTCCAGGTAAACGAAAAGCTTGAAAAAAAGACTTTATTAATTTTTTTAATAGAAATTTTTTTCGATCTATCAGAGGAGCATAGAAAGTTTTTTTATCAGTTCAATTTTTTTGAAAAATTCTCCTCATTCAATGCGTCTAACAGATGCTTTATTACTGTAGACTTTTAAAATAGGGATTTTTTCGAAGTTTTATTATTCAATTAAGATTTTTTTGAAGTTATAAACTTAATTTTTGCCAATCAATATGCGATTTTTTCGAAATTAGAAAATGTCAACTTTTTTCATATCCATGTTTCTCTCAGGTTCTGGATCACGTGAGGTACTTGACGATCGTCAGCGCCTTCACGGAATCTGATGAAAAAAGAACTTTGCTCCTTGGAATGGACTACTATCATCAACAGATGACGTTGGAAATCTTCCCGAAACTTGGAAAAAAAAGATTTTTTGAAGGATCGGCGTGGTTCTGCCGCTGTTGTGGTGCAGCCGAGTTGAACTCGTCGGTGACGGCGGATTTGCAGTTCATGGGTCGGCCCAGTCTTGCAGCAAGGCCGATAATGCCCTTCTGTTCCGCCCGACCTCCGTCCAGGGCATGTGGTCCGTTTTTTTTTTGCTACAAAAAATATTGCTGTTCTTGAATCTCAAGTAATTCACTTCACCGTCAGTTGATATTTGAAAAAAACCACTGAAGCTACTTTCAATCCTTTTTTCGTCGAAATCTGCTCGCTAAAATCGTTTCAAGACAGCGGTGAACGAAATTTGAAAAAAATCATTATAATTCAAAAAAATTTAATTCGTTAAAAAGAAGCTGGCAAAAAAATAAACTTCGCGCATTAATAAAGACATAATAAAAAAATTTTTAAAAAAAATCATGAAAAAAATGCTTTCAAATTTAGTTAAATGGGCATAAGAATATGCTTTTTACCTAGTCTTTTTATTTACGAGTTTTGCAAATATCTTTATTTTTTCTTCCGGTTTTTCAAAGTATTTTGTTATAAATTTTCCTTTTTGTTGTTAGGAACCAAGATTTATTTCTTTCTTTTTTCAAATCTTCCAGTGAGAGAACGATTCATCTTTAATTTCAAAAGCTTTTTTCAAGTTTTGAATTTCGAAAATTTCTCAATAATCCGTTTCTGAATGAAATTTACTGTTTCAGGTTCGTTTTCCAATACCTCCACAAAGAACTAGCCAACACTAAAGTCTCGACGCCTCGATTAAAGGTAATAAAAAAAAATTTTCCATAAAATATATTTTTCAAAGGAGCCATCATCGGTGACGGAACACTACATGAGCAAAATCGTCTCGCCGTCTTTTTTGTGCGCTCAATGGTTCTTTTTTTTCAGATTTTATTATGCGTTTTATTTTTAGACTTTAATCCCGTCATCTCGATAAGTTTTTTTGGTGTTATAAATAACGAAAGCAGGGGGGTTTCTGTCATTTTCATAAGCTTTCGTGGTTTCAAACAGTAATAGGAGGGGGGGTTGAGATTTTATTCCTATCATTGAGATAGCTTTTGTTGTTTCAAACAGTGAGGTGTGGAGGGGGTTGAGACAGTAAAAGGAGGATTTTTTTCCACATTCATGACGTTTTTGCTTTGCGAACAGTGAAAAATGATGGGGGGCTGTTTTTTTCTAGATAATATCTTTTTTTGTACAATGGAAAAAGGAAATTTCGGATTTCTTTTTGTTTTTAAATGACCGATTGAAGTTTCTCTCTAGGATTTTTTTCAGTTAATTTTTCATCTTTTTTTGACATTTCTGAGAACCTTCTGACCCTTTGGTTTTCAGGCGATTTCTTCGATTTTTGCGGTTTTTTTTTGGATTTGTCAATTTTTTTAGCTTCATCTTTTTGGAAAAATTTGCTCGAAATCCGAATTTGCGAAAAGTTCCACAATCTTTTTTTATTCATCTTCTAGGTAACGTTTCGTAAAAAAATCTGAAAATAGTCATTTTTCAACGCATTTTTTTAAATTTTTTTAGTTTTTTAAATGATTTTTCATGTTTCGAATTCAAGATCACAACGTTTTTCCAGGCAACAGTCGCCTCTGGAAGAAGACGAGGATTACGGTCTTTCTGCGGATACTGTAAGAGATTACAGTGGCGGCGAGGGAATGGTGGTCAAAGTCGGTTCTGAATATCAATTTCCTGTTTTAAAACTTAAATTTGATGAAATTTGGAACACCGAGGCAATGGATTCTATATGAGACGTTCAAAAATCAAATCACCTCTCTATTTTCCATTTTTTCAAAGTTTCTTGGTCGCATTTGGAATGGCTAAACCTATCATATTATGAAAACAATTGACTGGGCTTTTTGAACTTTTTTTGTTTTCTTTTTACGCTACGCGCGAGTAGTTTTGAGGTCGGGCGCAAAAAGTTTGCAGAAATGATGAGTTTTGAGTTGGTCCTTATGAGTTATGGATTTTTTTCGAATTTTTCCTCGAATTTAAATAAAACGAATAGCAAACACTTTTATATCAATATCAAAAAAAAATGATCGATGGAAATTTTCCAAGAAAAGTTCGTAAACGTTACAGAAAGTTTTTAAAAAAATCTCTGAAACCAATGGAAATTTGCTTTCATCAGGCAAAGTACCAGGGTAGCGTGAAAATCTTGAAAAATGAGAAAAGAGACATTTTTTTCGTTAAGCCTAACTCCGAGGATTTCACAACCTTTTTTTCATAAAACTTGGACCGTTTCAAAGGAATTTTTATACAAAAAATAACATTTGACGCAAAGTTCTCATGAGATGTCAGTTTTGAAGAGCGGAAAAAAAAAGCAAACAAAGATTTTTAAAGAAAAAGAGGTTATCAAGTCTTTCCGACCTTCAACGATTTTATCATGTTCTCTGAAGCTTCCCGAAATATAGATCCAAAATTATCAGGAGAACGAGCTCCGACGAGAACTGCGGCAAATCATGCAAAGCGTCGATCTGAACGTCGTGACCAGCAGAGATCTCCGACAAGCCTTGTCGGAAAGGGTCGGCGGCGTCGGCGATGAATACAAGGTATTCAACGATGAATTTTTATTGGAAAGGTTCTTCAAAAAAACAGTTCTATAAAGTTTACACTAGAGAGCTGGTTCCAAAAGTTCCAGTTGTCCAAAAAACGTAAAAGTTTTATAAGATTGATAATTTGCCTCCTATAGATTATTACTTTTTTCTCTAAACAAATTCCCATTTTTTTCGTCCGTATTTTTATATTTTTTTGTCAATTCTGACTGCGAAAAAAATCAAAAACTGTTCAAGCAAATTATGCAATCTGAAAAATCTTTTTTTCAAAAAAATTAAGGATTGGAGAATTCAAAAAAACACGTTGCGAATTTGATAAGAAACTCTCCGAAAGTTTGAAAACGAATGTTTTTCCAAAAAAAAATTTTTAGTATTTATTGAAAAAAATTTCGAAATTTGTTACCGTTCCCCATCGAAAAAAATTGTTTTTCGGGCATCATTTTTCTTATAAATAAAAAAATTTTAAATTTTTTTCCAAAAGTCAATTATTTAAGATTTTCGATCTTATGAAATGGAAATTTTCAGATTTTTCCCGGCAAGGAAAACTAGAAAAAAATTGACTTCGCTACTTAAAAAAATAACAAATTTTTTTGAATTTTTTTCAAGAAGTTCTCACGAACTTTTCGATTGAATAAATGTTTAAAATTAGAATATTTTTGCTCTTTTGGCAGAAAAAAATTGAATTGAATGTTTGGGAAAATTCCAGAATCGCCCTCCACCCGGTTACAGCCCCCCACGTCCGAAAAAGCCCCCTACCAAGGCAAATTTGGGCTGGTGGGGGGCTAAATCAAATATGGGGGCTATACCTTATTCTAGAATCGCCCCCCACAGTGATAAGTGGGGGACGATTTTAGAATGCCTAGACAATCTTCAAGAATCGCCCCCCAACTTTGGAACCTTCGATTATTTTTATCAAAATTGTCAAAAAAATACAAAATATGTACTATATTATGGTTATTTTATCCAAAAAGACAAAAACAGAACCTATAAGTTTTATAAAAGCATAATACACGTCATATTTTAGTAATAACTACATGAAAAATGAAACAAATTAAACAGGAAAAGGTTAAAAATTTAATTGAAAAACGAAAAATTCCTAAATTAAAAATATGAAAAATCTGATCAAAAAAACGCGGCCTCCCTTCAAATCGTTTCGAGATCCATTAGCAAACTATTTAACCTACTGGTGGGGGGGCGGCTCGTTCGGACGGGCCTGTGGGGGGCTATTTCCTACACTAGCGGGGGGCCATTCTGGAATAATCCCGAATGTTTTTTTACAGGACTTTGTGGACCGGGAAATGCTGGTGATCCTCGGGCAAATGGAAAAACCCTCGGAAATATTCCCGTACCTTTTACTCGGCACCGAATGGAATGCCTCTAATTGGGACGAGCTCGAGAGCAACAAGTATCTTAATAATCTCCTAAAACGGAAAAAGAAATATTTTTAGCGTTGGCTTCATTTTGAACATGACGCGGGAGGTTGACAATTTCTTCCCCCAGGTCTTCAAGTACCAAAAGGTTTCTATTCTTCGATTTTTCGAAAAAACGATTTTTTATTTTTTGGAGAGTACGGTATGTTAAAGTCCGCAATTGGCGCGTTGCGTGTTTGCACAAATTTAGTGAACCGTTTCCACTTTTTTTTTTCAACTTTTGTTCTAAATTTTATCGAAATGCATAAAAAAATAATGGAAACAGTTTGATCAGATGGATTAGTTGTTTTTAATTTATTTGAAAAAAAAAATGTAAAATTTTGACTTGAAAATGGAAAAATCGCTTAGAATGTGCAAACACGCCGACGCCAAATGTGGACTTTCCGATACCGTAACCGTCGGGAATCGAAATAATCTCTCTTGTCGCAGCAAATTTTTTCACAAAAAAAGTCTTTTATTGAACTTTTTCGTTTTAAGGTTTGGGTGACCGACGAAGCCAACACCCAGCTTTTTGAATCACTGGAATATGACGTCGGCCTTCATCAGAGAAGCCAAGTTTGTTCATTTTTTTACTTGGACGAAAGTTTGAAAAAAATGTTAGGAAAATTCTATTTGTAATCAAGAAAAATCCTTAAATGAAGAAAAATTTTTTTAGAAAGTTTGAAAGTTTTACTCGAAAAACTCTTATTAATATTCGAATAATTTCAAAAAAATCCTTAAAGACGAAAAACGCTTAACAAAAAAATTAAAAATTTAAAATGGCTTCTCTCGTCGGCTTTTTATCGAATTTTTTCACTTTAGAACCTTTAAGAAATTTTTTTAACGCTTTCGAAAAATGTTATTAGTTTCTAGGATTCTCATTGATTCTTTTTCAGATATTGAAAATTATTTTTTTCAATCTGAAAAACACTGAAAACTTGTACTCGTACGAGATTATAATATTTCTTCATATTTATATATTTTTTTAATGGGAAAGTGAGGTAAGATTTTTAGAGAATTTCTTCTCTTAGTCCAGAAATCCAGAAAAATCGGGCTGATTCTGTTTTTCTTGATATTTACTTAACCTTCAGAATGGATTCATAATTCTTCTTGTAAAACGAGGAAACCCATTGAGTATCGTATCAGAACTTCAGAAAATCGGGCCGAGTATTCCATTTTTTTTGTTTCTCTTAAGCCCTGGTCTATCAATTTTTTTCCTTCAAAACTCGAGTAAAATCATAGATAATTGTGCCAAAATCCAGAAAATCGGGCCGAGTTTGCTTGGTGCACTGCAAGAAAGGCATCAGCCGGAGCTCTTCAACGGTGATCGCCTACGTGATGAAGGAGTACGGGTGGAGCCTCGACCAAGCGCTCGCCTACGTGAAAAAGCGGCGGAATTGCATTACGCCCAACAAGGTCGGATCGATGAAGCCTCGGTTTTCCGGCGGCCAACTTGTAGGCTTTCAGGGGTTCATCGAGCAGCTCAAAATGTACGCGGGAGCCCTGGAGGCGTCGCGCCACCGACACCAGTTCAACGGCAGGGCCCCGCGGGCGCAGTCCGTCTCCAGCGTCTGTAGAAACTCCCAGGCGACATCCCCGACCTCCCGCGACGCCTCCGCCGTCCGCTTCCTCGTTGATAACTTTGAGCGGCGCGGATCCTCCATCGAAACGTCCAGACATTCCTTCCCCATGGACATTATCAAACACAACCCCATCCAACAATTCAGTTAATTTGCGCCGGGTTCCCTTCACTTATCGCTTTTTTCTCTCGCATTTTCAATTGGTTTTCATTGTTGGCTTTGAAAAGGACGCTAGATTTTCCAAAATTGATCCATGAGGTTATCATTGAAAAAATTTTCAGAAAGTTCGAAAATAGGCTAAAATTTCCATGAGGTTAGCTTGGAAAATTAAGCTTCTAGAAAAATCTGTATAAAACGAAACTTTTTAGAGAAAGATGGCCTGAAGTTTCGAGTTAGTACACATGCTCCCGTGCGAAAACCCGCAAAAGAGCACATTTTGAGATTTTTTGGCCGAAAATTAGGACATTTTGAGCTCAAAAAAGTATTCCGAGCATTTTAAGCTAGCATATAAGCTTCTCTTTTATGCGCAGGAAAAAGAAAAACTTTCTTTGGCACAAGTTTACTTTTGATATTTTTTGTGGTCTTAGCTTTAAAAGCCTATCTGCGAAAGTTCTCAGTGGCTATATTAGGGTTTTGATTATTCAGTGGCCACTTGAGTGGCAAAAAGTTTCGTAGCCTCGTTAGAAAATTCAGGGGTACTGCCAAAACATCAGAAACCACTGTAGTGGCCACTAAGACGCAAAATGTTGACTTCTGAGGTGGTTAGTGGCCACTTTAGTGTCCTCTCCAAGTAGTCCACGAGAAACTCCTTAATTGGCCACTAGTTTTTTCCCAGCAGTTTCTTAAACAAAAAAGAAAAATTTTTCTCCTAAGTTGCAAATTTTTGGCAAATAAACTCTAAAAATTAATGAAAATAAGTCTGTTAATTTTTTCAAGCCAACGGTGACCACACTATCTCAAAACTCCATTTTCCTTGACTTCTCTTCTTTTAGTTTAATGGGTGAACTACGGGGATTCCTAATACTTCCTAGATTGCTAGATGATTCTTGTCACTATTCACTTTTCCTTTCCCAGGGGATAGCTCTTTTTTTTGATTTGCGTCTCAATTTTCACTTCAAAATATAATTCCTTGAAACAAACCTCACACAGAAACGATGTAAATATCCGTCACTTATAAATTATTGTTTGCTGAATAAGAAAGCCCGGATTTTTATGTGTAAGATAAAGCTGCACGTTAAGATTTTCTGAGAAATTTACTAAACTAAAAGAAAAAAAAAGGGTTGTGCGTAATATATACATCTGTATTGACATGAGAGATTCGCAATATATTTTTCCAAGTGAACAAGTTAGGATTTTATTTTTGGCCGAAAGGTTCATTTTTTGATCGTCGTTTTTGACTGGAATGGAATGTGATGGCTTGGTACCCAGGAATAATTAAAAAAGACTAGAAGATGTACAAAAATGCGAGGAGATACTTAAGTGGAATTCGGATCACATTTGGGGGAATGTATTCTTGTTGAACTGGATCATCTCGTTGTTGGCCCGTAGGACTTTCGGGGGCTCTTCGGGCCGTACGTCCTGCGCTGTTTTGACCTCCCGGCCCCGTTCTATCGTCATTACCAGCGGGTTTGCGCTGATTTGAAGGCCTAAATTTATTTATTTTTGTTTGTTTTTTTTTCATTTATTCATTATTTTTTTAAGGAAAGAGTTGAGTGGCAAAATCAGGAAGTTTCTGTTTTCGTGTCTTTTTCGGGCGTTTTTGGAAGATTGGCCTCAAAATTATTAGTAATACGTGGAGAAAATTCGCTCTACGGATAATTTTGAAAGTTTGAAGGCCTTTTTTTTCGAAAATGTTAGGAAAAATGCCTCGATATTATTGATAACAAGAGGAAATGCGCTCTACGGCTAAAATTAGAAATTTGAAGATTTTTTTCTCAACAAATTCGTGTTTGAAAACAGATAATGCTTTGTTTTAGTTCAAAAGAACAGAAATTTCGAAAAATCATTATATTTATTTTCATTTTTCTCACCTTCCCCATTGTGTTCCGAAACGCTCGACATGGTAAGTGTGCGGCTGATTTCTCGTAATCGGATCGCTAACGATTCCGCTTTTTCAGGGGCCAGCCCTTTGGACAGATCTCGCGCACAGTTTTCTAGAAGTCGTAATATTTATTCTTTTTTTTCTGGAAATCAATTCACCGATTGCTCTGGCGGCTTCCGAACACACCAAATCCCGTTCATTGAGTCGCGTTTGGAGGCAAGAAACTTGCTCTTCCATCAGTTGGATTTCCTAGAAATCGAACGGGAGTTTTGAGATGTTTTGAACATTTTGAGGAACATCAGAGTGTTCCCTAGAGTGAAAGCCTTTAAGGCTCTCGTAGGGGCGATCGAGCTTGCAAAGTGGCCACTTTAGGAGACAATCCCTGTGATCTCTACGTCTTTATAACTTTCAAATCATAACAAAAATGAAAGACCATTATAAGGACCTCTTAACCTTGCGGGTGTAGAGGTCAGACCCTAAACACCTATAGGGAGCACTATGTTGTTCACTATAGGTTCTTTTTTCGCCTAACCCCTCTAGGGACCACTCTGGCGTTTCTGAGTTCTCATCTAATTTTAAATTCATTTTCAGCTTTCGAAACATGATTGTTATCGAAAACATAGCGCTTGATAATTCTGAAGAATCGTTTTTAGGAGTTTTGTGAAACGTATACATTACATCTTTGTTCATTTTGAACAAATCTGCAGCGGAAAAATAATCTTTTAAAAAACGTGAGATGAAAATTCAGCTCAATTTTTTTGGAAATGTATGAAGAGTTAAGTCACCTTTTTGAAGAAATATTCATTTTTTTTCTTGCCAATCCTAACGCCGCATCTCCAACAGAAAAAAAGCAAGGACTATAGGAAAAATGAAAAAGTTTTTGAGTCCAAAAAAACTAGCAAGATAGTAGGGATGCTCAATTTTTGTTCGAACTAAACATTATTTTCTGAAAAAGCTTGTATTTTTTCATACCACCAACCTTTCCCCAAGCGTCAGACTTTGGAACGACAACTTCTTTCGTGGAAACTTTCAGATTAGGTTTATTTCGACGGCTACTCAAAGGTGTCGATGGAACGGAGGCTGAAAAATCCTTTTTTTCATTTTTCGTGATGAAACGAACCCGAATTGGAGCGATCCCTTATCGTATTCTTCACTTTGGCGAAAACCGAGGCATTTCCAACGGGTCTCGCCAAAACGGTAGGCGGCGAATCTTCCACATTTCTCCTCAAGAGGTGCTGAAATAATCGATTTTTTCATTTTTCTTCTCTTTTTTATTTTTACCCCGCGAGTTTCAAGATTCGGATGATTTTTGCCAGCGACCGTCAGATGCGAAAAATTGTTCTCGCCCATGTTGGGACGCGCGATTTTCTGGAAAAAATTGATTTTTCAATTTTCAAGCTTTGTTTGGAATAATTTTGGCGGTTTGGAGTTTTCGTTCCGAGATTACGCGAAACAAGCATTCCGGGGGAAAAAGTGGGTCCTACAGCGAAATAACAAAAATAAAAAATTCGGATGTATTTTAGGATTTTTCAGAAAATTTTCGGATCTCCTTGTAGGTTACAATTTCTTTTTAAGGCTACCCAAAATGCTGATTTCACGTTATTTGTGTAATGATTTTAGAACGAAAAAAAGGGGTTAATGAAAAAAAACCACTTGTAATTTTTTTGCTGGCTCGATTTTCGCAGCTTTTTTTCCAAATACCCGAAAAAAACGAAAATTAAGAAATCGCCAAAATTAATTTAAACACTTTAAATATTCAAACTTTTGGATTCCGATAATGCCTAGCGAGTTGTACGAAAGAATCCATGTCGGCGATCGGCGGATAACGCATCAAATACTGCAAACAGCCGCCATAATCCGATGGAAGTACTGAATAATCTCATTTTTTATCGAGGAGACAAAATTTTTCTTCGGAAAAATTGTGTTGGAATTTTTGGAGAAAAAAACCAGAAATCTGTTCAAAATGACAGAAATTGATTATTTTCTATGAAATTAATAGAAAAAGTGGGTTTTTACGGCGTATCGACTGTCAGGATTTCGCAAATTCTCAACGTATTTTATCCTATATTCCGCGAAATTTATCATTATAGTGAACTTTTTCTGGACTCTGATTCTTTTTTTGAATGAAAATTCCGAGAGCATAACTAAAAAATCAACTTCCGTAATAAAATTCAAAGCTTTAACAAACTTTATGTCTTAAAGAAACATCATTTTATCTAAACTTTAACTCCGAAAATCTTCAAAACATACACAAATGCCGAATTTGAACAAGCATCGAGACGAAAATACACTGAACAAGTGGCGCCATTGGACGATCGGCCAATAAAACGTCCCACAAGTACAGAAGGTCGTTCAGTGGCAATTCTCGTCCGAATAAAAGCCTCAGCCAGCGACTAAAAGGTTCATTTAACAATAAGTGAGACATTTTTCGAGTAAAACCTACATTCCATAAAGTTGGGGCGGGATGTCTAGAGACTTCAAGTGCCTGGACAAAGTTGGATCGATCTCTTCCAGTAATTTTCCGATGGAATTGAGGTCGGACATCAAACGGCTTGTGGGAGCGGCGTCTTGTAGTCTTAAAAATCAAAAATTCTTCACATTTTTTTAAAAAAATCTACCGCATGTATGGATTTTCATTTCTTGGTACAGGGGAATGACCAGAATCTTCGTACCATTTCACAATATCCAGCATCAATTCGGAAAAGACGTTACTTCAAAAGAAAAACAATTGATAAATAACCCAAATGAGAAAAACTTACTAGCAATCGTGCTCGAGGTATTCTTTGGAAAAGAGAAAGCGCAGAATTCGTTCCTCAGAAGAGGTTAGAGAACTAAAATTCGAGCTTTTTTCCAAACTAAGAATAAAATGAAACCTGGTTTCGCCTCTTTCCAAAGAGTGCTCAAAAGCCTCCAAATCGGAAAAGATCACGAACATAATCGGGGCCAATATTTCGTGCATTCCCTAGAAAAAGAAAATTATGCTTGGAAAATAACTAAAATTGCTTACTTGCTTGTACATCACAAAACTATTTTCTTTGGCATAGATCAGCAGAATATCGGACATCATCTTCCTGATATGTGCGGATTGGAAGAATTCGATTTCAGGAAAACTTGAAAAAGAAAGCTAGAATTTTAAAAAGAGTAAAATTACGTTCGGCTGACATCTTTTGAAATTATGTCCCGTAGATCGCTGTCAGCAAAGTATTTGTGCCAAGGATTCTGAAAATTAAAATACTTTGTTGAACTTTGAGCAGAAGAAACCTGCTCAATTGGAGCCAAAGGATTGTTGAGCTGAGGATCTTGCGAGAAACGCTCATCATGCGGGTCGGTTATATTTTTCTTTTTCAAACCACCATAAGATTGCCGATTTCGCAGAAGAACCGATTCCCATTCTGATTGGTCATAAGGTAAGCAGCGTAAGAGAATCTTAAATTTACTTTAAATGTTTTGAAAGTAAAAGAAAATTCTCACTCTCCAAACAACGGAGCGGCAAGATGACGCGCGAAGAGAGCCACTCACGCAAAACTTGAAAAGTAACTCATTAGACAGTTTTGTCTTGACCAGCGAGACAGCATCTAGACTGAAAACTCAAAGATTTATTCAAACTATGAGAAAAAACAACTTTTACCAGAGATCCTTTGCGTTGAAACTGTTGCTGGCAGAACCGTGTACAGGTAGCATTATAAAATCATCTGAAATCTTTAAATATGATTGTTTCGAAGATAATAACAAATGTGGAAATTGAGATTATTGAATATAATTTTTTTAATTGAAAAAGTTCATTTTTGAGCTGTGTAAAAATCTATGTCTCTTCGTTGCGATGCCATTTCCTCTAGTCGCCAGAGACGGCTGAGTATTCAACGTTCATCACACTGCGACCTCGGCCACTGCTGGATTTTTTTCTTTTTCTTTTTATATAAATTTTTTTATTATTTTTTTGTTTAAAAATTAACTTTATTCTTATATTTGCTTTGTTATTATCTTCAATATCGATGAATCAACTTTTTTTCGATCCAAAAAAAATTTTCCTGTAACTTTTATTGAATTATTTTCTTTGTCAACCTTTTTTTTATTATTGCTCATATACAATTCTTTAGATTATTGAGACTTCAAAATTTTTGTTTTGATTCTTTTTTTAAATTGAAATGATGCGTTAATTACACAGTATTTTTCACATTTAGTCGCCATAAATGAGTTGTTTTTCATTGAGAAATTTTTATTGTTACTCGACAAAAAGTATAAAATTGCGCTCCGAATAAATTTAAAACCTTTGAACCGTTTCTCCCAATTTTCTTCAAGATTTTTCTGCGTCTAAAAATTTTCGGAAAATTTTCAGGCTTACATTTTTCTTGTTTTCTGGCGATTTCACATATTCTAATCCCCTTGACCTCTTGGAAAGCCTTCAATCTTTTCAGGATTTTTCGATTAACCTCTTCTAAACATGATTATGAGATTTGACTGTTCTTAGTTTTAATTTATTATTCTACTAAACTCTTTTTCTGCACGAAAAATCGTTGTAGAAAAGTTTCATAAAGATTTATATCGTGCCATTGTTTTTTGAATTTTTTTTTTCTTTGCGCACCTTTGTCCACGCTCCTTTGATTTGATTGTTTTTTTATGACCTTCTAATGATTCATTTTCCAGGTAATGTCGGGCGGATTTGCTCCGTTGGCCCTCTCTGAGGAAGATGTTATGAAGCTTCTCGCCACCAATGCCCATTTGGGATCTGGAAACGTCGACTTCCAGATGCAACAATACGTCTACAAGCGTCGTTTTGATGGTTAGTTTTCATTTTTGAAACAAAAATTCATTTTTTTTCTTTTCTTAGGACCCAACATCATCAACATCAAGAAGACGTGGGAGAAGCTTCTCCTGGCCGCTAGAGCCATCGCTGCTGTTGAGAACCCAGCTGATGTTGTCGTTGTTTCGGCTCGCCCATATGCTCAGCGCGCTCTCCTCAAGTTCGCTGCTCATACCGGAGCTACCGCTATCTTCGGACGATTCTCTCCTGGTTGCTTGACTAACCAGATCCAGAAGTCGTTCAAGGAACCCAGACTTTTGATCATCTCTGATCCTCGTATTGACCACCAGGTTGGTGAAGTTTTTTTGTTTTTTACTTCATTTTCTTGTTGAAAAGTTCGCTCAATTTTTTACTTGATAATGTTTTGCCGATTTTTCTATGTTTAGAGATGAAACATGAACATTTCTATAATTTTTTACCTGTTAATTTTCATGAGGATCACTCGATTTAATCACCGATTACGAGCCTTCTGATTATAGTTTATCGCTTGTTGCGATCATTTTCCGGGTTGAAAGATTCTTCAAAATCGTTACTTTTTGAAAACTTAAGGGCCAAATGCTTGGCTTTTCCGAAGTTTCTTTGTGCGTTTTTCAATTTTTGAATTCATTTTGAAATTAATTGAAGCGGTTCAGCAAAAAGTAGTCTCGTGTTTGAAGGGATTCCGCAAAATCAAAGACAGCCGTCAAAAAAAAAAAATGAAAAGACAACTTAATTTTTTTGCGAGACTCTTTGAACACGGAATTGAAAAGGAGCGACTCTTCTTGATAATTATTGAGCTTTAATGCCTTTTTCAAAGTGGTTTCCGCGAAATTCAAGATTGTCTCTCTGGCGTGTTCATCGGAGAAACGGAACATGTTTCAAAACGAAAAATCGTGTTCATCAGAACGCCAAAGCTCCAAAATAGTGCTAATTTTTGTTTTGGAGAATTTTTTTTGCATTTTGAAGCAATTTTTAATTTGTGCGATGAACACGCAACTGACTATTGAAAATGTAGTTGTATTTTACTTTTTCTGATGGCTTTTTTGTATTTCGCGTAACCACTTTGAACACCACATAAAATAGAAGACACCTTGAATGCGCCCGAAATTCTTTTCAAAAACATAGTTTTCAATAGCTAAAATGAAGTTGGGCTTCAATAGCGCTTTCTTTCAAAACTATTAGGTTGGTCCGATAAAAATGATATTTGAGTTTCATGGTTTGAAACTTATTCAAAAGAGAGGATTTGAGGAGACAATCAATCTCCGCGTGGAAAAGTCGAATTGAAAATAGTTTTTCGTAAAAATGTAACAATGTTTTTAATGAAATGAACTACCAACAAGAACGCTTATTTCCTACCGGCCAACCGAAGATAATGAGAAAACGAGTTTTTTTATGTAATTAACAAAAAAAATAAAAAAACATTTTTATTTTTTTATAAATTTATATAACTTCTTGCAGGTCGTCACTGAGGCTTCGTACGTCAACGTTCCAGTGATTGCTTTCTGCAACACTGAATCGCCACTGAAGCTCATCGACATCGCCATCCCATGCAACAACAAGGTTTCGTTGTGGTTCACAGGCTTTGCATGGATATCCAACTTTTTAGGGAGAGAAATCCATCGGACTTATGTGGTGGCTTCTTGCTCGCGAGGTTTTGATCCTCAAGGGCAAGATCTCTCGCCAAACCGGATTCGTTCTCGACGGAAAGGAGATCATGCCTGACTTGTACTTCTACCGCGACCCTCAGGACACCGAGAAGGAGGAAGCTGCTGCCATCGAAGCCAACGAGCCTTCTGAGTTCCAACCTGTGCCAAACGAGATCGACTTCTCTCAAGCTGCTGAGGTCAAGGATTGGGCCGCTGAGTCTGCTAACTGGAATGCTAATGTCAAGTCTGATGGAGCGCAAGATTGGGCTGCCCCACCCACTGCTGCTAAATGGTAAATGTTAAAAGTTTTTGTTGATTTGGTTGTAAGCCAATAAATTTTGTTATTATTCGTGGAATGTTCTTTTTCACATGTTACACCTCAATCATATACTGTTGCAATAAACGCTAAGTGGAAATCGGAATTTTTGAAGAAATATGGCCATGCGGGCTCCCTCCGACAAGGTTGTTCTGTTAACGTGAAATTTAGTTCAAAAATTTATATTGAAGCGTGTGCCGGAAGCTTTGAGGCGGTATCCGTTGGAGGATTTCCCGAACTGGAACATTGCATATGGAGAAAAGTGATTGTAAATCCACATTTGGTGTGATTTTGTCTGACCAGATATCATGTCGCGGCACCTGTTGATAAACTTCTTGGCGATTGGGCTTTTCATTTGCGATCGCACATAACGTCGTTGATCCTCGCCGGCAATCCTGCGATTTCATTTTTACAGGTAATTGGGAAGAATTGTTCACAAAAATTCGCACTCAAATAAGTTGGGGTCATTATAAACTTATTCCCAGTGCAAGTCTGAAAATTGGAAAAAAATTTTTGATCAAAGGGTTCATTTGGAATATTCACACCTTTTTGAAACGTGAAAAGCGATTTTATGCACCAAAATGACTGGCTTGAGAAATCCCTAAAGTGAACACTCCATTCATTTGTTTTCAGCGCTCAGAAATTTTCTCGTTTTCACGGCTAGCTTGGGATATCAATGTCTGGATCTATACCAATAAAAGGCTATTTTAATCATTCTCTCAAATTTCTTCAATTTCGAGATAACGTCTAAAATCAGCCGTGAATAAGCAAATAAAGCAGAGGGAAACAAAACTTTTTTTTTCACTTAGCCAGTTGCTTTTTTCTGCTTACCAAGAGACACGTTGTATGAATTTCTCGCTTCTGCTGCCGTTAAACTCGCCGCGAAATCCATTGTCCCTTTTGTTTTTTAGAGTTTTCGGTCGCCGGCTCTCACGAAAATCGCATTTCTGTTCAGTTTCCTCGGCCTCGAAGAGTTCTTCACGCTCCTGATTGTCGCCCAGGCGAGTCACTGTTTTTATGATTTTATTTTTGAGGTATTCCGAAATTTTGACGGGTTGATAAGTGTATTGATTGATTTTTTTTTGTTGTTTTTCGATTTGGTTTTTAAAAAGTGAATTTTTGAAGTATTTGAACCTAATTTAATTTTAGAAATGATTCCGAGAAAATCAAAAAAGCCGTCAAATAAAGAAAAATACAGCTAGATTTTTGAGAGTCAGAGATAATTTGGAATTTCGATTTTTTTGGGTCAAAAAAAAATAATTTTTGAATTTTTTTCTTACCAAGCTTCTAATGTAACATTTGGTTGAGTAGAAAATTTCCATTTTGAGAGAAACAAATTAATTTTAACACTTCAAAAAGCCTTCTAAAAAAATGAAAAAAGAACTAAGTTGATTTTTAATCCATGGGTACGTTCATTTTATCGTTTCTGCCGTGTTCCAAATGATTTTTTTCGAAGTTTTTAAAAAGCGTGAAAAAAAGATAACTAAATTTTTAGAGAGACAGAGATAATTTTAATTCTTGCGAAAGTTACTTTCAACACGTCACAGCTTTTGACGTGAAACATGAATAATGAGAAAATGTCCAATTTTGTTTTTGTGAGGTAAAAATTCATTTTACCACTTCAAAAAATCTATAAACCGTGAAAAGAAAGCTTCAAGTTGATTTTCATTTGTTTATCGAATCGTTCAAATTTTTGTTTCCTTCTTTTCTTTTTAATCAATTTATTCGGCAGAAGTTACTGATTTTTTCCAAACTTGTTCAGTATTTTTATAACGAAGTAAAAAAAGTTGTGAAATATTTACCCATCCGTGAGTCATGTTGTAAAGTGCAAGAAAGCACTTAAATATCACACTTTTACCCATTTCTATAGCTTTTATCTTGGTTCCATTTTTCTTTCTCTCTGAGAAATGATGAAAATTTTTTCCAAATCCATTTTCTTCAATTTTTCCCCTTTTTTGATTTTTCCAATAAAAAAAAAAGACCGTCTGACTTCAAAATCTCTCATTTTGGAGTGATATTACTAATCCTTCCATGAACCTGAATAAGTATTGTCTCGGGCCAGTCGCAATAGAATATTATCGAAATTTCAAGATTGATCTTTAGTTTTTGGTCAAAATTTGGTCTCTAATCGATTTTGAGCGTGTTCCTAGCTCATAAAGTTGATTAAAAAAAAAACAAGATAACTGATTTGAGTTTTTGGAATAATCGGAATACTTTTTTGTCTGTAGTTTGATCACAACTGGCTTGAGTCAATATTTGATGATGGTCTTCCCACGATTAGAGAAAGAGTGCATGAAAAGAAGAGGTTCAGACGTCTCTGTAGTATTTTTGGTTGCAGGGTGGGGTTAATGAAGTCTGATTTTTTAATACTTAACTTTAAAATAACTTATTTTCAAATTATTGAGGGAAACTCCAATTTCGCATTCATCATTTCATCTCATTTTATCAAAGTAAGAATTTTTTTTTTTTGAAGAAATCGAAATTTAATTTTTCCTTCTTTTAATTTTCACGATTTTCGAAGTGCCCAAAGTCTCTGAAGTTTGATTTTGACTTATTCATGGGTGTCCTCTTTAAAAGCTCTTTTTCAAATCATGATTAATTTTAAAAAATAATATTTGGAAAAATCCCATAACTCAGTGATTTCATTTGCTTAAATCAGTGATTTTTTTAAAATCTTCATTTAGAAAAATTTCCACAAAAGATTTCTTAGGCTATGAAGTTGTGAAAAAAATGATTAAATAACTTTTTCTATTATTCTGTAGGTATGGCTATTCGACGCCCAGTTGGGACGGCTTCTTTCCGTGCTCCTTTCACTGGGCTTCTTCATTTCCGGAAGCTTGAAGGTTTTTTTTCATCTATGAAAAATCAAAGAAGTTAACATCGAGATAGTAATATTTATTGGGAAAAGGCGAATTATTGGGCGAAACGTGAGACAAAGACTGCGGAACGTGGAGGGCAGGGACAGTAGGCGGCGTCGTTTCCTGAAAAGAAAAATAACGATTTTCGACTTTTTTGGGTCTCTAAGATTTGGAATATGGTCTTGAAGAGAACCTGCGAAATAGTGGGTGAAATGAAGAGTTTTATACAGTACTTCTGCAGTGAAGGGCTTTTATTTCCTTTTTTAACTTTCTTGTTTTCAAATTGATGATGATCTTTGGCTTTTTTGAGTCACTAGGATTGAAAGATCTTCGAAAAATGGTCTTGAAGAGAACCGGAGAAACAGTGTGTGAAAAGGAGAGAGTAATACAGTACCTTGTGTGTTTTCTTTTTCCAAAGCTTCTATGGAAAGTACGTTTTTTTCATTTTTGACTTTGAAAAAAAGATATTCTCACCTGGTAGTCCAGGTCCGCCAGCCGTTCCAGCTTCTCCGTCCTTTCCTGGGCTTCCGGGCTGACCGTCCTGTCCAGAAGGACCTTGTGGTCCTGGCGCCCCGTCTTCTCCCTTATTTCCAGCCGGTCCGGCAGGACCAGGTGGTCCTGCGTTTCCAGCCGGACCCGGCGGTCCCGGCTCTCCTTTGCCTTTCTGGCCGTCTTTTCCAGGCGCTCCTGGCTCTCCATCAGGTCCTGGCGTTCCAGGTGTGCCGGCGTCTCCGGCAGGACCGCCGGGTCCTGGTTCGCCGTCTTTTCCAGGACTTCCAGGGCCTCCGGGCTGGCCATCTGGTCCTGGCGGGCCTTCCGGTCCGGCTGGCCCGTCTGGTCCTGGAGCTCCGGCGGGACATTTGACGCAAGACGTGTCTTTTGGAGGACATGTGAGTGGAGCATAGGTGGCTTGGTTGTCGTCTCCTGGCGGTCCCGGTGGTCCAACTTGTCCTGAATTTCGGAAAGTCATGAAGTGTAGGTTGGAAGGAAATGTTTTAGGATGGGTTTTGGTTGTAGAAATTTCAGTTTTTTGATTTTTCTGGTAGAAAAGAAGCGAAGGAAGAGGTAAATCAACAAAAAGTTTCGTAAACTTTTTCCGCAGTACTCGGAAAATTTTCAGCGGGCTCTTCAGGGTTTCAAAGTATCAGTGGCCACTTTAGCAGTTCAAGTCGACCTACCATACCACAAAAAAACCACTATAGTGGCCACTGTGACGTAAAATAGTGGCTTCTATAGAGGTGGTTTGAGTGGCCAATTCAGTGTCCTCCTCAAATACTTCTTGAGAAACCACTTAAGGGGCCGCTAGGGTTTTCTTAATAAAGTGCACATTTTTTCGAACTTTGCTCATTCTGGTCCACTTGAAAACTTCTATTGAGAGTTACCTGAAGGTCAGACTTTCTTCCAATTTGTTTACCCTTTTTTCTCGAGTTTCGAAATGGAACTGACTCAACATGCGTGTAGAATTGGAAAAAGTAAACAGTTTTTTCACTTTTTCTAAAAATGGAAGTTACCACGGTATATCGGATCTCAGAAAGAAGCTAGATAGAAGTCGAAAGTTGAGAGGCTCGAGAAACAATTTTTTGACGCCACTTTCGACGGTTGGAGATCCTAACAGTCAGTTTTTTCATCAAAAATTTCATATTTTACGAGCAAAACACATTTCAAAACATTTTGAACGTATGCTGCCTCTAACACTACTTAAAACGGACGAACCTGGAGTTCCTGGCTCTCCAGGCGGTCCCGGTGGTCCCGGAGGACAGGCCGGCTTGGTCGGTTCGCACTGACACCAGGCCGGCAATCCGGAGAAGTCCTGACGTTTTTGACGGAAGATGCTGTTGAAGGGATTCTGACGGGGCTTGCTCGGCGGCGTCACGGAGATCTGGATCGACATCATTTCGGTCCAGGCCGAGTCGGTCTCCACACGGAAGACGGAGACTCCGTCGAGAACTTCGTCGTGGACCTGGAGATGTGGTTTTAGAATTATTTACTGGTTTGAAATTGGTCTCATTTGACTTTTATTTGAGAGGGGTCAAATTTCTTATGACTTGTTAGGAGAAATAATAAAAAATAGCTGGAAGAGGGAATTTTTCGAGTTTCAGAATCCTTACGAGAAGGACTAAATGAGTTCGAGGAATTTTTCAGGATCTTTGAAAGTATTTAAAAATAATTTTAAGACAGTTAGGATAGAAAACGCTGGAGTAAGAGTCGAATAATGCGCTCAGGTATCAAAAAAATTTTTCTGATGGGAAAAAGTAATTTCTCTGAAAGTGATTCATTGAGCAGAAGTCAAAAAAATTTCTTTTACCGAATGGTTTTTAAAGATTTTTGGGATTTTTAAAGAATATTTGGGACTTTTCAAGGCTCAGAAGTCTTACGTTACCTTAAACAAAACGAGAAACATTTTTCCCTTCGAAAAACTTTTTTGAAGTTTCCTATGGTCCTTTGAACACAGAAACGATGTTTTGGAGAGGCTACTCAATTGTCAGAAAAGAAAACGAAAAAAAGTCGGAAAAATCAACAGAATGACAACCAGCTTGTATGAACTTGAAAAAAAATGTGAGCAGTAGGAAATCTTAAAAAGAGTTGTAGAGAAAAAGAGAAGTGTCGTAGTTTTTGAATTCGACAAGGGATTTGTTAGGAACAAACCTCGTTAATAGTGCTGTAGAGCTGAGGAATGACGACGAGGCAGGCGACGACGGCGAGCGTCGAAGCCGCCGAAGCGACGCCGACCAACATCTTCTCCATGATTCTACTGTTTCGAATCGAATCTTCCCTGAAATCCCCCAAAAACGTCCTTTTATATTTGAAGCCTCCTGAATTCGTGGGCGGCGTCGACCCGCCCACATTTCGCTTCTGGCCTTCAGCCAAACTGGATTCGTCGGGTTACTGTTGCGTCAGAGTGGAGTTTCATAATTGACGCGGGAAAAAAAAAAGTTGCGTGGTTTTTCTTGACTATTTTGGGAAGAAAATAGAGTTGGAAAAAAAATGGGAGAAACGTTTTAAAAAAAAGTATAACTTTAGTAGAAAAATAGGAGTGTTTTCGAAAAGGTTTTTACAAAATTTTGGGAGGAATGGCTTGAAGAAATGGATATTGTTTCGATTTAGGACTTAAAAAGTGGAAATTTAAGTATTCATGCCCCATTCAACAAGTTGGAACTGTCAAAAAAATAATAATGAGTTTTTCAAAGTTCGAAAAGGAGATTGAAATATGCAGAACTTAATTTGGTAGCTTATTGGGATATTTTTCTGTCTTTTTTTGGGTGTAGATTTTTTTTCGATCTTGTGTAAATCGAATGAAGTTTAAAAAAATTCAGAATTTTTTTAGGAATCTTTTCTGTTAATAATGTTCAAACTAGAGCGGTGGAATGAAAATTTTGGAAAAAAAAAGATATAGTCCATCCGCCGCAACTTGACAGTTTTCGCGTGTCTGCGTCTCTCTGTTCTCTCACCGGCAAGGTCAGAGAAACATGGAAATAGCACGTAAACATGAGAGGGCGCAGAGAAGTCCCGTGCTTTCAAGTTGCAAAAAACGGACTATAAAAGTTCTGTTCGCTTGAAATTCAACTCCTTTTTTCAAATTTCGAAGCCTGAAAATTGAGTTTTCATAGTTTTTTCGAGACAAATCCATCTCTTCCATCATAAATCCCACTTTTCCTTCCAAAAATGAATCCATAAACGGCACCTCAAACCGATATAAACGAGTAAAAGTGATTGAAAAGCGGTTCACTTTGAGGCTTGTCAAGCTTTTGCTGACGTATGTCCTCCTGTCCCTAACCGCATAATTCACCGGATTCGTCGACAAAAAAGAGAGAGAGAAACACGCAAGGACGAGTGCATCGTACCTTCTATGGTAATTAGCGCTGTTTGGGTTGAGGCGAAAAAGAAGAAGAAGTCGTCCGACGACCGGGGGCCGCTAATGGCTGTGCTTGACTTGCTTCGGACGGACACCTGCCCGAGTGAGGAATGCTGTCGCAACTTGTGGTCATGTTTTTCTTCTTGGTGGTTTTTGGGAAGAGTTGAGGCAAGTAATGTCGGAATAAATCACTTTTCAACGAGCATACGTGTGTAGAAAGGAGGTTAGAAATATATTTAAAATAACCTTATAAGGAAGGTCATTTCACTTCTCGGTTCCTTCAAGGTTGGCAAAAATACTCCTTGATTCACTAAACGAAAATTCTGAAAGTCTCAAAATGCCCAACTTCCTATTTTTCGAGAAATGAGGACCACAAAAAAACTTTTTTCCCCCATGACCCCTATAGTGAGCCCTCTGGCGTTCCTGAATAAGCCATAACTTGCAAGGAAGGTTACTTTGCGATTGGGAGTTTCGTAAATGCTATTCAGAACACTCCTTGATTGACCAGATGTGAATCCTGGAAGTCTCAACCTGCACAATTTCTAGTTTTCGAGAGAGAATATCTCAAATTCGAAGAAAACTCTCAAAGCCCAAAATTAGCCTATTTTAACGGCCGTGAGGGTTTTCTTCGACTTTGATATATTTTTTCTCAAAAACTAGAAATTGTGCAGGTAGATACTTTCCGGATTTCCATCTGGATCATCAAAAAGTGTTCTGATGAGCTTTTTAGAAAGTTCCTTTTCAGTTATGGCTGGTATTGGGGTTAGATAAAAAAGCCCTTTTAATGGACAAAACATTGCTCCCTAGAAAACAGGTCCCTATAGGATTTTTTTGTCTTACCTTCAAGTCTCTAAAGCTTAAGTAGTTCTTACAGTCGTCTTTTTATTTCTTTTTCTGACTTGAAAGTTTTTTTTTTTCATTTTGCAAGTCTTTATAGGGGGAGGTAAGGTAGATGAGCCCCTAAAGTCGCCACTCTAGAAACCACCCGCCCCCCAGTTGGAAATTGTCCAAACGGCTTGAAAAAAAGTGACCCATCATCAACACTTTTCTTTTTGTTTTGCCATCCTCTTGGCAAATCGCCGAAAAAGTAATCGGATTGGTATTGGCAGCCGTTGAACTGGTTCCGAGGCGTATTGTGTTAAATGTCATTATCTCGAGGAAATCTGTAGTGCGACCAGATGATCCACTCAGAAGATCTGCAAAAATATCGTCAAGTAGTCCGCGAAACGAATGTTTTTGTTGTAATTGGCTTGGTGGGAAAGAAAAGAAATCGGACGCCTTTTTGTTGTTTTTAATGGATATGGGAATGGTTAGTAAGCGGGCGTCGAGGCGGTTGATGAATTCAGGGAAAAAATATTGAATTAAAAAAGGCGAGACGAAAGCGGGGTAACCTGCGGTACATTGGCGATATCGCAAAAGTGCTGCATTTTTCGTCTTGAGTTTTCCATGGCGCGATATCGCATTTCGAAAGTTTTAAAATCTTTGTTGAAATGCGAGAGACGCGGCGAAAACGCGGTACATTGACGATATCGCGAAAGTGCTGCATTGTCTAACCTAGTCATGAATTTTCCTTGCTGCGATCTCGCATTTTGGAAGTTTATAAACCTTCGTTCGAAAGCGGGAGACGCGGCGAAAACGCGATTCATTCGCGATATCGTCAATTTTCCGCCAGCGATATCGCCTTTTTCCCGCGCCGCGTTAGGCGATCTTTTTTAATAAATAAAAAATGATTAAAAATTGTTTTGAAAAATTACCGATTATTCTAACTTCTAGGTAGCTCTATGTCTACCACGTCCTCCGACGCCTCCAGCCGTGGCTCTTAGTGAAGAGGCTCGCGATTGGTCGGTTTTCATCGAAGATCGATCGATAATCGATTGATTTATCGATTTTCAGGGCCTGGCCATCGAACCATGCCCTGCTTGGAACGGCGTTTCCCTGGTTCATCTGGATTTACGCCAGTAATCACTACGATCTGTCGATTCTGGCCTCACTGTTCTTGCTCTGCGGAATCATTGCCTGTGAGTTGCTCATGTTAGCTGAGAGTTGCTGATTTCAGCTGTGAGTTGCTCATGTTAGCTGAGAGTGACGGACATGGGATTTTTTGAATTTTTGGAAGTTTATTGACCAGAGTTTTTGAAAACTGAGTTTGAATCTGGTCATACTATCGATAAATAAGTGCTTTAAAGCCTTTAACGCCTTAATAAAGCCCGAAAAACTTTCAAAGTTTGAAAAATTGAAAAAATACGTGACCGAACCGACAGACTTTTCCAGCATGCCACAAGAACTTTTGTTACATTTTTGGCAGGAAATGCTCCATTTTTATGAGTTTCGAAACATTTTCCTTCTCCAAGACATTCCCATATGTGGTCGCATCGTTTCGTCAAATGTTTTTCCAAGCACATTCCGACGATACGCACCTTTCCCCCTGACTACTTTTCACTTTTGGGCAAAAAGAATAAGGAAAGAGAAAGAAAAAAAGACGCGCGGCGCCACAATCAAATGGCGCGTTTACATAACCTGCGGCTTCTTTTTCATTCTGGAGATTCTGGCGAAACTGAGTTTCCTCTTTCACTTTTGGGAAGGAGAACGGTTTTTCTTAGACTTGGGGAAGATTTGGTACTGAGTTTGTAGAAAACAATTAGAAAAAAGAGTATTTTAAAGCTTTTTGGTTTGAAAAAATGGCTGTGGCTCAAATTTTATGCGAAAAATGAGCATTTTATTGATTTTTATTATATTAAACTTTGAAAAAACTGGAAAATATCTTCTTTTTTTGAAGATGATATGAGATTTAGGGACTTAGGCTTTTAGAATATAGAGAAAAAAAAATTTCATTGTTTTTCTTTTTACGTTCAAAAAGCGACAAAATTACCGTCTGAATGATCTATTGAACTTTTAACAGTTTTAAGAAAAAAAAATCTGTTTTTTTGTCGAAAATCATTTGACAACATTATGATATCAGTTCAAGCTCAAAAATCCGGCAAAGTTATCAAATTTTTCCCAAATTAGGCTACAACAGATAATGATGTTCACTGTGATAAAAAGTAGGAAATGACATCATTTACAGGTTTTTATCATTTCCCCTCATATGGGTGATTTTTCAAATTTTTCTTTTTTCCTTATTTTTTTGTTGTTGTTGGGTGTTGAAATTAAAAAAAAGATTATTTTTTTGTTCCCAAATTTTGTTAAGTTTTTAATTAGAAAATGTAATGACATTTTTTTCTTCACGTTTTTTTAAAAAAATTATAAAAAAACTTAAAAAAACCTGTCGTTTTTTTCTTTTTGAAGATTTTAGTGTTAAAGATTGATTTTTTTCAATCTTTTTTCGAGATTCTGAAAATAAGGAAAATAATATCTTCCGCGATTTATGTTATGTAACGAGAAGGATTTTTAGAGATTGGTTATATTTAAATAATATTTAAAATTGATATCGGCCTTCCCGATGCATTTTTAGGTCTTCTCGATAAATTTAGGCTTACGCGATGAATTTAAAGGCGCAAAACTTTACAAAATTCAAAAAATATGCCCTAGCTCTTTCAAAATCTTCAAAAAGCTATTTCAAATCAACTTCACTTATGGAACTCTTCTGACCTACCAGACCAAAAAAAGCCTTTTCATTTCCCATTTCTCCACCAGAAAATGAGAAGTTTCCTTCTGAAAACCCAATCCGTGACGACGTGGAGGTCACTCGAGAAACAGTCTGTCTGTCGGTTTCTTCTCGTTTCCTTGCCAGAAGGAATCGATCGACGGGAAGTTTCCCCCCGTATCCCATTTTATCAGTGACGTCTTCGCCGCCAAACAGTTGCCCCCTGTACATTAGTCGCTGCAGGGAACACCGGCGTGAGCTGGTCGAGGATCTACCTGTCGGTTCATTCCCCGTGCGACGTCCTGGCCGGCTGGACCATCGGCGTCCTTCTTCTATTCATTTTTGGTGGGTTTTTGGGTATGAAAACTGTGTTTTTGAGTTGCTTCTGATCAAAGTCTTTTGATGGACCGTCTCAGGAAAAGTTGAGAGCAGAATTTTGGTTTTAAAAGCACTTCAGAATCGAGTTTCTAAACGAACTATTCCAATAATTTATAACACTAAAAGTTTTAGTTTGAAAATTTGCGTTATTATCCTGATTAGAAATTAAATTTTTGATATGTTATGAGCTAAAAAATGTGCCAGAAGTTATGTTAAAGATAAGGTTCTGATTCTTTCTGACGATACATCCGTCAGAATAATTTGAAATTAGAAATGTATTTCTCATGACCGTTTACCAGCCAAAAATCGATGAAAGATGGGTTCAATAGACCCAGAAATAATTATAGAGATTAGCGTTTTCTGATAGGTTATCATATGTGGATTTTCGTTGGTTTTTTCGTGCTTTCGCTCTTTTCTTTTGACTTTATAGTGGTTATTTTCATTCTTCTCGTCACTTTGAATACTGGCCAGAAGGAGAGTAGCAGCATATTGCAATGGTTCTTTTAGTTTTTGAAAAAAAAAAGATCAAAAAATTAATTATTTCAAAACCTTATGTTTTACAGCACTTTCATTAGGGTTAGATGAAACTTTATAAAGGCATTATGATTACTGGGTTTTTTTAAATCATTAAGTTCATTGCTTGATTGAAAAATTGGTGAAAGGCTTTTGCACGTTGATAAATCATGATTAGGTCTCACAAGGGAGGTCATCTCACTTTGCGGTTGGGAATTTTTTGAAAAATTATCCCAATCTCTCTTGAAAAACCGAATTGAAAGTCTCAATCTGCACAGCTCCCTAGTTTTCAAGAAATAAGGGCTCGAACCCCCAAAGTGACCTTTTGACTGATTTTGAAGGTTTCTTTGAATTTGAGCCCTCATTCCTCAAAAACTAGGAAGTGTTGCTTGAGGCTTTTAGAGTCCTTTTTTGGTACTGTAAGGAGTGTTCTCGCATTTTTTCAGGAAAACCCAACCACAAAATAAACCTTTATTGTAAAAATTGAACTTTTCTGCATTTTTATCGTTGGCTGCTTTTTCAGCCAGTCAATAAAGGAAAAATAGCGTTTCAGAAGGTTTTTCGGACAAACTCCATGCGGTTTACGTCAAGAGCTCCCCGACGGCCGACCTCTCCTTTTTCGGCTCTTTCTACGCCTTTTTCCTCTTTCTGCTCTGGCTGCACCCAAGATCTTGGCCCGAAACTCAGAGCTATGGAGAGGTTTTTCAAACTTTCTACAGTATCCATCAAAAACTACCGTAATTCAGGTCGTCTGCGTACTTTCCGGAGCGGCGGCCATGTGGACGACGAGAATTCTTCACTTCGGATCGGATTTGCCGTTTCAAAGTCTGCTAGAAATCCGACCGGAAGCGCCGATTTACCACTACGTCGCCAGGCTTTTCGTTGGTCAGAAGTTATTTTTTGAATTAAAATTGAAAGATGAAAGAAAAAAATTTTTTTGAGTCTTGAGCTTCTTCGGAAAAAAACGGCTGGAATTTTTAAAAAAATTTCGGAAAATGGAAAGAAGTCGTTAACTGCCTGTGAACTCACTAGATTTTTTTCATTTATATATATATATATTTTTTACCCTGAAATCTCTTTAAATCTGCTATTAAAATTTCCGGTTTAAAAAAGAGAGGTGCTTTGAAAAAACCTCTTTTAGCTCCCAGTTGAGCTTTTGATTAAACTTGGAGGAAGTGTACTTTAGGGCCTCCTTATTTAAAAAAAGTTTCGCAGTAGGTTTTTTTTTTCGAGTTGTAGTGCTCCAAAGTCCGTAAATTACACAGGAAAAGGCGTCATTTGAGTTTTTTGAAGCTGTATAAGTTGAAAATGAGAACTATAGCGAGAAATTTGGCTTGTTCTGGAAGAGGTCCTAAAATAACTCCAGCCAAATTTTATTAAGAGTTTAACCCGTGGCAAAAAATAGTTCCTTTGAAAGAATTTTAAAAAATTCGGGATATCCAGGAGCCGTGGCTTTGTTGGCGACACGGTTGGTACTGAAACCAATCACGAAGAAGCTAGTGACGACTCTCTACGATCACCTGTCGTTACGGTATTACTCCTACTCGGAGTACTGTAAGATCCTCGGCGACCAGCTGCAGCCGACCAAACGCTACACTCAGCGGCTACGCTTCAAGCCGATCCCTGGCGAGAAGGTTTGGAATATTCCAGGGTTCTTTGGAAAGTTCTCGAGGACTTTTACTTCTTGAGATAAATAGTGACCCCTAGAGGGTTTGAAATTAAGTGGTCCTTATAGTAGTTTAGGGTCTAGCCTCTCATGCTTAAGTGGTCCCTATAGTGGTCTTTCGATTTCCTGTTCTGATTTCAATGTTAAAAAGGGTAGTCCCTGGAGAGAGACCTACAAGAGCCCTAAAGTTGCCACTTTGGCATTCTTAAGAGTTTTTTGGAAAAACATGTCGGCCAGCTCCTTATCCTACTCAATCATATTTTTTTATATTCTTGAAATTAGGCACCTTTCTAATTTTTTTCGAGTCGGGGGGGTTCGAAGTTTCAGGATGATTTCACGATATATCATTGCAAACTTTGAGAAGGTATACCTGAAATCACCTCCGGTAGGGCTCTGATAGACCTCGAAGGTATACTAGAGGTCTCACAGTGGACGTATTATTTGCCCCCTCCTCTTTAAGAGGTATAATGGTGTTGTGGTGTACCCAAGATTGGTTCGTAAATGGACTATACCTAGTTTCACGATCACGAGTATACCACTGCAAATGTCAGCGAAACTTTATAAACTTTGTTGGTATATTCTCAAGCCCCTCCGGTGGGGCTGAGGTAGAGCTAAAAGGTTTACTGGAGGTCACAGTGAATGTATTATTTGGTCCCCCCCCCCTCCTCTTTAAGAGGTATAATGGTTTTGTGGTGCATCCCTGATTCTTTCGTAAACGACACTACGAATCTCTGCTTCTGCAGGTGATCAACATCGACGACGTTCCGTACGACGTCGACTTGCCGGTGAAGTTCATCGTCTACAGCGCGATCGGCTTCATGGTCACCGAAGGCTGTCCGTCGATCTTCGCCCGTCTCGGAATCTGACGTCGTCATCACTACCATCAACATGACACGAATGAATCACAAAAATAGAAAAAAGTGCCCTAGTCCTCTCCTTTCCTTCTTCCCCCTTGCCGTGCCGTGACACCCGAAAACCCGTTTTTTTGATTCCAAAAAAATTCGCCCCCCTATTGCCACCCGACCGCCATTGTTTCGTTACGCGACGTCAAGTAAAAAAATATTCTCCATTTATTATCAATTTTTTTCATGTTTGTTGAGAAAAAGCCGAGCCAGGACTTTTTTTGATACTTTTTGAAATTTTTTTCCTTTTTTTCGTGTTTTTTTCTTTTTGAAATTCATATGAAGCTAGGTCTTATTTTAGCGCTTTATGATCGATTTTTTTCAAATCGATCAAAAAAAGCTAATTTTTTTGATTTTTCGTCTTCGGAATTTCCTATGTTTTTCCTGCTCTTAGTTTTTTTAATAATTTTATTTCAAAATTGGCCAAATCAGGACTTTTTTTGGTGTTATCTTTTCATCGCAGGCTTCTCATTAGGGAAAAAAATCAGTAGGTTACTGTAAAAATCTCGATTTTTGCATATCTTTTTACTGATCGCTTCAGGACCCGAATATGAAAAAGTTTTAGCACCTCTTGGATTTTTTTGTTGAAAGAGCTAGTTTTGGTTATTAGAGTAAGTTTCTATCAAAAAGCCAATTTAAGATAGATTTTTTTTTGACAGTATGTCCAAAAATTTGTCGAAAAATTTTGTCCAAAAAACCTTCAAAAAAAGCTTAAAAAACGACTTTTTTTCGATTTTTCAAAATCATGTTCAAAGTCTCAGCATGACTGCAATTGTTCAAACTTCTCTCTCTCAAATTTTCGATTCCAATTTGATTTTCAGGATTTTTAGGACTTTTTCAAATGGCGGCCCTCGGAAAACGGCCCCCAGAGGACGACGCCAAGCTGCCAACGTATAAACTCGTCGTCATTGGCGATGGTGGCGTCGGAAAATCCTCCCTGACTATTCAATTTTTCCAGGTTTTGTGAGAAAATCGAAAAAAAAAGACTAATTAATTATTTTCCAGAAACAGTTTATCGATTATTACGATCCGACCATAGAGGATCAGTATATCCAGCATTGCGAGGTCGACGGAAATTGGGTCATTATGGATGGTAATGGTTTTTTTGTAATAATTTAATTCTCAGAGCTTAGAAAAGGGGCTTATTAGCTATAGTATACACGGGTTTATTTATTTTTTGTGTTTTGAAAAATTCAACAAGAAAAAACCTCATTTTGCGGTATGGAATTTGCTATAAATTCGCTCAAATACTCAAGAAAATAATAAATCTAGAATAATGGAAGTGAATAAACTATTTTTTTGTAAAATTTCTAATATAGCCGATTCACGGCTAACTTGGAACTCTAGGGGGCGTGGCCTGTCTGCGCTCTCCACAAGCCAGGTGCTATCTCGTGCATTATCGTGTCAGGACCCTTTTTTTGATGGCTCAAGCCAGTCGTTAATCAGCTTTAGTCTTTACATGCGCAAGTTTTTGATTTTTAAGATATTGATTTTGAAGTTTTGCGTTTACCAAAGAACCCACAAGAAGATCTTTTTACTTGGAAAATATAAAAACTTGCCCAAACAATCTCTGAAGGTTTATATGATGATCCCTCATAGTCGTTACCTGGTCCAACTCATAGTTTTTGAGATATGACTTTTCAAGTTTGCAGCTTTTTCGCTCTGATTTTGAGCCTAAATTTCCGAGCTTTGAAAAAATTTATTTAAAAAACGAAAAGTTGGACCAGGTTGGAACTATGAGAGGTCTTTATCTTGGCCTGTAGAAGAAAATAATTTCGAACAAATCTGTACAAATTTTCAATTCTCAAAAGTGATATCCCTTGCTAGATTCTTTTATAGTCTTTTCAATGGGAAAAAATAATTTATCACATAATTCTCAAATCGCTTCTTTTTATATTTTATTCTCCTATTATTGGATCTCTAACTGGAAAATCACTATACGAAAAATTGAAAAAGGAAATTATCTTAAGCATTTTTAATATTAAATTTCGCCCTAACCTGTCACCTTTAAAAAAAATTGAAAAAAAGTACAGTATGAAGAGCTTTTTCGCGCGCTTCGCTTCAAGACCTGTAATCTGAAGGTGTACCTTGACCAGAAAAAGAAAGCTGACGGGGAATAGGAAATCTTCAAAGACTTGAATATGACGATTCATGAAGAGGATCACTAACCATCTTTTAAAACCGAAAGTTCCCAGTTGAAACGGCTAAAAATTAACTTTTCTCACTTGGAAACTTCTTTTTCTACTCTGACTTTTTTCAACTAGGGTTAAGTAGATCTAAATGAATTTATATTTTAAGTTCTGGACACGGCCGGCCAGGAAGAGTTCTCCGCCATGCGGGAGCAGTACATCCGCGGTGGTCGGGGATTTTTGTTAGTATTTTCTGTGACCGAAAGGAAATCCTTCGAAGAAGCTCATAAATTATACAGACAGGTTGGAAATCGTCTTCAGATTGCAAAAAAGGAATTATTTGAGGTTCTTCGAGTAAAGGATCGGACCGAGTATCCAGTTCTTCTTGTTGCTAATAAGGTGAGAGTTCGAAAAAGTTGGAAAAACTTTGATAATTTCAAATTTAGGACTGGTAAGGAGTACAACTGGCTTCTATTTTTGAAGCCTAAAAAAGTCCCTTTCCATCAGATTTTTTGACAGGATCATTGAAGTACTGAGAAAGTCTGAAGTGATCATTTTAGGAGTGATTGATGTTCCGATTTTCTTGATATTACATGAACTAGAAATTACTACACCTCTGAAGGGGTCACTTGAGGGGGCGTGGGGTAGATCATCTAGGCCTCTGAATGACGGACTTAAAATTCCAAGTTACCACTTGAAAATCATAAGGTTTTTTTTTTTGGAGTCTAGACCCATGCTTTTTAAGAATTTTGAAGGAGAGTAACTCAGTGAAGTGACCACTTTAGAGGCCAATCTTGTTACTTTGTTTATTTTTAGAACAGAAATGATATCTCTCAAGTCATCTTTTCAAATTTTGATAACGATTTGAGAAGAGGGATTTTTTAAGAGATCACTTCGTTGCTCTGGGATTATAAGAGTTCATTAAAGGACCCTACTCGAACTTTAATCATCTTCTGCTACGAATTTGCATTGAAAAAAACTTTGGAACGCCAGAGTGATCCCTAGAGGGGTAGTTTTATGTGCTCTTGTGGGTTTCACTCAAGGGATCATTCCAAATCTTCATATAGGGGGAACTATGGCTTGCCAAGGACATTTTGGAGAAGCATGTTAGTGGTCCCTAGACGTCTTTTTGATCTTCAAATAACAATTAAAAAAAAAAATGAAAGACCCCTATAGGAACCACTTGAGCCTTTGGGGGCCAGGGTCAGATCTAAAACCTCTATAGAAACCAGCTAAACTTCACTTCATCTGAGGACCTTTCTCGTGGCCTATGTGGTCTGTTTTTTTTCGTCCTAACCCCTCTAGTGACCATTCTGGCGTTCCTAAGATCAATTCCAGTTTCAGTTTATTTTTCAGGTAGATCTGGTTAACCAACGGGTCGTCAGTGAACAGGAAGGCCTTGAACTCGCCAAACAGCTCAAATTAATGTACATAGAAACGTCGGCCAAGGTTTTTCTCAGAAAATCAATGATTACGGTAATTATCGCTCTAGGACCCGCCAATCAACGTCGACGCCGCTTTCCATGAACTTGTCAGGATCGTGAGAAGTTTCCCCAGTGAGGAAGGCGATGAACAGGTGGGAATTCGGGAATTTTGATCGAAAAAAAAAATTCCAAGTATTTTTTTTTATGAAACTGTCTAGGAACTTCTTTTGAAATCAATTTTGCGAAATTTCAAATTGTCTCTGACCCTCCAAAGTTTCGTTATCTTTTTGACTCTCTGTTGGAAAAAATTACTTTGAACACGGCATTAAGTAAAAAGGTCTTCGATAATCAATACAACTTTGAAAAAAATTTATTCTTATTTCAGTTGTGGAGCCGTAAAGTCATTTTTTTCGAAATCAGTATCGAGAATAGGAATAGAAATTTTTGTTTAATCCAGCAGTTACTCCAAGAAAATAAAAGATCTCTTAATTTCAATTTTACAAAAAGAAAAAAAGTGAATTTCAATAAAATATATATCAAAAAAACTTTGAAAATCACATTGAAAAAAATGTTTTTTTCTTTTTAAATTTTTCATTTTTTTGATTTTTTTCTAGCACCGGAATTTTTTTGATTTTTTTCTAAACATGTATCTTGAATTTTTTTGAGATGACAGTATAAATGTGCAAAATCAATATTTCTCTGAATCATATAGATTTAATTTTTGTTCTTGAATTTTCAAGTTTAAAAAAATGAGAAATGCGCATTTTTGTCTAAGTGTTTTTTTCTCAAGTTCATCGTTTTGAAATAGCTATAAAGTCAATATTTCTCAACTTGGAAGGCCATGATCGCAATTTAAATTGCTGAAAGTGTAGTGATTGCTTTTTAGTCGCGCCCGACTCAAAACGACTTGCGCTTCGAAGCTTCAGAAAGTATTTGAGATCTTTGAGCCTTGAAATTAGAATTTTCTCTCTTTCAACTGTAGATCAAAAAGGAAATATTCAGGCCGCCAGTTCCGCCGTCCCGCGAACGAAAAAGAGCAAAGACAAGCAAAAATGCACGATCAGCTGAATTTTTTTTTTTCGGTTCATGTTTTCTCAAAATATTCTAACTCATATCTATCTTCCTTTTTTTTCCTATACTAACATTCCGTAGAGTTTTTTTTCTTGTCCTTTTTTGACCACAATCTGTGATCTTTTTGCATTTCCCCTTCATTTCACCGTTGATTTTACAGGTGGTGTTGCTCATTTTTTTCACATTTTTAACTTTTGTAATGAATCAAATTGAATAATCTTGCCTGGGATTTGATAGATTGTGATAAGATTGATAGAATAATTATTACTCAATTTTTTTTTGTCGACTTGAAAGGCAAGAAAGACGCGTTGCGTACGCGACGCGGCTTTTGGCGGGAAATTCAAACTCCTAGAAAAAAATGTAGAAAAAATAAGTTTCTTATGAATTTTAGACGTTATTCGTTTAACTTTGTGTTTTCAGACCCATAGAAAACTAGGATTTATTGAAAAAATGTGGCTCGCGTTTGAACTCAAATTTCCCGCCAAAAGCCACGCCGCACACGCAACGCGTCTCATATTCCCTTGCCTTTGATGTCGGGAAGGATTGACTATATAATGAATCAAATCGAAATCTCGCCCGAGTTATAGCTGATTCCCGGCTGGCTTGAGCCATTTAAAAAGGGTCCTGACGCGATTTAAAAAAAAGAGACTGTGTCCGGCTCGTGGATAAGCCACGTCCCCTCAGAGTCCCAAGCTAACCGTGAATTGGCTATATGATAGATTGTGATAAGATTGATAATTTCATTATGACTCGGTTTTTTATCTTAAATAATATCGATAAATTGATTATTGCTTGGTCCTTTTGGTTTTCTTGTGTTGCGGAGCGATGTTCTGGCCTCGGGTGTCCCACTGATTGATCTTTTCCAGGTCCAAAGGGGCGTTTGATTCCAGGGGGACGTTGCCGGGCGGCGTCACGAAGTACTCTTCGTAGCGGACTTTTGCGTTTCGAAGTACCTTAATTTGATTGGAATCAGGTTTTTCTTGTTCCAATGTCAAATGAGAAAGAATTAACTTCAACGTTCTCGGAAATATTTCTAGTGGTCACTTTAGCGGCGTCAGTACTCTTAAGGGATTCCTAGAATGGCTCAGAAAACGTGCGGGGCGCGTCCGAGATTTTCGAAATTTTTTTTTCATATTTTCTAAAGCCCGCTTTTTTCTATCTGAGATTAGATATGATTTGAAATAAAACCTCCTCAACGGGCAAGGGTTTTTCCGCGATATCTTCGAAAACGGGACATTCTTGTTCTTCCCAAACCGAGTGCATTGGTTCGACTCCCTAAAATAAAAATTGATTTTTTCACCCAAGTTTTTTTTTCCATCGTCAATCTTTCCCGACTCAAAAAGCAAGATTGGCAAGGGTGACGCGCTGCGTACGCGACGCGGCTTTTTGGCGGGAAACTCGAGTTCAAACGCGACCCAACTTTTTTTTTGACTGTTTTTCAATAGCTTTCATTTTTTTATGGATTTGAGAACATTCAGTTGAACGGATATTAGTGAAAAAACACTTGAAAAATTTTTTTCCCATGGTTGCGCTAGAATTTCAAGTTCCCGCCGACAAACCGCGACGCGTACGCAACGCGCCACCCTTCAAGTCGGAAAAATTTTCTATAAAATCACCTCAACATCAATTTCTTTCAATCGATTGGCGATCCTAACAGTTTGTCGTAGATTCGCTACAGCTTGCTCCGAATCGAATCTATAGAATCGATGAAAAATCAGCTTATAAATCAGAAAACTACCTAACCAAAGAAAGCCTTTCAAGCTGCGAAATGAGCTTCTGGTCGAATTGAGGCATATCTTCGGGCGTATTTTCGAAAACCTAGAATAGAAGAAATAGTTTTTCTATTTCCTACAAGGAAGTCATTTTACTTTGCGATGGGTAATTTTCTGAAAATTTGTCAGATTATCCCCTGACAAGTGTGTACAGATTGAGATTTTAAATCTTTTGTTTGAAAGTTTCGGTCTAATTTTCAGGAGAACCGCAATTTTAAAGTTGAATGACCTTTTTTTGTAAAACTCTGAAGGGCTGTTTATTGGAAGAGAGCCCTCTGGAGATTTTTTAAAAGAAATTCAAAAATATACTTTTTTTCAAGTTGATTTCCAAAAAAGGGCACTCAACGGGCCAAAGAGATAGTTTGTAATAAAAGACTCGGAAAACAGGATTGAATATATTTGTGAAAGCCTTAGGAATAACTTCTGGCGTATTTTCGAAAACAGATAAAACATTGAATTTTTTTCTTTTTATTGCGGCGAATGACAGTTTTTTATATTCGATTTTAATTCCCCTGGAAATGGGCACTCAAGTGGTCAGAGTGTGCAGAAAAAGAGGGTTTACAGAAAAATGGGTTGATGTTTTTTTCGAATCTAAAGAACCAAAGTTCTCTGAGAACTAGAAAAAAATCTACTCCGCTGAGAAAAAAAAAAATGCTGAAAAGTGAATTTTTTAAGGTCATTTTGAAAATAAGCCACACCTTTCGCGATTTCAAAATTTTTGACAACTTCGATTTTTTTATGGCTTTTTCATGTAAATTTTTTTCATATTTCAAAAATGAAAAATCCTTTTTTTACATTTAAAAAAATAATTGCCGCTACTCACATCACTGCGATAAGGTTCCACTGGAACGAGCACTTCATCGCCTTCTAGCGGCGTTTTTTTCTCACCGGCCCCTTTTCGGCCGTCATTGTTGCTCCATCGCACAGCTATCGAATTGAATAATCGGCCTGGCCGCCGTAATATCAGCGACATAGTTCTACAGTAGTTCGGTTAGAAATCAAGTTTTCAAAAACATAGAAAAAGAATTGTTTAAAGGCGCATTGAACCAAAATAACACTAAAAAGGCTCTTCGCCACGAGACCTTTATAAAATTTGTCCATGTTCCTTTAAAAATTTTTTGAAAGACTTTTTTAAGTGAGGAAATGTTATGAAATACACAGTTTGCTTCGAAACAGCTTTTCAAGACCAAAAATCTGAAAGCAATCAATATTTATTCAACAATGAACCCGTAAAAGTTAGAAACATAAAACAATGACTGAAAAAGTGATCAGATAACGACCCATTCGAGTTTTCCCGGATACAAATCGTCCAATTGACAGAAGGCTTCACCAACCGCCGACCTTTTCTCGAGATCATTGACCTATAAGTTCTGATTTTAGTATTTTCTCAATAGGGCGCAACTAACGTCCGAAAAATAGCCGCCGCACTCGGCCAGCGCTAGTTTTTCCATGGCTTTCCAGCCGCACTTTATGGATAATCTTCGGACGATTGAAAAGTAATAGAGAGGGTCTGGAAAAATGATTTTTGAGTTAGAACTAGAGGGAAATTATTTTCATCTTTCTAAGGAGCAGCTGAGTAGTTCCTAGAGTGATTTCGGGAAAAAAGCTTCTATAGGGTCAAAATTTAGCTTTTCTCTACAGGACTTTCTAAATTTGAACTTTAGGGAAATTATTTGTACCATTCTAATGAACGCCAGAGTAGCCCCTAAAGGGGTTTTGGGAAAAATTGCCCCACATAGGGGATAAAATACTTTTCTTTAGATAGGGGGCGCAAAGCCCCGCCCCTTCACGCCACCAAAATGACGATTTTTTTGTTGCAAAAACGGTTTTGAGGCGTTTATACTAGCTAAAGTCCCACTTTAAAAATGAACTGTTTCTGTTAATCTATGTAATCGACAACGCTCTACAAGACTGAAAAAAATTTTTTTAAACTATGTATTTTTTTCAAAAAAATAAGCGAAAAAAAGTAAGATTTAACACGAAAAAAACTGACAAGTTTCACAAAATCGTCGCGTTTCTGAAAACCAATTGAGGAACGCTTCCGAATTTTGAGTATGTTATACATTAACACTTTCTTTATTTTTTGAGTAAAAAAATTTAAAAAAATCTAACGACGCGAAAAAAAAAATCGAAGCTTGTAAAGTGACACCAAACTTTGAAGCTGAAATGCGAAAAAAAGTTTCAGCGACATGGTATACTTTTTTTATTTGATTTAAAAACTCACAATGTGTTCAAAAATAAAAATTCAGAATGAAAATAATTATTGGGACAGCGAATCAAATTATATTTGAGTTTTACCAAAACCTCCATTTTTCGCCTGCCTCGTTGTCGCATGAGAGAATAGGATCGCGTCTATACTTTTGATTATGTTATTAAGCGTTCAAAACTCTATCAATGGAAAAATTATGAAAAAAATCAAACGACGCGAAAAAAAATAACGGCTTTGAAAACCTCGAAAAAATGGCAATTTTTTTTTGAAATTTCGGAAGATTTCGTGCAAGTGTCCGTAGCAGTGTTTGCGTCAAACACACCGATGCGCCATTTTAAATGTTGCAGGAGCCGTTTTTTTGGAGTCAAATTGCACATTTTTCCTGTTTTATTTCGAAATAACATTATTTTTTTCATTTTTTTCTTTTTCCAAACCAAATGATAATAATTTTTTTCTGAGTAGAAAAAAAGAAAAAAATAAGCTGAAAATTCCTTGTGACCTTTTTTTCTAAGTAGTTTTTTTGATATTTTATCAAAAAAATCTTATGAGGATTGTACAAAAGATTCATACCAAAACATGAGGCTCAGTTCGGACAACCTCTCAGAACAGAAAACCGATTTAAAAACGGTCCAGAAACGCGCAAAAACATTTAAAAAGAAAGCGTGCGGCAGCGGGTAAACCGTGAGATTTTGCCTCCAGTTGAACGCCGCGCGCGCTCGTTTTTTGGCCATAACTTTTTTCTTAGTGGAGCTTTTTTCTAAAACTGAACGGATTATGAAAATGGACAGTCTCCTCTATCGAACAGTGTAAAAAACATATTTTTTGGATCGTTTTGAAGAAATGGCTTGCGGACCCTATCTTTAGAGGGGAAATATTAAGGTGGTCCCTATAGGGGTTTCTGAGTTTGGGCTTATTTTTATCATTCTGAGGAACGCTAGAGTAGTCCCTAGAGTGGTTTCGGAAAAAAAAATTCTATAGGGAATAAAATAGTGCTTTCTACAGGGTCAAAGTTTACGTGGTCCTTACAGGGGTTTGTGAGTTTGGACTTATTTTAATCATCCTAATGAACGCCAGAGTAGCCCCGTAAGGGGTTTGGGGAAAAGTTGCCTCTACAGGGGATAAAATGGTGTCTCCTGCAGGGTTCAAAATTAAGCGGCCTTTGTAGGGGTTTACGGCCTTCGAGCCGCGAAAAAATCAAGTGATCCCTACAGGGTCTCTCACCAAATAAAAAAGGGCTTTATACAGGGTCAAAGTTTGAGTGGTCCTTAGAGGGGATTATGAGTGAGAACTATAGGGAAATTATTTTCATCGTTCTAAGGAACTGTAGAGTAGTCCCTATAGGGGTTTGTAAAAAAAAAAGTTTTTCCTAGAGGTATAAAAATTAAGTGGCCCTTTAGGGGTTCCGGGTTCAGCCTCTGAACCTCCAAAGGCTGAAGTGATCCCTATAGGGTTATTGACCGAATTTCTTACGTAAATTTCTGAAAAGTTGTCTTTTTTTCTCGTGGAACTTATAAAAAAGCATTTCTTCCTTATTTTCTCAAACAAACCTTCTTTAAGTCTTCTCAAGCAGCACCCGACGGCGAAAGCGAACAAAATCCTCTCCACGATGCCTCCCAACGACTCGATATCCATTTCAATGTCGAAAAGTTGCACTAGAGCTTCTTCATAATTCCGTTGAGACATCTGAAGAAAAGTCCGAAGTTTGAGAATTACAGTACTCCTGACCGAAATCGTCGCCTTTCGTCTCAAGACCATCGCGTAGACGTTTCTATGAGACATGGCCGCGGAACTTTTCGCGGCTTCGTCCAATAATCGCGTCGCGGCGTCAAACCGTTGCTCCAGAATGTACAGGTTCGCCGTTTGCATTTTGGATTCTGAGCGAAAAAAAATTCCTATCCAGTTAATTGGAAAATGTAATCCATTTCCGTTTCCGATTAAATTTTTAGAAAAATAAATTTAAAAAATCCATGTAAAGCGATTTATGGATTAAAAAAACTTTATCCTCTCATTCATTTCTTAAGAACGCCAGAGTGCTCCCTATAGAGATTAAATCAAAGAAAAATAACCTTTTTGCAATAAAATTGAAAGTAGGTAATAAATTATAATAATTTCATCCAAAAAAAGATGAAATTCACAAATATCTCCCATTTTCCTTTCCGATCAAACTTAGAAAGAAAATTCGATAATAGGGAAAATCTTCATGTGGTCACTGTTTCAATTGGGGAATTTTTAAAAACAAAAAATTGTCAGAACCGTTCTTCGCGATCCATAGCCATCCCAAAATTACGGTTACTTCGAATTTTGAGGATTTGACTGTACGAAAACCGAGCCGATAGAAGACAGTGGGGAAAAAAATAGAATTTTTCCTTTATTTTGAAAAAAAGAACAGTGTTTCAAGTCAATTCAAAAATGTAAAAGAATACTTTTTTTAGACATTTTTTTCAATAAAATATTGATTTTTTTCATCAGAAAATTTTTAAATTTTTGTTCATCACGATGCATACACTTTCTGCATGACGGAATTTTTCAGTTTTAAAATTTCGAAGTATTCTTCTTTTTTTTTGATAGAAGATCAATAAATCGATTGGAAAACCACGAAAGAATAATTTGAAAAGGACCACTTAAATGATTTTTTTTTCTCATTCTCCTCACCTCGCCAAGACCATCGGATCCCGACCGCTGTATTTTTGCAACAAATTGAGCCCTTTCCGGGTTTCTCCCTTCAGACCCATCAGCAGGGCTTTTCTAAAAGAAAAATCCTTAATTTCCCTTTAAAAAAAAGGAAACCTCAAAAGAGCTTCAGTCGGAACAATCGGGGCGAGTTCTTGCAGGGAAAATTCACAATTAACGGCGTCATCATTCAATAAATTCTGCTCGAATTCTATCAAAAGCTTGCAAATTCGGACGTGTTGGGCGGCCTGGAGTCAGCTATTTTTTTCAAGCGATTAAAAAAATAGTAAGTAATTTTAGGGTACGCAGACACATAAATTACCTAAACCTATGTTTTCCGCTTTTTAAAAATATCTATGGTCGCACTTGGAATGGCTTAAAGCGTCGCGGTCGCGTTGCGTTTCGGATTGACTCTCTAGTCGACTTTATATTAATTTGATTGCTCTCATGATTTTCGCTGAAGTCGCGCGAAAGTCGTTTTTGGTCGGTCGCACCAACCCATGTAGCCATTTCGAATGAAGAAACCCCGCTTTACGGATGAAATCGAATCCGAAAATTTTATAAAATACATGGAATGCGTCAAAAACCTTCAACTTATAATTTAAATTTGTCCTTTTAGCTGAATTTTATTTTTTTCTCATGGTCCACAAACCGAATTTCGGTTGTTGCTTTAAAAAAAGACATTTTTTTGGTATTTTTTTCACGACTTTTAGTCAAATATATCAATGGATACCTGCCAATTAATGTCACTAGAAAATCGTTTTTTTCCAATCTTTTGGTCACATCCAAAGCCAAGGAATGTTCGCCACGTGAAGCCAAAGCATAGGCGCAATTAACACCAGCGACAGCCTGAAAAATATTTTCCAAAAATCCCATTTTTTCACGAATTTCGAGAGAAAACAACAGAAAAATCCTAATACTCAGTCTAGAAAGTTCTGAAAAAAAAAACCGCCAAAATCGTAATTTTTTGGTATAAAACTTGAAATCCTAACTTTCTATAAGACATAAAAGGTAATATAAAACCTGAGATTCAGTCTAGAACTTTTCAAAAAAGTCCCTAACAACCGTCAAATCCAAACTTTTCAAAAAATAAAAGACGAAAAAACCTGATATTCAGCCTACAATTAGAAAAACCATCAACATCGTAAAAACCTAACTTTCTGAAGAATTGAGGGAAAGAACAACCTGAGATTCAGTTTCGTGGCAAGGAGCCGCCCCATCAGAAACATTGGAATTCAACATGTATTCCGAAATTTCCTCAGCCACTTTGAATAACCCGTTTCGAAGACTGAAAATAGATAATTTTTTTCTTTTTTTTTCGAATCAAATAAACCAATTACTGGAAGCGATGGCAATCGCCGTATTCTCTACGATTCGAGCTTTCGATCCTTTATCAGTCGTCGTACAAGCTCGGAGAGGTAGTTGCATCATTTCGATTGTACTGCTGCAAAAAATATTGTCAAGAAATGATGATATGAAAAAATGGGTGGTACGACAAGCTCAGAAGCTCCAGAATGATCACTCAAAAGTTCCCCTATAGGAACCACTTGGACTATCCCTATAGGGGCCACTAAAGGTTGAAAAAGTGGCCCTGATAGGAGCATAATAGTCGACAACAGAGGATGAATCGATCAAGTTTCTATTTTCAATTTTCCAATCTCAATAAAAAGTTCACCACCCCCTCCTGAACCTCTAAAGGGACCACTTAAGCTTCCCCTAGAGGGACCACCTTATTGAAAAAAACACCCTGAGGAAAAACTAAAAAAATAAGTTCAAAATTCGTTTTATTAAAAGGGTCTAAGGGACCACTTAAGTGGGGGTTTTTATCTTTTTTCGTTAGTGATCCCTTAGAAAAAGGCCAACCAAATCAAGTGAAATAAGCTCAAAACTGGCGTAATTCTTCAAGCGACGATTAAATAGGTTTAAGGGACCACTTTAGTGAAAGTTTTATTATTTTTTGTATGGTGATCCCTTTGAAAAAGGCCGACAATTCTGTTTTTCTTCTGTGAGAGTTTAAAAAAAAATGGATTTTTCGAATATTTGACAAAGAATTTTTAAGGAAAACTTTAATAAATTATAGACCCAAAAAAGGAAAAGAAAAAAAGACCTAGTAGGACGGCATTTGGCCATGTCGCTGACCACAGAAAGAAGTTTGGCCGAGGCGAGAACATTTCTGTAAAGTTCCAACGTTTCCCCGGCATCATCAGGCATATTTTCCGGTTCAGCTTCTTCTCTTAAAATTCAAGGGAAATTAATGAAAGTATCGTTTTTTTTTTTTCAATGATGATAGAAAGCTTGAAATTCCAAAAATTGCCCCGAAAAATCAAAAAATAAATCATCTGAAATATAGTAAACTCTATAGAAAAATTGTCGAAAAAAATACCCGTTTTAAGCCATTTTTTTGCTTGAAATCCAATAGAAAAGTTACCATAAAAAAATCGTGAAAATAGTCTCCAAGTCGAACTTTTTCAACGAAAAAAATAAATGAATCAGGAAACAAAAAAATAAATTCTGGAATTCTGAAGTTTTGAAAGTTCTGAAAGCTTTTTAAAATTCTGAAAGCTCCTTTTTTTCTGGAATTCTGAATTCTGAAGTTTTTGAAAGTTCTGAAAGCTTTTTAAAAATTCTGAAAGCTCCTAAAAAGTTCTTTGAAAAAAAGTCTCCAAAATATTGATTTTTTTGGAAAATTCTGTTTCTGTTAAAACTATGATTCCTAAAGTACATTGAAAGAAGCTTTTTCCTTAGAATTATTGATTGAATTGAAAAAAAGAAAAAAACGAACTCATGTCCTTTGTCCAAATTCGACTGCATCATTCTTCGATCCACCTGTTCTGCTTCCTCTTCTGGAATTTATATTTTTCTTTTTTTTTTATGAGTAAGTGAGGTTGACCAACTAGAAATGAGCGTGGGTTTCTTGATTGCTATGTAATTTTCAAGCTTTTTGACAGGTTTTCAAGTATTTTTTTTTGGATCAAGTTTGAATTCCCCGCCAAAAGCCGCGGGCGGCAGCTGTGTTCAGTGGGCGTGGCTTAATGCAACAGCGGCACGGTTTTTTTGCAATAGGGGCGCGGTGATTTGAGTCGAGTTTTGTGGATTTAGTGGTTGGAAAAAGAATGTGTTTCAAATGATAAATAATCTATTTGAATGAAAAAAATAGCTTTTTGGAAAAACAAAATATTTCCCAATATGTCGTTTCCGAGAAAAGTTTGTCAAATCAAGTTTCCGGAAAACCCCAACTTTTTCAGGAGAAACCTGTCTGATTTTCCTCTGCGATGGGTGGCGCGAAATTGAGCAACGGATCATTTCCAAGCACCTCCACGGCCGTCACTTCGACATTGGCCATCCGATTACAGACACTATCGGAACTGAGTTGGGCCTGTTGGATACTTTCCGCCAGCAAATGGGCAGCCATCCGTCTAAATAATTCATAAAAAAGGTAAAGAGAAAAATGAAAAATTGTCTATGAAGGTTCATTTCTAATGGCTAATCCTGTTTCAGTTTTTTTGCAATAATTCGGAAATCGGCTGGTAGCGAAGCCATTCGTCTAAATCATAAAAAAATCAAGTGAATTTGAAAAAAATATTCCGAATAAAAAAACGAAGCAAATTAAGAAAGGTCCATGGAAGACATTTGAAACTTCTCAAAGCTCAAAAAGGGTAATAAAAATTGGAAAAAAAAAGCTGAACAACTGCTCGAAAAATCTTTTGGTGCGTTTTTCGGAACGACAGGGTTTTTAAAAACCTTCCTCCCGCCGTTTAAAAGAGCCATTCACTGATAAATTTCAGAAGAAAACGTGAAAAATGATTGCCGCAACAAAAAAGGTAGAAGCTGCCTTAAAAAAGTTTGAGAAAAGAACTCTCTTGGAGAAAATTTTTTTATTCTTTTCACAAAAAAATTTTCTCAACATTTTCATCAACCTATTGATTAAAAAAACTTCCCATCATACAGAGGGAAAACACAAAAGTTCGCTTTGTTTTTGTCATAATTTCAAGAAAGTGACTTGAAAAAAATCAGGGAATTCCAAAATTATTGAAATCTCTCAATGAACACTTCTGAAAAATCAAACTCTAAGCTATTTGTGTTTACAATTTGAAATTCCAAAAAAATTAATAAAAAGTAATAACCTAGAAATTAAAAAAACATTTAAAATTTCAGATAAAGAAAAAAACAATTTTTTTATAGTCAAGAATTATGCCTTTTTGTAATCAAAAAAAGAGAAATATAATCAATAAATGAATTTAGTGTTGAATTACCTTTCCCCGAAGATCCTACAAAGTTTCCCATGAAGCAAAGGACCAAATCGAAGTTGGTAATGGGAAGGGACGGCCAAACGATGCGATTGTGTCGCGTCGACCAGATTTTCATTGAATCTATAACTTCAGAAATCGAAGAAAAAAGGTTTTTCTCAAACTTGAGGGCGGTAAAATCGAAGAAAATCTTGAGAGCTTCGACGGCGGCCACTTGATTGTAACTTTGGATGGCCAGCATCATTTCGAGGAGGTACTAAAATGTTAAATTTAGGAAGAAAATCGAGAAAAAGGTAAAAAATAACAATGATGAACTAAAAATGTGAAAAACGGAAAGGTAATAGAAAAATTGAAGCGAAACTACAAAAAAAGGCGATTTTTTTTTTTGACATTCCTTGGCTTCAAAAATTAAAGATTTCCAAATTTCCAAATTTACCAAACCTTTTGATCGGTACAATAAACAGAAAAGCAGCTTAAACCATAAAATTTTCGCAAAAAAAGGTTCTCAAATTTGAAATTTCGGGTTATTCTTTCGAAAATCTTGCGAAAAAAATCAATCAAAAATTCAGGTTTCTTCCGAAAAATTAAAAAAACAAGAAAAAGTGATAAAAAAACGTTCAAAAATTTTCATGAAGATCCTTTTTGACGTTCAAAAATTTTTTAAGTTTACTAGAAAAATAAATGTTTGCAACAAATTACCACTGAATCGACGTCTGGATGGCGATCTTTGATCATAGAAATCCATTCGAGCTTCTCCGAGGTGAAAATCGCCGAGGATGGGCAGACCTGAGACAATTGTATTTTTCAAGAAATCTTCGCCCGGGCTTCTGCGAGGGCCAGCCCGCCCTGGTCCGAGAAGCGCAAATTTTCTTCAAAAATCAGACTTTTTTTTTCGACAAAAAACCTTTTTTCGGCTCTTATTCACTCAAAAATCAACGGAAACTATGATTCAATTAGTAAAAAAGGATTTTCGTTAAATTTAGATTGATGATGAACAATTTTTTCTGGATTCTGACCAATTTTCGCAAAAAAAAGCCAAAACTTAAGAAATCTAGAGTGGTCCCTATAGGGGCAACTTTAGGGCGCTAGAAGGTCTGAAGAAAAAGTTTAAAAACCCCTCTAGGAACCACTTGAGGTGGCCACTATAGGGTTTTGACGTTTTAATGGCCACTATAGTAGTCAAATTAGTAGCCACATAAGGGGTTGAGAACTAGTGGCCACTATAGAGGTCTAAATGCTACTCCTAGACCACTAAAAATTTTATTGGCCACTTTAGGGGTCAATGGATCAACAGAACTGGTTCAATCTGTTTGTTTTAAAATTATCAGAATTACTGGAAGGAATACTGGATGAAAAACTACTCAAGTGGCCACTAAAACGGACAATAGTGGCCATCATAGAGGTGGGTTTAGTGGCCACTTTAGTGTCCTCTCCAATTAGTCTTTGGCGAGCTTCTATAGAGGCCACTAAAATTTTTCCCAGTAACCCTCATAGAAAAATTTCACTCCTATAGTGGCCACTTTCATTATTCCCTATATGATTTTTCTTCCCCTAAACACTATAGGGACCACTCTGGCGTTCAAAATAAGCCCGGGCCGGCCCGCTCCATCCTGGTAACAAAGAAAACCTGAAGCAAATGCATCTGTTGAGAAATCCAGCGACGGGCCTTGAATGACGACTCGATCGGAATGGGCATTTTGAAAGAAGGGCGCAAGAAATTGTCGCTAAAAGTTGTAATCTCGATTTTAATGAAAAAATATTTTTGGAATACAAAGATATCTCGACGTTTCCAGAATATTCGTTGAGCCATTTGTGCATATTGATAGAATATTCGAATTGTTGCGCCTGAGTGGCCCGGTTCCATTGGGCGATCGCCTGGAAATCGAAAAAAATATTGGAAAAAAATTTCGAGGCTGTGTAAATTTTTTTCAAAATTTTCAAATAGGGTTACACGAGAATTCCATAAAAATCCAATTATGACTCTCCCCCGAGTTTCGGCAAACTTTCAACTTGAAAATCGAAAATTGAGCTTGCTCCTACTGAAAAATAGAGCTGGACCTCAAAATTCCAAATTTTTCCTCCGTTTTTTCGAAAAACTGAAATTTTTTAGTGATAAACTTACACCAAATTTTTTTTTTCCGTTTTTCGATGCAAAACATGCAAGAAATGAGATAGAAATATTTTTTTCGCGGTACTTTATCAATTTCTTACTTCACTAGCTTTGAAAGAAAAGTAAACTGAAAATGTAAGATGTATTACCGATTTATTTTTTTCTTGGAAAAAAACCTGGAGGAGCGTTTGAAAAATGGAATAGTCGAAATTTACGAAAGCCTCGAGCCCTTTTGTCCGTTTTTCAGTCATTTACAATTTCAAGGACAGATTTTTGGTCGGATTACACCTATTTCAAGCAATTTTTCTGAGCATTTAATCTATAATTTTTTTATTCATTTTCCATCCCAAAAAAACTGACCCTTTTCAGCCAAATGCCGAGATAACTTTTCGCCGTGAGAAACTGCAACGGTTTCGGCAGCGGAGTCTCGTACAAAGCCGTGTCGGCGAATTCGCGCCGCCCGTGGAAAATCGTGTCATCCACTTGCATCGAAATGTGTTCCCCATATGCCAATCGCTCCATACTGAACCGAAAATTACCTTTTTCCCCCACTAAAAACCTCACCAATAAACGAAATCGTAGTAAATCCCACGGCGAATGTGAATATCCATGAAGCGCACAACTTTCAGAACTTCTTCATAAGTCACGTCTCGTTCAGAAGACGTCAAACCGTAAAACAATATCAAAATTCTGGAAGTACGCGCGGTTTTTAATTGAAATTTAGCGTTTTTTTCAACCTCGTGTGTTCAACATTCACGAAAGGCCGAGGACTTGGCACGGTTTTATAGCCAAAATGCATCCGGAACAAGTTCCTGAGCAGATAAAACACAGCCACCTGGAATTATTCAATATCTAACCTCCATAAATGAATAAAAAGCTAACTTTATAAGGCCTTAAAGGCTCGCCGATCATGTTGTTGTAGACGAATCCGAAAAGCTCATCTAGGTTAACCCTGTTTCTCCTTTTCAAAAAAGCGCTCATTTCTGTGGACTACACCCTGCAAAAAACTTTCTCAGTTATCATCAATAGCTGAAAAATTAGAAATATGAAAAGAAAAAAAGGAAAAAGGGAGGAAACGAAAGATTTTCAAAAAGGCGCCTTTTGAACTAGCGCTCTACTGAGCGCAGTAAGCAGCCACTTGAGGGGCATTGAGACACTTCAGTAGGACATTCCATGGTGAGAAGTTATGATTAAATTTCAAAATACAGAAAAAAATAAGAAAAATAGCTAGGCGTCTAAAAAAAAATTTAGCGGAAAAAAAATTCCAGGGATTCCAATTTGAGGTAGCGAACTCAGAATTATGAATTTTTGAACACTTACACGGAAATCTTGAAAAGCTGGACACGATTGACAAGAAAATAAGAAAACTTTGACCGCATAAGCAGAGAAATTTGAAATTAAAAAAAATAACAAAACGTGCGTAATTTCACAGGGGTCAGCAACGCTTATTGGCGTGTTCTTCGTGCGGCTGACGTGATTTTTTTTCAGTTTTCCAAATTTTGCAAAAATTTTCTTTTTTCTTTCTTTTTTTCATCATTTCCAGTTCAATATAAATTTTATTAAAACGGAAGGAACTCCATTAGTATTTTAAGTTGCTCGGAAATGTCCTTTCAATAAGTTTCCTATTGTTATTTTGCGAAAACTTCTGTCTTCTCCAGCTGGATTCAGTGGCCGAACCATTTATGCTCATTTTTTTGTCATTCAGCGATCTTGATTCTATTTTTCACGCTATTTAGGAATTTTCGAAAGATCAAAAATAGTCACAAAAAAACGACCTCTATCTAAAAAATGCAGTGTGGTTATTTTATAGTCAATACCCGTTCAATAGTAATATTTTCAATTTTCAGCGTTTGTCGAGTAATGTCCACATGTGAAAAATGGCCTCTAATGAAATACACGGATATCAAAGAAGGCGGTCAAGTTATTGTGAGTTTTACAACGAGGTGAAGTTTCCAAGAAAGGTATTCAGTGCTCGAACGATTTGCAATTGCTTTTCGACAGAGGCGTCAAGTCTTTGACAGTATATTACGGCCTGAAAATCGTAGAACGCGTTCATCTGACTGATCAGGGTCCGCCATACATCAAGTAAGATAAAAAAGAAAACTGATTAATTTTTTCGGTGTCAAGGTTCAAAAACGCGGATATGGTGGTTCAGAAAAGTCAGGACCGGGAAGGATTCCGCTTGCGGTTTTCTTCTTTGGAATCGCGCTTCAATTTTACTGAACTGGTGTCAAAGTTCACTCTTGTCGGGGATTTCACACCAAGGGTTAAATAAAAACGGACTATTTTGGATTTTCGCATGAGTTACAGAAAGAACCGCAACAAAATCTTCAAAAGCTCGAAGTAGAGAAAACTTGGAACGTCTCACAATCCTTGGAGTCCGTCCGGCAACTGGAAGATTCTCGATACTCTTTCAGCGACGCTGTGAATATCATTTTTCTAAATTTTCCAATTCTTGCATATTTCAGAGCACCCAAAGTTCCTCTTGTATGTCATTTTCCCCGGCTTATGGCTCCACCCCGACTTACGGCGGTTCTACGCCCGTTTACAACCCGCCCATATCTTTTCCAAGCTCACAAGACGTTGAAACTTCGCCATGGATTCAAGAAAAATGGGGAATTTTCAGTATGGGCAGCATGACTTTACGCAAAGTACAATTTATTCGGAGCCGGTCAAGAAAAATCCTTACAGGGACTTATTCAAAGCTTCTCAGAGCTTTTCTCAGCCGCAGTTTACGACGAAAACAGTAGAGCAGCAATCAAATAAGGTTGAGAGCTGTGGGACCTGTTGAGAAAAAAATCTCTTTTTTTTTTTTCAAAAATCAAGAATTTTTCTTCAGTATGGCCAACATGATTCGACTCAAAGTACGATGTATTCGGAGCCGGCCAGGAAAAACTGTTTCCCGAGATCTTTTCAACGCTTCTCAGGGCTTTTCTCAGCCGCAAGTTACGAGGAAACCTGTGGAAGTTCCGGTTGTAAAGGTTGGAAACGATATTTGTAAAGTTAAACTTATTTTAGACCGAAAAAATTTATAAAAAAAGTTATTTTTGCAAGAGTTTTTCATTTTCGGATCAAAAATTGACTGAATAATGCCCTTTTTTTCTGGTAAATAAATACGTAAATTTCGCCTTCAAGGTCCAAAAAATGGTGTCCAATTTTGTGCTGATGCTTCCCCATAAAAAAAAATGAAAGTTTATTTCGCATTCCGTAACTCTGATATAGCCCATTCCGCACCAGCTTGTCACGTTTTTTTCATTCCTTCCATCTGAAAAGCCCTTCCATTCGACGCGCGCAATCTATTTTTGTACATACGCCTTTAAAATAACTAGAATCTTCAGGATAAGTTAAAGGCGCAAGTATAAGGAAAGGGCCTTTCGAATAGCTCAAAGATAAACTAAAACCGTGACAAGCAAGGCTATATAAGTTTTTGAAAATCCTAATTTCCAGCCCAAAGAAAGGTGTGAAGCCGGCTGTCAGACTGAAGAAGACGATATTTCCGAGTTTTCGAGCCCAGAAACCGTGAAAAGTTATCTTCTCGATGCTGTCGGTTAATTCAATAAAATTCAATGTAATCTATAATTTTTAAGCTCAAAAAGCCAAATGTTCTGGAACTCGTCCAGCTTTTCATGGAAGGAATCAAGAAGCTTTCGGAAGACGATCTGAGCGTCTTGAGGTCGAAAGTTCACCTGGTCTGTAAATTAATTCAGAAAAGTAAATATCCCCATAATTTAAGAACATTGGAAAAGGGAACGAAGAGATAAAGATTGTTCAGAATACGACTATTGAGAAGAAAAAGCGCGGAAGGAAACCAAAGGTTACCGTTTCGATTTGTTTTGAAATAAAATATAATCATTAGAAGTTGGAGAAATTCATTTCTAGACTATTTATTTAAATTCTCATCAGAATTGAGAGAGAAAAACAGGAAAAAAAGTCAATAAATTATGAATATTTGTACAATTTTTTTCCTTGAAACTTACCATACACATTTTTTTATTCGTACTCTATTCCACAAATGGCAGTTTTCTACGGTCACAGTAGAAAAAAATTCCAAGAATTCCAAGAAAAAAATTCTTAAATTTACAGAATAAAAAAATAAGAAAGAAATGAGGAAAAATCTCAATAAATATCAAAATTCTCTCCGAACACCGAGATATGGGAAACAACTTTTTCCTTATACGTTTTTTTCAGAGACTACTGTTTTTTTTTCCTGGCTAGAATTTGTAGATATCAAAATGAAAAATTTAGTTATCATTGAACTTATTCAATTTTTGGTTATGGTAGAGAAATGTTGAGTTTCGCGACTTTTTCTAGTCTGAACTTCAGTTTTCCCGTCGTCCTGATAATACATTTTTTTCAGAGAATGAGATCTACAGAGGGATAATAAAATCATAAAAAACCAGTACGCGAAGCTAAAATTAAAAAAAAAATCATTTCTTTATTAAGAAAAGGTACGGAAACTCTTCTTCAGTAAAAAATAATCTTGATGCGATTTTATTATTTTCAGATAGTTCGACTGAGCTAACATCGAAATATTTAAATTTTTTCCGTCTTTGACTATTTATCTTTCGAAAAATCGTCCAATCCAATAGAAAACAAAACGTTAACGATAAATTGTGCAAAATCAGAACACTTGTAAACATTTTCAGGAGGTATCACCTGAAGAGAAAGAAAAGAAACTCTTGGAAAAATGCCAAAAAAAGAGAAGAAAAAGCCCGGAAGGAAACCTAAGGTCCAAAGAAAGGTTTTGACTTTTTAATATGGAAAGTATTGATTTATTGAATTTTTTTCCCAGCTTGAAACTGCAAAAGAAAACCGTGCAAGGTCATCATTGAGTGAAATATAAAATATCTGTACCATAAAAATGCTTGTAAAATGTTCCATATTGCTTGTAAATTCTGCTGTGAATACTACGTTGAAACCATCTTAATAAATACTTTTTATTCTGCGAACAGTTGTCCGATGAGAAAGGAAAAAAAGAGCAGTCTTCGTTCTGCGTCGATACTGAAATTGTAAAATGATTGAAATGTCTTTTTATGTTTAAAGTGCCCTTAAGTGACCCCTTGTTTTTTTTTTCTTTTGAAACTACTTATTAAAGGAACAGGGCGGAGTCTAAAAAGATTCGCCATGAGACTCAATTTTTTTGATTTTTTTCAAAATTGGTTCATTTTATTCAAGCTTTTCATTAATGGTCTCTTCAAAAATTTTTTTATGTTTTTTGAAATTTATAGTTTTTAAAGGCGCATTGGGGAGCCCTAAAAAAATATTCGCGGTGAGACACTTTTTTTTTTTGCGATTTGCGTAATAATTTTTCAAATTAAACTCGTTCCCTTTGAGCTTTTAATTGACATTCTTCTCAAAAACTTTTTTTTAAAGGAACGTGGGAAAATTTTTATGAAGCTTTCGAAGCGAAAAGTCGTTTACAGTATGATTTTAGGTCATGTGCTTCTTCAAGGGTTTCATAAAATTTTTCGAATAATTTTAACATTTATTTGAAAACTCTTATTGTTAGATGAGCGGAGCGGAGCCTAAAAATATTCGTTATGAGACAAAATTTTGGTTTTGTATGTTTTTAAAATCAGCTTTTCTGACTGAAAATTTCACAATTTTTAGGTTTCTTCCTGTTCTTTTAAACTTTAATAAATAGAATACAAATTTTGAAGTTATGTTGATCTTGAGAGAATGATAAATAACGAACCAAAAGTAGGGTTAGTTTTCGATGAGAGCGCGACGAGTAATCGAGTCCGGCTCGCGTTCGTTCCTGGCCCCATCCTCGGAAATGACCAGAGCCGTTTTCTGCGAATCAATGTCGAGGGCGGTGACGACTCCAGAAGTCGGCTCGTCTTCGATCTCGAGGCAGGTGTTGACGTCGCTAGACTCCGAATGGCTGCTTCTGGCCGTACTGACGGCCGGGGAAACGCCGCTTCGGATGCGGGATCTTGGAGTGACTCCCTGGGCGGTTCTGACCGTAAGGAGATTCGGCTCGGGAGACGTCGCAGTGTGGACGGAACTTCCGAAGCGAGACCTCAACGTCGCTCCTCTGGCGGTGGAAACAGCTGGAGAGGTGCTTCTGGAGTTCGGAGTTCTAGCGTTTGCAGTTCTGACAGAGAGAAGGTTCGGCTCAGGAGACGTGGCGGTGTGGACGTCTAGAGAGGTAGCACTACTGAAGCGACGTCTAGGACTCGCTCCTTGGGCAGTGAAGACTGCTGGAGAAGTCGAACTCGAAGTCGGAGTCCTGGCATTGGCCGTTCTGACCGAAAGAAGGTTAGGCTCAGGAGAAGTGGCGGTGTGGACGGCTGGAGAGATGGAACGGTCAAAACGGGATCTGGGAGTCGTTCCGCGAGCAGTGTGGACATTTGGAGAGATGAAACTACCGAAGCGAGCTCTGGGAGCTGCTCCTTGGGCGGTAAAGACAGCTGGAGAGGTGCCTCCGGAATTGGCAGTTCTGACCGACAGGAGATTGGGTTCGGGGGACGTGGCGGTGTAAACAGAAACGTCGAAGCGAGATCTTGGAGTAGTTCCCCTGGCGGTGTGGACAGCCGGGCTTCGGAAGCTTCTCTCAGTGTTCTGATAGGCGGTCCTGACCGACAAAAGGTTCGGTTCCGGAGTGGTGGCCGTGTAAACGCTGGTGTTGCTGGAAGCGCCCCTCGCCGTCTTGACGTCAGAGGTTCTGGAGCGGCTCCGATGTACCGTTGGGAATGATAAGGGATTCGTCTCCGATGAGGTCGCGGTAAAAACTGCCGGGCTTCTGGAGCTGTTCAGATTGGCGGTTCTGGTGGATAGGAGATTGGGTTCGGGAGACGTCGCCGTGTAGACAGCTGGGCTTCTGGAGCTGCCGAGAGAGTTTTGACGGCCGGTCCTGACCGACAGAAGGTTCGGCTCAGGAGTCGTGGCTGTGTAGACGCTGTAGTTGCTGGCAGAAGACCTGCCCCTCGCCGTATGGACCGTGTAGAGGTCGGGCTCCCTCGAGGCGGCTGTGTAGACGCTGGTGGTGGCCACGCTTTCGCCAGGACTGATGGCGGTCCGAGAAGTCCGACCGTCGTCTGCAGTCCGCGTGCTCAGGCCTGAGATCGAGGTTGAGGCAGAGCTTTTGGCGATTGAGGCATTGCTGAAAGTCGAAGAGGTCTTATTCTTGGTGAATCTAGAGATAAAAGGTAAAATTATATTTAAAAGCACCTGACACTGCTGCGGGTGCCATTATCTACAGCAGTATTGATAGCGGAGTTCGTCTCCAGGGCCGTCTTCAGACACGCCAGCTCAGCATCGGAAAGAGCGTTTTCCCTCTGAAGTCCGAGATCAACAACAGCTTTCTGATAAGAATCCCACCGCAAACTGTCTCTCAAGACGTTCGCAAGTCGAGGGACCCAAAAGCCGAACCAGCTGTTGGTAAGTGAAGGAAGCGCCTCTGATGGTCGAGTTGGGTTGGTCGTATTGCTGAAACATGAAGAATAAGGTTTTTTTGGCTTGAAAATGCGGCACAGGAGATTTTGATTCTTCTCAAAAACGCACGCAGACGTCAAGAAAAATGGGAAAATGAATAACTAACCGGCTGGATCGGAGAACGGCTGCTGTCCGTGTTCGACATGGCGGTTCTCGTGTCTTCTTCGCCTTGGGTCAAGAAGTACAGTTTGCCGTCGATGATCTTCGGCACGTAGACTCCGTTGTCCAGCGAGTCTACTTGGCTTCTATAAAAAGAAAATAATAGGAGATATTAAAGCTGCTTGGAAAATAGTCAACGTCTCCTTGACCATTTCATGATCTGAAGCGATCAGAAAAAAAAATTTAAAAAAAAATATTTTTTTAAATAAAATGTCAAGCTCCGCCTTCTTCAAATAGACATTCTAATGCTATAAAAATCTTCGATACTCAAAAAATAACCAACAAGATTGGACCAATAGTCTCCAAATAACTAAACTCGGCAATCGCGATTAATCTGACGTTTCTGAGCAATTCCAGGGATCACTTAAGAGAAGCCGCTAAAGTGATTTCTAGAAGTGCTCAGAAACGTTACCGAGGTCCGATTTGAATCTATAGCCGATTCACGACAAGCATGGGACGTTAAGAGGGCGTGGCCTGTCTTCGCTCTCCACCAGCCTGACACTGCCTCTTTTCCTATCGTGCCAGGACCCTTTTCTAAATGGCTCAAGCCAACCGTGAATCAGCTATACTTGTGTTGTAAATTATCAACGGAGCGCAGAAAGATTACTTTCCGAGCCATTTTTTCATACGATTTAAAAGAGCTACCTAAGTTGCTTGGCGGAAATCGGGAGCCCAACCAAAAACGGGCGGTTCGGTGCGTCTTTCGAAAAGTTCCGCTCTTTTTCGTGCTGCACCTGCAGCTCACGAAGCACGTATTCCGACACGACCTTGATATTTTTTAATATTTCTGTTGTAACAATAATGTTGAGCGAACTGGCTTGAGTTCGGCGGGGTCCACGGGTTTTCTGTTGAGCTCGGCGAGTTGATATTGCGATTTGGTCGCATGGACGGATCCTTAGAAGACATTTTTTGGTTATTTTAAAGGCATACGACAGTAGGAAATCGCTTTTAGGAGTTAACAATGATGGAACTAGTTGATGTATTTGGAAAATCTACATGACTTTCTAGTTTCTGAGAAAAACTGGCTTGAAAGGTGGCGAAAAATCGGTTTTTTAAATTTTGACTGCCAAATGTTCATCTTTTTCTCGTGATGATCTTTGAAAAAGTCAAAACTGGCCTAAACTGTATGATTTATTGAAGTTTGAAAGATTTTCTCGAAAAAATTGAGTTTTTGAGGAATTTCAAGCATGTTTTCGGAGTCCGCACGGCAAGCTTCATCCGAAATTTTTGAATAAAAGTCAAATTTTTGATAAAAAGAACACAAACTTAGCGTTTCATTGTACGCTTTGAAAAGATAATCGTCGCCGTCGTAGTTTCCTGACGCCATTTTGGAACTTACTGGATAAAAAATAGATCAAGTAGGGAAGACAGAACTGACCTCCGGTGAAAGATTTGGGAAGAAGGAATGGCGTGGAGTTTCTTGGAATTCACGTTCTGAGAGGATTTAATTTTTAAATGAGCAATTCCTTTGAGTTTATTGAAAGGAGACCTCATAAAACGTTCAAAAAAAGATTGGAAAGGGTGGACTTTGCAACCGACCTGAACCGTCTTGGCGCAAGCTCTTGATTTCTCAGATTTTATTGAAATGGTACTCACAAAACGGTTCAAAATGTCCCCAGATGGACTGGGTTGACTTTGCAACCGACCTGAACCGGCTTGAACCAAACTCTTAACTTTAATTAAATTTGAAAACCAGTGATTCCAAAGAGTTTATTGAAAAAATGACCTCAAAGATGGTCATAGGTAGAAAGGCTCGACTTTGCAACCGACCTGAACCGACTTGATCCGAATCCTTGATTTTTTGAAACTCATCGGAGAAATTTCATAAAACCTTTCAAACTGGGTTAGGTGGAAAGGCTTGACTTTGCGACCGACCTAAACCGACTTGATAAAAAAACGCTTTGAACCGTTCTTTGTGCACCCATTTTCTTTCAAGCTATACCGCACAAAAAATAAATTTATATCTGAAATTAAAAAAAAAAGTTTACAGATCCGATTTGGCTTCAAAAACGGAACTGATGATCACCTCCTAGCACAGGAGCGCCAAGGTCGGATTTTTTTTCTGATCCGCAGATTCTTGGAATTTTGGAAAATAGTTAATGCCGTAAAAAAAGTAATTTTCGCGAAGTCCAGAATTATCCCTGACTCTCCGATATACAGTTATTTTTTCATTTCTCTGATAAAAAGAACTCGGCTTTTTTGAACCTTTTTGAAAACTCGGATGGAGAAAAAATGTTTTTTTAAACTTTTCAATCTTTTAACACACGTTCTCTGAGATATGCGATTTACAGTGGGCACAAAAAATTCATGTTGCTTTTTTTGAGCTTATATTTTTATCACATCAACTACAAAAATATACAAAACTTTTGAACAAGATTTTGTCAAGCTCCGCCCTTTTTGAGGATTACTGTAGCCGAAATACGAAAAAAATCCAACTTTTTTCTCCGTCGTCCAAATCAAATGAAACTTTTTTAAAACGAAAGCTAGTGACAAAATAGTTCTGGAGCCTTCCAAAATGTAAGCTTCATTTTCAAGCTTTTTCTGGAAATTTCCGGTTTTAGAGACTTCCAGATTATTTCGAAGTACTTTTCAACTCAAAAAGGTTTTTTGGGGTGCGGAATCCTGAAAAAGTTCCAAAAATATCATTTTTCATGGCACATCAAAGAAGGTTCCTGGAGATGATCCGGAAAAAAGAGTTTCATCGGTTTTCTAGCTTCAAATTCAAAAAAATTTTTTTTTCAACATTTTTCTGCTTTCTATAAAGAGGCCTTTGCGAGCCAAAACCTAGAACAAATTCAAAAAAAAAACTATTTTTTGCGGTCACATCAAAGAAGGTTCTTCCATGTTTGAGATGATCCAGAAGAAACGGCCCCAATGTCTCACGATTTTTTATGGGAAAAACGTCTCATCGGGCCTTATACAGGCAATGATTCACACGCGACGCCTCCACGCGCGCTGCTCTTACGAATGTTTTTGCGCTTCTTTCCTTTTCCTTTTTTGGGAAAGAATTCGGTTCCCTTCCTTTTTCATGACAAATATCATGTATATATCATCCTTTTTTGCCGCGCCGTTCCTTCTGTTCCTCTCGAATTGTACGAAATTTGGATTTTTTCGAAAAAACAGACGAAAGTTCATTTTGAGTCCGAGTTTGACCCTTTTTCCTTGGCGACTTCACGACTTTAGAAAAAATTTTTTTTTTCGACACTGAAAGGTATATAAAGTTCCCAGCTGAAAACAAAAAAATTCTGAATTTTTAAAAAATATTTTTGAACCTCATTTCAGACAAATTTCTTTTTACAGCAAAAAAACGGAAGGATCTCCGAAATATTAAGTTTTAATGAAACTTTTTCATGTCCCAAGATTTTTTTGGTTCAAGAGCCGAGAGAAATTTCTCAGAATTACCATGAATTTTTCGAATTTTGTTCGAAAAAAACATGCACAAAGCTCATTTTGACCTTTTGCGGTTTTTTTAGTCATTTCCATGTCAAAATTAGCTTTTTTTGAAATTAAAAAAATTTTTCTTATCTTTGCTGAAAGATCTAAAGAGTTCACGGTTAAAAAAATGAAAAAGATTCTGAATTTTTTTGTAGATTTTTTTCGAGCTCAATTTTTGGTCCGAATTATTTTCACAAAAAAACTGGAAATCTCCAAAATATAAATTTTTCATGAAATTTTGAGACTTTCAAGTTTTTTTCTGAACATTTTTTCTGATTTTTAAAAAAATTAAGGAAATTTTCACAAACTTTTTTTCCCTTTTTAAATACTTTCCTTGTTTTTCAACCTAACCTGTGGTCTTTTTAGACTTTTTACCTTTTATGGAGTCTTAAAAACGAGTTCCAACAAAAGCCCCGAGTAATTTACCTTGCGCAAATATTGACAATATGCGGAATATTCTTACAAAACACTTTTTCAAGGATTTATTTTTTCTCTTGAGATGATTTTATACATTTTGTACTGTAGGGAGTTCTAGATTAATAGGTTTAGAGATCGGTTTTTAAAAACTTCCACTGAATTATGATGAAACAAAGCAATTCAGCTTTAATTGAATTAACTAACGCTAGTTTTTTTGAATTCTTCAGGATCAGTTGTTTAAAAAAATTAAAGGGTCCTGAAACGATATTTTTAGGGCATTTATAGTGATTGCGGCATTTCAAGAAACCGTTCTTATTTTTTTAACTTATAAGACTTTAGAGCTTAAAAAAATAGCCGTGAAAGTTCGAGATAGTGTGTAAAAAAATGAGAGGTTTTGCTGATCTCAAAATGGATTTTTAAAAAAATTTTTTTGAACAAGTTTTTAAAGAGAATTTCCTTCCAAAAAAATTGATTTTATTTTTGAAAAAGTGCAACTTACACGGAATCTCATTTTTAATATAAGGCTAGAAATTCCTTGAAAGTTGGCTTAAATACTCCTTGATGTACTACAAGAAGATCCTGAAAGCCTCAACCTGCAAAACTTCTTAGTTTTTGAGAAATAAGCCCAAAATGCCAAAATTTAACTTATTTTCAGTGTTTTTCTTGACTTGGAGGCATTTTTTTTTCTCAAAAACTGGGACTTTTCTCAGTTTATGAGCTCCAGAATCTTTACCTGATACATCAAGAAGTTTTTTGGCCAAATTCCAAAGAAATCCCAACCGCAAATAAAAATGACGTAGTTTTTGAGGGTATCGAAGAAATTTTCAACATGCTACTTTCTTCCACCGTTTTCCGTTCGGTTTTATTTACATATCCATCCAGAAAAAAAATCTCCGCAAGGTACAACTTACCCTTTTTATTACTTCTAAGCCACCTGAGGTAATTTGAGAAACAAAAAAAAAGAGTGGGGTCGAGCCGACTGAAACATGTGTTTGCCCCCTGGTCGCACGTGTTTGCTCCTTCCTCCCCCATTTTCTGCGTCAAAACCAGTCATTTTTGCATCTTTTTGGTTCTTTGCACTTCTTTGAGGGTTTATTAGAAGATTATAGTAGGTTTTGTGGACTATATTCATTGGAAACCGAAAAAATTCATAAAATTAGAAAGATTTCATAACCTGTTTTCTGTGTGGAAAATACTGATAATGATAATATTTTTCTGTTCTAGGTAAATTTAGTTTTGACCGAGAAGAATGCTCGAATTTCATTAAAAAATAGTGAAACGTTGAATAAATTTCTACGAAGCTCCACTTTACGATTGTGCGCTGGCGCAGACTTTCCGCGTCGTCCTAAATTAATCAAATTTTTCTTATAAATTTTTTTACTCTTTTTGATTATTAAATTAAAAATCTAGATTCCATCATTATTCCTACAAAGAATGAACGACCTAAAAAACTAATGAAATGTAAAATTTAGAAAAAAAAAATACTTACAAGGAGGTAATTTTACTTTACGGTTGGGAATTTTCCGAAAAATTGGCCAGAATACTCCTCGATGTACCAGGAGGACGTTCTGAAACTCCTAATCGGAAAAATACCGCATTTTTCGAGAAATAAGGACTCAAAGCCCAAAAAATGCTCACTTTAACGGTTTTGAGAGTTTTTTCCGAATTTTAGGTGTCCTTTTTGAAAAAAAATAGAACGTTTTGAAGGTGGGGATTTTCAGGATCTTTTTCTGGTACATCTAGGAGTGTTTAGGCTGGATTTCAGAAAAATCCCAATTGAAAAAAAATGACCTATCTTGGGGGTGTTTCTGTGACTTCAAGTCGCTTTTTTTAGAAATTAGGAAGTTTTTGGAGGTTAAGATTTTCAGGATCCTTTTTACTGGTATATCAAGCAGTGTTTTGGCCGAATTTCAGAGAAATGCCAATTTTAAAAAAATGACCTATCTTGGGGGAGTTTCTGTGACTTCAAGGCGTTTTTTTTAGACGCCAGGAATTTTTGAAGGTTAAAATTCTCGGGATCTTTTCCTGGCGCTCGAAGGAGTGTTCCAGCCAATTTTTATGAGAATCAAAAAAAAAAAACGGTTCGATCCATAACTCTTTTTTGATTCCCCCCCCCCCTCTCCAAAAGACTGGGCAACATGCGCGGCTTCGAAACCGTCATTGTTTATGATAAGCGACCGCCCTTATCAGCTGTCGCGTTTTGGCAAGGCGTTTTTCCTTCTCGCGGCCCTTTTTCCCTGAATTCTGCGCCTCTTCTCATCAGTTTTTGTTTTAATTTGAACAAGAAATGGCCAATTTTCATGAGAAATGCAACATTCCTTATATTTTCTTTTGTAGAGCCTGGAAAAAAGAAAATATTTGGCCTTTTCTTTGAGTTTTCCTCCCTTTCAGTTTGAGTTCAGTGATTCATCTTTTGAAACATTTTTTGGGTTCTTATTCATTTTTCCTATTTTCATACTGCCTATTTAGTACTTTTTGTGTAAGAAATAAAACTGATAAAAAAATCAGTGAATTTCAAAATTTTAATTTTTTTCGATTTTTTTGTCGAGTTTTTCTAGTGAAATTTTTCAAAAAGAAAAAAATTTTTTTCAACAGTTTTTTTCTACTAAAAAAACTGTTATAAAATCATTTTCAGTGTTTAAAAGTCGGAATTTTTGTACATACATATTTTTTTAGTCATATCTGAATTTCACTAATAATGGCTCAAGGACAATTCAGAATGTTTTTCCGGATTTTTTTGATTTTTTTCAAATATTTTTGCAGTTTTTTTAATGAAATTCGCAACAATTTTTTTAGATGGAAAAGAACATTTAAAAAAATTTTTTTAAGGTCACTTAATGTAATTTTTTCTTTAGAAAAATGAAAATATTCAGACCATCTCGAAAAAAATTTGACGTGCAGATGAATTTCCATTTTTTTCTCTTTTTTTCACTATTTCTTGAATTTGTAACGTTATCAATTCTTAACTACAGAAGCTGTTTTCCTTTTTTTTTTTCAAAATTGCAGTTTTCTCTTTCCTTTTCTTCATATTTTTTCCTGACTTGTAGGTAAAATTCGAAGCTTTTATTTCTCTTCCTGACTTCGTTTTGACGTTTCCAATCAAGTTTTTTTTCCCGCGTTTGAATGTGGGTTTGTCATGCAAATGAGCAAATTTCCACGCCTTTTGACGAGTTTTTTCCCAACTTTTGGTCGTTTTGAACTGTTCAAACCCAATTTTTTCACGGCTATCCCATTATTTTTATTTTCTCTACTAGTTCAAAAAAAGGGATTTGAAATTCGCGTATCAGCTTTGTGACTTGGAAAGAACCAATTACTTCTATTAGGAGTTCAGAAATTCAAAAAAAAAGATTCCAATCTTTTGAAAAAACAATTTTTCCTCTTTAGTTTAGTTTCCCGTTTCATCTCTAGTATTTGTTTCAAAAATCGTTTTATTTTTATTCATGGTACGATCCTATGGGATTAATCTGCAGGACGATGACGCCGTACTACGAGAGAAGTGAGTACTACTCGCAGGACAGAAGGTCGCGCAGTGGAACTGAGGTTTTTTTATTTTGGAAAATGAAAAATAAAAAAGTTTGTTCTTGTTGTAGTACTTAGGAGCGCCAGAGAGGTCCCTATAGGGGTCAGGGGAAAAAAAGTTGCCCCCTATAGGGACCTCTTTTGCAAGCTTCAGTAGTCCTTATAGGGCCAGGTAAAGTGGTACTTAGATGGGAACTTTCAAGGGCCCCTATAGGGATCACTCCGGGGATCCTGAGAAGGGAAAAATTAAGAAGAATTTCCTGCAATTTATTTCAGCTAAAGTTTAAATGTTTTTTTGAAGATTAAAAGCTTCTTTTTCACTTTTTTGAATAAATTATGGAGCGAATTGGTTCTTATTTGAAAAATTGAATCTGAAATAATTTTCTTGAGCTTTAAAGATAGTTAACATGAGCAATAAAAGCCCATTTTGTAATTATTAGGTAACATGAGCAATATTGTAGAGACTTGGAAAGGTTTAGGCGATTTTGGTTCCAGAAACAATTGTTTTTTCACATTGAGGGTATTTTTTCTTCAATTTTTCTCATTTTTCATTTTTGTGCCATTTTATAAAAAAAAACTTTTTTAAAATCTCATTCAAGACCCCTAGAGGCGTCACTAAAACAACAAAACCCTACAGGGAACCCTCTGAAATCCTGTCTTTTTTCCACCTCTCAAAACCGAGAAATAATCGAACTTTTCTCCCGATTCTTGACGGACATGTGTTGAAGCGTCAATCAATCAAATTCTCTCACTTTTTTTTTCCTATTTCGAGACACGCATATCACCTTGATATATGTGCATTGTTTGCATTGTGACACAAGAGAAAATATTTGAAAAATCTTGGAATTTTGGCTTGATTCATCCAATGAATGAGATAAAGAAAAATATTTCCATGTTTGAAAAACAGAAAGGCCACTCGGTTTGATAGCGTGTCGTTTATTTCGCGGAAGTGTCGTAAAACTTGTTTGATAACGGTTTGGGAGGCTGTAAACGGTAGGAAAATTTGGTGAAACGTGTGATAAGTTTGAAGTTGGTGTAAGAAGGGGGGGGAGAGTCGGGAAGCGAAAAGTGGGATCGGAAAAAAAGAAGGATTTTTTTGAGTTTTTTTGTTGAGTTTTTTTAATTTCTATGATTTTTTTCCCGAAAAATCGGACGAAGCTTGATAAAGATTCTTTATAGTCGCTACCTCTTCTATAGAATTTTTTTCAAAAAAATATTTTCGAAGTCTTTATTTTTTTCAAAGAGAACGTTTCTTTACGACTTTTTCACGGCCAACTTTTTGTAAGGATTTTTTTAAAATTAATTATTTTTTTCTAAACTCCTTTTCATAGGTTCATTTTAAAGAATAACTACCTTCCAAAACTTTGAATTTTTCAAAATCTCAGTGTATTTTTTATGCCTTGCCCCTGTTTTAAAAGCAATTTTCGAAGATTACTATTTTCAGAATGAAAAAAAGATTGTGCAGATCTCAAAAAAAGATCGTTTCAGAAAATCAGTTGAAAATTTTCAACTCAACTCATACTTAAGCTTTTTCCATCAAAAAAAAAAAGGAAACAGTTGTCTTTTGAGCGTAAAAGCCAAAAATCGTTTTCAAGAAGCTTCTGCCTACTTCTTGTTTTCTTCGAAAAGAGAAAAACGGAAAAAAATGAAACGTGATAAGTGACAATTTTTGAGCTTTTCAGCTCGAGTAAGCAGTTGTTTTCGAAGCGAAAAGTCAAATATCAGTTTCGAAATGCAAAAAGTAGTCCAAAGAATATTTTTTCCAAGGCGAGAGGTTGAAGTTTTGAAAAACGGGGTGTAAAACGGAGTTTCAAGCTGAGGGAGGTAGTGATTTCCCTAATTTAAACTCGGGAAGAAAGGTTGGTCCAAAAATAGTCTGCCCGTGTACGTTTACGGTTTATAAATTTACGGATTTCTATTCCGTTTAAAAAATGGTTTTTGTGAAGCTCAAAGTTCATCAGAAAGTATACAGATATTTTTATACACAGGCAAAGTCCAAACGACCTTAAAAGGCCTAATAATGAAGAGCTTAAAGCTCTTTTTGAGTTCCTAAAAAGGTGTCAAAAGTTCCTCGGAACCTCCTTTTTTCCACCTTATCTCCGCCTTATTTTTCTAGTCCCCCTTAAAAAGTCCTTTTCAGAAAAAGGTCTAGAAAAAAGGCGCATGTGAGACCATTTGAAGGCTTTTTTTTTTCCAAAAGGCCTTTTTGAGACCTTTTGGACTTTGCCCGTGTACCTAAACTTAATACTTTTCAGAAAAAATAGTAATTTTGTATGAACTTTTTCGAGTTTGATATTCAAAATTAGCTCCAAAACGGTCAGAGATCTTTTCTTCCCTCACTAGGAAACGTTCTTTTTTCAAATGTGCCGCAGTAGGTTTTATTTTTGAGTTAGGACGCCTTAAAAGCTTGAAATGGTGTTCTTTTTTTCTCATAACACGCGAAATTTGCTAAATTTGATACTTCATAACTCAAAAAAAAGATCCTTCGCGAAAACTTTTTTCGAGACCTTTATGAACTTTGTTTATGCTCCTTTAATTTTCTGTTTCTTTTTTCTTTGAACTTGGGTCTATTTTGAGTTTTCGGAGATATTTCGCTGCTCTTTTTTTGAAAATTTCAACTCGTACGAACATTTTTTTAATTTAACGTGATCAAGAAAAAAACTATCATTTCTAAAAATTTCAAGCTTTGCAATCCTCCTTGATATACGTTTCAAAAAGACTTATAGAAGAGAAAATGAACTCGAAAATTGTGATTTGAGGCTCACGCAAGCTGGAGATACACAATAATATTTGGTCGATTTACTGGAAGAGTAACCAGAAAGATTTTTTTGTTTTTTTAAAAAGATTAATATAAAATATACAAGGTCAAAAAAAAGTTAGCATATTTGGAACAAAAAATCGGATTTCTAAAATAAAATTCATAAGAAAAAGTCGTAGAAACGTTTTTTTTTGTACTTGACAGGGAAGATTGTTTTCATTTTGCGGTTGAGAATTTTCCTGAAAAGTGGCCAGAATACTTCTAGAAGTACCAGGAAAAGATCCCGAAAGTGTCAACCTGCACAACTTCCTAGTTCTCGAGAAATAACGGCCTGAAGTTTCAAAATAGCCTATTTTTTATGGGTTTTGAGGGTTTTCCTTGACTTCAAGCCTTTATTTCTCGAAAACTAAGAAGTTTTGCAGCTTGAGACTTCTAGAATATTTTTCTCGTACATCAAGGAGTTTTCTGACCAAGTTTCAGGAAAATCCCCAAGCGCAAAGTAAAATGACCTCCCTTTCTTGCACTTTTTTTAAAAACAACACCAATTTTTCGGAAGAAAAATTCCCTCTATAAAACTTTTGAAAAAAACTAAAAAAATCCACTATGAGATCAGCTGAGCCTCTCCTTTTTTCACACTGTCTCATAGCTTTTATAAGGATTTTTTTCTCAAAAATCAAGAATTCCTAAAGTCAAAAATAGGAATTCGCCAGAGATCTTTTCCTTCCCTCAAAAAGAAGAAAAAAGTCGTCGAAACGCGATGAAAGGCAATTTCTGAGCTTTTTTCTCTGCTCGAGTATGCAGCTGTTTTCTGAGCCCTTCCGATGGCCAAAAAGGGCCTTTTTCGCCTCTTTCCCGAGTCATCATCAGTCCAGACGTCGCGTGTGTGCCGTCGAATCTCTTCCCTTCCCATAAAAAAAAGCTGATCCTGCCCTCAAAATTTCTCCTTTCTCCTATTTACTCCCTTTTTTCGCCTCTTTTTCTGCACCGACGAGTAATTCCTTTTGACCATGTCCTGCATCTACGAATCTTGTTGGAAGGTTATTTCTGATTTTTATTTCCAAAGAGAGTATAGGGCAAAAGAAGGAGAAGAGATTGTTGAAAAAGTATGCTGTTTGAGAAAAAAATACCAAAAAAATTTCAGAAAAAGCTTATTTTTTTGAATAGGTCTAGCATGTATATAAGAATTGATTTTTTTCTCCCGAAAGCTTAACTTTTTTTCATTTTTTTCAATTAATGATTATTTATTTTCGAGTTTTACAGATTTTTTTAAAAGCATACATAGGGACAGTCTTGGTGGGACCTAAAAAGGGGAGGGACTTGGCTAGAAAAGGAGAGAAATGGGGGTGTTGGCGAAAACCGAAGAAAAAAAAGAACTTTAACATTTCTTTCGGCGTCAACCTGTAATTGAAAAATTAACGAAAAAAAATTGGCGGTCCCCAGTCATGCTCATCCCATATATGTTTGAAAGCCTTCTGCAACATTTTGGAGATTTTTCATTGATTTTTAGATTTCACATTTGTTCCGTGAACCTATTTTTTAAACGGAAGAAAAGGTCGATTTCTAAGATTTCATTTGCATTTTTAAGTCTGGATAAATTTTAGAAAAAAACTTGGTTTCGCGGTCTATTAAGAGAGATTGGTTTCGAAGAGAAGGCTCTGAGAAAATTAGGAACGCCAGAGTGGTCCCTAGAGGGCCAACTCTAGTGGTCAGAAAAAAAACTGCCAAAATTTTTTCTGACCACGAGAGTTTTTTTTTTTTTGCAGGGCCGTGACTGGGACACGTCGCGCAATGGAGATTATGCACGCATCTCGCCGAGGTAAATTCGTAGCCCGACTTGAAACAACTTGCGCCGATAGGTCTCAAAAATAATTAAAGTTAACATCTGATGGCGTGTTCAAAGAGTTTTGCGAAATTAAAATTAAAATTGAAGGGTTCACTTAAGGGATTTTTAGCATGCTCTAGTGATAATTTGATCGATTCTGATTATTTTTGACCGAAATTTTTTCGAAAATACCAAAAATTGTTGAATTGAGCTTCCAACACACAAAGGCGACTGCAAAAGTTGGCAAATTGGAAAAATTAGCTTACGACCGCAACGTGACCGCGACGCTCTGAGCCATTCTCCTTGCGGCCTTGACTTTTCAAATTCCCGCGAAAAATCATACCTCAAAGTTTTTTTTTTCATATAACTGAAGTTTCTTTTTCTCAGAATCGCGCGATTCTCTGTTTATCTAGCATTTGATCAATTAGGGTGCTAAATTTATCGGAAGAAATTGTAAAAGACAAAAAAAATAAAACAGGTTTGCAGGTACACGTGCCGCGACACACTCTACGAAGGGTTTGTTTGTACTTTTTTTGTTTTGTTATTTTCTCAATTTATGTTTGGGAATACTGTAACCATATGATTCAAAGGTGTTCTTTATTGTTTTTAGAGAAGGGAAAAATCGTAAAACTCTTGGCCTTTTCATCGAAAATTTTTATACAACAAAAGGGCCCTGTATTGGTTGCCTATCGATGTGTTTTATCGAAAAAAGAGGGGAGAAAGTATCGTAAAGAGAAGAAAAAAAGGAGAAGGCGGAAATCCTCGACGCAAACACGCTCTTCTGCTCCCTGAGGCCAAAGTACCGCTTAAGACTTTCTTTTTTTCTTCTGTTCTGTTCGTTTTTTTGTTGACCTCGGAATGCTATGGGCTTCTCCTCCTCGTCCTTTTTATCTTTGTAGTTTTTTTTCACTTTGTCAAGTTTTTTTTCCACGAGTTCAACGTTTCAGAAGAGTTAGAAAATCGTGTGATTTTACGACTTCTTGTTTTATCCTCAGCCGCTTTGAGTAACCAACGAGTTCCAAGTTTCATGAAACAGTTGAAAGAAGCTGGTAGCAAGAGAAATGTCTACAATAACGGTTTCTAAAGTGCGCCAGACCAAAAACGACTTTGCGCGTTTTGGAAACTGGAGGTACTGAAAAACTTCAAAGTTCTGAAGTAACAGAGGAGTTTTTAACTTTTGTGAAGTAGCTCGAAAAACGTTAAACGCAAGAGACATGGCTTTAATTTTTATAAGAAATGCGTCCGACCAAAAGTGACTTGCGCGTTTTGGGAACTGGGGTACTGAAAACTTCAAAGTTCTGAAGTAACTGAGGGGTTTCAAATCCTATAAAATAGGTCATAAAAAGTTAGACGCAAAAGATCTGGTTTATATTTTTTTATAAAAAAATGCGTCCGACCAAAAAAACGACTTGCGCGTTTTTTTACATTGGAGAACGCAAAAAGCTTTGAATGTGATCTGTATTGTAAATTTTGAATTTCACTTGATTTTTTTGATAGGTTTGAAGTTCTAAAGAAACGAGAGAAAATGATAAAACTTTTCAAAAAAATCGTGTTTATCTGTTATACTTTTTTGATCAAAAGGTTCAAAATTTTCATGGGATGAAACGAAAAATTTTTGCCTTTTTTTGAGCACCTGGGAACCCGAAAAATGATATCTCACAGCTTGAATATTTTTTTGGATCTTAGAAAACATTTTTTCTCGGTGATTTCATTATAGAAGACTATTTCTGAAATCGATTTTTATGATAATATTTAAACGAATGGATTTTTTTGTCCGAATTATTTTTTTACTTTTTATTAGATCCCATAAATGTTCAGGAAAATATTTTCAAGGAGAGGTTCGAAATTTCAATTCTCATGACTAGAAAGCTTATATTTTTCTGAGATTGAACATGTTTTTCGATCGATTCCCAACAGTTTCCCGCATAAATTCACGAAATCAAACGATCAAGAATAGTTTCGGAAACGATTTTTTTCATTTCCCACACCCACACGGACAGTTCCCAAGGATCAATAACCCTTGAAGTATTGCGGACCGGATATTTGCCTTGCAACTTGAGCGTCTTTTTTCTCCTCCTTCCGACACGAATTTTATTAGTTGTTTTGTCTGGATTCACGGTTTTGTTTGTTTCTGAAATCCTGAACTATATACCTCATTCAAGCTTTTCTATCCGGGAAGAAGCTTCAGATCTTCTTTTTCCTTAAAAATCAGCCACGACTTCCATTTTTGAAGAAAATATTTGTTTTTGGTTGGATTCGAAATTTTGTCTTTTTTCTGACTTTGTTCCTGATTTTTCCATTAACAAGTTTTTTGGAACAGATAAATGAATAGGACTATAATACATCGTTGCTTCATTTTTTTTTTGCTTCTTCTAGTTTGATTTTTTGAATTTTTATCTGCCTTGGGAACGCCAGAGTGGTCCCTAGAGGGGCTCTAATGGCTACTCTTGCGGAGCGTCCCACCAGGAAATATTCTCATCTCACAGTGTTTTGAGATGAGAATATCCTAGTCTCATTCAGAAGTCTTGCATCACTTCTGAATGAGACTACGATCACTAAATGTACTTTTTTACCTTGATTCCGAATCTGTTCTCAAAAGTTGCCCTCGAGGTCTGTGAAAAAAGTTAGGGGCTCTTAAAGTCGGAGTTAGCCTATAGAAAATCAGTCGTTCGCTTTTGTTAGTTCTTGCTCATAATCAACTTCAATCTTCGGCACCACGGTGTAGATCTTGCTCCTCTCCTGGTTGCAGGAAACCAATCGACTTTTGAGAGCCCCTTAACTTTTTTCAAAGGCCTCGAGGGCAACTTTTGAGCACACATTTCGGATTCAGCGTAAAAAACTGCATCTAGTGAGCCTAGTCTCATTCAGAAGTCCGACTTTGAGCGGAAAACAATTCCCCGGTTAGTGGTCCCTATACGCTTTTTTGAAAAAAAAAAGTTACCCCTACAGGCCGCGATCATCGGTCATTTTGGAGAGCTCTAGTTTAGGCTCGTATGCTATTTTTCCTGAGCAGCTTCTTCTCAGAAGTCTATATAGTCAAGCAGGTAGTCTCACTTGATTCCAAGGGCCTTACCTAGACCACAAGCCACTTAAGTTTCAACTCGCGTCTCGTCTCCCCCGAGTCCGAGTTGTTCCCTAATAAGTAGTAAGCTGTTAGAGGCAAAGTGACTTTCGCTGATGACTTTCGTGGATCAGATCTTTTTAAAAAATGAGCGTGACTAGCAAATCTGACCAGGGAATGGTCTCCGGTCGCAGTGGGACCTCTCAATGAGACCAGTTTTTCCAGATGTAGTTTTTCACGCTGATCTCAAATCTGGTCTCAAAAACTGCCGAGGAGCTCTGTGAAAAAAGTCCGAACCTATGACCTCGTGATCCCCAGTCCGCCGCCTTACCACTGCTCCTTGCTGCCGTTGCTTCGACGGTCGCCGGATCGCAATAGAACACCGCGCTTGCATGCTCTTGTGTTAGGTGGGGCTTTGAAAGGTCATATCTTGGCTCCGAAATTTTTTTGAATACGTTTTGATAGTTTTTCGGAACCAGAGGGACAAGATCTATAGACCCTTCAAAAATGAGCTCAATCGGAAACACTGAAATTTTCGACTTTTGAGGGGCCATAACTTTATTTCACAGAGCTCCTCGGCAGTTTTTGAGACCAGATTTGAAATCAGCGTGAAAAACTACATCTGGAAAAATTGGTCTCATTGAGAGGTCCCACTGCGACCGGAGACCATTCCCTGGTGAGGACTTTCTCGCTGGAGCGCGTTTTTGAGCTCTTTTCATATTTTTTTTTGTTTTTTTGGCAAAAAGATTCCTGCAAGCAAATTCCGACTAATAAACACAGAAATAGATTTTATTGGAGGAAAACAAGGAGGTTCCCAGGCAAAACGCTGAAAGCCATTCCAAGGAATCGAAAAGGAGAACCAAAGCCACTCTCAATGTTTTCACACTCTCTTTTCCCGTTTGATGTTCCGAGGATCTTTTTTTTAAAAAAAAGTGTAACAAGGTTGCATTTCTGCCCTTTTATTTGAAATGAAATTCAGTTGGGATAGGCGAGTTTCGACGGGGAGATCTAGTCATTGTTGGCGACAGTTTCTTCCTGCGTAGGACAGATTTCTTCCAATAACTCCTGAAATAAGTTCTCAGTTTGGTCCAGGTAAAGGCGTAACTGACAGCGCGGCTCACGGGTTTCCGACGGCGATGTTTGGTGGATCCATCTTTTTTAGCGGGCTCCGCGTCTACTTTTCCCTAGAGTGATAGAATTTTAGTTTTCGAAAGAAATTCAGAAGTTTTTTTTAATGAAACTTGAGCCCGTATAAACTCACGAGGCTCTTTTCCGAGCCTTGCGTGGCTGTCTTCGGTCCTTCTTCGATCTGAAGAAATCTTTGAATCAGAAACTGATGAGGACAGATGAACTGACCTTCTTGCAGTCTTTGTAGAGGACTTTGAGAAATTCCACAGTCTGAAACCTTTCTTGAGATTCGATCAACTCGGCTTCAAAACCTTATCCATTTCCGCCCTATCCTTCATAGGATAGGCCCACAAATTCAGTTCGATAAAATTACGAAGAGCCGGCGGAGCGCGAGTTTCTTCGAGATTGTTCATCTCCCCAGTCAAAATCTCAACTCAGAATTTTGTCTGACAAGTCGTTTTATTGTGAGATTTTTCTACACGTTTGCGCTATCACGAAGTCTAGATCTTGAGGAAATTGCTCTTTGGAAAACGTTTCATGCTATTGAATTTGTGAGAAGCTTTCAAGAAGGGAAAGTTTTCTTTTGTGGTTCTGTTTTTCACTCATTAGTTAAAACTGAAAGAGGAAATGAAACAAACTTTTTCTCTGGCTTCGGCAGAATTCAACTCCCCGTAGGGCATCATTCCCCCGGTAAAGATCTCGTACAAAAGGTTCTGAAATAATCCATTTTCTCCTGTCCTGAGATAGTCAACTCACTCCAAAACCGAAACAGTCCGAAGCTTGGACAAAGACGAACATAGACAGAGTTTCCGGCGACAAATACCGAGTCGGTAACTTCTCCGCAGTCCGCATATAGTGGAAGTCGCCGCGTGTAGCAAAGCCGAAACCCGAAAGTTTGAGCTGGAAAATATGTCTTTTTCGTCGATAATTTCGATCAAACCGTAAGATCTGAAGCGAGCAAACAGTTCCGTGCGGAGACATCGCGATGTAGCACGTCCATCTCGTGTAAGTAAGCAACTGCCTTCGCCGCTTCAAGGGCGAACTTCAGCAGACGGGAGTTATTGGATCCTTCGAAGTTCTCGATCAGAAAATTGTCCAAAGAGCCGCCTGGAAAAGTTTACTACAGCTTTTTTCCAAAAGTCGAACTGCTCACCATCCATCAACTCTATTAAAAGCATAAACGGCTTTTTATCAATAGCCCATCCGTAGATTTCTATGACATGATCATGACTGAGTCTGAGCAAGATGCGAGCTTCCTCAAGCATCTTCTCCCTTAGCTCAAAAGCATTGGGATCTTTGAGCTGCAAGAAAAGAATTTTTTTCCAAAAACTTCAGTTGTACTCACCAACTTGACTGCGACATTCACTTCGCGAATCCCGATGCCATTCACTTCGCCGAGGAAAACCTCGCCGTAGACGCCAGATCCAAGCGGAAAAGATTTTATTATGGCGGACAGCTTTTTTTAGAGTCAAAAAAGGTCTTTTCAGTTTGAAATACATTTCTACTTTAAGTCACTCAAGGGCCTATCGATCTTTCTTGATGAATAAATGTGCTCAGTTTATATTCATAATGTTCCGAGGGTTCAGATCAGTTGATCAATGTTTTATTCCGTACGTTGTTGATCTAAATTTGATGGAGTGTTCATCAGAAAAACCGAAAATTGGTCCAAAACAAAAATCAGTACTGTTTCGGAGTGCCTTTAGTGATGAACACGCCACCAAAAACTTTTCAGTTTTTTGGCAAAAAGTACTCGAAAAAAGTCAAAATTTTCAAGATTGATAATCATATTCACAATCACTATGTTTTTGAACTTTTTCGCTTTTCACAACTCACAATCTTTTTTCCTTTGTATCATGTTGCTACTGAACTCAAAGTAGCGTTTGGGACAAGCACGTTCCAATTGCATCCGTAGCGATTCCTGAAATTATATGTTCTTCAGTGTTTTATACATTCGATGATGAGAACTTTCAATACAACTACTAGTTTTTCATTTCTTGAAAGACGCTTTTTTATCACTTCCTCCGAAATCCCACTCATCATCTTTATCAACAGCTTTTACCTTTTTCGGGTGCAGCACGTAGTAGGTGAAAAGATCTTCCAATGAGCTAAAAGACATGCGGCTGTCGATAAACAGGCCGTCGTCGTCGCGGCGAATCAATAAGTCCTTGATCCTTACCGGTTCGTCTTTCCCATAGTTCTCGTCCAGGTCTGGAAATCGGACGAGATTTTGATTGAAGCTGTCAAAACTTGAAAGACGCTAGAAGAAAAACAGAAGACCCCATTGGAGAAGTTCTATTATAGTCTGTGTGCCACGAATTGGATTTTCACCGAACGACATTCCGCTGTTTCGCTGCGCGCGGTCGCGAAGCGTCTTTCGAATCTAGGTTTCAATTGATTGTTATTTCTGTAGGAGCACATGAAAGGATAGTACCTTAATAAAAGAAATAAAAAATTAAAAGCGCGACCAAGGTTCGCAAAGGCGCGCAGCGGCACAGCGGAATGTCGTTTGGTGAAATTCCAAGTCGCAGTACACAGGCTGTATATAGTCGATTAACGGCTAACTTGGGACGATAAGAGACCGTTTTCGGATGACGTCAGTCTACTTGACATTCAAAAACTGAACAGACTATATAGTCAATGTACGGCTAGCTTAAGACACTAAAAGGGCGTGGCCTGTCTGCGCTCTCCACGAACCAGACTATTCTTTTCTTATCGTGCCAGGACTCTTTTTTTAAGATTGCTCAGGTCAGCCGTGAATCAGTTATATTTTGAAGATTGAAGAAGTCATGTGAACTTGACAAAGAAAAAGAAATCACCCTCGCTACCATCTCTCGTGTAGTCCAACGGGATGCCGACTGACACTACCAGAAAATCTTCTCCGTCATCTGAATAACCTTATCAACTAGTCTAAACTTCCATTTTGCTTCACCTTCCCATTTCCTCACCAAATAATCGCCCCCTCGTTTTATAAACATTCGACACTCCATCTGCGGTAAGAATCTGAAAATGAACGATTTTTATGTGAGGTTCGATCAAAACTTTACCCATGATAGAAATGAAGTTGTTCCAAAAAACTGTCGTCATCTTTTTTGACTACCTTCTCTTTTCTTCCCGAGACAATAATCTGGTGTAAGACATCTGTAAATAGAATAAAAATTAAGAAATCTAGTACAAAATTTTTTTGTTTCATTTAACTTTCGAAAATATAGTATCTTTCGGAGCGGATGAAAAGTTTTCATTGAACATAATCTACCTTTTTCCGTCGGCTTCTGAATGCTGCCGTTGGCTTGTTTATGGGTCGTCGGCTCACAGGGAGCAGTTGGAAGGACTTCCGATCCGCTTTTCAGCTCTCCAAAAACCGAAACGAAGGCGTTCTCTTAAAAATTGTGTCCATGAAAAACTGATAAAAGGAAGAGTTTGAGACTCGAGTACTAATTTTTCTATTCTAAAGTTGACCTTATAGTTCGTCTCGAAACGTCGTTCAGTCGGTTCTTTGTAAGGTTTTCACGTTTCTAGTTGCTTTTCCCAAATCTTAGCCCTGCTGTTCAGTATTACATGGAATAAACTGGAAACTGCTTATTGAGCAGTTGCGCTTCATCAAGGAGAAATAAAGGGCTTCACCTCATTTTCTCTATGAACTTCCTGATAGCGTGTTTAAAAAGTTTGAAACGAACTGGCTTTCTGGATGTCCCAGAAACTCGGATTTCCGAACGTTGCGCCGTCCTTGCCTTCTTCCACAGACCCTAAAAATCTAGTAATCCGTTGTTTTGTCGACCAAAGTTTGAGTCGGTTTCTAGTCCCTTTAGTGATCCCTCAGTTGCTTATTGAGTCATGTATTTAAGCACGATCGTGTTTGAACTATAGTTGAGTTCTAGTTATACAGGGTGCGCATAAATTCATAGCGACCAAGTTAGCCCCTTTGGAATATTTGAGAACTCGCAGGGCTTTCCGGTTTTCGAAGAATGAAACGGAATGGTATTATAGAGGGTTAATGGAAACGCGAAACGGACGTGTCGGGGCATTTCTAGTGACCACTTCAGTAGCTTCAGCATTTTTAAGTGATCCCTAGAATCGCTCAGAATCGTCCGGAGCACGTCCAATGTTCCGAGAACATGAGACTCTATCATAGTTTGTTCGAGCCCTACGTCATTGGAAGGACTGGACAGAGTTGAGAGCCCAAAACTGTAGTCAATAAAGAAGAAACGACTGAATACCTGGCTCCGCTCCGTGTTTCTCTAGACTAGGTCTTGTCAAATAGGAGGAGAGAGCTTGAGGAATTTTTAAGGAGCTCAAGTCTTCTTAACTATTCTTCTTTAAGACCTACTAAAGAGGTGCACCATCATACATCTTGCTGCATTCATGAAAGTCTCTACTCTGACAAAAATGAGGATGTACCCCGAAAAAGTCAACTTTTCAATGATGTTTTCGGTGCACCCCGGGTTGGACCTGAATGGCGTGCACCCTTGGGGCAAGAGCACATTCAAGCAAGCGCCTATAGTACTGTATTATACCTGCGATGCAGTTCTCCACCGTCTCCTTGTCGCAGATCGTGTCCTCCATTGCTTGTGGATCTCGCTCCTTGCTGCTCTCGCTCCTTGCTGCTCTCGCTCCTGGCTGCTTCCACGAGGCACTTGAGATCCAGAATAACCTTCTTCTGGACTTTACTCGACGCGTTGACTTTTATCTTCTTATCTCGAAAGTTCATCCCAAGTTCTTCTTACACGCCGGAAATGATCATTTTCTTTTTTTTTATCGTTTCTCTTATTTTCTTCACCTTTTCCACGTCCTTAATGAATATTTCAAAGTAACCACGCTTGCCATTATAATTGATTTGCTGATTTTTCTTGTGAATGAAGCTTGAGGCCCGGGAAAGTTCATTTTTCAAGTATGCATGAACTGATGCTGCTTTTCATGGAAGCCAAAGCTTACTCATTTTTATGAACATTGAAAATTCCTTCTTCATTTTTTTCTCTATCTGAAATACTTTCGAAAGACTGGAATAGTTAAAAAAAAACAAAAGTTGAAAATTTAAGATGATTGTGAGACTGGTTCCCGTTCACAATAAGACTAGATTTACCAGGTGTCGTTTTTTTTCCGCTGCTTTCAAATCTGTGTTAGAAAACTGCCGAAGAGGTTTTTGGAAAAGTTAGAACCTCAAACTTGGACAGAAGTAGTACAGACTCGCTTTGCTTGAAACCTTAAGAATGAATAGAGAGGGAAATCGAATTACAACTTCTCTAAGGGGGAGCGCAACTGGCCATGAAAAATCCGAGAGAAAGCTTTTTTTCAAATTTCAATCAATGTCTCCTCGGAAATTTTGAGTTTTTTTGAAAAAAAGCAGAAAAAAATAAAGTGAGGATAATAATATACCATCTTTCAAGCCACAGAGTTGCTTTATTTCTAATTTCCATCCACTTTCAAGTTTTTAAACGAGTTTTCTTCCTTTTTTTTCCAATTTTTTCGTTTTCAATAGAAATCTGTATACGCATTGATTATTATTTTTCTGAACTTGGCCATCACTTTTTCCTCCATTTTTTCCACCAAACCTATTCCAATCCCAAGATCAAGAAAAAAAGGGGCGCATGACCAGTGGTTTTGCGTCGGATTTCGAGGACATCCCCGAAAAATTGGCCATTTTATGAATTTGTCGTGAGGTAATTGGACCATCCCCCGTAGAGAACAGCCAAAGAAGAGAAAAGATTGGAATCTGCCCCTTTTCTCGGCAATTTTCGTCCCGTTTTGACGCCTGAAAACCTCTCGAAATTTTCGAATTTCGACGCCTTTCCTCCCCATTTTTTTCCTCTCCATGACAACTTGCCTTGGTTCACGAAAAGTGCACTTTTCGTCCCAAATCGAGGCGTTTTTTGACTTCTTTTATGTTCGGAATTGGCCGTTTCCTTTGAGGTTTGGGAGCGTAGAAAAGGTTTTTTGGCCCAATTTCAACCGTTTTTCAAATTTTAAAATGTTGTGAGATGTTTCAAATTAAACTATGTGAATGCCCCTTTGTTTCAGAAGTTTTTTTGACTTGGTTTAGTTCACGAAAAAAAAGCACTTTTTCGTCTCATATTGAGGTTTTTTTAAACATATTTTTTTGTTAGAAATCGAACGTTTCTTTTTTTCAGATTTTTGATAAAATTCTGTTTCTTGAAGCGTTGGAAAACCTATTCGGTTAAGTTTCTTTATTTGCAATTTTTTTACAAAAGTTTAATTTTTCAAGAGTGTTTTTTTAAATAGAGATTACAGCTATAAATGATTCATTTCGTAAAAAAAGTGTTCTTCAAAAATTTGGACAGTTTTTCGACTTTATAAGGGATGTGAAGCGCTTTTTTCTCTGTTTTTTTGGAAAAATCCACAGTTATTTTTTTATGGGAAATCCCTTTAGAAAAAATGTATTTCAATAGATAGTTATTGATAAAAAAATTTATGTAAAATTCTTATCCTTCCTCCTTTCTTCAAATTTCTTTAATACCGAATTTTCTCTATATTTTTGAAAAAATCACATTTTGGAGCTTTTTTCAATTATTCCGCATCTCTCAATTTTTCTTATCCTTCAGAAAAAAATCAGCTGATTGGCGTTCTGAAAGAAACCTCAAAGCGTCTTTTTGCCGGATTTTCTTCTCCCTGAATTTTTTTTTACAACTTTTCTTTACTCTTTCTCTCTGAATATCTTTTATCCGTTTGCTCGTTCCTTCTACAAACAAAATCTCTGCTCTGAAATCAGCTGAATGGTGTTCCGCGAGTTTGACGAGGACGACCTGGACTCCTACCTGGAGGGCTCGGTCTGGTCGGAGAAGCCGTCGGCCGGCGAGTGCTTCTCGGACTACTTCGACGCCGTCGTCACCGTCTTCCCCTCGACCTCCCATTCCAACATGGCCTTCGGCTATCCCGCCAAGTCCTGCGAGACCGTCTTCGCGTACATTTTTCTACTTGAGTTGTTTGGAGCAGAGATTTTAAGAGTTTTATGCGTAAAAAATTGCCGTTTTTCCTAGTTTGGAACTACCCTAATGGCTTGAGCTTTGAGGAAAATAATGTGTAAATGTTAGAGACACAGACTTTGATACAGTTTTTGTACCTCAAGACAGTGACGAATGGGCTGTAGATTTTGAACTTTTTTTCGATTTTTCCGGATTTTCGTGAAGTCGAAACAGTGGCATTTTTTTTCTTAACCGGGAAAATTTGAAATTTTTTCTCGATTTTTTTTTCTTTGAAACATGTCACTCGGAAACGTTATTGGCAATTTTCTCTTCAAGGGATCACTCTAGGGACCTTTTTCTCTATAGTCATCGTTTAAAAAGGACAAAACACCATCTCCGCGAAGTGTGAGCCATTATAAAAGTCGGCTTGAATATAAAATTTTATATATTTTCGAGGAATCTGTCTTTCAAAATCAAACTTCTAGGCCTTTTTTTTCAAAACTTTATTTTGGAGTTTATTTTTTTTCAGAAGCCGAAGGCCACCATCTGCCTATTCTTCGTCCCGGTATGAGGATCCCTATCTGCGCCCGGAGTCCCGGAACCATTATGACAGGGTTGCCGCTCAGTTCGTAGAGCACTCCTTGCAGGTAGTTTGAGCTCAAAAATTTTCAGAATTTGGAAAATTTCCGACTTTGTACTACTGGGGCGTTTTTCCCCTAACCCCTCTAGGGACTACTCTTAGTTTGCGATAAGAGGTTTTTTCCAGCCGATCTCCCGCCCAGGATCGCCGACTCCAGTCGCCGGTGCCGGCGACATCACCAACACGGAGCACGGCTTCACCATCCAGCTCGACGTCAACCGCTTCCGACCCGAGGAGATCAAAGTCGTGCTCACCGACGACCTCCTGACTGTCTCCGGAGAGCGCTTGGAATACACCGGCGATGGTCAGACTCTCCGCAGGAGCTTCTCCAGGTCGGCGTCGAAAATAATCCTCAAGTTCCAGTCAACTTTTTTCAGAAAGTACTCGATCCCGTCGGACATCAGCTTGGACTCGATCCGCAGCCATCTCACTGATGCTGGCTATCTTGTCGTTAATGTCAGTTGGGGAAAATTGATGGGGCTTGAGGAATTTTGGCCTTGTTGAGCAGAAGCAAGAGTCCAGGAGAGGAAAAACTCTGGCAAAAATGAGCTTCTCAGGGCCTTCAAAGGATATTTTTGCCCTTTTTCACATTATTAAACAAAAATATGTCGCTCATTTTCAATAATATGAAACTTTCTGATCTCCCTGCACACTTTTTAACCCGCGATTTCAATATTTTATGGCCTTATCGGGCAGGGAAAAGAGACGCAGAGAGGCCAGACATTCTCAAGTTTGAATAGTTTTCCAAATAATTTTCTCTTAAGGGCTCGCGAAAAGGCTGGCGAGAGACGAGCATAACCACCCATCCCGCTCCAGCTTACCGTCCTTACCGTACTTCATCTGTCATAAGCACTGTTTGAGAAAAAACCAACTTTTGACAATTCGGAGACCAACGAAGAAAACTACAAATCCAATGTTCAACGTTTGCTACCCCGTGACTAATAATTTTTTAATCGACTACGCTTTAAAAAATGTTTCTTTCTCATCATATGAAAACCGCCATTTCATTATGTATAAACTTTTTTCGGTCAGGGAATGGGGGCAAAAAACGATTTAAAAAAAAGATTACTGTATGTGCAGTTCGTGCCTATGAGAGGTGAATGCACACCCGACACTGCAATCGACGAACAAAGCATGTTTTTCGAAAAAGGACATTTTTTCAGTTTTTTTTTCGGCTCTCTTTATTTTCAAAGTGTTTCACACGTTCAAGTAATTGCAAACAGTGTATTTTCGAAGCTCATCTTATTGATATTAATCTTTCTCGCACGTTAATTTCCACTTCTTTCTGTCGAAATTAAGCCGCCCAAATTTTCAACTTAAAAACCTGGAAACTGTACAAAAACATTTTCAGTTCGCGCAAAATGTTTATCGGTTACATTTGCAAAGCGAAAATGATGCGCAAAAGCGCAACTCCAGGGGTACTTGGTCTGAAAAATTTCGGTCATTCATTTTTCTTCAAATTTCGGTTACCTTGTGTTTGGCATGACGTCATTTATCGCAACTCTTCTGTAAAAATTTTTTTATAATTTTTCGATCTTTATCGTGTGAAAAAATTTTTTTTTTTTTTCAAAGGCGCAGACTTTTTCAATGATCTGCAGACACTCGCCTTTTTCATGAGGTTTCAGAACTATTTTTCCGAGACTTCTGCAAAGATATTTGAATATGCTCAAGTTAAGTCATCAATTTTTGTGAAAAAAATGCTCATCAAACTTTAAAAAAAACTTAAAGGAGCTGTAAGGTAACTTTCCTAACTAAATTCCACCTAATTTCTTGATTACTAGTTTCTTGACTGATGTGAGGCGCTAGATTTTTAGTTCAAAAGTTATCTGTGACTCTTTGTTTTTCTTTTACGCTACTTCAGCCTCCCATTTCGAAATGTAAAAAGGAAATAAACCAGGTGGAGTATTTCGAACCAGCCTTCTTGTCTGGCTTAGCGATAGGAACAGTGTTAGTAGGTTGTCCCGGCGGGACTCCAGTCGTCGGTTGGCCTGTAGGAGCAGGAGCGGGACAGACCGGACTAGCAGGGACATTTTTCGGAGCAGCAATTGGGGCAGATGACTTCATTAGTCCAAGAGAAATGAGGGGCGAGGTCGCGAAAGAGGTGGGCTTCATCTGTAAAGTCTTTATTCATCGATTTTCCTCTCAAAAGACCACGTATTATGTGTGGGAAAAATTATTTTAATCGTCTAAATCGCTTTTTGTGGTCATTTACTCATTCGAACTTCGGTAATGCGATCGCTGGACGTTTCTGAGCTTTTCTAGTTATCATGTTAGTGACGTCAAAACTCCTAAGTGTCCATTACTAATGATCAGAGAAGACGCAACCGGTTTGCGTTATCGGGGTTCGAGTACAAGAAAATATTCATGGGTTCCTGAGGTTGCCCCTATAGGGACCACTCTGGCGTTCCGAGGAACTGAAGAGTTCTTCAGGCAAAATAAAACAAGATGAAACAAAAAAAAATCTTAACCTGGCCTCCAGGAGCTGGCAACGGAGCCATAGACTTCCCTGCGGTGAGGGCTGGAGCAGCACCTCCTGGATTTGACGTGGCTGGCTTTGACGGTATGGGTTGAGCTGGTGCAGCGGCAGGTTTGACTAGAGCTGCGGGAACCGGAGGAGGAACCATCGTTTTTGGTTTCGGAGCAGTACTCGGCACGCTTCTCCGTCCTGACGGGGCGATCACGGTGGTCGTCGGTACGGTAGAAGTTGAAAGGGCTCCGACTGTTGTGGCAGTACTCATAGGGGCAGTCGTGGTACTGACAGCCGGCACCGGTTGATGAGCTTTCGGTCGTGCAGAGTCATTCTTCGCAGGTGGAGCAGGCGTCTGAGACTGTTTTTTTTTCGAGAACGTCATTGGAATTTTATAGGCTCTCGGTTGAAATCCTCTTATGAACTATGTAACAAACTTTTAGTTTACAAGTTTACTTGCTTCATTTCTTGAACTACTTCATCAAAAACTCACAATCGGCACGGGGAAAGGTTTAGCTTGGGCCGGAGGAGCTGAAGGAGCTGCTGCCGGTACGGCTGGTTTGACTACGGGCGCGGGTGGTGGAACAGGAGGCTGTTTCGTCGTGACCCCTTCAGCTTTTTGTGGCTGTGTAGGTTGTACTGGTGGAGGTGGAGCTAGAGGTAGATTCTGGACGGGAATCAACGGCTCTTGGCCGGTCACAAAGACGGGCGGAAGTGGCAGTACCGACGTCGGTTCTGCACTTCCCGGAGGTCGGGTCGCCTTTGGATCTGGAACGAAAGCTGGAGGAGGAGGTGGCGCAGCTCCGCCTTCTGGTGGATGATCAGCGACATAGGCCAGGAACTTTTCTTTAAGCTTGATGACGTCCTAAAAAATAGTTTACTTCCGTAGTCCCAATTTTCTTCAAACTCACGTTTACCAGTCCTTCTTCGGTAATGTACTGGAAAGCGGTGCCACACTCGCAGACGGTCAGGGCTAAGGCTAGATACTGTAGATCCACTTGTACACAGCTCAGTCGACAGGCTGGAACTTCTTTTCATTATAGAAAACGCTCGTTTCATCCTCACATCGGAGCTTTTGACAAATTTCTGGCATATTCACAGTGTTGCCGTTGAAAATTGTCTGTAGGCAAAGCTCGACGGCGACAAACGTTCCCGTTCTCCCGATTCCGGCTGAACAGTGAATCACGACCGCATTCGGACTGGTTCTGAGCAGGTAAAGATTCCGAAGAAGCGACTTTGCCGACTTCGGGACTGTTTTGTCCGGCCTGAAACTTTTTGATGAGAACATAATCAGATAATTTTTTCACCATGTCTTCATCCGGCAATGCGTGACTTTCGCCGTTTTTGAGCCAATCTCGACTGTCAGGATAGACTGAGTGATATGCGCGTCGATCTGTTCGTCCACCAAATCACAAGTTATCGTATAGTCTGAGAGAACGAAACGTTTTGAATGATAATCAGGAAGAAATCCTCACAAGGGAGGTTCAAAAAGACAAACTCTGAGATTTGAAAACTCCATTAAAGTATAGTCTGTTCAGATTTTTAATGTCAAGTGCGATGACGTCATTCAAAAACACTCTGTGGAAGGCTCGCTCTCTGATTGGTTCATCGCACCATTAGGGGCGGAGCTTGAGCGACGACTTGACATTCAAAACCTGAACAGACTATACACGTCATCGAAATTTACGTAAAATCCTCAGGGCTCATCCTTTTGTAATTCTTCCCAAAAAAAATACCTCCGTGCTTCATTTTCTCGCCAACCGTCGTGGGGTAATAAGTTTCACACTTCCGTTTCCCCATTTCGATAAACTAGAATTGAATTCCTCAATATTCTTTTTTTCAAGTTTTGAACCAACGTCACAAAGCATTGTAATAACCGAGACTTTCTCCTGCACTATCATCCTCCAAAAGTCGACCATCGTGTTGGCTAAAGGACCCTGAATAGATACGAGAAGGGTTGGAAACTGTGATTATTACAAGGACCTGGGTGAGGATATACAGCGGTGTCAGGCCACGGACATAGTTCGCATGGATATAATCGCCGTCTTTGCCATCTCTCAGAACGACTCGAGTCATGTCGTTACAAACCACGTCTGAGATTGTTATAAGGCTCTGATAATGGGTAAAAGAGGGAACATGTGCGGAAATATAGCCTGGAAAGTCGAATAGGCACATTTTTTCTACCGACAAAGGCGCTGGGAGCGATTGACTTGGAGTAAGAAGTTGAAAACAACTTGTAATAATAGTTACGAAATCTGGGAAGGTGCTGGGAATGTAACCAGCAGGAGGTCTAATGTAAGGTGAATCGAAAAGTCGATGTAAGTAGGTAGCGGGTAGGCTACTTATTAGCTACTTTCATGGTACCGGAAAGCATACGCTGGTCAGAGATCCTACCCGGTAGCATCCAGGTACCTCTGAACTGGAGGGGGGCCTTTTTGAAATGGGAAGGGGGCCATTCTGAAATGGGAGGGGGGTCATTCTGAAATGGGAGGAGGGTAATTCTGAAATGGGAGGGGGCTTGTTCGAATGAGCTCTGGGGGGACTATTTCAAAGCCGTGCGGGGGGCAAATATGAAAGATTGCCTAGGCGTTTCAGAATCGCCCCCAGTTAAAATTTGGAAATGCCTGCCAGAAGCCTTCCAGCAGGCAGAAGCCTTCCGGGAAGGTATATAAAGGCGTTGATGGGAGACGTTTGACCACTTACTGGAAAGCTTCTAAACGCCTTCCGAGGAACCGAAAGCAGAAGCTTCCTAACTTTCACCTGAGCTGTAAATTTTTTGGAACATTGCTTTTTTCACCTCTTTTTGAGCTTCAAGCTCTAGAGTTTTAGCTTAATAAAGCTCAAAAAAACGGTGACCTTTAAGTGGAATTTCTCAGCAGATATTTCTCCGAGTCATTTCTTTACCTTTGTATCGATTCTTATCCATGTTTTCGTCAAAAGCCTTTCGTCCAACGGATGCGCCAATGTAGGGTTTCACCTTCTCAACATACTCATTCACCAGGCCTTCCAAACCAAGATCTTTCGTACGCTGAACTTCTTTCTCAGTCCATGAAAATTTTAAAAACCAAAAACCCGAACAAATTCTTCAAACGCCTTTTTCTGAGCCGGGAGTTGGTTGGAAGACTGAGATTGTTTGTTTTTTGTTACGTATTATTTTCCAGTTTATACCGAAGGATGGACACAGGATTCAAAGACAAAGTCGTTGTCAACCATTTGCCTTGAGGCTTCTTGCGCGGTTGCTCGTCCCGACTCACGTCCCGAGTTTTCGGAGGGTTCTTGTTGTTTGGAACTGTGACGTTTGGAGTGCTTCCGGCGCGTCGTTCCTTTTTTCTTCTGCTGCAAAGTTTTGTTGGCGATAATAGTTTTAGGCTGGGAATTCCGATGAAAGTTTAGTATTACTTTGAGTGACTTCTGAAAACCTGTCAAAATTTTTTTTACGTGTTCTCTGGTAACTGCAAAGCGCTCCCAACACAACTGACTATATCGCAGGCGATGTCGCCTTTATTTGCTGCGACCCAGCTTTGAAAAATAGTAACTGTTTTTTTTCAAAAGGACCCCTATAGGGGCAGCCTAAGAGGCCATTAAATGTTCCCTTCCAGGGACCCTTTACCTTCACCTATAGGAGTCGCTAAGCTTGCAAAAGTGTCCCCTATAGGGGAGCATACTAGTCGTTTATTTTTGTGAACTATGAGAAGCATTTTAATGCGAAAAACACAGTAAATTGGCGTTTTTTTCTCTTTGAATGCATGCTATTGAATGCGTTTTTTAAATTTTCAAATCCGAACAAAAATTGAAAGATCCTTGCAGGGACCACTTAAGCTTTAGAGACTTAGCGGACAGATTCTCAACCCCTATAAGGACCACCTAAATTTGGCACTGTGGAGAGCATTTTTGTCCTGCTGTTTTATTATCCCCTAGTCCCTATAGGGACCACTCTCGTGTTCCTGTGTGCTGTTGACTTATTGATCATGCCAATGGCAAGAATCCGCTATCGCAGTCTTTGAGACTCCTCATTTGAGATTTGATCGGCGTGCCCTGGCAAATCACGACTTTTTTGTACCTTTCCTGTACTATAATAAACATTATAATACTTCCTTGTCTTCTATTTTAAGTTCTCTAACCAAAGGAAATAACCAAAAATGCTTTTTTTAAAATCAATTTCAGCTCCATCAGTTATTTATTTTTGAAACCCACTTTCCGTAAGGAGTTCTCCTGCGTGCTCTTTTTCCCTCTTTTTTTCTGTAATCATTCTTTCAACTTCACTAAAAAGTTCAATTTGGAAGAACCTCCGTGTCCTTTTTTTTCTTGGCCCTCTGTAAGAATCACATTGAAACTTGGATCCCAAGAAGAGAACCCACATTTGACGTCATCTCAACAGCTATTCCGAAATAGAAATACCCTCCCTGATTCTCTTTGATCATATCGATTCACGCGATCTTCTTTAAACTTTTTTCCAAATTAGAAAAAAGAAACTTTTTCAAAATGCATTTCTAGCGAAGTGCGCTCCAGCGGGTCGCGGCGGCAGTTTCGTAAATTTGAAATTTGAGACGTTCATATTCTTTTTTTCTTCACGTCCCCTGCTAATTTCTACTTGATTTACTAGTATTTGTCCTGCTGATTATCATCAGTCGGCAATTTTGAAGGTTAGAGATGTGTTTTTAAAGGTTGATTCATTTTTTGGTTGAAAATTGGTTAGAACAGTCCTTGATGATTTGGAAGATCTTCAAGTTTCGGGCAAAAATGTTCCGTTTTAAGAAGAATAATGGCCCAAAGTCTTGAAAATACTCATTTTTAACTAGACAGATATTTTTTTCGAATCAGAAGAGGTTCTAAAATTTTGTACATCCAAGAGTATTCTAGCCGACTTTACGAATTCTCAAAGATAAATAATCTTTATAATTACGTTATTTATCGTATTCCGAAATTTCATTCGTTTTGCATTTTATTTTTCTAAAATGTTTTTGATTAAAGTTGAGCCAAAACCTTATATGGTTATCAAGACAAATCAAGCTGGATCGACATTCAGAAACGTTCTCGGACTTTGTGTGGAACGAGGTCATCCCCAACCACAACATGTCCAGAAGGTTTTGAAACACAAATCGACTATAATTTATATTGTTTCTTTGTAGACTAAGTGTCCTTGAGACGTTCGACGATGTCCACGCGAAAATTCGGACGACTTTCCGAGAACTTTCAGCTCTCTGGGATCAGGTCCACATGTCCGAGAGCATGAGGTTCGTTGGGACTGCTGAGGGGTCCCTATAGGGTCCGTGGAGGTTCTCGGGACGAGAATAACTTCCCTATAGGGGCTCCTCAGGCTTGCAAAAGCTGCCCCTATAGGGGATCATGATAATTTTTTTCATTTATGATTCAAAAAATTAGCGTTTTTTGAATGAAAAAAGATGAATAGAATGATTTTTCTTTTCACTTTTCAAGAAAATAAGTTTATAGGACCTTAGAGGGACCACTTGAGTTTTAGGGGCTTACTGAGGGTTCAAAAGGTCACTATAGGGTTTTGACTTCTAGTGGGTTCTTTAGAAGTCGAAATAGTGGCCCCTTAAGTGACTGAATTTAAGTGGCCTCTTTAGAAGTCTGACAGGTACTTCTAGATCACGAAAAACCACTGCAGTGGCCATTAAGACGCGAATAGTGGCTTCTATAGTGGTAGTTTTAGTGGCCCCTTTAGTGACATCTCCAAGTAGTCCTTGAGGAACCTCCTAAGTATCCGTCCTTGTGTGTGACGGTTGGGAATTATGAAGCCGTGGTTTCCCACTACCAACATTTCTTAAACCCCTTGGTTGGGTCGGGGCGGGGATCGAACTTGTGACCCTGTGGACCGTAGACAGGCACACAACCTGTTGCGCTACGGCGCGCCCCTTGAGGAACCTCTTAAGGGGCAAATAAAGTTTTTCTGATCATAAACCTCTGTAGAGGCCATCTAAATTTCACCCTACAGGTATCATTTTTTTTTTTGTCCCCTAACCCCTATAGGGACCACTCTGGCGCTCCTAAAATTGTTGGAAATTGAACATAAAACTCAAATTTCAGAATGCAGCGTATTAAAAACGCAGTCGGCCACATCATGGAACTCTGCGATAGCATGGTTTTCGAAATAAATTCCATTTTTGGATAGAATATTGTTTTTCAAGAATTCGAGTGAGATGGAGATGGTCGAGGAAGTGATCCGATCCATCGAGGACTACCGCAAAAAAGTCGAAAATATGAGGGAACAGCTCGGAAAACCGCCGTTCCATGTCGACCCCGCCGTTCCCGGACAACTCCATCACCTTGGTTTTTTTGATTTTTTTGAGATTGGCGGAAAATATTTTTCATTGCTTCAAAAATCATTTTTATTAGAAAGGATTTTTTTGGTCATTTTGAGCAAAAAAATTGACATTCTTCAAAAAAATTGTATTTTTCTCCTTTTTTTCTTTTTTTGAGCGATAAGAAGGCTTTTTTTAAAGAAAACCATTTCTTTTTCACTTATTTTTAAGCCGAAAAAAAAATTGACTTTATTTCAAAAAAATAATCATTTTGCCTTTCTTTTCTTTTTGAGCAAAAAAATGTTAACACATTTTTTTAAAATCAATCTTTTCTTAAATTTTTTTCTTGAAATCAACCGGTTTTTTCAGATTTTTCAACTTTTTTTATCTTGTTTTTTGTTTTCAGTTGAAAGGAAGATGAATATTTTTTTGAAATTTGTAGCTTCAAATTAAGGAAAGATCGTCTTATTAAGTACCTAAAAATCAATGAAGTTTCTCAGATTTTGGTTAGTGATAGATCCAAAAAAACCTCCCTTGTTATAGAAGAAGTTCATTGTTTTTTTGTATGGAAAGTAAACTAAAATTTCAGTTGTAAATAATGGAAATAAAATCGATTTTTTTCTTTAAGGTATAACATTTTTTTGTAGAAAGTTTTTAGTGACCAAAAGGTATTGCAAGCATTTTTTTGAACGTTTTTCGCGTAGTTTCCGGAAAAATTTTCTAAGTTTGGACCGAAAAATTTTTGGTTTGATTTAGAGATGAGACAATTTTTAAAATTTATTGGGATTTTTAAAAGCTGTTCTAAAACATTTTTAGTAATTCATTTATTCGCAGACAAAAAGAAAAATTATAATGTACAAAAAGGGTTTTTTTGAAGGTCAAAATGGTTTAAAAAAAGCTTAGGAACTAAAAAAAAAGAAGTTTTTGAGGATTTTCGATCCCTTAATAAAATTTTTTCCTCCTATGGATTTTAATCAAAAGTTTTAGAGGAATAATTTCCAGATGCGACTTTTGAAAGACGAGTCGGCGTCTCTCGAAACAGAATACGAGCAGAAAAAAGAGGCCCAGGAAAATTTGCTCGAAAGACTTCATACGCTTTCCCAGCGCCTCGACATTGAAGACGTCGAATTGGTTCAGGAGTTTGACAAGGTTTTCATCGATTTCCTTTCCATTTTGGTCATTTTTATCATTTTCAGCTCTTCTCCGACGACGTTCAGATGAAGTACGAGCAGTACAAGGCCGATTGGGAGGAACTCCTGGCCGAACGATTGGAAATGTTCCTGAAATTGCAGAAGGAGATGAACGTTTGGGCCAGGAGCGTCGGTTGGTCTTTTTTGAAACAGTAGTTTGAACTAAAATAATGAAGATCATGGCCCTATTTTTCACTGGAAAGAGTACTGTATCAAAAAAATTCAAAATTACTTTTTTGAAATTTAGGGTTTTTTTGTTGCTGAAATTCTAAATTTTTTTGAAACAGTGAGTTTGACAAAAATAATAAAAGATCATGGCCCTGTTTTTTTCACTGGAAAAAGTACTGTATCCAAAACTTTTCTTTTTCGAATTTTTGTTTTTTTTTCTCAATTTATAAATTTTTTTCTTCTGGGTTTTTCTGATAATGATAATAGTTCTCACTTTAATGTATTAATCGATATTTTTTTGTCCTTTTCAATTTTTTTAGGTTTTTTTATGTCGAAATTTGAGGAAAATCCTGATTTTTTTCCTACAACTCATTTTTTTTTCCATCTTATTGAGAATTTAATCGCCTTTTTACTGTTTCTGTTCAACATGAAAAATTCCACGAGCCCTTTTTTTTTGTTTTCAGTACAGGATAGGTGATGTGGGCAGAAATTAGTTGAAAAAACACTAAAAACGTTTTTTTTTGGCGAAAATCGTCTTTTGAGGAGCTTTTGAGCAGACGAGAGAAAATTTGAGCAAAGGAGGATTTTTTTTGTTGATTTTGTGGAGTTTTTCGAGTTTTTGTCTTCAGTAATTTTTGCTCGAGAAAGAATCCCTTTGAATATAAAATGTATAAGTTTTTTTAGGGAACAAAAAAAGTTTAAAAAAATCTACTAAATTAGACATAAATGGCTTGAAAGAACGCTAAAAACTATCGCTTTTTTTCGAAGTTTTTTTTTGTTTTTTTGTTTGAAGAAAAAAAAGCTCAAGAAGGCGTAGAACCCTTGAAAAAACACTTAAAATGTTCATTTTTTCAAAGAACATGAACAAAAGTCGTTTCGACCTTTTGGAGAGTTTTGAATCTTTTTTGGTAGTTATTCCCTTTTTTTAAAAAGCTGTCTTGAAAAGGGATTTTTTGGGAAGAAAAGATTTTTTTTTCCAGGAGCAATCCGAGAAGTCGTCAACCAAGACGAGGAGCTGAAGGCCTTGCTCGAATCGGATCCCATTTCGGAAGATTTTGTTCTCACCCAGGCTGTTATCGATTCCCTGTCCTCTCAACATGCCGAGGTATTTGAAGAAAAAAATAATAATAAATTTTTTTATTTTTTTCAGTTGAAACACATTTTCGTGGAATACAACGAGCTGATGCAGTTCCAATGGACGGAGAAGTACGGCGAGCTGGAGGACCTCTGGCAAAAATGCCACGTCAACGACTTTGATCGTCTCTTTGAGAGCGAGTTCAACGCCGGTAGGTTTTCAGAGTGTCTATCGAAAGTCCATTTTCTGAAAAGTTCCTGAAACTTAGATCAAGTTGCTGTTCCAATGAAAGGACAAAAGGAAAAGCGTTTATTATTGATTGATTTAGATGAGCTTCAAGTTCGACACCCTATAGCTGATTCACGGCTAGCTTGGGACGGGGGCGTGGTCTCTCTGCGCTCTCCACGATTCAGGCACTATCTTGTGCATTATCGTGTCAGGACCCTTTTTTCGATGGCTCAAGCCAGCCGTGAATCAGCTATATCACGTTCGAAAACGGATGGGAACTTTTGAAAATACTTAGGAACACTAGGGGGGGTCCCTATAGGGGCCCTTGAATGTCCCACTCTAGGGACCATTTTATCCCTATAGAGGCCACCTTTTAAAGCTTCAGCTTGCTCTCCTATAGGGACCACTCAAGCTTGTAAAAGTGGCCCCTATAGGGGAGCAAGATAGTTGTAAAGGTGAAGCAGCATTTCCATGAGAAACTCAATAAATTGGCGTTTTTCGAATTTTCACTCAAAATCCGATCAAAAAAATTGAAAAACCCCCTATAGGGGCCACTTGAGCTTTAGGGGCTTGAAGTTCAAAGCCTGAACCTCTATAGGGGCCACTTAATATTTATCCCTATAGGGAGCACTTTTTTGTCTCCTGGAAAGGCTGTTTTTCGCAACCCCTTTAGGGACCACTAGGTCAATTTTGAAGAAATTACCGGCCGAAAAGTAAAATTAACTCTCTTATTAGTTTTGGATTTGATTTGAATCGTTATGTTGAACCAAAAATACGTCTTTTAAAAGAACTTCGAACAAAAAAAAAAGCGTATTTCTTATTTTTTCTGTGTACTCGCATGCTTCTAACCAAAGTTTTTTGAATTCAGAAAGGCACTCCGAGGGAGATTTCGAACGGATGTGCGCCGAAAAAGAACGTCTCGCCGTGCTCTACGACCACTGCAAACCGGTCTACGGCGTCCTTGACAGGTCGCCCAGAATCGGCCATTGACTTTACCCCAATCGGAGAGGTTGCAGGTGGAAGAAGGCCTGGGACGAGAAGATCGAGATCGAAAACAAACGGAAAGATCCGTCCTACTTCAAGAACAGGGCCCCCGGACACAGCGTCCTGAAGGATACCAGGGTATCTTCTGAACAAATTTTCCCAAAATTATGCGCTTTTTGGCTTTTTGATTCAAAGAAAAATAGCGCTAATTATATAATCTTTTTGATATTATGAATTTTCTCTCGTTTTCAAAAATAAATAAGGATAAAATCCAGATTGAAAGCGCGCTTCAATCATACATGGGATAGTCTCGGTGGTACCTGAAAAAAAGGGGGGAGATTTGGCAAAAAAACGAGAAAAAGGGGGTGTTGGCAAAAAAACCGTAAAAAAATTTTTTTCGGGGTGCGCGCTGGACTCGTCCGATTTCATAAAAAAATTCAGACTTGGCCAGTCATGTTCATCTCATGTATGTCTTTAATTTTTCGACCACTTCAACATATAAATTGAAAATGAAAGTTTTACAACTTCCGAGAATTTTTTTCCCTATATAACATGAACGTTAGATTTTTTTGAAACAAAATAATACGACATTTTTTTATTTTTTTATTTAAAGTGGGATATTATTTTGAAACACTAGATGTGCAATTTATAAGGATAAACGGAAATTATAGTGGGTTTCTTATGAAATTGAAACGGATTTTTAACAAAAAAATTAAAGATGAAAAAAATCGGACCTGAAAGAAGAAATAGAGGAAAAAAAATCTCCAGAAGAATGTTTTCATTTTTTTATGGTTGGTAGAATTTATTAAGAGCCATTTTTTTATGAGAAGTTTTTTTGAAAAAAAGGTTGATTTTTTTGATAAAAAAATATTATTTTTTTGCGTAACTATCAAAAAAATTACTTTTTTTGCATTAGCTGATTGAAAAATGAAGTTTAAATTTTTTTAAAAATTTTTTTGAAAATATTATTCAATAGTGGATTCATTAAAGAATGATCATTCAAAGATTTCTGCAGATCGAGAAGGATCTCAACGACAAGATCCTTCCGAGATTGATGAACGATCTTCGAGAAGCCTACGACGTCTATCTTCAAAAGTATCCCAACCAGAAGATATTGTAAGTTTGAGGAAGTCAATCGCGAGGAAAAAATTTGGAACTGGCGTTTCTGACTTCTGTTACATCTAGTCCTAGGAGTAAAAAAAATTATCTTCGAATTTTTCTAAAGACAGAGAATCAGGTCGAAAATGAACAGAGAAAACTCGAAAAATGCTTTTTTTTTTTGGATTTGTAGTTTAAAAATTACTTTTCTGTATAATTCAGGAAAATAGTGAATGAATAATAATTTTTTTAAAAAAATAAGGTCGCAGATTACAAGAAACTCTTGAAAACTGCTTCTCTTTGGATTTGTAATTTGAGCTTTCTTCGGATTTTAGCCTTTTTAAAACAAGAGCTTCAAACATAAATGACAAAGAAATCCGTCTTCATTGTCGTCAAATTCAAAAATTTCCAAAAAATGTTTCTGAGCTTTTTTCTGTTCGCTTTCGACGGCTTTTACTGACCTTTTGCTTGGAAAATTTTGTTTTTTTGAATAATTGTGTCTTAGACGACCTACTACGGAAGTTGTGAACAGTAACTTGAAAACATCTCAAAGAATGATGAAAAAAAAGGCTCAAAAGATTTTTGAGCATTTTTGCGCCTTCAAATGAATATTCACTTTCTTTTTTATCTTCATTTAATAATTTTTTCTCAAATTTTACCTCATCTGTCATCGAAATCTGTTATTATTTCAGTATCGAAAGCATGGAGCCGATGGCCTACTGCAAGTGGCAATATGAACTTCACGATCGCGAAAAGGAAATTGAGCGATTGAATAAGGTGAAAATGAAAAACAAATTTTTTTGTGTGAAATATTAAAGATATGAAAATAGAGATTTCAAGTCTTAGTTTTTCTAAAAAAATTAGTATTAAAAAGACAATTAATATGAGAAAAAAAAGAAAAAAATATAACGGAAGTTTTTTCAGAAAAGAAAAATTAGAAAATCCATAGAAATCAGCAGTGCATCGACAACTCTCGATTCTTCCCTTTCAGTGATTTTTTTCGTGATAATAAAAAGTTTCACGACTAGCCTTTTTTTGGAAAAATCATATTTTTCTGTTGGGAAGTTTTTGATTTATAATCATGCTTTTTAGTGGAGATTTTTTTCTGCAGTATTATTCCCAATTTCGCAGATGAAAAAAATGAATTTTGATGTTACCGTTTTTTTGAGATTCCATGCTGTAGAGAAGTTTTAAAAAAATTAGAATTTTTTTCCCACTTTTTTTAAGCTCTGCATTTCTGGCTCAAAAAAATGTTTTTATTCCTAAAAATTCATAATTTTTTTACCTTTGAAATTTTTCGTTATTTTTCTAACGGTCTTCCTTTCAAGCATCTATCCGTGATAAATGGCCAGTTTTTGAAGAAAAAGTTCAAGTCAAAGTGCAAAATAAATGAAAAATGATCCAAAGAATGAAAGTCTAGATGAATATTCCCTTCTAGATGGAGGCCAAAAAGCAGAACCTCGAAGCGACGCGAGTCTACTCGCCAGTCCAGAGAACGCCGACGACCGCCAAACGCCATGGGAATTTCCGCACCCCTGCGAGTTGCTCCCGTTTGGAACCCGTCGCCAAGGTTTTTCTTCATTCCTAGGACTTCTGAAAGAATATTTCCTTCAGAAGCTTCATTTCGAATCGGCGCTGCCCCTGATCCATTCCCCGAGCACTTCTTCGTTGGTCAGCATCATCACACCTGTCAGGCAAGCTCAGGTATGAGTTTCAAAAATTATAAAAAAAAAACTTATGAGGAAAATTATATAATCGATTAAAATTTTTGAAGCTGTTTTCATCAGAAAATTTCTATATTATCATCAGAGCCCTTCGAAAACAAGGCAAAAATAAATTTAGAGACAAAAAGATCCGAACCTTCGTCACAGACTCCACAGGCCACCGCACTAGCCACTACACTACGTTCCTAGCTATTATACAATGGATGGTCCCGCGCACACATTAATATGAATATTGAAAGATTCTAAAAAAAAAATTCACTAATTATGTTTTTTGGCTGTTTTGCAAGAGTGAAAGGAGCTCTATTGATAAACCTTGATTTCTGCAAATTTTGTTCGAAATGGCGCGTAGAAGTAAATTAAATCGAAAAAAAATTTCGTCAATTTTTGAAAATGCAAAACTCCCATATGTTGAATATAAACCTCATTTTACTTTCCTGAAAACGAAGGTTCCCCTCTAGGGTCGACCTTACTACATTTAGAGGGGCACTAAAGCTTGAAAATGCAACTCTATAGGAACTAGTGGTCTTTTTACGTCTTCAATCAGATCAGAAAACTAACAGTCCTTTTTAGGGACTTGAAGCCACACCACAAACTCCTATAGGGACCACCTAAATTTGAGCCCTCTAGGGGACACTTTTTTGCCCCTTGGAGGGGCTGTCTTAGGGACCAATATGGTGTTTATATGAGCTTAATAATTTTGAAACATTTTTTTCAGGGCGGTCCGAAGCATTCCTCGCCGAAAGAAGACAAGCAGCGACTCGGCGCGAGATCAGTCACTCCGTCGTCGGCGGCAAAACGGCCCCTCGCCAAAAGAAATATCCATTTTTGATGTGATTCCACCTTTTCCGTGTGTACATGTTGTATTACAGGTCGACCTTTACAAATGTTGCCTTATCAATTTTCGCACCGATTTGCTTTTCCCTTTGTTTTCCTCTGATTTCACCTCCAATGCTGTCGATCCTCGCTACAAGCTCATTATCAAAGATACTCAACCTGCAAATTTATTAATATTTTTGTTTCCAATCAATAACCTCTGTTCTATTATGCTGTACTAAATAAAGTTTTTTTCGCTTTAAATGTAGTTTATTGCGTGAAATATTGGGTCATTTCACACGGAGCGATGGAGGAAATCAAGTTTCTGACCGAAGGAAAGGTTTCCATCCTCATAATACTTTGATTTGAACCTCTTTTTAATATGGGTTCTGTTTTTTTAAATAACTAAATATTTGAGCTGTAAAAAAATGTTCAAGTATTTAAAAAAATTTATTTCACGAAAAAAATTTGATTTCTTCAGTATTTTTCCATTTTGATATTGAAAATGAGCAAATCTTCACTGTTTTCTTTTTTTTGGCTTCAAAAAAAAATTTTTTTCCACGCGGAAAAATTATAAAAACTCCGGCAGTATGCAAATTTTCGTCAGCGGTGAATGCACAAGAAGCATCATATCTGACGACATTTTTGGGGGCGGGACTCTGAAAACGCCGTTTTTCGGGGCCTTTTTCTGGAAAAAAGACTCTTTTTTAAGCCCATCTGGGTTTCGCCCGTGAACTGAAAAAAAGAAAAAAAGCTTCTAGAATTTCAATTTTTATCCCGAACCTTTACCTTCAAGTATTAAATTTAATCAGAGCCGAAAAATTTTTAAAAAAATTGGCCATTCTCATATTTGAGGAGTAAAATTTCAAATTCGCTCAGTTCTGAGAGTGTCCAATCGATTGTTTTGAAACTTTGGAGTTCCTGAATTTTCCCGAGTAATCACGTATTTGAAAAGTGATCTGTAGAAACTGTCTATAATGTTTTTGACTTATTTTAAATATCTAAGTAAAGTAAACATTTTCTAAAGATAGTCGCCGGTCGATGGAAAATCATCAAGAAGCTGGGCGAAGGCGGCATGGGCGCCGTGTTCAAAGTCGAGGACAAAAGACGCAAGAACTTCATGGCGGCTATGAAGGTGATGATCCATTCGGAAAGTGTTTTCGACAAGATAGTTCTCAAGTTGAAGCCGCGCAGAAATAGCCATCTAAGGCGCTTCTAAAGTGCAAAAGTACCTGAGAAAGGCTTCAAAAAAAAAACTGCCTATGGCCTTTTCAGGACTTTTTATAAGAATTATCCTTTTTTGGGAGATAGAAAAAGAAAAAGGTTATGATAAGCTTCAAAAAAAGAAGGAAAAAACCGTTTCTCGGGTTTTTTTTCCTTAAGAAGGTCAGGAAAAGGAGTTTGGAAGGGACTTTGCACCTTTTTTGGAACTTTTAAAAGGGTTTTCGTTCTTTTTTCAATTTTAAGGCCTTGGTAAAACTTTGCCGCCTAATCAATAACTTTCCGCGCAAGACAGTCACTTTTTAAAGGAACAGAAAATAAAAAAAAAAGTAAATTTAAACCTTCGCTCAACAAAATTACCAAAAAGACAGCAAAAAACAAAAGTCTTGAAGCGAATTCTGATCTAATTCAGTATACCGTATACGGCCTTTTTGGCGGAAAGAAAAACGTGACAAGCTGGCGCGGAATGAGCTATAGTTTTTAATGTATTTTTAAACCGGCAAGTGCTTCATAGATCTCTGAGCTCTTGATTCAGCGACTATTTTGTCCTTTTTTTTTAAGTCCTGAAAATCTGGACTCAAATAACGAAAATGAATAGGTCGAAAGCGACATCTCCGACGGAGGTGTCCTCAAGCTGGAGGTCCACGTTTTGAAAGAGCTAGCCCCTCTCAAAAACGTCGTTCGATTGATTGATTCAGGCCAAAGGGACAAGTATTGGTGGGTCTTTCTGTAAAGGGAGTTTAAGGCTTTAGGAAAAGCCGTGGAAATTTCAAAAATTGAGTTTATTTCAAAAATAAGCATTCTAGAAAGCAGAGGTGGAGGATTGGGAAGGCAGTCCTTGGCTTGGCGGCCAAGCCAAGCCAAAAAGCCAAACGATAGAAATGAGCCATTAATTTACGTGGTCTTTGGCAACCAGGTCAAAAACGTGGCGATAACGCCCTGAACTAATCATTATCAACTTTGTAAATTTTGAATTGTTTTTTTTTTTTCGCAACTTCGTGTTAACGTTTTAAATCTACTGTAATAGTTATTTCAGCAGGGAATTGTCACTGAAACGGGTCAAAAGGCTACCTTTTTAATCTCACTAGAGAACTATTTCGACAAAAAAATTTAGAGATGCCATGAAATTGATGCAAAAGTATTTCTCTTGATTCATTTGGTTTCCAAAAAAGTCAAATGACTGAAAAATCCTATTACGCCAGGCCACCTCGTTAAGAGTGGAAGGCTTACAGTTCTCTACCTGAATTTTTCCGGTTATTAAAAAAAAACTAGCGAATTTTCGAACGGCGACTTTTTCCGATTTGTTCAAATCGCTAGGGAACTTTCCGACGGCTACCTTTCCGACGGACCACTTCCCGAATTTTTTCCCTTTTATTTTTCGGTTTCTTAAAAATTTTCTGTCTACTTTTTTGTGTTTTAATCATGAATCAACTACCTACTTTATATGGGAGGATTCAAAACGAAGAGTTTATTTAGCAAAAAAGTTGAAAAGGATTAGTCGGAAAGTTCTCCGTCGGAAAGCTCCCTAGCGATATGAAAAAATCAGAAAAATCGCCGTTCGAGTTTTCGCTGATCTTTTTTTCATACCACCATTTTTTCGTTTTTTGTGTTTTTGTAAAAAAGTTTCATACATCGCTCAAAACAAGCGCTTCTAGATGCTAGGGCGATATCGCCATACAAATGACCGTCGCGCCACGCTGACTTTTGAAAAAGTCATTTCTGCCTTTTGGGCGTTTATGGCTTGGCAGGCAATGCGGCCAGAGGGCAGCCATCCTCCACCTCTGCTAGAAAGTATAAGTTTCATTGGAAGACTCTCGATTTACAACAAGGAAATTCAATTTTATTAAAGGGTCCCTGAAAAAAATACAAAACAATTTTTTTTTGGTGACTTGATGAAAGTCTTATGATTTTCGGAGCTGACGTGGGAACTTTTCGTTGAGAAAATGCTAAAAATAAAATTCCAAAGTTTTCGTCGTTTTTTTTGAATTTTGCAGCTGAAATTTTCTTGTCTTTTCCTCTTTTTAATCATCTCCGAAAAAAGACCACTTTCGTTGTTTTTCATTTCCAAAAAGGCGGATTATATACAGTTTTCAAGTTAACTACCATTATCACTCTTTTTTTCGCGTTTTTCTCTGCGCCCTCCTTGTCTCTCGGCAACTCTCTTATGTTGACGTGATGTTTTTCTGTTTCTCTGTCCTCGCTGATGAGGGAAAACATATAGACGCAGACAGTCGAAAAGTGTTATAGCTGATTCACGGCTTGTTTGTGACACGAAGAGGGCGTGGCCTGTGTGCGCTCTCCATAAGCCAGGCACTGTCTCGTTCATTATCGTGTCAGGACCCTTTTTCCGATGTCTCAAGCCAGCCCTGAATCAGCTATAAGAGGATGGGCTATAGATTCAACACAGATCAAAAACTTTTTTGTGACCAGTCAAGTCTCACATTTTCGAACGTTTTTGAGAAGTCTGAAAAAAGTATTTTTTTTTATTTTGCACTTTAGATTATTCGCTCTGAAGTTCTTCGATACACTGGATCCCAGGGAAGGGAATAGAAAGCTTTGGTGACGAAAAGAACTTTGGTGACAACAGAAAAATTGAAAATTGAAAGAAATGAAGAAAAAGCGAAAATCCGGAAGATGGCCTCGCATGCTGAGCAGGGTAACCCCGCCGTGCTAACACGGGGTCTCCGCGGGTGCCCCCGTATTAAACCCGTAAAAGCCCAGCTGATAGAACTTTTGGCAATTTTTAGCCCAACTGAGACCCCGCTTTAGCCCAGCTGGGTTACATATTTTTCTTACACCCGTTGTTCCCCCGTTTTAGCCCAACTGAGACTAAAATAACCTCAGAAACACGGGTTAAATACGGGTACACCCGTTGAGACACCTGATCAGCATGCGAGGCGAAGACTGTTGTCCATAGAGCAACTTTACTGCAAAGCGCCCTTTTCGCGGGAACTCAAACTTTCCTCTCTCCGACTTTGAATTAATTTTTCTCCAAAACTAGGGAGTTCTGTACGTTTCCAAGTTTACCGTTCGATTCGGAATGGAAAGCTCTACGAAGTACTGCTTTGAACTGAAGCACCGTTTTTTACTGCCCCTATGCCTTTAAATCAAATTTTTTGAAAGCTTCTTTTTGGACTTTATATAGTCCGACAGCTTTTGGGTGTCTGCGTCTCTCTGTTCCCTCACCGCAAGGCACGTCAACATGAGAGGGTCGCCGAGAGACGAAGAGGGCCCAGAGATGTCCCGTCATTTCATATCGCGAAAACTATTTTCGACCGCCCTAAATCCACAAAGAAACATAGTTTCTCTTCAGTTTCATGGTGATGACGATGCTCGGTGTAGACCTGATGCATCTGAAACGTCTCGCGGGAAAGCCATTCTCACAGTCGACAATTCTTCGGATCGCCATGGCGACCCTCTACGCGATCAAACAGGTCTGACAGCGGACCGCGACGCGAACCGCAACGCGGCTTCAGATCCACGAGGCCGGCTTCACCCATCGCGACATCAAACCCGGCAATTGCGTGTCGGGACTCGTCGGCGGCGACATGCGTTGCTTCTACCTCATCGATTACGGTAGAAAACGTCATTTCGTGTCGGGATATCCTCTGCAACTTAGGCGATGCTCCTTTAATGTTTTATGAATCTTTGACTAATTAAAAGATCTGACGACGGAAAGTTGTTCATGTTTTGTGAGGGGTCACTTGAGGGGAAAAAATTGGCTTATTTGAGTGATCACTAAAGAGGCGTTTCTTGGAGGAAAAGCTCAGAATTGCTTTAGCGAAAGACTTTCCTTAGATTTTTAATTTTTCACTAAAGTGACTACTTACGGGATCATTTAAAGAGGACTGCTATGCTTATCACAAAAAATGATTTGAAACGAGTTTTTTGATAATCAATTAATAATTAGGGTCATAATTAAAGGAGCATCGTTTCGCTTGGAAAGATATATTGACGTGAAACATCTTTAAAAGAAGATACAGTAAGATTTTAGGAATGGTTCGCGCTTTCATTCAAACTGACAAGCACGGCACGAATTCTTTAAGAAAGCCGCGAGAAGGAGATCAACTTTTTAGGTAAGGCGTTTGAAAAAAAATCGATTTGAAAGTTCAAATAAATCAAAAGTAATACTATAAGTTATCATACTTTTCTTCCTCCAAGATTGATAGATATGAAAACGCTTGAAAAAGGTCTTAGGTAGGAAGTTCCACAATGATTATCCCCGGAGCGCAGAAGCGGGCTAATTTTCAGCCTCGCCTCTTGTTGTCCTCCCTTTTCCTGTCGCCACAATGATTAGTTGCCGGATTATCCGCAGCCCTTTTGATCGTTGTAACAGAGCTTTTCGCTCAATTGCATCCAAATCAAAGTTTAAATTTTTCGAAGTTACGATACCTTTTCTACACTTTTATCTCTCAGTTGGAACCCCAAAATATGATAAGAACTTGAAAAATTGTGAAAAATATCCTGTTTTTGTTCTAGTTGGTTTGGGCCAATGAAAACGCCTCCATCAGTTTCGTAAATTTAATTTTTTACGAAATTTTATCAAAACTCTTGAAAATTCAATTTTTTTTAAACTTTTCACCTTACTAGGAAACGCTCTAAAAACGCTCCATAATTCTTGATCAAGAAAGAAGTTGCTTTCGATCTTATTGAGGGTCACTTGAGGCCTCAGAAAATGATTGTGTTTCATTTCAAGCCAAAATTCCTTCTTCAGAGGAACTCCACGGTACTGTAGTCTGAACACGCACTACCGTAAGGAGCAAGGCCGTGTAGATGATCTTTGGTCGTGGCTTTTCATGTTGGTCGAGTTACACGTCGGCCTCCCGTGGCGACGGCTCACCGACGAGCGCGAGATCCTCAAAGTCAAGGAGAGCACCAAAACCGAGGACCTTTTCAGGGTTCTTTTCTTTTTATAGTTCATTTTTTTCGCTAATATGTTGGAATAACTGCGTTCCGTATGCCCACGAAAAATCCAGGTTTTGTGCTAAAGAGCGCCAAAGGGATCATTATAGGGGTTAAGGGAAAAGGTTCCTATAGGGGACAAAATAGTATTCCCCCCAAAGACTTGCCACGTTTGAAAACGGAAAAGCACCTATAGGGAACCCTACAATAACCCCTAAGGTAGTGACCACTCCGGAGTTCTAGGAGTGGACCCGCCGAGCTAACACGGGACATAAACGGGTGTGCCCCTGTCATGCCCTTATAAGCACTTATATTTAGCACAGTTGAGGCTCAAACTCAAGAAAAAACACGGATACGATTTGGGTAAACCCGTTGAGATATCTAGTCAGCATAAGCGAAATAGTGTCCCCCCTTCATAGACTTGCCGCTTTTGAAAATCCTTCTAGTGACCACTCTGGAGTACTAGAATTAAATCCGCCAAGCTAACACGGGACATAAGCGGGTGTGCCCCTGTCATGCCCTTATAAGCACAGCGGGTAGAACTTTTGGTACCACGGTTAAGGCACCCTTTTTAAGCCAAATAGGGTCTCAGATTTTTTTTTTCAAATAATAGCTGAGACACCTTTTTCTTCTGGTTGTTTTTTTTAGCACAGTTGAGGCTCAAATTCAAAAAAAACAGGGGTATAGTCTGTGTGCCACGATTTGCAATTTCACCAAACGACATTCCGCTGTTCCGCTGCGTGCGTTTGCGAAGCGTCTTTCGAATTTAGGTCACGCTTTCGATTGATTTTTACTGCTGTGGGAGCACAGGAAAGTAGAGTACCTTAATAAAAGAAAAAAAAAATTAAAAGCGCGACCAAAGCTCGCAAAGTCGCGCCGCGGCACAGCGGAATGTCGTTCGGTGAAATTCCAAGTCGTGGTACACAGCCTATACGATTCGGGTAAACCCATCGAGACACCTAGTCAGCATAAGAGGAGTTTTCAGCCCGTGATAAAATCATCATATCATTTGAACTGCTCATGGGAAATTTTTTCAGAAATGCCCGAATGAGTTTAGAAATTTGTACGACTATCTGAACACTCTGAAATTCGCCAGCCGACCTGACTATTTCGGCATGTGGAGCGAGGTATTCAATTAGTTGTCTAAACGAGTAATTACACCTCCACTGGATATCTAATTCACCTGCTATCAGTGAAAATATTCCACTAACCCGTTACTTTGAATTTTAAATTTTTAGCTGAAAAGTCATAAAAAGATGATTTAGACTATTTCAAAACTCAGCTAGCGGTGAATGTAGTAAACTTGTGAAGTTTCAATTTGAAGTGGAAAGTTTAAAATAGGTAAAAGTTGTTTAGCTGCGTTTTTGCGCTTAAAAATAGTGAAACCTGCGTTTTGGGCGGTTGAAAAGGACTTCAAATACAGTTTTGGGTCTTACCCTAAGGCTGCGCCGGACCGAAAGCGACTTTTCTCTTTTCCTCGTGAATTCATATGATTTTTTCAAATTTATATATCCTCAGGGTAGGGAAAAGAGACGTAGAGATTTTAACGCTTCTTCTTGAAATACTCTAACTTGTCTGCGCCCTCTTTTCTCTCTTACAGGCTTTTTCACGGTTCTATGACCTCAAGAGACGCAGAGGGTCAGACTGTTTTTCAAGTCGTGGTGATGGAACTATATAAGCGTTATAGAGCTTATTACAACATAATATAGAATTTTAAAATGTAACCCGGAAAAATATCAAAATTTTCTCTAACAACGGAAAGCGTATCTTATTGGTTTTTGGAAAGAAGGCGTGACCAGCCAATCAGAGACTGGGTTGCAAACTGCGTCAATTGAAAATAATCAAAATTCCACTTGATCACACTTTTTTTTAGTGCTTCGCGGGGTTGAAACGAGCCAAAGGATCGTTTTTGGACAAGTATGTTTGATTCGAAAAATTTTCTGATGTTCAAACTATGGACTTTTCCAGTGAAATGAGCCTTTTTGCGTTTTTAAACCACTCTAGAAAGCTGCTCTGAATTTTTTCGATTTTCAAAAAAATGTCAGATTTGAATGGGAGCCGGAAGCGCCTCCGCCAGACGTTCAGACGGCGTTGTCGATTTCAGAAAAAGATTTGACCGAATTCAAGCCGACGAAACGTTTTTCTTTCACCCTGAAATGGTACTTTTCACGTGTTTTTAGGCACTGTCATGGGAAAAAAGCTGTACCCGTACGCTTCAGCCGCCAACTTCAAAGAGAACATTCTCAAAATGTGACAAAAACTCGCCTTCTCTCCAATTTTTAGTCGCTTCGCCAATAGTCTCTCGGTGAAAATAAATCGCTTGTCTAACTGTTTTTCGATAATTTAATCAATTGAGATTTTTTTCCACGGCATTTTGAGTATACTCATCGATGCATTATTGCATCGCGATCGATTGAACAGAAGAGATAGAGAAGTGTGACGTTTTCCTGAAAATTGCAAAAGCGGTGTGCCGCTAGCTGCGAGAAATTTTCTCGAAGCCGCGCCCCCTTTCTCTAAAAAAATGTTATTTTTTTCCCATTTTTGCAGGTTTTCTGATTGCGCAACTTGACTATAATTGGTTTTTCACTTGTGATGTGATTTGGGGACTGTGTCAATCAGAATCGAGGCTTTTTTCTCTTCATAACTACCATCCGTTCTTTGATTCTCTAATATGAGCGATTTTTTTTTGTGTTTATAAACTTGCGCAAAGTTCAGATAAATGAGAGAAAAGAGTGGTAATGGTTCTCAGTGATTACTTAAAAGTACTTATCAGTTATTAAAAAAAGAAAAAAACATTTTTTTATTACCCCTATTTTTGTGTTAAATGAAGTTCGTCGGGCCTAGCTTTTTTTCCTGTTTTAAAATTATTTTAACTCTTTTTGGAAATGTCCGCCATTTTTTTCTTGCATGTTAGATTAATGATTCACTTTTTAGAAGACCTATGATAATTTTTATCCTACCATTTTTTTTCTCCTGTTCTCGCTGCTCCATGATTTTTCTTCGTGTCGTTTTTTTTGAAGCGTTTTTTTTCTATGATTTTGAACTTAGTCAAACATTTTCAGAGCGTCGAGAAAGATCAGCGACGATCAAGATCCTAGGAGAAAATGTCTGGCTTCAATGTGGTAAATTGATTATTTCGTTTTTCGAATAATACATTTTTTGACAGGAACCCGAGCCGGACTTTATCAAACTCGAGAATGCGCCTCTCATCGATCCGATGATTGGAGGTTCATAAATGTATTAGTATTTTTTTTTAGATGTTTTTTCTTTTCAGGCTACCTTTTTATTGAAGAAGAAACTCACTTGGGAATCGACAACCCAAATATTCCAATTGAATCCACCGGTTTGTTTCATTTTATTCGATTTTCGTGTACTTCTTTTGAGGAATCTAAATGTCAGTGTTCATAATTGGTAAATCCTTTCCGATTGAAAAGATGGGTAGATTGGCAAGGGAGACGTGTTGCGTACGCGACGCGGCTTCTGGCGGGAAACTCGATTTCAAACGCGAGCCACCATTTTCCACAGTTTTCCATCACTTTAAACTTTTTATGGCTTTGCAAAGAGTTAAACGAATAAAAAGTATGAAAATGATTTTCGAAAAAAGGCATAGCCGCGTCGCGTACGCATCGCGTAACCCTTTCCAATCTTCCCATGCCGCCTTTGTAATCGGCAAAAATCGACTATACAGTTAATTATTATTTTTCTAAATTTCAACGTTTCAGGAAACAACGCCAACGACCGCCAAGAGATCCCCCACGAGGAGGAAACGATTTCGAATGATTGTCCTGCGATCGACATACAATCGGAATTCGGTATCCATTTGATTCGAAATTCAAGATTAATAGCCATTTCCAGAATCCAACAACGACAACAACGAACTCCGACAGGTCGAGGTTCGCTATAAAGGCCGCGAAACTCGGACTTTTGTGATTCGAAAGAAGCGATCTTGCCAGAAGAGGCAAAAGTTGAAGGTGAACTCATTAATTTTGTGGTTCTTCAAACCATCAGATATAAATCACGAAATTCAAGATCTTGATTTCATCTTTTTAAACAGAGGCAAAGTCGGAAAAGGTGGAAAAGGCTTCATAGAAATTTTTCTGAAGACTGAAAAAGGCTCCTTTCTTGCGGCCTTTTTGCGTCATTTCATCGGCTCTTTTGCACCATTTTTGCTGCCTTTCCCTTTTCCACCATTTCTTGAGCCTTTGCACCTCTAACGGAAGCTCAAAGGGCCCATAAAGGGTCCTTCCGACTTTGCCTATTTTTTTAGAAAGTCATTTTAATGAAAAATTGTAATTTTAACTCGTGCGCCAAGTGCATACGGCGTTTCTGCCAGTTGAAGAAAAATGCAAGGAATTTGAAACTCGGCAAAGTCTGCGCACTTCTCGAAATTCGCCCGCGAAATTTGAAAAAAAGTGGCTTTATTTTTTTGATTTTTTTGTCAATTTTTTTCATATTTTTTTCACTTTTTTTCTTTTCGTAGATTGCTGATAGTATTGCGGGACCACGATCGGGGTATACTCTGGGTTGTTAGACGTTTTTTTGAAAGTAGTTCTGTGAGGCTAACTTTAAAACTCGTGATGAAGAAGCGTTTTGAAAATCTCCACCTGTTTGTATGGAACATGTTTCACCCCATTTTATGTTTTTCTTATTCTATTTTTTTGTCGATTGTTCAGATTCCTAGGTTGTGGACATAAATGAGATGAAGTTACATGAAAAAAGTCTGTGAAGTTGAGAAAGTATGTTCCGGAATTCGTTTATATCCGGATATTCCGTCAACTTTTTATAATAAAAAGTACTTGCTGTAAAACATCTTTCATTTGTTTCTCCACAGCAATATAGTTTTATTTAATCTCTTTTAATTTCCTCGTCTTTTTTCTTCAATGTTCATTCGTTTCTCACACTTATATCATCGGTTAACCTTATTTATCGGTGCATGCACTAAACACGTCCTAATTGACGGAGAAAAGTGGGCGGGGCGTCGCAAAAGAAACACCGTGTGCAGAAAAGTCGTTCTATAGACAAGAAGTTTCGCCTTTTTTCATTCCATATTCTTTTCTGATATTAGGTTAAGGGAAGCAATTCTGTGTACAACGTTCCTTTGCTGTTTTAGCGCAAAGTTGAAATTAAAAAAAAAACGAAAGTTTGTATATTTTCAAATACATATTTGAAAAGTTTCATATTGGGAATTATCATCAGGAAATTCTTGGTTTTACTAGTGAAATGTCTCTAATTAGGAGTTTGAAAAAAGCCGTGAAAGTTGATAACATGACTGGAAAAGTCTTATATTTTTCCAGACGGAGGACCAGATAAGAGCGGAGAATCGCATCAACTCGAGGAACTGCGTGCAAAGAAACAAGCAAGAAGTCGAGACGTGCAAGATGGAGATCGAATTTCGCGAAAAACAGCTCTCACAAGAAGAAAAAGAAGCGACAGACGAGTTTAACTTCAAAGGCGTACGTTATGAACATTCCTCTCGTGTTGAAACCACATAGGGTCGTAGTTTTAGCCGCGAAAATCTGAATTTTCTACTTTGAGTGCTCATTTCGCCGTCCCCGACCTGAAACGGCTTGCAGGAGCAAGCGAGAACAAATATTTTACGTGTAGGGTAACTTCTCTATCCGTCTGCTCGCAATCGGTAGAGTCCATTCCGCGCCAGCTTTTCACGATTTTTACTTTCCTCCGAGCTACATAACCCTTCCCATCAAAGCGTTTGAGCCGCCTGTGCGCATGCGCCTTTAATATAAGGGAAGTTCTGGGCCAAATGAAAGGTGCAAGCACTGTGACAGGCCGCGCGCATCGAAAGGAACGCTTTGGCCTAAAGTTGTCTTTATATTAAAGGCGCATACACATGGATAGGCTGAGTACATTGAAAAGAACGCTTTGGCCTAAAATTTCCGGTATATTAAAAGCGCATAAAAAGAGATGGGCCGAGCGCATCGTAGGGAAATATTCAGCCTGACGTTTCCGTTATATTAAAGGCGCATACAAAACGATGGTTTTTGATTTTTTAGGCAGCGGTCCACGCAGAAGACATTTTGAAACTCGCTCGAATGTATGATCCGCAAGGCATAAACAACGAAAACTTCCGGGAAATCGTCCATCGGGTTCAAGATGCTCATATAGGTTGGGTTATCTCCCTTAACTCTTTTAGAAACGCCAGAGTGATCCCTAGAAACCTCAGGGGCACTTAAAGTTACTCCTCTAGAACCGCCTTATCTCCTCTAAATGAGGGCACTGAAACTCGCAAAAATGGCCACTTCTGTGCAGCATTCTTGTCGTTTATTATCTTGTACTTCATTTAGAGAAGCGTTCCCCGCGAAAAACTCAATAAATCAATGTTTTTCTGGATGAAAAATAACAGCGAATGATTAATCGATCAATTTTCAAAGCTGAAACCAAAATAAACGATCCCTTTAGCTTTGGGGGCTCGTGGGTCGTTTACATAAAACATTGATAATAACTCCCTTTTTTAAGCCTGCGAGATCCACAAAAGTGAATACAGTCAGGTGATCGACAACAACGGCAATTATCCCACGAAAACAGAAGTTTGTTTTTTTTGTGATCTTCTACTTTTTTTCTTCCAGGAGGAGATCGTGCAGTATGAGGCTCGTCTCAGAGAAATCGACACCCGAGTCTGTGTGAGTGCAGCTTTTTATTTATTATCCTAACCCGGGTCAACCCGGCCCTTAAAAGCGGCCAAAAAAAGTTTTGTTTTTAGAATCGCCTCGTAAAAAAATCGTAATTTAAAAAAATTTAATCAAAAAAACTAAACATTTCGAAGGAAAGATTTTCTGGAATTATTTCTCATTATCAATTCTGCGGGTGGCCCCGGGGTGCCATTTTGGAAGCTTTAATCAAGGAGTGAATGAAAATTATTCAGCACACCCAGAAAGATAGAAACAACCGGAACTCGCAGAGGAGCCGCACCAAGGATAAGTTGGAACGACTGAAACTGCATCAGCGAATTGAAACGCTTCGATCGGTTAGAATTAAAATTGATGATGAACATGGAAAATTTGATTTGTTTCTCTCCAGAATATCGAGCAGGCAAAAAAGAGGAAGGAAAGGTATTCGGAATGCAACAATTTCCTGAAAAAAGCGGTAAATTTTCAGTTTTCCTGATTGAAAAGTTTAGATTTTTTTCGAAACCTCTGCCGTTCCTAAGTTCGACTTCCAAGTGGTCGTTTTTCAGATCTACGATGAAGTTGCATGTGTCGACAGGCTGCTCGTCCATTATTACGCCCGTTCGCCTGCCGATGGTTCACTTGACAAACATCGTTGGGAGCAAGCCCGAACCTTTTTCGGCTTCACTTTCCGATTGCCATAGAAACTTCTGTACTCATTTGTTTTCGCTCTTCCAATCATTGTTCGAAATTCTTTCAATTCAATCCCTTTGCGGTTAGTTTTATGTGATAGCTTGTGTGCGACTGATGCTTCTTTAGTTATAACTCATTGAAATTTTAGTGATGACTTTAGAATTTGAGAAATAGAAAATGTTGATTTTCAAAGCTTTTCGAGGTTTTATCTGAATTTAAAACCCTTTTAAGGCTCATTTTTCGAAGAAATAGTTGCGATAGGCCCCTCTAGTGATCACTTAACTGCAATCGTGAAAGATAGACTCAAAATTAAGTTTCAAATTAAAGAAGCATCAAATGTTCGCTTAAAAATACGTGATTTTTTTTTGATTTTATTCAATCCCTTAAGTCTTGTACTTGATTCAACTGTTACCCTCCCTTACTATTCAAAAAAATTCAAAAAAATCAAAAAGTTACCTGAATACATAATGATTCCTTAACTTTGTCATTTTTCGACACAAGGTTGTACTTTCAGACTTTGATGTTTCTATTCAATTTATTTGTTCTTTTTCGGTTACAAATCTTCGGGCTGGCTTCTCGTTGTGCAATTTTACTCTAGTTAGCATCAAATGTAGTCAGTAAAAAATAATACTAGTCAGATATTTATTTCTCGGTGACTTTTCTTACCTTTTCGGTTCTCTATGTACCATCCAGTTTCTTGCATTCCTTTTATAGTCAATTTTGTCCGACTTGAAAGGCGATAGAGGCGGGGCAAGTGGCGGGACGCGTAGCGTGTGCGTTCGCGGTCCTTGGCACGTGTTCAATTCAACCGCCATGGACTCTTTTGCCGCGTTAAAAGTAATTTCGGCGATTTCAAAATAGACGCGTTATTCGTTTAAAATGATTTCGGGAAATAGGCAGAATTGGTATTCCGGGAAGGCCAACTAAAAGTGAGTCCTATAACGAAATATCGTTGGATACGCATATTTACGGTGAGTTTTACGCGCGACTTTAAATTTCAGTAGAAAATGCCCAAATAACTTCAAAATTTTGAGTTCCCGCGCAGAAGTTACAGTAAAAAGGCATATAGAACGATATATCGTTGTAGGACTCACTTTTTTGGAATACCAATTCTGCCTATTTCCTAAAATCATTTTAAACGTATAACGCGTTAATTTTGAAATCGCCGAAATAACTTTGAACACGGCATTTGAAAATTCCGTTTTTCGCTCTTTTCATTTTTTTTTTTTGAATTTTTATTGATTTTATCCAAGCGTGTATTTAAAAAATAGTACCTCGCATGCTGAGCAGGTGTCTCAACGGGTGTACCCGTATTAAACCCGTGTTTCTGAGGTTATTTTAGTCTCAATTGGGCTAAAACGGGGGAACAACGGGTGTAAGAAAAATAGGTAACCCAGCTGGGCTAAAGCGGGGTCTCAGTTGGGCTAAAAAGTGCCAAAAGTTCTATCAGCTGGGCTTATACGGGTTTAATACGGGGGCACCCGCGGAGACCCCGTGTTAGCACGGCGGGGTTACCCTGCTCAGCATGCGAGGTGGGATAGATACAAAAAGAGCGGCGATCGAGCTTTACAAATAGTCGGTGGCGCTTGAATTGAATTCGTGCCAAGAATCGTGTCCCGCCTTCTTCCTTGCCTCCCTCGCCTTTCAGGTCGGGCTGGATTGGCTATAGTTTTGAAAAAAATATGTCCCTAATTTGTATAATCCGCTGCTTATATTGTATACTTTGTCTTGGATAATTATTAAACGTGTATAAACGCTGTATAGATATTGCTCAGAGACTTCTTGATTTCGCAACATTGCCCAAGGTCAAAACGTCACCGATCTGTGGTATTTTGTCAAGTGTATCTTGTTCTCTTATCAGCTGCAGCCAGCGTTTTTCTTTTTCGCATGCTGAATCGATACGAAAATGTCAGAGACTCGAAATGTCAACTTATCTTGCGAAAATTGGAAAAAAAAACGCTTTTTCAACAAACAGTATGTTACGAAGATGAGCAATTTGCTGAATTCTCTTTGAAAGGGTGGTCCCTAGAGGGAAAACTTTAAGAGCTTGTGTGTCCCGAAAAACTGCATCACATTTCCCTATAGTGAACACTAAAGCTTGCAAAACACTATACGTCTTTTCAACTTTCAAACAGAAAATAAAATATTAAGAGACCACTGTAGGGACCACTAAATCTTCAGGGACTCAGGGATTAGACTCTTTAGGACACCGCTGCGGACTGAGCCATTCTCTGTGCGACCATACTCGTAGTCCTAGGGAGCGACGGAGGGGTCACTAGAGGGGCAACCTTAAAACATCCCCGAGGAACCAGCTTACTTCCTACTATAGAAGCGCTAAAGCCGCCACTAGGGGAGCATGCTAGAGGCTACCAACCCTATAGGGATCACTCAAACTTTGAGGCTGAGAGGTCAGACTTCAAACTTTTTTAGGAAGCACCTGAATTTCAGCTCTTTGAGGAGAAATGTTTTGTTCACAGTTTGGGCTTCATAACCCCTATAGTGACCCCTATGGGGTTCCTAAAAAGAGTGAATTTGATCCACTTGAACAAACTAAATTTCAGAAAATAGCTCATTTTTAAACACGTGACTTAAGTGTATGTAGCTTGCCGCGACATGAGTCATTTCACTTTGGTTTTCCGTCAACATTTCTTTTTATCTCTGCGTTTTCTCTCGGGACACGAGCTCTTCCCGTTCTGCGTATCACCTGACCCGTTTACCTCCAATAACTTCCTTTCTTTCAGCTTAAATGGCATATTTTTTCCCGGATCAATGGTCCGGAAGTACTCATCCAAACATAATGGTTTGATTTGGGGAAAACCAATGTATGTTATTGATTTTTTTTCAGACTCATGAAGTTAATTACAATAATTCGAATGGCGTTGTCTATTCCGATCCAACGGCCGAGGAAGGTCGAAAGTTATTCGACGAGTTTTTTGTCACGGGTTTTTTTTTGAAATCTTGATAAATTGTTTGGTAGAAGATTTTTCAGAAAAGCCAATGATTGTTCAAAAAGTTCACAATCCATACGTTCCGATTGAAGCCTCGCAAAGATTTGGTTGGTGGGAATTTTATTTTTTTTTTCCAGTATATTTCAGTTTTTTTGATGCAAAAACCCGCATTTTAAAAAGAAAAATAATCGTTTGAATTCTTCCTTAACTCGAAAAAAAAACCGAAAATTCACAAAAAAGTACATTATTCAGGAACGTCAGAGTGGCCCACTAGAGGAATCCAGGAAACCTATAAGAGATAGAAAAATGCTCACAAGAGGGCTAAAAATTTATGGTCCTTAAAAGACTTTAAGGCGAAACCCCTAAACCACTTAACTGGTCCATATAACTGTCTCTGATATTTTTTGACCTATTTCGAAGTAAAAAGCACCCCTGAAGTGGTCACTTTTGCAAGTTCTAGTGCCCCCTATTGGGGTATAGCTCGGCTGGCTTGAACCATCAAAAAATGGGTCCTGACACGATAAGAAAACGAGACAGTGCCTTCTTAGTGGAGGGCGCAGAGAAGCCACGCCCCCTTGCCGACCCAAGTCTCTTGAGGATGACTCTAAAAAGCTCCTAAGGTAGCCCCTCTAGGGACCACTTTGATGTTCCAAAACGAGGTTTTTTATGAACTGGTATTTTTCAGAAAAACCCGAAGAATTAGCGCCGATCCAGAAGTTGTCCTCAGACAATATCTACTACAGGAATGGACTCGGCGGAAGTAACATTAAATATTTTTTTTTTTGATTAACCGAAAAAATTGCTCCAGACGACAGCAACCATCCATCGGACCATGACGACGGACATTTACCGGATTTAGATAATTTTAATCCGGACATCGAAATGGGCAAAAGCCTCGGTAGGCCTGATGAATTTTCTGAAAGAGTGAAACTTCATTTCCAGACGAAGAAGTCGGTTTTATCGCTTGCGAAAGTCCGCTTCTCCCAGCAGAACATAAAGTTGAAGGTATTCTTCTGAACTTTTGGTACTCTACTTGAAGCTGCGCCCGACCTTGAGCGAGTTCGAGCGAGTAGTTTTTTCAAGGAAGTGGTGAATAGACTTTCATAGTCCGTCGCCATTTTTCGAATGTCTGCGTCTCTCTGTTCCCTCACCGGAGAGGTCAGAGAAACATCAAAATAGCACGCCAAGATGAAGAGGGTGCAGAGAAGTCCCAGCCTTTCAGTTCACGAAAAAGTGGCTATAAATGTTCATTTCATTCATTTTTGTCCTGAAAAATAGCTCAAAACGTTTTTATTCCTTCCTCTACGACTCGATAATGTCTGACATGTCTGCGCTCTCTGTTCCCTCACCGACGAGGTCGTGATAATGCAGTTAGAAATGAGAGAGACGCAGAGAAATTAACAGCGAAACATTTTGCGAAAATATTTTTTGATTATTAAGATGATCTGTAAAAAATAAGCGACATTGTTTGGTGTTTTTCGTAGAGAAAAAAGATTGAATTCCCGTTAAATGCGCGCTTCGCGGGTAGGTTGCTCTACGGATAAAACGAAACGTCATTTTTTGATTTTTTTTTTCTTTTCTTTTTCCGCTGAATATGTGCTTCAAAATTTGCTTTTCGACAGACTTAATGCCGTGTTCAATTTTGATTCCACGAAATCCAAAAATTGACTCTCCAAAAATTTAGTGGTCTTTTCCTGTCTCTAACGGGTATTTTGCATTTCGCGGAATCAAATTGAACACGGCATAAGTAATTTTTTTAGTTATTATTTTGTGAAATTGAATAATTGAAGTCGACAACAATGCGAATGGGGCCATTTGTCGCGAGTTTCTCCAAGAGAAAAGCAAAAGACGTCAGTACGGTAACCGTAAGCCGAGATCGTGTCTCAAGAGGATCGTCCCTCAGGTAAATGATTTTTGAAAACGAGACTTTATTTTTGTATATTTTATTAATTGAATAAACTTCTATAAAATTCGTCGATTTTTTTGTCGATTTTTTTAGCGGTCCTCACAAGGTAATTATATAAAGTTGTTTGAAGAACTAAGTTCAGATTATCGAATTTTCAAAGCATTGTGAAAAAGGCCCCTGGATATTCTAATGCTTTTGTTAATTTTCAGAGGATAAATTTTTAAACAGTCTTTTTTTCGAAATGTGCGAAGTATTTGGATACTTTAAGGTCCTTTTCGACTCAAAAAGAATATGAAAAAAAAAATTAAAATGCTTGGAATAGTCCGCCAGTATCCCCAGTCAATATAAATTTTGTTCAACTTTTCGATTCTATTTTCGAAAATTCGAAAAATGGCGAAAACGCGAGTTCCTTCGAACTCAACGGGGCGCGTGTCAACCTCGGACGAAAATTAACATTTGTTCAGTTATTTGAAGGAATCTTTGTCCGATTTCCAGAGAACTATAATGCTTCGAAGAGTCCCAATCGATTTTTTGAATTTATCTTTATTTATCATCTTCCAGACGCCACAGGAGAAAAAACAAGAATCGGCTAGAATCTCACGCGCTTACACAAATCGCAACAACCAGGAGATCAAGACGTGCGAACAGACGATCCCTATTCTGAAGGCCAACCTCAGGAAGGAGGAGCTCGAACTCCACACGATCTTTGAGGATAGAGAGGTTCGGATTTTTGAGGATTTTCGGATAAGTCTTGAAGCAATGAGAAACCGCCGGTGTCTGATTATGTTTTCAGTGGGCAGGACATTTGCAATGTAGGCGCGGTTTATTGCAAGAGAGGCGCGGTAATGAGAGCCCACTTTTGTGAATTTACTGGATCGGAGAATAACTTCAAATAATGGACTTCTGACTTCTAGAGAAGCCTCGAATTTTTCCCGAATTATCCTTTTTTGGAACATTGAGCTGGATATGAATTATTTTTGAGACCTGTAGAAATGGAGAAATTATATATAAGAATTTCTCAATGTCATACGGAAAAGAGAAATTAAAAATGCTCATTTCGACCTTTTCAAGCCATTTTTTTGTAATTTATCGGTTGAAAAACAGCTTCAAGGCATTTTTCAGGTCGAGAAGAAGATCTCTGCTCTGTTGACTGTTGCTCGAGAGCTGAGAAACGACGGATGGGATCCGATCGAACGGGACGTCTGCCAGAAAGTTATTGGTGAGATTTCTTTTGAGTATGTGACCGAATAGCCGAGTAGTTTGAGAAAATAGCTTAGAAAAAAGGCCAAAAGCTCAGGTACTGATGTCGCCTCAGGCGACGCGCCGGTTATCAATTTTCTTTTTTTACTTTTCTTGTTCCTATAATTTAATGAGTTTCGCCTTTTTCACAATATGCCTTTTTCTCATAGTGCGTATCATATTATAACAATTATCGCTTGAAGATAAAGTTTGAAACACGTTTGAAGGTTTGAGCAAGGATACTAATACGGTTATGAAAAAAATTATATTTTATTATAAAATTTATCATTAAAATAAAAAAATGAAACGCGCTTGAAAAAAAGGTTTTTTTCGGCTCAAAAAAACGAAAAATAAAGACCAGAAAAAAATGGTCTGGACGGGCCACAACAGTAAGTGCGCTCCATGGCTAATTGAAAATTTTTTTAGGAAATTGGAGTTTGTTACATGAATTTTTTTGTTTTTAAAAAAAGTTACTTATAGCTTTGCAATATTATCATCTCAAACGTAATTTTTTTTTAACCGTACATTTTTTTTTATCAAAAAGTGGACAAATTACAGAATTCGAGTCCAAGAAACAATCTATCATCTACAATAACGAAGTTATTCCACAGCCCCGTCAGGTTAATTTGTAACTTTTCATTTATTTATTTTGTATAATTTCCAAAATTTTCCAGGAGAAGATCAAAGAGCTGGAATATGTTTTCGATGAGATCGTCGATCAACAGAACAAGGCTGTAGGGTTTATCGATTTATTGATTTATCGATTTTCTTCATTTAGGTGGAGCAAAAGGACAAGAACACTATTGCGTCGCGGAAAAGTCGGCTGGGAAATAGATTGAAGCGTGAGAAATTGAACAACGAGGTGGAAGTTTTGGAGAAGGTTTGAAGCATCATTTTCATGAGATTCAATGAAAATCGGGGTTTTTCAGATGATTGAGATTGCGAGAAAGAAGAAGAACGAGGTCTTCAATCTTCAGGCTTTTTTCAAAGAAAAGGTACTGTTTTTAAGCTAAAAGCAAGCTCAAAAATATATTTGTATCAAAACTTTCTGATGATATGCACCAGAGATTATTTATTGATGGTACGACTCAGGGGAAAATCGGTATGCTAGCACGCAAGAACCAGTTGAGAGAGCACGGTGAACCTGGAGGGACCAGACTCCTTTGCTGGCCTGCGGTCACATACGCGCGTTTTTGTTAGTGAAAGAAAATGCGAAACCAAAAACACGGTGGGCGGAGCCAGAATATCCGCCGTTCCCACGTGACGTCATGGGAACGGCAGGCATTTCGGCTCTAAGAACGTAAATAACAAGTCATTTTAAAGGCGCAGGCCGCCGTATTGCCAGAGGTCTTTAAGCGAATCGAAATGTCTCTACCTTATCGCAATTCTCTGCGCGAAAGCGACGCAGTGCATGCACACGACACACGACACTTTACGGAGAAAAAGTGGGCGTGGCGTCGTCGAAAAAAAAATTTAACGCCTCTTTTTGGATCTCCCAAAAGTTATTTTGGACTGTGCTTTTCAGAAAAATGAACGATTTTTCTAAAAATTTCTATCATACACTTTTTGTTTCATAGATCTGACTCAAAAATTTGAGTCGGAAATCTAAGAAAGATAATTTTACCTATTGATTGGTACCGTATTACACTGTTTTGTATCAATATAGGCTGAAAAGGGCCTTTCGAAATCTAATTTTGAAAAAAAAAATATATATCGTTGAAATCGTTGTGAAAAGCTTTAGAAATAGCAGTTCATTTCATTTTTTTGCATATTTGGAAGTTTTACAGATGGCCGGAAATGCTCAAATCATCTCCAACGTCCTCAAGAACAGCAACTTCCAGGACGTCCAATGGGAGTACTTCCATTGGTCTTACAAGTTCTTTTTCCCTTCCTGAAATAAATTCTGAAAAAATAACTTATAAGCCATTTTGATGCTAGTGAAATGGTTCATGTAGAAATAAATCATTTATTTTTTTCTTTTTTTCTGTATAGTCGATGTGCCACGACTTGAAATTTCATGGAACGACACTCCGTTGGGTGGCCGTGGCCGTGAAAGCGCCTTGCCTTTGCGAATTTCGGTCGCGCTTTCCATTTTTTTCTTTTATTTGAAATTTCCATTATTTTTAATTATGTTTTTAATAGTTTTTCTTCGTGCCAAACTCATAATTATCTTTTTCTAGTGGATAGACTGTTTCATTGATAAAAAAATAAAATAGCGTAATTTTTCGAATTTTTAAGAGAAAATGCGTTTATAACATTTGAAAATTTTTTTCATGAGATGGTCTTTGGTTTTTGTTCAATATATTCCGTTATTTAACCTTCATTGAGCCTTTATCGACATTTCTTTTTTCATTTCAAATAATTTAAAAAATAAAAACGAGAAAAAACAATATTGAAGCGATTGACGAATACATGAAGTTTTTTTCAAATTTTTTTAAATCGCTTTTTTTCGAGAAAGATCATGAAATTTACTGTGTTCTTTCGTTTACATTTGTACAATACAATCCTTTTCAACGATAGTAATACATTTTAACGGAATAAAACAATAAAAAAACGATCAAAATTAGAATTAAAACCAAAAAAAAATTAGCGTGGCCGAGGTTGGCAAATTCGCAAGATGCGCGCTACCGCACAAATCGAAACGGCGGAGTGTCGTTTCATGAAATTTCAACTTGTGGCACATCGACTATACTGGTTTCTTTGACTTTGTCTGTACTGTTGTAATATTTCTCACATGTTCTGCCCTACTGAGTTTTTACGGTTTTTGGAACAAAATTCATTTGTTTTTTCTTTATTTAACAGAATCATATTGATATAGTTCTCTAGTTACTGTACTAACAAGTTTTTGTTCATTATTTGTCCGGTTTCCTTAATAAAAATACGATTTTGGTGGAAGAATCGCGTGACTTTCTTGGCGTTGTTTGTCTCTTTATCAATATATATATATATATATATATATATATATATATATATATATCAGTTTTTTTATCAGTTATATATATCAGTTTTTTTATCAGTTATACTTTTTTTATCAGTTATATATATATATATATATATATATATATATATATATAACTGATAAAAAAGAGCGTTCTCAAACTGGCGGCATTCGCATAGTGGCCACACAGGCAAAGTCCAAACGACCTCAAAAAGAAGATCCTAAAGCTTCTTTTTGAGTTCCAAAAAAGTGTCCAAAGTTTCTAGAATTCTTCTTTTTCACCTTTTTTCCGCCTTATTTTTTAAAGACTCTTTGAAAGGTCCTTTTCAGAAAAAGATCTAGAAAAAAAGGCGCATTTGAAACCTTCTAAAGGCCTTTTTTCCAAAAGTCCTTTTTTAGACCTTTTGGACTTTGCCCGTGCTATCAAGTCTTCCAAATTTTTAGCATTTTAAAGGCTAAAAAATGGTTGAAAAGGGGAGAAGCAGCAAAAATGGTTCATAAGAGCTGATGAAATGCCGCAAAAAGGCAGCAAAAAAGGAACCTTTGTCGTCTAAAAAGGAATATTTCTATGAAGCCTTTTTCGATCCTTTCCAACTTTGCCTATGAACGAAAAAATGTAGAGCAAAGCTCAAAAAAAAAAATTTTTTTTACTCAAAAATAACTATGAATGAAATTTTTAGAAAAACAATAATTAAAAAAAAATAAGTTCTGTCCAAGGCCAGCTTTTAAAAGAGATTTTGAAAATCCGTCAATTTTTATCAGATTTTTTTGAAAAAAATGAACCAGCTTTTTTTCGTTTTTTTATCGTCATATTGGTAAAGAAAAAAACATTCTTGAAAAAAATGACCGAGATTTTTTTAAATTTGATCAGCGGAGACGGAAAAATCATGAATTTATCTGCGTCCCTTTTCAAGTTTCAATTTTAAAAAAATTATAAAACGATCGATTTTTCCTGTATAAAATTACACCAGAAACTAAGTAAGTCAAAAAAAAAAATCACAGAAAAAGTCGAATTTTGGTCGATATGATCCCAATCGGAAACTTTTTACCACCGATTTTAAGTTCAGTTTTTTTTCCAGATGAAGAAATTAAGGTTGATTTGATTTGACAGGAGGTTACGGTAGGCTTCGGGAATTCACCGACGAGGAAAGCAACATGTGTTTGTTGTTCAACCGCGTCGTCGACATGGAAAATCCGGAAAGGCATACTGTGTCTCTGATCGTCTCGTTGTTCGTCACCTTCTTGAGGTAGGTGGAGACGAAACGTGCGCCAGTCCTTCTTAAAGGCATAGGGGCAGTAGAAAACGGGGTTTCAGGTGAAAGCAGTATCTTATATAGTTTTTCATTGCGAATCAAACTGTGCTATCAAAAAAATTACAGATGTGACTATTCTTGAAGAAAAACGCAATTTTCCTTTCGCGCCTTTAATTTTGAAAAATGCTTTGGATCGGTATACAGACAACTGTTTACAGTAGCCGTGCACGCGATGTTGCGGACGTCTCATTAGACTCGCATTTTGTAAGAAATAACCGGATATTTGCTTCAAATCAAGGGTTTCTACTCTGTAAAATCGATTAAAAAAACAGAAAACACGCATTGATAATAAAGAAAACACAAATAGTCGCTATCCCAATCGAAACCTGTGCGAAAACAGGCTTGTGCGAGGGCCGGCCCGTCACCCTCCCGGCCCGGCCTTAGAAGGGCCTCAAGAAAAAATGGCCCGCCCGGCCCGAAGCGCGCAATTTTTTTCTTGTCGAATATATCAAGTTTTTTTTACGACAAAAATTATGTTATTGCTCATTTTTTCACTTAAAGTTTAACAAAAACTATGATTTCAGAAGTAAAAGTCACATTTAAGTGAAAATATTTCAAATGAAATTTTAAATTTTTTTTTTGAAGCTTGGCCCGGCCCAAGCCCACGCGGGCTTTTTTCTGAAAATAAGGTCCGAAACCCGGGCCGGGCCGCCCGGCCTGACGCACAAGCCTGTGCGAAAATCCAGAAGATGGCGAAGCCTGTTGTCCATAGAGCAATTTTACTTCAAAGCGCTCTTTTCGCGGGAACTCAAACTTTCCTCCCTCCGACTTTGAATTATTTTTTCTCCAAAACTAGGAAGTTTGGTACATTTCCAAGTTCATCGTTCGATTCGCAATGAAAAGCTCTACAAAGTACTGCTTTGAACTATAACACCGTTTTTTACTGCCCCTATGCCTTTAAAAACTAAGAATTTCTAGAATTAATTAAATTTTTAAGAACAACTTTAAAAAATTTTTTAGGTCGAGAAAAATATATCTGTTCTGCTGACTGTTGCTTCTCGAGAGCTGAGAAACGACGGATGGGATAAGATCGAATGGGACGTCAGACAGAAAGTCATTGGTGAGATCTCTTTTGAGCATGTGACCGAATAGCCGCGGACTTTCCAGTCTTCGAAAAAGAATCTGACAAAAAAAGAGCCGAGGCACAACTGCCCGAACTCTTAGGAACACTGAAGGGGCTAGAGGAAAAGAAGCCCCTTTAGGTAACAAATAGTGCTTCTAGAGGGCTGAATTTCAGGTAGTCAATATAGGGTCTTAAGATCTGACCACTAAGATTCTAAATTCCCTATAGTGTTTTTTTTCAATTTTTCGTTTTGATTCGAAAGTTAAAAAGACGTTTTTTATAAAAATGTATCGATTATTTCTCTGTTGATTTTTTTTTTTCATTCAAATAACTCTAATTGATTTTTTGCGTGAAAATGCTTCCTCTCATAGATTCGATGAAATAAAAATGAAAATAAACGATGAATGCCCCACTAGAGAGGCCACTTGATGAAATACCTAGAAGGACCTCTTTTGCAAGCTGCCACGTATAGGGGTAGTCCCTCGAGGGAAACCTTCATATAGCCCTAAGTTGCTCTTCTATAGACCACTCTGGCGTTCTTAATCAGGATTGCCGCAACAGACTTACGCGCCGGAGCAAGTGCGCCCCATGACCGCTTCGCGGGGCACCGAAGCGGTTATAATTTTGGAAGAGTTCGTCAAAATTGCTTAATAAAAAGAATCAATTTCAATTTTCTTCCACTAATCGATTATTTATTATCTCTGCTTCTACTCTCCACGTTCTACACACTATCTAAAGACCTGCCGTTTTCTGTTAAATTGGCATGTCGGCGCGCAGGTCCATAGACAGTGTGTAAAGCGAGGAGAGTACGAGTCTGTTCTCTCCAAGTTCAAAGTGCTCTTTAACCTGATTTTTTCACGTTAATCCGCCGTTTTTTTTTTTTCTGTACTAGATGATTATCTTGGGCGCGCCGTAGCGCAACAGGTTGTGTGCCTGTCTACGGTCCACAGGGTCACAAGTTCGATCCCCGCCCCGACCCAACCAAGGGGTTTAAGAAATGTTGGTAGTGGGAAACCACGACTTCAAAATCCCCAGCCGTCACACACAAGGACGGATATGTCACTCGAGCCAGTCCACTGATATCAGGATAGGACCTCGGCTAATCGACTTGGGGCGCCGACGCCGCTCAAGCGGTACAAAGGCGTAGGAAGAAGAAGAAGACTAGATGATTATCTTCTCAAGTTTTATATATGTGTGTGCGTGTATATGGACGGAATAGATTGCACCCAAAACTTTTATGTACTGGGTATAAAAAGAGGTAGTCGTGAGTCAGGGGTCGGCGTCGTCTGCGGCGGCGGACGACGTGGTCGGCGATGAGGTGGAGGCGAGGCGAGAGTTGATATTGAAGTGATGATCAGGGGAGTTAGACCCTTATATAGTGGTCAAATCTTCCACGTGATCTCTTTCTTAGTCACGCCTTTTTTACATACTCAACATCAAGCTTCGTGTTTCATTGGTCATATGCCTTTCTCTTTTTGTTACCAAAAGAAGATAAATTTCAGAATTCGAGTCCAAGAAACAGGTAATCATCAATAACGAAGTTGTTCCACAGCTCCGTCAGGTTAATTTTTAACTTTTTTTTGTATAATTTTCAGAATTTTCTAGGAGGAGATTGAGAAGATGGAATTGGATTTCAACAAGATCGTCGAACAACAAAAAAGGCTGTAGGGTTTTATCGATTTATTGATTTATCGATTTTCTTTATTTAGGTGAAGCAAAAGAAAAAGGGAACTATCGCGTCACAGAAATGCCGGCTCAAGAATAAATTGACGCGCGAGAAATTGAACAACGAGGTGGAAGTTTTGGAGAAGGTTCGGATGATATTTTCAATCAGGTCTAATAAAAAATGACGTTTTCATTCCGATTATTGAGATTACGAGAAAGATGAAGAAAAAGGTTTCTGATCTTCAGGCTTCTTTTCAAAGAAGAGGTACTGTTTTTAGAAGTGAAATATACTTTATCAGAAAGAATATACCTTACTCGAGCAAACTATTTGGAAAGCTGCGTCTGAAAAATCTCGAATTTAGCATACTAATAAGATAGATAATTGAGTGAGGCACAGTGTTTCAAAAGGGATGAGGCACGCAAAAGGAGGCGTGGCTTATATTGCGTAAATCTACGCGAGAATCCCATCTCCTAATGTGGATTTGCATTGTGAAATTGATGGATGAATGTTTTTTTTTTTAATTTGTGCGTTTCGTGGGTTGGAATGCTCAACAATAAGTTGGAGTTTTGAGAAGTTAAAAATCTGAAAACAGACGAAAACTTTTGGTTTTGGAAAGACCGAAGCCCGGGTCTTCTCTCAGCGGGTCTCTGGGACTTTGCCCATGAACAAGATCCGAAAACAATTCGATATTCGGAATTTCGGAAAGCAGCATTTTTGCAGATTTTTCTCCACATTTTCGACGGGTTTTCCCTATTTTGTACCTTTCACTGCCGACCAGTGAGCGGGATAAAGTTTTTATTTTCGAGTACCTTTTCACCTGAAATTTTGAATTCAATTCAAAATGAAAAGCGTTATTTTCTGAGCTCCTAAGAAAATTTTTTTAGACTGCGCGGAAAAATTAAATCTGAAAACTCGAAAAGAAAAATTTTTATCATTTTCAAGGGAGAAATCGACGCATTATTCTATCAAAGTTTTTTCGCGAAACATGCAAAATTAGAATTTCGGAAGCCGTGAAAAATAAATTGGGTGTCGACTTTTTTGCGCGAATCTCCAATCTTCGGAAAAAGTTAAGCATTTTCCAACCAAAATTTCAAATTTGTGCGTAAAAGCCACCCGAATATTCCAACGACCCCCCGAAATCCAAATTTCGCGAGGTCATTCCAAACGAATAATGCGTCAATTTTGAAATCGCCTAAATTACTTTGAACTCGGAAAAAACTGTTTAGGACCAATATGGACTGGGAAACTCTTTCGTAATCTATTTTTTTAAAATTTGGTTGAAAAAATCTTTTCTGTGGCAACTATCTCATATTCGCTTGCTTTTTTTCAAACATTTTGGCTAGTTTTGAAACTTTACAGATGTCCGGAAACGTGCAAATCATTTTTGACCTCTTCATGTACAGCAACTTCCACTTCCCGGACGATCAATTGGATTGCATCCAGGGGATTTACAAATTCTTCCACCCATCCTAATTCACATTTTGAAAAAATAAAAGTTTAAAAAAACTCTCTTCTTTTGTACTCGTTTTCTAATTTTTCAATTTCCAAACGTTTCTGATGGTTATTAAAGTTTCACTGTACTTGAAAATTACTATCGCGTGATTTCCTTGGCGTTGTTTGTCTTGGTTGAATGACGAATCCTTCCGCTTTTTAACGGCCTTGAGATAACTGATAACGCCTGCAAAGTGGAAACCATTTTATTGATGTTAAAAGTCTTCGAGGGACTTTTTATTGATTAAAAAAAACATTGAAAAATATTGAAGAATAGACCCCTGCGCCACAGGCCACCAGGAAATAATCAATCAATAAATCAATATTTAAATTTTTGTTCTAGTCAGAGCGATCTTAAGATCCTTAAATACTACTCAAGTGATCTATTAGGAGCTTCGCTCGCCCCTAAGGTTCTCGAAAACCCCCCAAGTGACCTCTTCAGAGCTTCCTAGCTCATGTCAAACCTCAACTTTTCCTCCGATTCCATCGCCCTATTAATTATGAAGAGCAGAAGTGCAAGACAAACGGCCATAGTTTATATGAAGAGCGATGAAGCTGCAGAAGAAGCTCCGCCATGTGTGCCAATGTTTATTATTTCTCCACGAAATCCATCTGCGGAGCAGCTTCTCTTGCCCTTTCCTTGGCTTTTTTGAATCATGTTTTCCTAAAAAAAAATGTTTGATTTTTATTTCTTTTAGGTGATTCGGATGAATTCAAATGGTTTTTTGACAATCGCAACCTTTTATTTTTGCATATAAGACCGATTTTCAGGCTTTTTAAACTACAGCTAGCAGGTTCACTCTCATTAAAAAGCTGCACGGTGGACATTATCTAGTTAGATAGACCCTTTAGGGACCCCTTCGAGTCCTTTCAGAAGCACAAGGGGTCAGGCTCAAATGACTGGCAGTAGTTGTATTGTGGTTTTCCTGGATTCTTTCTCATCAAAAAGTTTCTCTGTTCGCCCCTTTAGGGGCCACTTTGAGTCTTCTCTTCTGAAGATAAAAGAGTCAGGTTCAAAGGGCTTCTGGTAGTTTCACTCTGGTATTCCCGGATTAACGTTTCACTCTCATTGAAAAGCTTGTCAGAATTTTTTTAATTTGATAGCCCTTTAGGGACCCCTTCGAGTGTCTCGAGAAGATCAAGTGGTCAAGTCCAAAGCGATGGCAGTAGTTGTATTGTGGTAACCCTGTTTTTTTTCCCATTAAAAAGCTTCATGATGAGCCCCTCTAGTGACCACTCAGAATCTCCTCAGAAGCTCAAGGGGTCAGGTTCAAAGAGCTGGTAATGGTCGTTTTGTGGTAGCTCCAGATTCCCTTTCATTAGACATCTTGTGAGCGCTTTCTTATTATACAACCCCTTAAGGGACCCCTTCAAGTGTCTCCAGAAGATCAAGGTGTCAGGTTCGAAGGGCTGGCAGTAGTTGTATTGTGGTATCAACCCTTCACTGTCAATAAAAAGCTTCATGGTGACCCCTTGAGCGATCACTCTAATCGTCGTGTTGTGGTAGCCCAGGATTCCCTCTCATTCACCAGCTTCTGAGCGCTCTCTAATTATTCAACCCCTTAAGGGACCCCTTCGAGTGTCTCGAGAAGATCGAGGTATCAGTTCCAAAAGGCTGGCAGTAGTTGTATTGTGGTAGCTTCATCTCTTCTTGAAAAGCTTGTGAGCGCTCTCTAGTTATTCAACCTCTTAAGGGACCCCTTCAAGTGTCTCCAGCGTATCAAGGTGTCCGTTCCAAAGGGCTGGCAGTAGTGGTTTGTGGTAGCCCTGTTTTTTTTCCCATAAAAAGCTTCATGACGAACCCCTCTAGTGACCACTCTGAATCTTCTCAGAAGCTCAAGGGGTCGGGTTCAAAGGGCTGGCAGTAGTTGTATTGTGGTAGCCCTGCTTTTTTTTTCTTATTAAAAAGCTTCCCGGTGAGCATTCTACGGTTAGACCTCCTTAAGGGACCCTTCGAGTGTCTCCAGAAGATCAAGGTGTCAAGTCCAAAGGGCTGGCAGTAGTTGTATTGTGGTAGCTCGGAATCAACGAGCAGGTGCCGAATTGTTGCAAATGTTGCGATATGTTGGCCGAAGGAAGGGCGAGACGGATGAGGCGGCTGCTCGAGGACCTGGACGTGCCTGGCCAGCGGCTGCTGTAAAACGGCCGCGCTTTTTAGCCCAGCAGACGTCTCCTCTCTCGCCCAACTAATGATTCCTGCGATTTATGTTTAGCTAGAGTTCGTCCGAGGTCAACCTTGAGCTGTGTCAGCTTGACGGAAAATCCCCATTTTGAGCTGTACCTGCTTTTCTAGTACTCTGACCCTAGATTACTGTAGGCATGCGTGATTTGAGTTTGAAGAAAAATCTTTCTCAGAGTTGAAAAGGAAAATTCCTATTTTGAGCTGATCCAGCTCTTCTAGAAGTGTGACCCTGATTATTCTAAAGTGACCCTGATTATTCTACCTTTCAAAGGGAAGTTTATTTTAGAGCTGGACCAGCTTTTCTAGAACCGTGACTACTTTCAGCATGCCTGAAATTGGTTGGTAAGGAAAATTTCTATTTTAAGCCGTGTCACCTTACTAGAACTCTGGCCCTGAGAATTGTTAGTAGGGCTGATTTTTATTTGGAAATGGAAGTTTTTTTTGAGCTAGACCAGCTTTTCTAGAGCCGTGAACCCTGACTACTGTCCGCAATATTTGATTTATTTTGACTTCGTTTTTGAGCTGTGCCAGCTCGTCTAGGACCTTGACCTCTATCCTAATTTTAGTTTGAAACGAAAGTTTCTTTTTGAGCTGGACCAGCTTTTCTAGAACCGTGACCTCTGACTATTGTCAACATGCCTGAAATTGGTTTGATAGGAAAATTCCTATTTTGAGCTGAGCCAGCTTTTCTGGAGCCGTGACTACTGTTGGCCTCCTTAATATTTATTTTGAAGGGAATTTCCTATTTTTTTATCATTTATTAATGAATTTTTCTTTATCAAATTACTTTTAAAGCTTTTTTTCCTTGAGCTTAACTGACTAGAGAACGTTTTTTACTTCAGGAAAGTCTCGTCAAAAATACAAACGGGGGCTAAAAAAATGATCTGCTTTTTTGATATCCCTTGCAAAAGTCCTTCTTGATTTGAGTCAGTCTTGGTCTCTGTCATATTGCGAAGAAATGATCAACTACGGCTTCTGTTCGACTTTCTGATTTCAGATTCATTTAGAACTGAAACCCCTTGAGCTTTTTTTGAATCGATTTATCAGTCCTGAAAGATTTGAGCTTTTCCAGCCTTGACTTGAGATTTTCTCAATCTGGAAAGTATGATTAACCTAGAAGAACTTCCACTACGACTTTCTTATTAGTTTTTGATCCCTGTACTTATCTTTCAATCTAGGTGATCACTTGAGTATTTCGAAAGGGTCATTTTAATTCACTAACGAAAAGTCTTCAACGAACCCCTTTAGGGACCACTACGAGGGACGACATTCTCATTGGTTTTTGATACCATTCTCCCAATTCAAGGGACCACTAAAACAGTTTTAACGCAGTCTTCGCTTTTTTCTTTTCTTTTTTTTCTTTAACTTAATTCGCCACCGTTTTTGTTCTCCTGATCTCTCATCAGTAGGTGAAAATCTTCCTCTTTTCCCTAAATAAAAGGGCAAAAAGCTCGGATGCCACTCAAAAAAAACTGACCGAAACCCTGAAAAATAAGATCCTCGTGTTCCCTTTTCACCGTTGGTCGGCTTCGAAGAGCTGAAACTCAAAACAAAACTTTACACTTTTCGCTTCTTTCTTGCGCCTTTCAACGTCGTTTCTATTTTAAACCTAGATAAAAGTACTTTTTGCACGGTTTTCAGAATCATTACAAAAAATTCCTGTTTTTCTTGAAATTTCCGGAGGAAACCATTCTAAGGAAGTTCTTAAGGGACCACTCCAATTTTTTCTTAAAGTTAAGGCAGCTTATTTTTGATCCAAGTGTCTACTTGAGTATTGCAAATAGCAGGAGTACTACGAAAAGTTATAGGGGCCACTTAAGAGGTTCCTCAAATAATACTTGAAAAGGAAGCTGAAGTGGCCACTAAAGCCATTTCTCTGGAAGCCTTCATTTCGCGCCTGTAGTACCACTTAGATTTCTGAAGAGGTCACTATTTTTTAGCCCCTTAAGAGGCTACTAAAAGATGTCTTTAGGGGCCACTTAGACTTTCTTATTAGTTTTTGATCCCTGTAATTATCTTTCAACGATCACTTGAGTAGTTCGAAAAGGTCATTTTAATTCACTAACGAAAAGTCTTCAACAAACCCCTTTAGGGACCACTACGAGGGACGACTTTCTCATTGGTTTTTGATACCATTCTCTCAATTCAAGGGACCACTAAAACAATTTTAACTGAATAACAAAAATCTTTAGCTTATAAACGTCATAGTTGTTCTCAAGATACCTTAAGTGACCACTTGAACTTTCTCATCGGGTTATGATTCTAATCTTTCGATCCAAGTGACCACTACAGTAGTAGTAAAGTAGGGAACATTAAAACTTTTTTATTGTTTTGATCCCGATCTCTCAACCAAAGTGACCACTATAGTTGATTCACGGCTAGCTTAGGAAGCTGAGGGGCGTGGCTTGTCTGCGCTCTCCACGAGCCAGGCACTGTCTCGTGCGTTATCGTGTCAGGACCCTTTTTTGATGAATCAAGCCAGCCGTGAATCAGCTATACAGTAATGCGAAAGAAGGGACCCTTCTAACCTTTTTTTTTGGTTTTTTTTAAAACCTATTCTCACAATCCAAGGGACCACTACAACAGTTTTAACTGAATAAAACAAAATCTTTTTCTTATAACAGTCATAGTTTTCCTCAAAGTGCCTTTAGGGTCCTCTACGACTTTCGGATTCATTTTTGATCCCAACCATACAACCCAAGTGACCACTACAGTAGTGCAAAAGAAGGGAGGAAAAAGATGAGAAAGTGGGTCTCTCCGCGTCCAACTTAGCGTTTGATGGATTCTCGGCCGCGTGCTGTAACACCGGGGCTCATCTGCCATCGATCGATCCTCAGCTTCTCCTTCTCCTTCGTCCTCTGCACGTGTGTCTCTCCATCGTACTTCTACAAAAACTTGTATCCCCCGACCTTTTTTTTCTTCTTCTGTGCAGCTGCTCCTCGGAGACTCCTCACACATTTGCCGCCTTTTTCATTTGATTTATATCCTGGAAACTCCTAGAATGATCAGAGGCTTGAAGGTTTACAATCCTACCTGACAGAAAATTATCGATTTCTATGTTTTCCTGACTCTTCCAGTATATAATATATTTCTAAAATTCTCAAATTTTAAGTCCTACCGTCTCAAAAACTGTATGAATTGTTTTGCAAATCTAATTTTATGCTAATTAAAATTAAAGAATAGTTAGAAAAGCGGAGAAAAAAATAGAAAAAAATGAATTTTTCAGCCCCCAGACTTGAAACTCATTTTTTTGAGAAAGTTAAATCAAAATCGAATTTTTTTAAGATTTTTAAATTTTGTTTCAGAAAAAGAACCACTGAGCTCTCTTTAATTACAAAAAAACCCGGATGAAATTTTTTTAGAAAGTTCGAAATTTCAAAGTTTTTTTCATCATTCAATGATGATTTCATCTGCATTTTTTTAGCCTACGATAATTTTTTTATCACATAAGAGTTTCAGGTGGATTGATTCGAAATTAGATTTTTTTCACATTCCAGAAGAAAAAAATTTTTGGAAATAACCGCAAAAAGCGCAGAAATCAGAAAAAAAATTCGGCAGATCATGATTTCGGAGTTTCTAAACAAACCTTTGATTTTTTTAGTTTTCTGTTTCCGCTTATCTTCTTCATTTGTTAAAACATGTTAAAAAAATTATAGCTTTCTACAGCTCTCCATTTCAAAATCACATAAAATGGTTTTGGAGCTATTTTGTGCGGTTTTTTTCTTTTCATTCATTCTCAATTTTTTTCCATTTTTTTATTTTATCCCATGCTCAAAGTGGTGATTCACGAGATTATTCAAGTACAAATGAAAAAAATTTATTCTCTGCAAAATACTTTTTTTGCATCTTTATTTACTTTCAAAAAAACTTTTTTTGTGGTTTTTTTCAATTTTTATTTTTTTAATATAGGCTAGTTTCTCGGGCAAATTTGGAATGGTAGATAACGGCCGCTAAAATAAAAGGGAACCAAAAAGACAGCAAAAAGGCCCCAAAAAGGCCGCAAAAAGGCGCTAAAAGGCCGCAGAAAGGCTGCAAAAAGAGTCCCTTTATCGAACCTTCCATTTTTCTGTGATTTCAAAGGCTCGAGAAATGGTGGAGGAAGGGAGAGGCAGCAAAAATGGTGCATAAGAGCCGAGAAAATGGAGCAAAAAGGCAGCAAAAAGGAACATTTCTATGGAGCCTTCCAGCAGCCTCGGAGGGTCCTTCCGACTTTGCTCATTTAAAAATTCACGTTTTGGATCGTTAAATTTAGTTGATTGTAGGTTTTCCTGAACCTTTTCAGATTTTTGAACATGAAGCTTTTACTTCGTCTTCCACAATGCTTTTTTGTGGAATGACCCGAAAATCGGATGTTTGATGATCCCCACTGCTCTCTTATCATTACTTAGAACATTTATTCTTTCATTTTTTTTTAAAATAATATTTCATGCCCTTCGGAATCAGAAAAAGAAGACGTTGATTTGTTCAGACGACGTGGGTAGACGAGGCGGCGAGAACGGCGACTTTCGCTCGACGACGATGATCGGCGTGCGGATTTTGCCGCTGCTCGCGGCGCTGTGCACCATCACATCGTTCCTACCCAACAGGTTTCATCAATTCAATATACTCTTCAAAGAAAAATGTGAAAAATGTTGTTTTTGAGCGAGTAGTCAGAAAAAACTCAATGATCTTGAAGTTCAGTTTGAGTTCTGACGCCAAAAAGTCCGTTTTCCTTAGAGTTTGTTAGAAATTCAATAATTTGAAGATCAAAACTATGAGTAATCAATTTTTTCCCTTTCAATCGTTTTAAGACACAAAAAACCGTTTTTTTCTCCACTGTCATGATAAAGTTTAAGTTTGGACGCACTACAGCTGTACTAAAAACAAAAAAATATCAAAAATCATGTTTTTCGCTTAAAATCGTGTTACTTCATTCAAAAAAAATTTTTTTTGTTCTTGCACAGTTTTCAAACTCTTCGGTAGTATACAGATGTGAAATGAAAGTTAGATTTTTTTCAGAATTTCTCAATTTTATTAAAGTGTAAATTTCTTAACATTCTACTTGTGTAGTGTTCTTGAAATATAATTTAATTGTCTCTGATATTCTTGATTTATCGATTATAAAGAATTGATTTCTAGTTTCGCTCTTTGCAAAGCTGGTAGTTATTCGGGGAATTTCACTTCGCCAATCTGAATTCCGGAAATTGAATTTTTTTGAGTTTTTTTGCTGTGGATTTTTCCGAGGAATAGACAGGTTCTGGGAATATTTCAAGACGATCGTCGATTTTATTTTTTACTTTATCTGATATTTCTGCGATTTTAAAGATCACAGCAAGTTTTATTGAACGTATTTCTTAAGCATTAGTTTTAAGTACAACCTAAGCTGTACCAGAAAAAAGTTTTGTCAAGTTTAACGGTCCCCTGTCAAGGATTTCCAATAAACGTCCGCACTTTGCAGAGTGCTCGTCGATGCAGCTGTCGCCTGCAAGGGCTGCGCTCCGCCGTGCGTGTGTCCTGGCACGAAAGGAGAACGAGTAGGAAACTTTCTTGACTTCAAGCCTCAAGTGAACTTTTGCAGGGAAACCCAGGCTTTGGCGGCGAGCCAGGCCATCCCGGAGCTCCTGGTCTTGACGGACCGGAAGGCTCGATCGGACTAGCGGGCCAGCCCGGCGCCGAAGGCGACTTTGGCGACATCGGACCGAAGGGATCTCGAGGCGACCGAGGCCATCCCGGACCCCCAGGCCGATCCGGCTTTCCCGGCGTCGACGGAAACCCCGGCAACAAGGGCGAGGAAGGCATTCCCGGCTGCAACGGAACCGATGTGGGTGTTTGCGTCGGACTGACGACGGAATTACAACCAAAGGCGATGACGAATCGAGGGTCGCTAGAGCCGCAGAGAAAGTGTAACAGGCGGCCAGCCGGCTTGAACTTTTTGAGAGCTTGAAAAAATGGAGAAAAATGAGTCATTCGCCTGGCTTTTAGCGAGATTTAGGTCGTACTGTCGGTTCATAGAGAATCAAAAAGCAAAATTTTCTTCACTTATTTTCTAGCATGGAAAGTTTGCTCTAAGGCCAAAAAATTTTGCTAAACCTTTACAAAACCTGAAAAAAAGGACAAAAAAGAGTCATTCGCCTGTCTTTTAGTGAGATTGAGGCTGTATAAAAACTGAAATCACTTCGTCAAAAAAAGGAATTTTTCGAAAAATTGTTTCTTAGCTTGTAAAGTTCGCTCCAATGATGAAATTATACTGACTCTAACTTTTCAGACTTCGAAAAACGAAGAGAAATTACTGTCGGTTTCTAAAGCACAATCTCTTAAAATCAAAACAGAAACAGAAAAATTTTCTTGGCCCTAAATTATTTGCTGAAGTGAATGATACGAATTTTTATTAGCAAAATCCAAATTTTCAGGGCTTTCCTGGTATTCCCGGATTGGCTGGACCACCTGGACCGCCCGGTCTTAATGGAAATCCTGGAAGACCCGGACTTCCCGGACCGCCCGGAGAAGGCGGCGTCAACTCGGCCGGCCGGAAAGGAGAAAAAGGAAACACCGGCTTGGCGGGAACTCCCGGATCTTACGGAAACAACGGTTATCCTGGCTTGAAAGGAGTCAAGGGAGACCCAGGACCGGGCGGCTTGCCCGGCTTCCCTGGACCTCCTGGACTGAAAGGACGGATGGGTGTTAGAACCGGCGGAGTCAAGGGAGAGAAGGGCTTGTCCGGGCCGCCCGGACCGCCCGGACCTCCCGGAAGCTATCCCTGGGCCTCGAAGCCGATTGAAATCGAGGTTCTGCAAGGACCCGTCGGTACTGGAGGTTCGTGGAGTTCCGATTTTGGGATTTATACGGAAATTGGGGTTATTTTGTCAAAAAAAAAAAAATGCGGGTTTCGTCTTTTTTTGGGATGTAGTAGTTTTTCTTCCGTTTAGTGTTCCTTTTTTCAACTAGGCGGAGCAAAATTGTTGTTTAGAACTGGTAAAATATACTCTAGTTATAGGAATAACATTTTATTCTTTTCAAGCCCTCGAAATAAGATTTAAGCCATCTCTGGCTACTTGTAGGAATGAGAAAAACTAGATTTTGAGTTCTTTTTCCTTAATTACACTTTCTTCCTTTTCCGAATGTCAGAATCAGAACTATCTTTGATTATTTTTCCAGGTGTGAAAGGAGAAAAAGGTCGTGACGGACCTCTTGGACCGCCCGGACTCAACGGACTCGATGGAGCGCCCGGTTATGCCGGACTGAAAGGACAAAAAGGAGATCCTGGAGATGCTGGACAGCGCGTTTGTTTCTTTTTTATATTGAAAAAAGTGTAGCCCAAAATGACTTTTCAATAACCTTTAAAGTTTTTATTAGAGGCAGATTCGTTTAAAAAAGGAAAAAAAAAAACTAAAAATTGCTGCTTACCTTAGTTTCTCTCTGAAAAAGTTTTGAATGGAGAAAAATCTTTTTTAAATTACTGTAGGCGTTCCTTCTGCGCTCACGTTCCATGTTTTGTCTCGCCGAAATTTTTAATAATTTTTTTTGTGGTGTTTTTCTTCTTCTTTTATGGGTTTAATGCCGAAAATTTCTTTTTGTCCGCGTTTTATAAGCTTGAAAGGAAAAAAAGCAGAGACTCTTTTTCGTCTCATTTTAATTTTTTTTTTAATTTTTTTAAATTCAAATTTGTTCGGTATAATATTCTAACCATTTATTCAGAATATATACGTTGGTTCCTTCAAAGAAGAAAAAAAATAGGAGCTTGTTTGGATTTAAGAAAAAAAACTTCGATTTGTTTTGAAACTTTTTTGTTACATGAAAACGCTGTTGATTATCGTATTTTTAGTTTTGAAAAATATATTGTGGAAAGAATATTTTAAATAGTCGTCAGAGAGCGGAAAAAATATTTAAATTTTGCAGAGTCTGAGATGATTTTGAATTTCGCGAAAATGATTGAACACGGCATTTTTTTCTGAAAAAAAAAATAAATTTTCAGGGCAAACGCGGAAAGGATGGCATGCACGGAAGCTACGGAGACAAGGGATCTCAGGGAGAACAGGGAGTCTCGGGACTCCCCGGGTACACCGGGACGAAAGGAGAAGCCGGAGAGCCCGGATACCCGGGTAGACCCGGTCTCGAAGGAGACTGCGGACCGGAAGGACCTTTCGGAGAAGGACGCGGAGAACCCGGAGTCCATGGAATCCAAGGTGAAAACGAGAGAAAAAACATCGAACAGAAAGAAATTTGTTCTAAAAAGCAAAAAATCTGCTCCAAACCAAGAGTTTCGAAGCGATTCACGAACAAAAGAAGAGAAAATTTTATTCAAAAAAGAGTTTTTCAGGTATCGACGGTGTTCCTGGACCTAAAGGTTTCCCCGGAACCAACGGGTTCCCTGGCCCGGTCGGAAATCGCGGTCCCGTCGGAGCTCCCGGCCAACCGGGCCCGCCTGGACTTGACGGACTTCCCGGCTATTCCGAGAAGGGAGATCGAGGCGACGACGGCCATCCCGGTTACGCGGGCGAGCCCGGAATTCCTGGAGAGCCCGGAGATTGCGGATATCCCGGCGAAGATGGCCCGGAGGGTTTCCCTGGAGAGGTATAAAAATTTTTTCGCTTGATCTTTTTTCAAAAGTATTTTCAAGGGCGCCGCTGGATTGGACGGACAGTCGGGCCGCGACGGATACCCGGGAATCCCGGGGGCTATGGGAGATCCCGGATTCCCGGGCATGAAAGGTTTCCCGGGCGCCGGCGTCAGCAAGGTCGGACCCGCCGGACTTCCTGGCCTTCCGGGAGAGCCTGGAATCCCTGGTGAGCACTTGACTGTTTCAGCGAAAAAAAAATTTTTTATTGAAGCTCTTTTTTGAATCTTTTTTCAGAAAAAAAGATAGAAAAACATACAAAACTGTGCCATAAAAATTGAAAAAGATATGATTAAGAAACGCTCGTATTTTATCAATTTGCAATGGAGCATAAAAAAGCGGTTGTAAAAGCCCTTTTGATCCTAACTTTTTATTTCGAATTTTTTTATTTTATTAATTTTATCTGACCGTGGGGAGTGAAAGGAATTTTAAATACTCGAATAAATATTTATAGAATTTGTAATCATGGAAAGGATAGGAAAAAAATAGTTTAAATAGTCAAAAAAATAAATGTATACAAAAAAAAAATCGAAAATTCCGACACTTCTTTTGACGATATTTATTTCCGTAAAGTATTATGTGTCGTGCGCATACACTGCGGCGCTCTCGCACATGCGTGATCAAAGTTTTTTTTTGCGAAATTCAAAATCATCTCCGAATTTTCGAAATTCAGTTATATTTTTCACTCTCTGACGGCTTTTTTGAGTTTCGCGGAATCACTTTGAACATGGCATACATGAAAAAAAAATGAAACAGTGAATTGCATTTTTTTTACACCACGCCCCCTTCATTTTTGGTTTTGCATTTTCTTCTACTAAAAAAAACTCCGTGCAGAGGAAAATGTGTCAGTTACTCAAGAAATTCTTCATTTTTCGTATTTTAAACCTGTTTCAAATAAAAATGTTTAGGTCGAATTGGAATTGACGGACAGCCCGGACCGCCCGGATTGTCTGGACCTCGAGGAGATGACTGTGGTTATTGTCCTGATGGTGTCCCTGGAGAAAAGGTATCGATTGAAAAAAAGGAGTTTAGTTTAAGTACTCATTCTTTAACTTTAAAGTCACCTTTATTTTCCATTCAATTCTCATGATTAATCCAACTTTTTATTTTCATAATCTTCAAATAACGACTTTTCCTTCATAGTTTGCGAACTTTGAAGTATCTTATTTTGAAAAAAAAGAAGATCATACTCAAAAAAAAAAAAAAAATCATAGGGAGACTCTGGAAGCTACGGCGTCGACGGTTACCCGGGCCCGCCCGGACCAAACGGAGACATTGGAGACTGCGGCCTTCCCGGATTCCCGGGCAAGCCCGGACTTCCTGGCCCTGAAGGCCTTCCTGTGAGTTTACGCCTTGAAAAATCAGAAAAATCGTTGGAAAATAACTTTTTCTTTGAAAATTTGAACAGGAAGCGGTTTTCAGGAGTTATATATCAGTTTTTTTAAATTTCAGCGAGTTTGTTTGCCAAATTATTTTTTTAATAACTAAATTTAAAAATAATATTCTCGAATATTGATTTACTTTTTCAGGGGCTCTATATTTTTTCACATGATCAATTTTTTTCCGATTTACTTGTTTCCGATTTTCGAAAAGTATAATACTTCGCTATTTTTAAGGATAAAGCATAATTTTGTTCAAAAACTACATTTTCTACTCCATTATTCGTTAAAAGACCAAAACAAGCAATTGATGAAGAGACGCCAGAGAAAGAGAACACCCTCGTTTCTCTAGCCTCTCCAGCTTGTTAATGATCTCTCGCTTTTCTTTTTTCAATTTTTGTAGCATCTATGTTTGGAATCAAGGAAGAAATTTCTATGGAAGTTCTCAAAATTGAAAGAATTTCAAATTTAGATTTTTTTTTAACTGAAAAAAACGAGTCATGAAAAAGATTTTTTTGGAATTCAACAGCTTATAGAGAAAGAGAACACACTCACTTCTCTGGAGTCTCTTCAGCTTCTCAATGATCTCTAAATATCCTTTTTTTCTGGCTGTTTTGTTCGAAATCCATGAAAATCCTCAATGGACTTTTTCTAGAAGAAAACACCTGAAATTTGTAATTTAAGGGATCCGTTGGACTTCCTGGAATCCCCGGCTATCCTGGTCTGAAAGGAGAATCTGGAGAAATCATCGGCCCCATGGAGAATCCGCCCGGCGTCGCTGGTCTCAAGGGAGATCGAGGACTTTCCGGTTTCAAAAATATGAAAAGCCTCATAACTTTCGATCCTAGGAGTACCCGGACTGCGAGGAAAAGACGGACTTCCTGGCCTTCCCGGGCCGCCCGGCCTTGACGGCGCTCCCGGATATCCTGGAGAGAAGGGTCTTCTTGGAATCGACGGCAAACGAGGACGCGAAGGAAATGTAGGGATTGATTGAAACTGAAACTTTTATTTCGGCTTTGAAAATCTCATGAACTTCCAGTTGGGACTGCCCGGTGAGCAAGGACCACCCGGAGACAGCTATCCTGGCCAACCGGGTCTACCCGGCTACCCCGGAGAACGCGGAGCCAACGGCTTGCCTGGACTTCCGGGCACACCCGGTCCCGCCGGACCGCCCGCTCCACGAGGCGTCGTCCAACAGAGACGCGGCCAGCCCGGAATCGACGGAGCTCCCGGATTCCCCGGAGAACGAGGAGCTGATGGCCTGCCCGGTCTACCTGGACAGGTGTGAAAATGACAATTTTCTCGAATTTCTCGAAACTTTGAGATATAATAAGAGTTGCTTTTAGGCTGGACAAGACGGCTTCCCGGGCCAGCCCGGCGAGCGCGGAATGGACGGCCTTCCCGGCTTCCCAGGACTCCTCGGTGAACCCGGAATGCGTGGCCAACAAGGAGACGTCGGCTACAACGGAATCGACGGCGACTGCGGAGAACCTGGAGCAGATGGTTTCCCAGGCTTGCCCGGGCTTCCCGGCGCGCCAGGAGAGAACGGATACGGATTCCCTGGCCAGGTCGGCTACCCCGGACCCAAAGGAGAATCCGGCTCGGCTGGATATCCTGGCAGCGACGGTCAGCCAGGAAGAAGCGGCTTGCCCGGGCTTCCCGGCATCCCTGGAGAACCTGGCAACGTCGGCTACGACGGCCAGCCTGGAACTCCTGGCTTCCGAGGCGAAGTCGGACTCCGAGGAATCGACGGCAAACGAGGTCGCGACGGGCTTCCCGGACCTCCCGGACAGCCCGGAGCTCCCGGCTATCGTGGAGCCCCTGGGACGCCTGGACTCGACGGTCAAGCCGGATACCCGGGTGCGCCCGGAGATCTCGGAGTGCCCGGATACCCTGGCGAGAACGGTCAGCCTGGTCTTCCTGGTTATCCTGGAGAGGACGGCTACATCGGATTCCCGGGTCTGAACGGAGCGGCTGGAGAGAACGGCCTTCCTGGAATCGATGGAGACTGCGGAGAGGACGGCGACAACGGATACGACGGCGCCCCTGGTCTTCCCGGAGAAAACGGAGCGGATGGTAGGAAAAAACGGAAAAATGTAAAAATAGCCTATGACTTCAGGATTCCCTGGAATTCCCGGCAAAGATGGCCTTCCTGGCTTCGCCGGCGAACCTGGTGATTCCGGAAGTCCCGGAGGTCGTGGTCAGCCTGGAGAACCTGGAAACCTCGCTTATCCTGGACCTCCTGGAGATGTGAGCTTTTCAGACCTTCATCTACCAAATTTCAACGTTATCAGTTTTATTTCGAGATATAGTTCATTCACCATCACTTGGTTTGGAATTTCCTTATAGAATTTATATCTCGAAGCTTGAAAATAGGTTTACATTTTCACCAAAAATATATCTATGAAGCCAACACTGTTCTTCGATTAATCGTGTAATTCGTCAATAATTTTCCATAATTCATTCACGACGACTTGAAAAAGTCTGATTTTCCGTTCTAAGGATGAGGGTGAAGCTTAAAGGCATAGGGGCAGTAAAAAACGGTGTTTCAGTTAAAAGCAGTACTTTGTAGAGCTTTTCATTGCAAATTGAACGGTGAACTTGGAAACGTACCGAACTTCCTAGTTTTGGAGAAAAAATAATTCAAAGTCGGAGGGAGGAAAGTTTGAGTTCCCGCGAAAAGGGCGCTTTGCAGTAAAATTGCTCTATGGACAACAGGTTTCGCCATCTTCCGGATTTTCGCTTTTTTCTTCGTTTCTTTCAATTTTCTAATTTTTCTGTTCTCACCAAAGTTCTTTTCGTCACGAAAGCTTTCTATTCATGTATAATTTGCAAACTTTGATCGCAAAAATGCTTCTTTGGTGAAAAATGAGGATTTTACATCGGTTTCGATTGGGATAGCGATTATTTGTTTTTTCTTTATTATCGCTGTATGTTTTTTGTTTGACTGAAAGTTTTTTCAGGAAAGAAACCCTTAATTTGAGACAGAAATCCGGTTATTTCTCACAAAATGCGAGTCTAAAGAGACGTCCGGAACATTGCGTGCATGGCTACTGTTAACAGTTGTCCGTAGGCCGATCCAAAGATTTTTTCAAAATTAATGGCGGGAAAGTGAAATCGCGTTTTTCTTCTAAAGTTGTCACATCTGTAATTTTTTTGAGTACACCATTCGATTCGCAAAGAAAAACTATATAAGAAACTGCTTTCACCTGAAACCCCATTTTTTACTGCCCCTATGCCTTTAAGTGGTCCCCATACGTGGGCTAGCAGCCCATTTAGCACATGCGGGCCCCCCGATCCTTTAAGAAGGGTCGATAAGTTACAGGAAATCGGTTTATTTTATTCATTAAGCCTTTTGAAGTTTATTGAGTGGTGAAATTATTGACAAAATCTTATACTAGCGCCAAACGGTCGAAAATACTGAGGCGAATCGTATAAATCATGTCCTAAAAACTTCAGAATGATAGGTATCGATTCAATTTCTTTTTTAAAAGTGAATATTACACATATTACATGTTCTCACAAAATTTCAGGCCAATCGGAAGGGTTTGAAAATTAGTCATTTTCCGGCCATTAAAAAAAAACAACTTTTTATTTTCGCTTTTTACGGCTCAAAATCATTAATAATTTTGAGATAACACCTAATAACGACGAATAACTCAATTTGCAACCTTTTGGAAGCTTTTTCAGTCCAATTACAAGATTTTGCGCTTGTGAGAATAAATATCAATTGGTGGCTTGCGGGCCCCCCCGGCCTATCCCGATTTGCGAAAATCGATCCGATTTCGATGTTAAAAATAATCATAAATCAGAATCTACGATCTGGCCAAGTTTCAGGCCGGTTGGATGAGTTTTGAGAAAAATGATTTCTCCGACCTCTCAAAAGTGATTTTTTGTATTCTGTTTTTTTTAGAGCTCAGAGTCACCGCTAACTTCAAGGTAACCCTCAACAAAACTTCTTTTTCGCCATTTTTTGCGTATTCGTCAACCAGGATAAGTTTTGCGCGCCCGTCGCTTGTCATTATAGCGCTGCGTTGGTTATATAATCTTTTTTCTTGTTAAATGAAAAAAATATTAAATCTTCTATTTTTTTCTTAATTTCTTCATCGAATGAATTATTATTTTTCGATATTGCAGTTTGTAAATTTTTTTAAATTCGTGATTTTTCAATTTCTTTGTATTTCATATCATTAAATTTCCATTTTTTTATTGAGTTTATTTTTTTCTTGTCCATCTGTGGATAGAATTGATTTTTCAAGACGTATTGGAACCTTTACGTAGAAATCAATTTTTGTATTTCGATATTGCTTATTTGGGATCGCGGGTATTGAAAAGTTTAACTTCACACGGTCGCCCATTCGATTCTCACTGTACATTCTCCTTGATCATTCTGACTTTTCTCCCATCTTCGTACCAAAAATATCCACGAGCATTATTACCTGAGGGAATAAGTTGGAAAAAAATCGGGATAGGCCGGGGGGCCGCAAGCCACCAATTGATATTTATTCTCACAAGCGCAAAATCTTGTAATTGGACTGAAAAAGCTTCCAAAAGGTTGCAAATTGAGTATTTTGTTGTTATTAGGTGTTATCTCGAAATTATTAATGATTTTGAGCCGAAAAATTGGAAACTTCAAAAAATCACTTTTGAGAGGTCGGAGAAATCATTTTTCTCAAAACTCATCCAACCGGCCTGAAACTTGGCCAGATCATAGATTTTGATTTATGATTGTTTTTAACATCGAAATCGGATCGATTTTCGCAAATCGGGATAGGCCGGGGGGGCCCGCAAGCCACCAATTGATATTTATTCTCACAAGCGCAAAATCTTGTAATTGGACTGAAAAAGCTTCCAAAAGGTTGCAAATTGAGTATTTTTGTTGTTATTAGGTGTTATCTCGAAATTATTAATGATTTTTGAGCCGAAAAAAATTGGAAACTTCAAAAAAATCACTTTTTGAGAGGTCGGAGAAATCATTTTTTTCTCAAAACTCATCCAACCGGCCTGAAACTTGGCCAGATCATAGATTTTGATTTATGATTGTTTTTTAACATCGAAATCGGATCGATTTTTTTGCGAAACAGGGATAGGCCGGAGGGCCCGCAGGTTATCAACCGATAATCACTTTGACGGCGCGAGACTTAGCTGAATGTACTACATATGGATCGTAAATCAATAAAAAAATTTGCTAATTAATCCATAACCCAACTTTGAAAAAAATATTTCACATCAATAGATTTTTTTCTGGAGGGGTACGCTCTTTTCCAAGGGGGTACGCTCTTTTTTTCAAGGGGGCCCGCTCTGACGTCACGAAAAAAATGTGGGTTAGCCCATGTATGGTGGTCCCTAGAGGGGGTCCTTAAGGTAGCCCCTATAAGGACCACTTTGACGTACCTAACCGGTGGTAAGTATATGGAATCAGCAAAAATTTGCAGTTTTCTAGGCTTTGAACGTCAAATTTAAAACAAAACATATGTCTTGTGATATAAAAACTTGTCTTTGTCTAGATCGGCTACCCCGGTCCTGATGGCCCGACTGGCCTTGCCGGCCCTGACGGCCTCCCAGGCCTAAACGGAGAACGCGGCGAAGATGGCGACAGCTATCCCGGTCTTCCTGGATCGCCCGGTCCTGCTGGAGAAGCTGGATATGATGGTCCTGATGGCGTTGTTGGATTGCCTGGATATCCTGGAACTACTGGTTAGTAGAGCGAAAAAAAAAATAAAAAGAGAAAACTTTGATTTTCAGAGCCATATGACTATGCGATTTATAGTTTTTTTCTTATGTCGAAAGCCCCTTTAAATTTCTGCCAAATTATTTAAAAGTTCATATTCAACAGAACACTCAAAGATGCTAAAAACACTAAAATGATCACTCAGATTTTCAGAAGATCTTTTATTTCGATTTAACCGACTGAAAATTTTGAATATTTAGATGTCTTAAACCCAATAACTGAGTCGCCCCTTTCAGGTCTTCCTGGAATCAAGGGCGAAAATGGCTACCCCGGAGCGCCCGGTCGACAAGGAAACGACGGATATCCTGGAGCGCCAGGACTTTCCGGAGAACCCGGAGACGCTGGATATCCCGGAGCGCCCGGATCTCCTGGCTACCCGGTACAGTTTCACTCTTACAATTCAGATAAACAAAAGAGATTTTATTTTCTACGGTTGCCGTATTGTAAGTCCGCAAAATCGCTTGTGTTTTGACCAAGTGTATGCATACTGTAACCGCTGGTTTCAATGACAATGCCAAAATACTCATAAAGATTTCTATTTCTCAATCGTACATTCTTTTGTCCTATCACGATCATCAATTTCAGGGACTCCAAGGCCAAATCGGCGAGAAAGGCTACCCAGGCCTTCCCGGTGAGCCCGGCTTCAACGGAGCTCCCGGTCTTCCCGGAGCTGCTGGATTCAAGGGAGAAAGCGGGGCCGCAGGCGTCCCTGGCTACCCTGGAGCCCCTGGAATGCTCGGATCACCCGGAGACGTCGGCTACCCGGGTCAGCCCGGAGAAAACGGCGACGCTGGACTTCCCGGAAGAGATGGACTTCCTGGACTCCGTGGCGAGCCCGGAACTCCCGGCCTTCCTGGAGCTCAAGGTCAAGACGGATATCCTGGACCGGTTGGACCGCAAGGAGAAGACGGAATCCCTGGAGCGCCTGGACAGGACGCCTACGGCCAGCCCGGAGCCGTCGGAGAGCCTGGCTACCCAGGTCCCGATGGACTCTCCGGACAGCCCGGTCTTCCTGGAGAACTCGGAAACCCTGGATATTATGGCGCACCTGGTCTGCCTGGCATGCCTGGAGATCACGGTCTTCCTGGATATCCTGGAGAGAAAGGTTTGAATGATTTATTCAGTTCTTAAGTTTCTAAAATAATGAGAAGTTCTAAACCATTTAAAAATCAAGACCGTCCTTATTTTAAGCCCTCGCTATCAGCTTTCAATGAGGAATAACTTTATCAGATTATATGGATGAAATTGATTGAGAAATCAGATATTGTGCATTTTCGCGTCAAGTTCGTTGTTTGCGTACCAAACGCAGAAACTGACGAAAATTTTTTATACGGATTTTCCGAAGGGATTTAACGATCTTTTCATGTTTTATTGTTGGCTTTTCACTTCTTCTGAGCAAAAGTGTAATCCAAAACTATCAAAATTCAGAAGTATACGTGTTTTCAAAGGAATAGAAGATTTCAAAGTTGAACCTTCCTTCTTGATTTTTTTTTTGCTCATGTAGATATTCAAATAAAATTTATTGATTGCCAGAAAATTAACTATTTTATGAAAATTATCAGGATTGGTCGGAATCGACGGAAAACGCGGACACAACGGTCAGCCTGGAGCGCCTGGACTTCCCGGAGTCGACGGCCTACCCGGACTCGAGGGAGAATGCGGAGAAGAAGGATATCCTGGAGCCCCAGGACTCCCGGGAGCTCCCGGATACTTTGGCGAACGAGGAATGCCTGGTGGGATTCAGTTCAACTAACGAAATATGACCTGAAAATGTATTCAGGCCTTCCTGGAACGCCTGGACTCCGCGGAGACGACGGCTACCCCGGAGCGCCCGGAACCCCTGGACTCAAGGGAGAACGCGGATACGATGGACTGCCCGGAAGAGACGGAAACGAAGGAGTTCCGGGCCGTCAAGGACCCATGGGACAGCCCGGACCTACGGTTAATCCCCTCACGTCGCCTTCTGGAGAATCTGGAGAAAGTGGCCTCCCTGGAGAGAAAGGATACCCAGGACTTTCTGGAGACAACGGTCAGTTGGAGCTTCGGGAAAAAAAGAACCAAACCAGTTTTTCGGCTAGATTTTCTTGTAGAAGAGGAGTTCGACTCTTATTAGGTTTGAAAACTTGGTAGAGGCTTGCTTAAAGGTGTAGATAAACATCCTCCGCGAACTGTTTTTTGAGCTTTGAATGTACAAAATTCCAAGGCCAAATTTGAACTTATCTCGAAGTTCGACAAGTGCTGACCTCTGTAACGCAAGCCAGACGGGTCTCTTATGTTTTTGAACAGTCTAGGGATAACTTAAGAGTTTTTGAGAATTTCTAGGGACTTCTTAAGAGTTTCTGAGCAATTTAAGAGACCACTTAAGTGTGCTGAGTTCGGAAGCGCCCCCGAGTTGTCTGACCATTTCTAGGGGCTTCTTAAGCATTTCTAAGCATGTCAAGGGGCCACCAAAAAGTGTTGCGGCCACTAAAGTGCTCCTTAGAATGGCTCAGACACGTCCGGGGCAGGTTCGGTTTGCGTTACCGAGGTCCGAGGAACTTTAATCTAGAAGGAGTTTTCTCGTAAATTTACCAGATAATAGACATATTCATAATATTGGAACGATAAGAACGCTGAAAGTCGGAGTTGATCAGATAAGTTCACTTTTCAGGACTTCCTGGACCGCCCGGCAAGGCCGGTTACCCCGGAGCCCCCGGTCAAGACGGCTACCCCGGCACGCCTGGAACTCCCGGCGGACCTGGCCGAACTGGAGACTCTGGCGTCGTCGGAGCTCCCGGACGAGGAGGTCTCAGCGGGCCGCCCGGACCTCCCGGATACCCTGGCGGACCCGGAGGATGGGCGCCGAGCCGAGGATTCGTCTTCGCCAAGCACTCGCAGACCGTCAATGTTAGTCCAGAAAATGGGACTCTTTTTTTTTGAAGATGTCAAAGTTTCTTGGAGATTTTCTATAGCCTTAAAATCTATTATTTTCGCTGTTTACTGTGATTAAAATTTCGGAAGGTGACCTAAAGATCACTTAAGTGAAAAACTTTTCCCAAATCGAAGTTTCCAGGTTCCTCAATGCCCAGCCGGAGCTTCTCAACTCTGGACCGGTTATTCGCTTCTCTACGTTCAAGGAAACGGCCGTGCCAGTGGACAAGATCTTGGTAACTCAAAAAATCCATTCATCAAATTCTAAACGGCCTTTTTTCCTGCCTTTCTATATTCTTTTGTAGTTTGATGATACTTAGGAAGGCCACAGGGGTCACTAGAGTGGTTTGAGAAAAAAGCCCCCTTTAGGGACAAAAATAGTAGTCCTAGAGAGTTGAAACTTAGGGTCTGACCTTTAACCCTAAAGCTTAAGTGTTCCCTATAGTGGTTCTTCAATTTTTTCTTCTGATTTGAAAAATCAAAATGCGTATAGAGACTACTAGCATGCTCTCCTATAGTGGCCACTTTCGCAAGCTTTAGTGGCCTCTAATGAGGTAAGTTCAACTGCCCCTAAGGTTGACCCTCTAGGGACCATTCTGGCGTTTCTAACTCTGGGACCTTCTGAGCGAGAGAGAGTGAAGATTCACAGAGACGCACGACAACGAGAGCGACGCGTCTCTTCAGCCGCCGTTGATCTCTCTCTCTCTCTCTCTCTCTTGAACTTTGTGAAATCACGTCTTTTCCTCCGTATATCTTACTGTAGTCCGTTTTACGGGGCTTCTCTGCGCCCTCCTCGTTCTCGATAACCCTCTCATATTGACATGCTGATTTCATGTCTCTGACCTTGCCGGCGAGGGAACAGAGAGACGCAGACGGACTGAAGTCCTAATTCAAATTTTTGAAAAAGAGCAGCTTGTTCCAATCATACTAGAATGAGTTACAGGCCAAGCCGGCTCGTGCCTCTCGAAATTCAACACGATGCCGTTCATGTTCTGCAACATGAACAGCGTCTGCCACGTCTCCAGCCGCAACGACTACTCGTTCTGGCTGTCGACCGAGGAGCCGATGACGCCGATGATGAACCCCGTCACGGGAACCGCCGTCCGCCCCTACATCTCCCGCTGCGTCGTCTGCGAAGTCCCCACGCAGATCATCGCCGTCCACTCCCAGGACATCAGCGTCCCGCAATGTCCCGCTGGCTGGACTGGCGTCTGGACTGGATACTCCTTCGTCATGGTCGGTTTTACGGATATTCATGAACAGAGTTTTACAAGGGATTTCCGAAAAAGGGATCTCTGTAAGAATTAGGAAATTTCTGAGAAAAATTGGGCTTTACAAGGATCCTGAAGGTTCTGAAAAGTTCGAGCTTGACTTCAAAGCAGTCCAAAACTTTCATTTTCACAAACTTCAAAAAAAAAACTGCTTGTGCCAAAAAAGGAAGGAAAAGATCTCAAGTGAACCTTTGAATTTGGCTCATTATGGTTTTTTTAACTGGAAGAATCGACCGAAAAATATCAAAACTGGAAAAAAGAATGTATAATCTTTGAAGAATCTAGAATATATTCTTTTTCTAGATATGAAAATCAAAAAAAGGAGTTAAAAAAACATTTTTGAGCCAGCCCATGGCGCGAAAAAAATCAAATTTACTTTTTTTATAAAAATCCTTTTTTTGACACACTTATTGCACCTGGCCTTTAGCCTATTTCGAATAGTTATGCACGTTGATCTTGGATCATACAAGGATTACTTCAGTTAATATATTTGTCCTTTGTTGAAACTTAAAAGTGGGCTTCAAATCAATAAGAGTTCCAAAAAATTGATTTTCAGCGAATGAACGAAATTTTTGATTTATTTCTCTATTCTGAATGAAATATCCGTCAGAAACTGAAAAAAAGATGACGAAATTTTGGAGATAATTCTGAACTTTGCGGAAATAACTTTGAACACGGCATTATATGAAACGCTCGAAAAAATCTAGATCATTCATTTTAAAGTTAAAGAAAGCTTTAGGTTCTCTTGGAAATCAGTTTTTGGATTTATAGCCTATTCCGACTTTTTAGTTTCAAGTCATTTCCCAAGCTCCGCCTCTAATTCGGCGTAAACCAGTCAGCGAGAAGCTTTGAATGACGTCATTTGGTTCAAATTTGAACAGAATATATTCGAAAATTTTTTTCTTGAAATCTTTAAATGTAGCTGATGCACGGATAACTAAGGACGCGAAAGGGGCGTGGCTTGTCTGTGCTCTCCACCAAGCTGACACTATCTCTTTTATTATCGTGTCTATAAACACTTTTTCGATTGATTTTTCGCAAAATCTGATTCCAGCACACTGCGGCTGGTGGTGAAGGTACCGGACAATCGCTTCAATCGCCCGGATCCTGCTTGGAAGAATTCCGCGCGGTTCCATTCATCGAATGCCACGGCCGCGGAACCTGCAACTACTACGCCACCAACCACGGATTCTGGATGTCCATCATCGAACAGGTACCTTTTTTGGTTATTAAAGGTGGAAATAGTTGGTTTGCCTGTATAGAAGAACACTTAGCAGCTCTAGGGGAAATCCGGGAATCTATTGCAAAACTTTTTCAGTGGCCACTTTAGGATTTTCATGTTTTAGTGGCTACTATAGTAGTCGAATTAGTCGCCACTTGAGTGGATGAAATTTAGTGGCTTCCTAAGAAATCCAGGGGACTTAAAACTACTGTAGTGGCCACTAAAATGCCTAATAATGGCCTATATAGATGTGGTTCCAGTGGCCACTGTAGTGTCCTCTCCAAGTAGTCCTTAAAGACTCTCTCAAGTGGCCACTTCCCAGTATTTTGCCGCGTGCTTCAAATCAGCTTTGAACGCAGTAGTTGTCATATTCGATTCTTACTTTCTTTCATAAATATTTAATAGAAGAATATTTCAAAGCTTCACGAATATTCCAGGACAAGCAATTCCGGAAGCCGATGTCTCAGACCCTCAAGGCCGGTGGACTCAAGGACCGCGTCTCACGCTGCCAAGTGTGCCTCAAAAACCGATAAATTCCCTATTTTTTCCCCCGTTTTTTTCTTCTAATACTCATCCCCATGAATATCTATTTATCACAGTTTGTTATTTCTTCAATCCGAAACTGCCCGCTTTCATATAATACTGCGAATTGTGTGATAATTAAAAAACATTTGCTGCCTTAAAATTTTTCTGTTCTTTCGCTGAATACCACTTTGAAACATACGCCAAAGCCATTTCCATTCAGAATTTTTCAAAAATTCACCCTTTTTCCCTCGTTGGCGTCCACATTTGGGTTGGACTTTCTTGCCACAAATTGAGTTATTTAAGAGTTATCAAAACGTCAATAAAAATTGCATACGTGTTTTGAAAATCAATCATTGCAATCGAAAAGTTGATGACGATAGAATATTTATGATTTTTTTATGATCCGCTAAAATTATATCAATTTTGATAATTCTTGAGAAGGTTTTTTTCCCTCAAAAAGTAGTATTTAACAGTTTGAAAAAAAGCTCTAAATTATAGTTTTTTTATGTGTTGATAGTAGTTTAGAAGACCTATGGAAGATTTTTCCAGAGAAAAATAGATTTAAATTTGAGTATTTCCAAAAAAAAGAAAAATTGTCAATGGGGCGCATTTACCACAATACGATTTACGCCCTCGCCACTTGGATTTTTCATTTCTTTGTTTTTTGCAAAATATCCTGTGAGTTGCTTTTGATTTGATTTTTCACTTTGCAAATTAGTTTATTAAGTACATGAGGTATATTAAAAGAAGCTCTCAATCGCCTTTTTAAAAATAATTGCAAAATATGTCAGTTCTTTTAACTTCGAAGTGCGTAAAATAGATTTTCTTTTCATTTTAATCGAGAAAGATTTTTGTTACAAACTCATAAGTCATTATGTCACAGCATGGAGCTTTTTTTGACACGTGTATTTGCTACGCATCGCACCTGGGTCGCGCGATCGTCTTGTGTCAACAAAAAAAAAAGACAGCGTCTTTCTTCTCATTCCCTTTTTGCCTCCATAACTCCATATTTGATATTCCAGGGTGAATATCTTCAAAAATGCTGAGATTTTTGATATTACTAACGTCGGCATTATCAGTGGTCGTCAGCAGCGCGCCATCTTCAACTTTAGAATGCGGAGGTTGATTTTTAAGTTAAATTGAGTAAAACGGCGGATTTTTACAGCTTGTATGTTGATAATCGGCCAACTAGAAGCCAAAATCGCTTTGGTGGACCCGAAAAAGACGATAGAATCGGGCAGTTACAGAGTTAGCCCTACTGGAGAGCAGAAAGGTCTTCAACAGGTAAATTTGAAGTTTTTTTCAGAAAATGTACTATTTTACTAGGTTTTTTTGAAATCTTTTTTTGAGAACTCTAGTAGCGAACTTTTTCAAAACTTCTAACTGAAAAAAATTCAAAAAGTAAAGAAGCTGTAACTTGAAATTACATAGACATTTATCAATAGAAACCCATTAAAAAATCTTTTTTTCTAGGCTTTCCATTCCAAGTAAAAAAATTTATTTTTTTCAGCTTTTTAGTCGCTCTTTTTTTCAGCTTCTTCTCCCGCAGTCAGAAAAATATTTTTTTCCGAAAGAAAGTTTCAAAAATTGTTCGGGAGAGTTTTCAAAATGCCATAAAAAAATGATACAGTCCTTTGAAAGTGTTTTTTGTTTGAAAAATTAGCTTTTCTAAATTTTTTTCAGGTTTTATATATCAGTTTCAGATCCCCTTGGCACGATCGGAATCCCACATAATTGATTTGATTGAGAATATTTGTGACGAGGCGAAAAATTTCAAACGTGTGGTTAGTTTTTTTTCTTTGCTGATTTCAATGCCCAATCTATTATTTTTGCTTTTTTTATGTTCGTATCCTTATTTTTAGACAAAAAAAGAAAGATTTCATCGCGAAAAAACTAAATTTTCCATCGAAAAAATGCCCAAAATTACGTAAAAATTACTTTTTTGCAGTTTCAGAATGCTCATAAGTTCATGAATTCCATAAAATTCGCTTTTGAAATTGAATTTTTCCCAGGTAAACACGCTAACAGGTAAAGCCGTCTACGTACACAAGGATTCTACCTATTTGAGAGGAGAAGAAGATGGAAAATTGAGGGCCAAATTATTACATTCTGTAGGGATTTCAAACAAAAAAATTCTTGAAAAATTATTTTTTTCCTACAGTGTTCCGACTTCATTGACGACAACGAGGAGGAAATCTTGAAGTTTTTTTGACGAAATCTCATGAAGATCCGGTCAAGGAGTTTTGTCATAAGATTAAAGGTTTGTTCCAGAGAAATTCCAAAAGGTTACGAAAAATTTTTTTCATTATTTTTTTACCGATGATTATTTTTTTGAGTGAATTTCCAAATTTATGCAGAAAAAAATCCTTGAATTCCGATTTTTCGCTGTTTTTTTCATATAGTAATAAACTTCAATGATCTTTTTGGAACTAAATTATTCAGGTAACTTGAAAAAAATGTTTTTTTATCAATTTTTTTCGCGAAATTTCATCCGTAGAGCGTAGTTTTTAAGTTCCTGAGCTTTTTTTGGGGGTTTTTTCCGAGAAAATGAAGTGGATTCCAAAAAAATTTTCTAAAGTATCCTTGAAAAAAATCTAGGCAAAAGCAAAAGAATTTTTGAGGAAATTTCATGATTTTTTTCTTTTTCATATCCTTCTGTTCATCATCATTTTTTTATAAAGAAAATAATAATTTCACTTCAAAAAAACATTTCTAACTAGAAAAGACCCTTTTTTTCTCATTTTTATATAAAAAAAGGTTGAAAAATTTTATTTTTTTGCGAAAATCATCATTAAAAAATATTATTTACACCAAGCAAAAAGAACTTTTTCCAGGAACTTGCTCTTCGGTCGACGTTTCTCCACTCCCGTCCAATGACCCGCCAGAAGAAGAATCTGAAAATGCCCCTGAAATCCAAGAAGATGAACTATAACCACTATTTTAGACTTTTCCCTTATTTAACTATTCATTGATCACTTATTAAGCCAAACGAGGTATATAATTTAGTTGTTTGATTTTTTTCTAATTTTTTTGAATTATAAAATGTTTTTGTTCTGCACATTTGAATAATTTGTATAGGTTCAAAGGCCGAATATCAAGGAAATGTGTTTTTTGAAGAATTTGACATATTTTGAAGGTTCATGACAAATGTCGACCCAATCGATGATATTGACGATTTGTGGAAATGGAAGAAAAAAGTCAAAGAAAAACCTGAAATTCGAGAAGTTTTGAAGAATTATGAGTGAGGAGAATATTCTCGGGCAAAACGGAAAAGGTTCTTTGAAAAAAAAGAGCTTCCAAGGGTCCGCAACGATTTTTTTTTTTGAAGATTCACTTTTGCATCTTTCTCACATCCTTCAATGAAAAGATGCTGAAAAGGTTCCAGAGAATTCAAAAGGAACTTTTCCATTTTACCTATTTATGAACTTGAAGAAAAATACATGGATATTTTTTTGAGGAGAAATAATGGCCCGGAAGTGCTCATTTGTCATGACATGAAAGGCGGGTATTTGCCGGAAGAATCGTGAGTACATTTCGAATCGAATCTTGAAAAATATTTTTAAAAATTAACGGACCCCAGAGTTTCTCATTAAAGAATTATAAACAAGGTTCAGAAAGTATATTTTTTTAAATTGATTTCTGGATTTTTTTCCATGGAAAAATAGGTTATTTTTCAAAGAATAATGCTGAAAACTGATGATAAACTTATAATGAACTCAATTTTATAGCCTTGAATCTCGGAATAAAGCTTAATATAGCGTTTTCTGACGAAAACCGTTATCAAAAATAAGGTTTGACCAAAATTTCAGTTCAGGAAAAAAAAATTTTTTTTTGGCCGTAGAGCATACATTACCAAATTCCAAAAATTTTCAAGCTGTATGCCAATTTTTCAATTTAAAATTATTTTATGCCGTGTTCAAAGTGATTCCGCGAAATGCAAAATGACCGTTAGAGAAAGGAAAAAGATAACTAAATTTTTGGAGAGTCAGAAATAATTTTGCATTTCGCGGAAATTATTTCGAACAAGGCATAAAAAAATATTTATATTGAATTTCAGAGCGGACGGCTGCGAATTCGATTCTGAGAATCAGCCCTACATTTTTCTCAACTGGTGGAATATCGATATTTTCTGCTATTTTTCGCATCATTTTATCACCATTCCACCGATTTCTTATACGGAGCTAGCACACAAACATGGTAAAATAAATAAATGTTTTATTCAATTTTTCAATTTTTCAGGCTGTATCTCCATTGGAACTTTTATAACGGAATGGAACCCGGGTTTGAAAATTTGCGAAAAGTTATTAAAAAATCGAGAATCGGCTGTGGAAACTGTCGATGCTTTGGTGAATATTGCCGAACATTTCGGATTTGACGGATGGCTGATTAATATCGAAAATGTCGTCAAGGTGAATTTTTGAAGTTCAGTCGGACTGTTTTGATATGCTTCTTTGATTTAAAAATCGGAGCGATTTCCGAAAAAATTTTAAAAAAACTTTGCAGTTTCTTCATTTAACTGTTTTCTTGCGAAATTAAGATTTTTTTTTTCCGTTTTTCAATAAATCAAATGATATTGTCAAGGTGAATCGAACTGTTTTGATAACGTCCTTCGGAAAAAAAGATTCGAAATTCGGGGTTGGTTCAAAATTAAAAAAAATTTTTTATGTTTTTTTGGAGATACTTCACTTTACTGTTTACCTGCAAAATTAAGGTCAAATCGATTTTCGAGACATCAATGTTGTTTCTTTAGCACTTTATAGCTTCCAATTTTTTTTTCATCTCAATTGACATTTAACGTATGCTGAAAACTCAATTTTAGATAAATTTTCAATTTACTGTTTTACCTTCCTATTTTTGTTCTTCAATTCACTGTTATAATCTGATCAAGTCATTGCTCAAGCTCCGCCCCTAATGGTGCGAAAAACCAATCAAAGAGCGAGCCATACATAAAGCGTTCTCAAATGACGTAATTGTACTTGAAACCCAAAATCTAAAAAGATTATCCTCATTTTTAAAGGAAATTATTTTTCAATTTGTTCAATATTAAGAGAATTTTGAGTTCAGGAAGAACAAATCGAGAATCTGTGCCTTTTTCTCCGCCTTCTACGAGAAAAAAGCGAGAAAAGAAACCCGAATTCCCGTATAATTTGGTACGATTCCGTGCTCCAGGACGGCTCTCTCAAATGGCAAAACGCTCTCAATGAGAAGAATAAGTAATATTTTCAACTATTTCTGGCCGCATGTAGAATGGCTCAACGCGTTGCGGTTTAATTTTAAAAAAAGAAGGTTTTCTAGGGCTTTCAAAGGAGACTAGGTCTATTAGATAAATTTTTTTGCTGATTTCGAATCTTCGCCCGAAAAAAGCCCTAAGGAAAAATTTATGGGCGGTCCAAGAAAAATTCTGAAATTTTCGGTGATATTAATATAACAATAAGCGACTAGCTTGCTAAACTGAAACCCCTAGAGTGGTCACTTTTGCAAGCTTTAGTGCCCCCTTATGGGGGGATGAAGTGGGGCTTTCAATGGTCCCTCTAGGGCCCACTTTGGCGTCTGTAAGTCTAGAACTCAAAATTGTTCCCTCAAACCGCTTCGCAGCCGCGACGCGTTGAGCCATTCCCCGTGCGACCAATGTTTTTCTTTTTGAAAGTCGACCTTCGTATTCTCAGAATGTTCTACGAAGCTTGCCACTCGATTTATCTGAACTACAACTGGACCGAAAATATGCTCTTGGACTCGGCTGACCACGGCCTTTTGAGGGATATTTTCGTTGGGATCGATGTTTTTGGAAGAGGTTGCATTGGTGGGCATACCAAATGAATATTATATGATTAATTTATGTAGTAAAGTGCTTCAATTTGTCGAATAACCTTCTTTTTTTCTTAGTTTGAAACGATGATAACTTTTTAATAATTCAGAAAAAAACTAAAGTTTCATTTGGCTTTTTTTATACACATAAAGAGTATGAAAAAAAGGCATTAATATTCTTTTTTTCGTGTTAGTTCTCATATCGAAACAGTAATGTTAGGTTTTTTTCTAGATTTTCTAAGTAACAATTTTTTCAGATTTTCTTTCAAAAACTCTTCGACTATTTTCATTCAAAAATATCAGTAATGTAGAAAAGTTTCTAATTTTTTTCAACATTTCAAAAAAATCTTTTTTTCCCTTCTAGATACTCTCGGGTACGAGCGAACATAAATATTTTTTCAATTTCGAAGAAAAAAAATTTCTTTAAGATTTTTTTTTAGTTTCGAACTTACTAGGGAACGTTTTTTACCCCCCGGTCGAACTTTCGCTGAAACTTTGCTGAAGTGTACTTTAGGACCCCCTGATTCCACAACAGAAAGAAAATTTCTCGCAATAGTTCTCGTTTTCGAGTTATGGAGCTTCAAAAGCCCGAAATAGCGCTTTTTTGGCCTAATTTGCGTATTTTGCGGACTTTGTAGCTCCATAACTCGAAAACAAGAACTATTGCGAGAAATTAAAAAACGTTCCCTGGTTAGCCTTGGAAAAGCAAAAAAGTACCTGATTGTTTGATTTTTTTATTTTCTCAAAGAAAATTTTCAAAGTTTTCGAAACGGTTCAACTTGAAATAAGTCTTTTGAACTTTCAAAATTTAGATTATCTCGATTTTCTGTGAAAGTTGGCTTCATTTTTTTAAACGAAAAAAATGACAGGATTTTTCCGCGAAATTTTTCGATATTCTTTAATAATTTCTCTTTTACAAGTTGAGACTTTGAACTATACTGAAAAAAAGGAGTTTTTTTGAGGTGGATTCGACAGTTGGAAGTCGTTTTCAACGGCGAAACTGCTACGAATGTCAGTGGCGCTTTTTCGCCCCGGGATGGGTCTGCGAAAAGTTCCCCGACAAGTGTCAAGTCGTCATGGGAATAAAGTGAGAAAAACGGAAATATCCAAATTTTTGTATGAAAATTGTAATCTTTTATATTTCTCTCCTTTTACTGCTTCAATTCAAAAAATTTCAAGAAATATTCTATTTTTTTCAAAGTTCTAGGAAGGCCAGAGTGGTCCCTATAGGGGCAACCTTGAGGACGCGTAGAGGGTCCCCTCTAGGGGCCACTAGAGCTTGAAAAAGTGGCCATTTTAGGGGTTTTAGTTACGGCGATTTGAGCTGAGTGAAAAAAAAAATCAACAGATTATTCGATAAATGTTCATTAAATCAGTCTTCGGTCAATTTCTACATCCTAACAAAATTTAGGGTCCACTTGAGGGACCACTTAAGCTTCTATGACCAAGGGGTCAGACCTCAAACCCCTCTAGGGAACGCTTCATGCCCACTATAAGTGTTGTTTTCCCCGGACCCTCTAGGGGCCACTCTGGCCTTCCTCAACTCAAAAAAATAATCCAAACTTCAGATTCTGGCAAAAACTGTACCCATACATACGTACAAGGAAACTCCTTCACACAAATATCGACACAAATTTTTCCTGTGGCCTTTCTTTTAAGGTATTTTCGTTTAAAAATCCTTGCTGTGGTTTTTTTTTAAAGAGCATAGCGTAATTTGCAAGAAGGTCTCGAAGCGAAAAAAATTATTTTAAGCTCTATGAGATTTAATAACGTCAGCAAGGATTTTTCAACGGCATAGAATGAAATCTGATGATTTTGGTTCAAAAATTGAATTTCAGAACGGGAAAAAGTGGTTCAAATTGGCGGATATCCAACTTCAGCCGCATTGTTTGAGCACGGATTGCTATCCAGTAGAAGAAGGACTTCAAATCGAACAAATTGGAAGCTATTCGTGAGTTTTAATGGAAATTTTCGATTGGAAAACCGTCATAAAACACTTTTTGTAACTTTGTCATGAATTTTGAAAAATCCCGATTCGAATTTGGGCAGTTTAAAGGGACATACAATTTTGAGATCGCTATAATTCTGTGATTTATATTTTTATAATCTCTTCCAATAGGAAAACCGGACGTTTTTGAGCAATTTTAGTGATCACTTAAGAGGATTGAAGCTACTGAAGTGGTCCCTAGAAATGTGACGACACGTTTGATTTGCGTTACCAAGGTCCGAGAAACTTTCATACATTGAAGAGTTCTGTTCTTAGGAACACCAGAGTTGTCACCAGAGGGGCAAACTTGGAGGCTCTTGTAGTTTTCCCTCAAGGGACCATTTTACTTCTTTTTGAAAAGACACTAAAACTTGCAAAAGTAGTCAATCTAACAGAATTTTGTAAGAATTTTAGTTAGTGGCCACTCTAGGCGCCTTTCGAACTTTCAAACCAGAGTAAAAAAATTGAAAACCACTATAGGGACCACTTGAACTTTAGAGGTTCAGGAGTAAGTAGACCTACTTGAATGTTAGCCCCTCTAGGAAGCATTTTTTTTCTCACCATAGGGTTTTCCCCTAACCCCTCTAGTGATCACTCTGGCGTTTTAGTTGGAAAAAAAAAATCAGCTTCTCATAGCCCTGAACAATATTTTGATGGGAGTATGGTTCAAAGAAAATTTTTTAATTTTTTCATATGAAATTTTTTTTTTGCCCTTGAAAAACCTAAGCGAAAATCAATCAAAGTGTTATTAAAAAGATCCCAAAATTAACAAAAAAATTATATTTCGCGAGATCTTTATATTAAATTATCTTCTAAAATAATTTATTTTCAGACTTTTCAACTTCTCCGTCACCTCCAGCAAGCTATCAGTCTCATTGGAAACAACGAAAAAAGTCTCCTTGACCTTAAATGGCCAGGAAATTTTTGAAAACGACGAATCTATTGATTTGGACGGCTCAAAAGTGTCATTGTCCCTGGAATCCAAAGATTCTTCATTAAATGTAATTTTCACTGCCCCCTCGCCCTTTCACTTACATTCCATAGGTGTGATAACTCGATTTGAAAAACACCCTAATCAAGAGCTTTAAAACCAAATAAAATGATAGAATAAATTAATTAGATATAATTTATCGGCAGTTTACATAGAAAAAGCGTCGACTAGCGCATCGGAATACTATCACCACAGTTTTGACTCAAATTTTGAAAAATATACAGCAAAGAATTTACAAGAACCGTATGTTTAAATAGATTTCTGATGTTTCTTGGGGAAGAGATTAATCGATTGTTCAGATCTCACGGGTCGCGAAGAAAGGCTTGGAGTCTCTGAAATTGATTTTTTTTTTTTGATTGATTTTATTTTAAAGAAAACCTGTTGAGAAGGGTGTGGCAGACTTGGCAAACGTTGGCCGGCCTGTGTTGGGGGCCGCTTGGGACCGTGTCTTTGACACAGGATATGCAGAAAATCTTTCCGCAGTGGCGGCAACTGAACAAAGCTTGATTAATTTAAAAATTTCTTAGGAATTTTTGAGTAATCCCTATAGGGACCGAAAAGCGGTCCCTATAGGGGGTAAAATCGCGGTGTGTCCTATAGGGCTTTTAGTGTCTGACCCGTTAGCCTCAAAAGCTTGAGTGGTCCCTACAGGGGTCTCTTAATTATATTCAAAAAACACTTATTTATGTAGTTTTTCGCATAGAAATTCTTCTTCACATAAAGTTCATAAAATTATCGACTATCATGCCCTTTATAGGGACCACTTTTTCAAGCGTTTGGGCCCCCTATAGGGGTTGGTAAAGTAGTCCCTAGAGTGTAACCTCCAAGTGTAACCTCCCCTAAGGTCGACCCTATAGGGACTACTTCAGAGTTCCTGGTGTAGACATTGTTTTCTTAATCGATTTTTCAGAAAAGAAACCCTCAATTTGAAGCAGATAACCGGTTATTTCTCCCAAAATGCGAGTCTAATGAGACGTCCGCAACATCGCGTGAACGGCTACTGTAAACATTTGTCCGTAGGCCGATCCAAAGCTTTTTTCAAAATTAAAGGCGGTAAATTAAAATCGCGTTTTTCTTCTTAAGTTTTCACATCTTTAATTGTTTTGAGTACACTATTCGATTCGCAAAGAAAAACTATATAAGATACTGCTTTCACCTGAAACCCCATTTTTTACTGCCCCTATGCCTTTAAGCAGCATTTTTTGCTTCAATAACAGCTTTCATGACTTTTTTTCATAAATTATCAGAAAAAAAGGCGAAAAAAATGAACTTGAAGTTCAGAATTTTTTTGAAAATTGATTGAAAATAAATCCAATTTTAAATCACTAACTGAGGTTTCGGTCTCAATTTCGCGACTGAAGTTTCACAATTCGTGCATTTGTCGACGTCTTCGTCCCATTGCCAACGGACTTCCTGAAAATCGAGAAAAAAATTTGTGCGAAAAAGGTGAAATTGTTTGAAAATAAGTTTATAGGAGGAATTTTTCTTCGAAATTTTTTTTTGATGTCGAAATTACCTGTGCATTAAAATTCTCAGGAAAAAATAATATTTAATAAATTCCAAGAAACGTTGATATGAGAAAGAAAACATGAGAATTATGAAAAAAATTAATTTTACTTCAAAAAAATAAATGTCTCGTCTGTTTATTATGTAAGTTCTTCATATACTGGAGAAAAATTGAAAAAAATTTAATTGAGATATTTTTTTCAAAAAAACAGTGAAAAAAATTATCGGTAGGACACTCGCAATACATTTGAACTTTATTATTATTTCTTTTTGAAGCCAAATATTTTTTTCTTTGATATTTTTGTAAGCTTTGCTTTGAAAAAAATTTCACTACTACAACCAAGTAAAATATGTAATTTTTAATCAAAAATGCCTTTTTGCATCAAAAAAAAAGAAAAAAGCCGAGTTATTTACAGGAAAAAAAGGTAAATTCTCCAATTTTTTTCCGCAAATATATAGAAAATGAAGTACTGGGACAGGATCATTTTGAAAAAAAAAAAAATTTATAAAGAAAATTTGCTCCTACAAAGCTAATTTGAACAGAAAATGATAGAAAAATTGGAATTCACATATATTTTTCCAGTCAAACCTGCTCCGACTGCCGAATCTTTTCCAGTTGAATCTGAAGACTTTGCGATAATTTGACGAAATCTCTCTGGACGGCTTCCGAAGTGTCCAGCTCGTGTTGTAAACTGGCGCATCGTTGCTTGTAATTCTGGGCCGTTTTCTCGACGGCGCTCCGTTCGCTTTGGACCTTTATCAATACGAAGCTTGTACATAAATTAAGCATCAAATCAGAAAGAAAAGCAAAAAAAAAGTTGGTTTGATGACCAATATTGACAATATTAATACTCTCGCATAAAGGAAAAAAAGCTCTTCAGAAGTTTTTTGTAAGAAAAAAGATCTTCTAAGGGCCCCCAAGAGATTTTTTCACATCCTTTACTAATAAAATCATAAAAAGCAACCAAAAAAAAACGCCAAGTTATCTAAAAAAAAAAAATCCCCCGAGGCTACGAGAAAAAGATCAAAAAAAATTTTTCACCTTTTTTGAAGCTTTCAGCTGAACCTTTTCAGTCCCTTATGAGGGTAAAATAGCAAAAAATTCCACGAGCAATGTCAAAAAACCTCAAAAGGGATAACCTAGGGCTCCTTTTTGAGTTTCTGAAAAGATGTCAAAAGTTTCTCGGAATCTCCATTTTTTCACTTTCTATTCCTCAAGAGGTCCAGAAAAAAAAGCAGCCTGTGAGGCCTTTTGAAGGATTTTATCGAAAAGCTTCTTTTTAGGTCCTTCTGAACTTTGCCCGTGTAAATGAAAAGCAAAAGTTAGAGATCCACCCTTAAATACAAGGTCAAATTGAGAAGGAAACCAACAAAATAGTGTTAAAAATTCTCGATTTAACCCTTTTTCCCACCTTTCAATGTTTCCCGTTTCAGCTTGGAGCTAAAAATTTCCCATGAGAAAATTTTCCACTAATGTCACCGCATATTTTTGACCTAATCTTTGAATAAGGAAAATTTTAAACGCGATGTCAAATAAATTTCTCGCATGGAGAATATCTCAACGCGTCAAGCAGGTTTTTCGGAGCCGCAGCGCGACCGCAACGCGTTTAGCCATTTTTGGCGACCTTTTGCGTTTTTGAAACATAAAGAACAGAAAAAAAAAATCATAATTGAAATGAATTTCTTCATTCTGGCAAAGAGGTTTTATTAGAATAATTCAAATTTAAAGAAAAATCTATAGTTTCAATGAGACAGAAAAGTTGGAAATTTTGGAAAAAGTTGAATTTTTTCCAGATTGAAGAAAAAAATGCATTCATGGAACTAGATTTTTTTAAATTTCATGACGTTTGATATTTATTAATGACTTTCTTTTATCGCTAGGGCATAATAAGACTTTTTTAAAAAGTCTATTAAAATTCAATTTTTTAAAAAAACTTTAAATTGAAAAAAATGATACTTCTTAAAAAAATTTTATTAGAAATTGATATTTCTAGACCTTTTTTTAAACTTTTTTTCAAGTACTAATTTTGACTAAAACTTTCATAGAACTCCTAAAAAAATACTGAATGAAAATAAAAAAATGAACCTGTGTGACCTGATCCTCCAACTCTTTAACAGTCACTTGCAGATCCCTAACTTGTCGTTGGAAACTTTCGCTCAAGGCGACCATTTCCGACGAGGAAGAAACCTTAAATCCACAAATAATTATAACTTTGAATAAATTATTTAGTTGATTATTTTTCACCTTACTATTGGCAATGCCGAGCTCCGTTTGTAGATGATTATTCTGGGCCAATATTTCTTGTTCGATTGTTCTAAACAAAATCAATAAATAATCATTCTTCTTTACTATTTTAGAGCCTTTGTTCCATTCCATCCATTAAAAAAAATATATAATATAAATATGATTTTTAAAATTCAAAAAAATATAATGTAAATCCACTACTTCTTCTGAAGCCCTATTAGATAGCTCTGAAAAAAATAAGGAAATATGATTTAAATGGATTTTTTTAAAATTCTTCTGAAATCCTTGTAACAAAGTTTTAAAAAATTGGAAAATAAATAAATGAACTGCAGTTACTTTTTCTGTTTCAACCCGCGTTCCAAAAACAAACAAAAAAATTAAAAAAAATTTTTTTCTTGAAATTTTCGCTCCAAAAAGGAAAAATCAATGAATAAACTAGATTTTTAATCTCATTATTCCTGTTCCAAAGTTTTTGAAAAATCGAAAACTTAAAAAAATAAATAAATCCACTTCATTTCCTCTTATAATCCCTGTTTCAAAGGGAAATCAGAAATTAAAAAAATAAACTTTTTCAGAACCCCAAAAAAATCTAAGAAATAAGAAAATGTTGAGTATGTAAAAAAGGCGTGACTAAGAAATAGATCACGTGGAAGATTAGACCACTATATAAGGGTCTAACTCCCCTGATCATCACTTCAATATCAACTCTCGCCTCGCCTCGACCTCATCGCCGACCACGTCGTCCGCCGCCGCAGACGACGCCGCCGCAGACGACGCCGCCGCAGACGACGCCGACCCCTGACTCACGACTACCTCTTTTTATACCCAGTTCATAAAAGTTTTGGGTGTAATCTATTCCGTCCATATACACGCGCACACACATATATAAAAGAAAAAAAAACGTTTTTTTTAAATCCTTCTACCAAGAGAAAATTACAAAACCATGAGAAAAATGCAATTTTTTCTTGAAACCTCAACATGGCGACCTCGTCCTTCAAGGCCTGTTCACAATGTTCTCTGGCGGCTTTCGTCTCGATCAGTTCTTCTTTCGTCGTGAGACACATGAACTGTAGTTGATCAACGTCCGTCGGCAAGTCGATCGGTTCGGCTCGAAGTTCATTGGCTGACTTTCGATTAGCGCCAAGGAGTTCCTGAATTTCAATTTTTTTTTTTTCACTGAATCATTAAAGTTTATGTGGTTCCGATGCCGTGTACAAAATGATTCATGAGAAATTCAAAATTATCTCTGACGCTCCAAAATTTAGTTATGCCGTGTTCAAAGTAATTTCCGCGAAATGCGAAATGGTCTCTGACCCTCCAAAATTCAGTTATCTTTCTCTTTCTCTGACGGCTATTTTGAATTTCGCGGAATCGCTTTAAATACGGCATGAAAAAGAACAAAAATATTGAGATGAATCTTCAACTTGAATTTAATCAAGAGCTAAATTAAGTTTAAATCCTTGAAAAAAGTTATTTTATTTTGGAATACATTCAAAGTTTCACATCTACAAAACCAGTTCTAACTGAAAGATTATAAGTTTGAGGAAAAATATAATTATGGCGAAACTGAGAAGTCGCAAATCTGGAAAACTTTTTTAAAAAATACCCCAAAATCCAAATTTCGAGCTCCTCTTTCAAATTTCTACCTCAGTTTTCGAAAAAAAAGACAATGAAACCAATGGAAACATTATTTTCTCACTGAATCTTAAAACTAAACAAACTTTCAAATATTCCCTAGCTTACAACGGAATCAATTTGAACGTTTAAACAGAAATTTTTAAAAAAAGATAGTCAGAAACCCGTCGCTAATAGTAATCTATCAAAACAGAATTTTTTTGAATTAAAACTTGAAATTACAGCGAAACTGTAAAGTTTGTTAATTATGAACAAAAAAAGTTGATGAAACGCTCAAAAAAATGGCGAAAACAGATTACTTTCAAAAAAAATATTAAAAAAATAGATGAATATTTTTTTAATGAGCTTTTTGTTCTTGAGTTTTTCAGATGATTTAAAAAAACGAAAAAAAGTTTTTTTGGGGCTATCTGCAACAATAAGGCCTTCAATCATTTTTACCCTTTTAAAAAAAAGAACGAAAAATTTCAATATTTTTTTATCCATTTTTTTAATTAGTCAAAGTATGATACTTCTTAAGGTTCTTCCATGATTTAAAAAGCCTAAAAAAATTATTTCATTTCATATTCAAAGTTTTCAAGGCTATTTTTCAGCGTAATTTAAGGTCATACAAGCATTTTACACCTTTAAAATCCACAAAGAACAATAAAAAAATATAAATCAACAATTCAAACCTGATACTTCTGAAGAACAACCGAAAATTCCTTTTCATTGTCCCGAATCATCTTATGAGCGTTGTTCAACTGCTCAGTGAACACTTCTACCGATTTTTCGTGCTGTAAACTTTACATTTGGAAAAAAACTTCATTTTTTTACCTTTGCCGTCAATTCATTTAACCTCTGTTCCAACTGAGAATTCACTTTAACAGCTTCCTTCACTTTATCTTGAGTACTAGCGGCCAACTGAAAGAATATATTCAATATTTATAATAAAATGAAAAAAACCTCAATCATTTTTCTTCTCCATGTCCCTACGATACTCCCTTTCACTCGCCAAATCCGCCTCGTAACGTTCAGCTACAGTTTTCGTTGCTTTTCATTTCTTCTCGAAGCTTCCTTTCGGAATCCTAAATATTCAAAAATAAAAAAATGTTTGATAAAAAAATAATAATCACTTGTAAAAATCGTCAAATTAAGCTCATAATTCTGGCACATTTCACAAGCTAACGCTGACGCTGGCTTTGGTTCCTGAAGTTAACAGCTAAAAAAATGAAATAAATTAATTTCTACCTCAATTTTTGTTTTTCCAACTCTTCTGTTGGTCCCTGAGAAGTTTCCTCTTCCATTTTTTTGATCTGAAATTGACATAATCCGGTCGACTTTATAAAAATTTGCAGCAACGAAATTACAAAAAAACCAAAAAAATGAAGGAAAAAAATACGGTGAAAAAAATGGAAAATACAATTTCTAGCGCACTTGTCGAAAAATTCAGTTTTAAATATTTTTTTCTTTCATTTCTTTTTCAATTGCAAAATTTGAAAAAAATTGATCAATGAACTCCAACTAACCAATTAAAATGCAGAGAGAAAAGGAAAAACGGCGGCTGCAGAAATAATTGACGGAAAAAAAGTGGCCGCAATAATGCTGCAGCGCCAATCTTGTGCAACGAAGTAGCCACTAGAGGGCTTACTTTATTTTATTTTGTTTTTTTTTTCAACGAAAAAAACGTGACATTTCGTGATTTCATGCATATTTCCCAGGCTTAAGCGAGGACCGGCCCGTCAGCCTATTGGGCCTCGGCCGTTTTGAAAGCCCAAGCTAAAATGCCCAATAAATTTTTTTCGAGTCAGATAAACAAGCTTTTCTGCGATAAAAGTCACGTTTTTGCTTATTTTTTCACTTCGACTTTAACGGAAACTATGATTAACGGGTAAAAAGGATCTTTTGGTGAAAATTTTTTTTTTGACGAAGTCTAAATTTTTTCGAAGTCTGGTTGGCCCAAGCCGGCTCAAACTTTCATTAAAATCTACAAAAAAAAATTTTATATGAATTTCTGAGTTATTATGTCTACTTTTCACATATTCAACAAAAACTAACCAAAACTAGGCCCCTAACACAAAAAATTCGAAAAAAATAGATAAAAATTTCATTTGGCGAACCATTTTCCTTGCCATTTACCGACCCTCGAGTAGGAAAATGGTTTCGCCAAAGAAAATGGAAAGCGAACGCTTTTTCCATTTTATTGCATACGGGAAAATGCCATTTACCGAGAAAAACCATTTTCTTTCGCTTGGAAAATGCATTTTCCACTTTATTGCATACGGCCTCTGCACAGGCGTTTTATAGTTGATTCACGGCTGGCTTGAACCATCTTGAAAATGGTCCTGCCACGAAAAGAGAAGAGACAGTGCCTGGTTGGTGGAGAGCGCAGACAGGCTACGCCTTTTTGCGTTCCAAGCTAGCCGTGAATCGACTATATCAAAAATTAAGTCCGATTCCCGTCATACGCATGAGCCTGACTTTCATAATGATTAGATGCTGAAATCTAGTAGCTCCTTTTTGTTGATTCCAAGGCCTTTCGTTCTGAAATCGAACTGATTTTATCAATTCTTTCCAAACGCGCCATGTCACGCTATCACAAGACGAACCGCCTGAAACCAATAGTTCAACTTTTATCATTTTAATTGGTTTTTGAAAAGCCTGCGATTTTCTTCTTATCATCATAACTCGTTCGTTATCTTTATGAATTTTTCGCAATTTCGGATTTTATAGTCTTCTTTCATTAGAAAATTCATTCAAAGTTTCATTAGACAGCCAAAATGCCTAAGAAAGACGTTAAACGTCGAGAATTTCATCTAGCTATTGCTTTTCGGCGCGGTATCTATAGGCTTTCGTACCTTAAAAGGGCTATTCTGAAGACTTTGAATAAACGTTTCTCAACTTTCAATGCTTCCAGCGGCGACCCGAACGACGAAAACATGGCTGCAGTTAGAGGTAATCCAGTACAACGATTAAAAGTCAATATATTTCTTATATTCAAGGCCCGAAATCTCCAGAAGTTCTCAAGGCGGCCAAGGAATTCGTCAACTATTTGAACAAGGCTGTGACGCCTTTTCACGGTAAGAGAGAAAAGAGATTGATTTTTTGAAGTTTGATATTTCCAGCCGTTCAAGAAGTGAAGGATCGTCTGCTTCAAGCTGGGTTCCAGGTGCAGAATGAAATAAATAATCGAAAGATAAAGAATTTTAGGAGCTTCCGGAAGCTGGAAAATGGGAAATCGTGCCGCAAAGCAAATACTTTGTGACAAAGTTTGAATTAAAAATGATTTTTCTGGTTCGAAGTGTTCTTTTTTCAAGGAACAGGTCAGCTATTCTGGCCTTTGCCGTCGGTGGAGGTTATAAGTCCGGCGATGGGTTTTCTGTGGTCGTGGGCCACACCGACAGTCCTTGCCTCCGTGTCAAGCCGATTTCCAAGCAGAAAAACGAAAAATTCCTTCAAGTATATTAAAATTCAACGAATTTCGGGAGAAAATCAAATTCAGGTCGGAGTTTCCACATATGGAGGCGGAATCTGGCGAACTTGGTTCGATAGAGATCTCTCCGTGGCTGGACAAGTCCTTTTGAAAAAGGTAAAATTGAAATTTTTACGAAAAAAAAATATAATTCCGATTTAAGGACGGCCAACTGGTCCACAAGCTTATCGATGTGAAAAAGCCGGTTCTGTTCATTCCAAATCTGGCCATTCATTTGGAAACTGATAGGTTCATTTTTTCTTCAATTGTAATCAGCTTTCAGAGTATTCATTTCATATACTCAGTTAAAAAAATTCTAGCTTTTTCTAACCAAACTTCGCTTCAAGACCCTTTTTGCAATTTTTGTAGAGCAAAAAAAGGCAAAGCCTGTGTTTACGGTAGCTTTTTTTCTCCTGTGCTTTCAAAATGTGACCGTTTCTCTATGATCTCACTCAAGATATTTAAAAAAATGAAAAACCCCTATAGATGTCACTTAAATTTTCAAGTAAAATGACGTCATTCGAAAAAGCTCTGTGGGTGGCTCGCTCTCTGATTGGTTTATCGTGCCATTAGGGGCGGAGCTTAGGCGAAGAATTGAAATTCAAAAATCTGGAAAGACTTTACTTTGTTGGGCTAAATTACCAGTTTCTCTTCCCAAATTTCGTATTATTTAAAAAAAAACTTATTTTTTGCAGAAAAACCTTCTCCCCAAATGTGGAAGCCGAGGTTCGGCCAATTTTGGAGACTTTTGCCGCCGCTGGATTGAACGGAGAATCCAAATCGGCACAGAAAACCGATGATTTGAAGGTAATAATGGTTATTGGGTGGAAAAAATAGGAAATGTTGAAATTTTCTGAAGTACTAGTTCTATTTGATCAGTCGGAACAGTTGTACAAGCGTTCACTTTTCGGAGCTTTTTTTTTTGAATTTCGGGAAATTTCTCAGGTCGTTTTTCCTATAGCATTTCATTTGGTTCTGGATTGGCTTGAAAAGAGAAGATTTATGGGAGAATTTTCCCAAAACAAAGGATTATCCCATTTTTTCATTTAGTCTGACCTATCTGCGCTCTCTTTTCCCTCGCCGATTGAGTCAGAAATGTGAGAAGAGTACATGCAAAGGGAAAATCGTTGAGGAAAAAAAAAGTGAATCAAAAAAAACCAGATTTAGCATCTTTATGGAAATGAGACCATTGTGAAATTTAGAAAAGAGGAAAATAAATTCTTTTGAAAAGTCCGAAAAACCTCAAAAAGAAGAATTTAGAGCTCCTTTTTGAGTTCAAAAAAGTGTCAAAAGTTATTATGAATATCTTTTTTTTTCCTCCTAAAAATGTAAATTCTAGAAAAGAGGCCTACGAGGCCTTTTTTCCAAAAGCTCCGGTCCTTCTGAACTTTGCCCGTAGAGAGCGATTTTTCAAGGAAAATTGAACATTTCTAGGATCCCCGCAGTGTTGTAGACGACCACCACGAGCACTTCCTGAAACTGATTTCCGACGCGGCCGGCTGTACCCCCGAAGAAATCGTCGACTTGGACCTGTACCTCTACGACACGAATCCCGCCGTTCGCCTTAAAACTGAATTCCTCTTGAAATCTGAATTTTGAAGAACGTCGTTGGTCTGAACGAGGAGTTCATCACGGGAGCTCGACTTGATAACCAAGTCGGCACCTACACGGCCATCTCCGCACTCCTGGAATCCCTCCAGGACAACTCCTGGCAGAACGAGGGCCAAATCCGCATGGCTGCCTGCTTCGACAATGAGGAGGTTTGTTGGAAGGCAAAAATTAGGGGGTCAGACTTTAAAACTCCCAAAAAACTAAGATTTTTAAGGCAAACTTGTAAAAAGAAAATGCGTTTTTTTGAATATAGTTTTGGCGCCAAGATTATATTGATTTTCCCGTTTGAATTAGAGTTTTATGCTTAACTTCTGAATTAAAAAAAATTCGGCCCGATTTTTCGCCCTGTTGGCCCTCTGACCATTATTCTGACTTTCGCAACATTTCGAACGAAAAACCGTTTTTACCTAGCGCGAAATATCACTCTCATGCTGGCCAGGTATCTCAACGGGTGTACCCGTACTAAACCCGTCTTTTTCAAGGTTTCAGTTGGGCTTAAACGGGAGAAAAACGGGCGCAAGAAGAAATAGGTGACCCGTTTTTTTTTTTTCAAAAATCTGTGACCCAACTGTGGTTAAAAAAAAGTTCTAAAAGCTCAGCTTATATGGGATTAATACGGGCACGCCCGCTGAGAGCCCGCCTTGTCTACCATGATAGCTTCGAACGGAATGATGTTAAAGGTCGGCTCGGACACGGCGATGGGAGCAGCGTCTTCCTTCGCTGAGTACGTCCTCCGAAGACTGGCCCTCAGTCCGCAGGGCGCCAGTCAGACGGCCTTCGAGGAGGCCATCGGCAAGAGTATGCTCATCTCGGCGGATCAGGCTCACGCCGCTCATCCCAACTATGGGTGCAAGCATGAGGTTTGACCCAATCTGAGAAGTTTCTGAGGAACTCGTAACTCTGATCCTTCTCTAGGCAATCCTAAACATATTTTTACAAGGGGGTAACTTGGGTTAAGTAGGTAGACAGGTAAAGTTCAAAAATTGATATTCTTCAGATTTTTCATGGGAAAAAGCTTTCATCGCGTTGCTTGTACATTAAAACATTCAGAGCAGCTGATTTTCAAAATTAGAAGTCCCAAAAATAAGCTCTTCCTGTCCAATTTTCGACAGTTTTTTTTAGAAAAATGTATAGGAAGACCATTTTTAAAGGCCGCCAACCTCCCTTCTAGCTCGTTGAGTTTGATAATTAATTTTACTTTTTTCAATACTTTTCCGTGTAGTTTGCACTTTTCTATATCATAAGGCCATGCTTTCGACTTGATCAACTACACTTTTGGCCTTCTAGTTCTCTATTGGTCGACATGAATTCAAAAGTTCTTGTTTTTAGTCGATTAGATCTATGACCAAAACAATAAAAATAATCATTTATTGACTACTCCGAAGTTTCACACCTTCTTTTCAAGTAATTCAACATCTCCTCCTGAAAGATATGAGTTGCGTACTTGATCACGTATGCTCATCTCAAAAACGTTTCTGGCCAGAAGACGTGGCTTCTGCAATCTGATGTGATCCCAGGAGAACCACCGACCGGCGTTCCACGGCGGCGTCGTCGTCAAGATCAACGTCAACCAGCGTTACGCCACGACGGCTACTACTCACGCCGTCCTCAAGCAGGTCGCCTTCGAAGCCGGCGTTCCTCTCCAGGTTCATCCGAGACGAACTTTGAAAAAAACAGAAAATGTTTAGAAAATGATCGTGAAGAACGATTCGCCGTGCGGATCTACTGTTGGTCCGATTTTGGCGACGAAATTGGGCCTCCAGACGGTTGACGTCGGTTGTCCGCAGCTTGCCATGCATTCTATCAGGTTAGAAAAATAGATCTCCATATAAATAAATTTGAGGAAAATATCGTTGGAAAAATAAGGAAAAAAAGAGAACTTAGCTTTGAATTTTCAAAGAAAAACCCTCATAAATGAGCCCAAGAATTGTTTCGAAATAGAAAAAAATCGAATCGAATCGAATGGAGAAAAAAATCTTAATTTTTTTAAATTCTAGTCAAAATGAGCAAATAACTTTATGAATATTATGATAAAAAAAGAAATGGATTTGAGAGAAACGATCGAACGAGAAAAAACAGTCGCTCCCAAAAAAACCAGCAGGAAAAAAATCCCTGAAAATAAAATTTCAACCAAAAATTAATTTTCCTGACAAAACTTTGAAATTTGCCCTGTCCCGTTGATAACAGTTGAGCTCTAATGAAAAAAATTATCTCAATTTTTTATTTTGGAAATTTCACAACGCGATCTGACTGTTTTGCTTTTCTGTAACCAAAAATCTAAAAACTTTTGACTTATTTCAATTATCATCTTTGCACATTCTCATTGAAAGACATCGTTTTTTTCCAATAACTCTGGCTTTTCAGAGAATTCGCAGACACTTCCAGCATCCACCAGGCCATTGAACTTTACAAGGTAGACATTTTTTTCAAGACAAAATGAATATTTTTAAATTTCAGAAATTCTTCTCGCGCCTGCCCCAAGTCCTCTCCAACGTTGTCTAAGAGAGAAACGGATAATTTATTGAAAATCTTGACGATTACGGTTTAGAAAAAGATTCTGATTGTTCTGATTATTATAGAATGATTTCTTGTGATATTAATAAATAATTCGCCTTATTTTCTACTACAAAACGAACACTCTTACAACAATATCGAAAATGATTACAAAAAAAAAATTGCTCTTTGAATTGCTAGATGTGAGATTTCTCGTTGACGATTTCAATCCGAAACAGGAAATTTTTTTAATTTTTCGCTCGATTTCGAAATTGACGTTTCAAAATTTCAAAAATGAGTACGAATTTCGGAACGTTGAAATCGCACAATTCCAATTTCACGCGGAAAACCCGCTATCTCGTTGTGTAGTCGAATCACGACTAGCTTGGGACGCTAACATAGGCAAAGTCGGAAGGACCCTCCGAGGGTCCATTAAGGACAGCTTATGCACCATTTTTGCTGCCTCTCCCTTTTTCCACCATTTCTCGAGCCTTTAAAATCCCAGAAAAATGTAGGCTTTATAAAGGGACTCTTTTTGTTACCTTTTTACAGCCTTTTTGCTCCCTTTTTGCAGCCTTTTTTGAGCCTCTCCCTTTTACCGGCCATTATCCACCATTCCGACTTCGCCCGAGAAGGGGCGTGGCCTGTCTGCGCTCTCCACCAACCAGGCAATGTCTCCTTTTTTTTTATCGTGTCAGGACCCATTTCTCGATGGCTCAAGCCAGCCGAGAATCAGCTATAAGGATCGAATTTTTGTTCTTCATGACTCCCGAAATTCTAATTTTCTGTATTTCGTGAGATATTTCCAAACAAAAGCACGTCGATTTCGGAATCCTTGATCACGGTTCAGAATAGATTCTGATCGTACTGATTATTATAGCATGATTACTTGTGTTATATTAATGAATATTTCGCCTTATTTTTTTCGACAAAACGAACATTTTCACAACACTGGTGAATCGAGAGGTAGATACAAGTCGGTACCGGGTACCAACTCAAGTGAATCGGCGAATCGTAATCGGTGGTCATTTGTATGCGACCACGTACTATCTCTATGGTACCTGGATAGCACCTGGTCGGTATCTGGATGCTACCTGGTAGGTACCTGAAATTCGCGATTGCTAATGGCTGGCACATCGGTCGTTTATATATGTAAAACGTTCCTGAACTTTACACGTGAAATTCCCCGTGTAAAGAGTTTCTAAGATGAACTTCTGAGATAAGAAGAAAAATCGACGCGACGAGTTCTGTCCGGAAGAGGGTTATTCTCGAAGCCCAACTTGGGGACGAAAGCGAGCTCCGAAACCACTGCTACGATGGACGATAAAACTCGAGGAGAGAATTGGATTAAGCAGCAGCTCACAGGTATACTTTCAACAATTTCAAATCTCCCGGCACAATCAGCTTTCGAGCAGCGCTTTGGCATTACTTTAGTGGTACTGTAGCATTACTGTAGTAGTCATGTAGCATTATTTTAGTAGTAGCAGTACTGTAGCATTATTTAGTAGTCATGTAGCATAACTGTAGTAGTACTGTAGCATTACTGTAGTAGTACTGACCTTGAATCGGCTACATAGCTTCCTAGTTGATTCACTGCTAGCTTGGAGCACAGAGGGGAACAGGCGCTGTCTCTTTTCTTATCGTGTCAGGACCCTTTGTCAATGGATCCAGCCAGCCGTGTATCAACAATATACTTGTCATACCTTGTGGATGAGTGAATATTTTATCAACAACCTGAGCCAATTTTCCATCCATCTTTTCTTAAGACACTTTTTGATGCATTTTAGGTAGTTTTTTTCTCAAGTGATCACTCTTCTCTTATGGTATAACTATATCAGAAAACGCAAAAAACCGCTGATAGAAATTGATTGATCGAGTTATAGAATCCGAACAAGGAAAAGTACGCGACTCGCCACGCTGGAACGCCTTTGGCCGGGGAATCCAGAAAACAAGTGCGTTTCAAATCTCGTTCAATAATCCAACCCTGGTGTTCTCGGCGAAATTTAGTGGATAGTTCCAAAAACCAAACAGTTTTCCTTGAGAGGACGTGTGTTAAATGACCTCTTGTGAAGACTTCCTTCGAAAATTTCAAGTAATATCTCTTTTGGTCGCAAATTTTTTTTCCTCAATGAGGCTTTCGAAAGCGCACGGACTGTGCAAGAAGTCGTTTCCAGCGTATTTCGAATCGTGCAAGACTAGAGAGCAAGATTTTGAAAAAGCAACTAAAAAGAGGAAAGTTAGAGTTTACACTTTTAAAGACCTACCGAACGAGGTCCTCGGATAAAAAACCAGTATTAGGAAATTCAAGACTTGAAAATTTGTATTCGAAACTCGAACTTTGGCTCTACTCCGCTTTTGTTTTCTCTCAATGAAAATTTTAAGAGAACGCGCTTTACTGGTTTTTCGGGGGAGAAATGCGTCTGAGAAGCGGGGCGGAAAGTCACACGACCACCATGCAAGAGCAGACGGGCTCCGAACAACTCAATGGCAGCAACGAAGTCAAGAAGCCTGGTAGCTTTTTTCGACTCAATTGAGAAGTCTTTTCAAACTAATAATGGTAAATCGAGTGGCCGGGCACAGGAGAACTAAGAACAAGGAAAACGCATAAATATATATGTGAAGCTTTGTCGTTTCAATTGATCGAAGAAAGTCGAGTTTTGAATGAATATAGTATGAACCCAACAGAAAGTGCCAATTTATTGATGAAATCAAGTGGAATTTTTTATGAGAAACATTCTCAAAAATGCTTTTCAATGGAATTTGCAGGGCCAGTTGGTTACGAGGACGTCGGTTTCGACGCGGGCCAGACTGAGAAAGACGGAATAAAGGACGGGCAGAAGACCAGTCTTATTGACAAACTGATGTCGGACGGCGGAAACACAAAAAAATCGATTATGATGGACCAAGAACAGACACAGGTGGCCGAAGACTTTGCTGGTAGACTCGAGAGCCGAGCCCGTGAGTTATTCTTTTTCTCTTGTGCCTCAGTGTTAAATAGAACGTTTGATTTCGTCGAGTTTTTTTTTCCCTCTAAAAAAAACTTTCATCAAAAGTCATTTGAAAATCCTCTCCGAGAGAATTCAATCCATTTCAATCAAAAATCGACATTTTTCTATTAATTGTTCTTTTTTGTAAATTTGAAGCGTTCTTCCTCTTTTTTTTTCATTTTTGAAAGAAAAAGCTCTAGTAAAGAGATTTCTGCCTCAAAGGCTTAACACGCATTCTCCAAGAAAATCGAACAAATGCGAAAAAGTTTGGTACAAAAATTTCATCTTTGTTCCTGAGAGCTCTCCTTACTATCATAGATAGTGAACAACCTCTTGAATATTTAGAACCAGGTTTTATTAGGCTCCGCCCACTTTCAGGTTTACTGTAGAAAAAACACCGTAAAACAAACTTTTTTCCTAGTGGAGCAAATTGGTCCAAACTAATTTTTAAAACAAAATATGTTCTCTTTTGACCATTTATAGTTATAGAACTGACCCGGAAAAAAATTTTTTTCTTTCAGAAGAAAAAAATTCAAGTTTTTTTGAAAAAGGACGATTTTTCGCAGTCTTTGAGTCATAACTAGTACTAGAACCCCCGTTCTAGTATTATTTTTGGACCAATTTGCTCCACTAGGAAAAAAAGTTTGGTTTTTTTCGGTGTTTTTTTCTACAGTAAGCCTGAAAGTGGGCGGAGCCTAATAAAACCTGGTTCTAAATATTCAAGAGGTTGTTCACTATCTATGATAGTAAGGAGAGCTCTCAAGAACAAAGATGAAATTTTTGTACCAACGGTTAATCGAAATTCTCGGAGAACGTGTGTTAAAGGTAGTAAAAAACGGGATTCGAGGTGAAAACAGTACCTTGTAGAGCTTTTAATTCCAAACCGAACATTGTAATTGAAAAATCACAGATACAAGTTCTGATGAAGGCCTCCCTCCTTAAGGAGGATTCGAAAATGCTATGTGGGTGGCTCGCTCTCTAATTGGTTTATTGCGCCTTCAGGGGGCGGAGCTTGAGCGAGGACTTTGAATATGAACAGACTATAGCCGGATATATGCTTCTAATCATATTTTTTGTCTGGAAAGAAATTTAGCCGAACAAAAAAACACCGGTGGTACAGAAAACGCGAAATATCGACTTTCCAATTGAAATATACAAACATCGTTTTTAATTCGAAAAGCATTTTGCGGATTTGAATTTTTCATAACGGAAAAAACTTTCGTGACAGCGCCGAAGAGAGATTACACGTTTATCAAACCCCATCTTTTCATCTCGGCCTTCATATTTTTTTGAAAAAGCAGTTCAGACTGAAAATCCATGAAATTAATGAAAATCACACACAAAAAATTCGAAAGATTCTTCTTTTTCATTATGAATATTTTCAATTGCAGGAGCAGACATCCACCAATTTATAGTGCCTCAACGGTTGGAAATGGTGCAGAATACTCCGAAAGACCCTGAAGAATTTCTGAAAAGTTTTCGTTATTTTCATGGGTAAGAAGTTTCCGATCGAATATCTCATTGAAATTGATTCTTTCCAGATTTTTGCCAGAGTTCGAGACTAGGAGGTTCCTTCGGAGAGCCGGAGACTTTCTCGTGCGGAAAACGGAGGGTTCGAGAGGAAAGACGAGCCAACCATCTATTATGAATTTTCAGAAGAAGGCGAATTCTTCACGTTGGTTTCCGTCGGCGTTATGCTGGATCATAAACGTGATATGTCCGATAGTAATTTTTTTTTCAATCATTAATAATCTTAATTTCATCCGATTCAACTGAGTAGAATTATTTAATTTTTTTGAACGAAAAAAAGAGCAGAATAGTTTCAAGCTCGAACGTTTTTCGACCGCATTTCTATCACAACGAATCTTGAAACATTTGAATGTTTATAATATGTATCGAAATTATAATTATTTCTTATAAATCTTCATCTCATCCAACATTACAGCCCTCGACAAAAACTACGGCTGCGACGAGCCCATCAGAATAGAAAGCCATGTGGTGCGGTACGGAAAAAAAGTCTCAATCGAACATGCGCACGGATTTGAGAGCCTGGAAGACCTCTTAGGGTTTTATATCCTAAACCCTAAAAAGGTAATGCAAATGATAAATGAGTGGGAAAGTGATTCAAAAGGAAACTGAATTAGGGGAAAAATTGTTTTCTGATAACGTCTACATATGAAATCTGAAATAGAAGAAAACGATTTCGAAACCAAGAAAACAAATGATGGAATTTTCATATTTCTCAAACTTTGTCGGGTAATGAGATGACGGTTCATAGTAGAATGAAATGATCTATAAGACTGCCGAAATGAGAAAAATTTCATCTCTCGGGCTGCTATAAATTACAAAAGGAAGTAAGGCTGGAATTAGAATCGCAGAAGACAAAGTTGGACTCGAAAATCATCTCACTTCAGCTGTCGCTCAACATCCAACTCAAGCGTGGTTGCCCAACGCGAATGTTCCAATTCAGAGAACGCCATATCTCACGCCTCAAAACGGTCAGTAATGAGAAGTCAAAAATTAATCCTTCGTCAGAAGTATAAAGAAAACAAACAATAATCAACTATGAATAGCAGTGGATTTTTCCCAGACCGATAGAATTGATATTATCGTTTTTTTTTTTTGAATAAAGGTGAAAGTTTTAGCCTTCATTTTTTTCAAATCAAGACATCCTTACAAAACTTACCAGAGTCACTAACAAGTGAGATTATTTTACGTTGCGGGTTGGAATTTTTTACAAATTTGTTCAAACACTATGAATGTTTAGATGACGATTCCTCATATTGCGCGAACTTCTAGTTATTGAGATCTGATCCTTAAAGCTTGCGAAATATAAGTTTCAAGGCTAACTTCACAAAATTCAAGAATGGTTATCTCACAAAGCTGGCTCGAGTTGCGACTCTGACGGATCTTCATAAAAACCTTGACAGATTGTTTGAACAAATTCGTAGGAAATTCCAAATTGCAGAGTAGAATGATCTCCTTGGGAGGTCTAACTCTGTGTTAAACGCGAACTTCTAAAATTCATATCGCAAATACTAGAAGTTTGCGCCGGTAGCGACTATGAGGGTATCTTCATCAAGATTTTCAGAGTGTTTGAGCGAATTTGTAGAAAAATCGAAAAGTAAAATGACTTCCCGTGTGAGAGTAGAAAAGAGCGTCACAAAACGCGGCTTGGAATTGAAAAACGCGGCTTGAAACAAAGCGGAATGTCGTTCGGAACGCTTTTTTTGCCATGATTTAAACCCAAAATGAAAGATTGTGTTGAAATAATAGAATAGTCTATTCAGCTTGGCAGCGGAAATTTCGGAGAGGTGTTTTTAGCCAATGTGCAGTCGTTCGGGATTATAGACAAAAGGGTCGCCGTGAAGAGTGTGAGTTCAATTGAAAAAGTGTCATCCAAGAAACAGCTTTTCTCTTGCAGCTGAAGAAGGACTCTCCCAACTTGAGCGAGAGAAGTGAGAGCTTCGTGGAGGAAGCGCGCCTGATGTTGACACTCAACCACCCACACGTCGTAGAAACTTTCGGCTGGATGTTGGATGTGCAGCCGTTCATGATCGTAATGGAGTACATGGAAGGTGAGAGATTCCAATGAAAAAGCCTTCTATGATCCGGCTATCACAGAACAGAAATTAGAAAAAAGCAGCTAATTTTTAAGCCTCAACTGTTCATTTTCCACAAGCTTTTTCTCGGTACTTCATCAATTTTACCAGATAATCTTCCTTGTTTCCAAGCTGAACTAGGTCTATAAAACACCGAAGTTTGAACTAGACCCGGAATACGAGTTCGCGTTGTTCCCTAGTAAGGAAACTAGGAATTTTTTTCTACTTTGAATGTTATGACTTTTTCCAACTTCCAAAAAAAGAAAAATCAATCTTTCAAGCAAAATTTTTAAAAAAACATGAAATTAAATTATCAATTTTTAAGTAGGTGGACCGGAAATTTTTTTCATTATTTTTCATTCGTTTCGATCAACTCGCGAAATGAACTCACTTCGTAATTTAGAATTTTTTGAAGATTAACCAGAAAAATATTCGATTACTGATTTTTTGGAGGAAATGAAATCGGCGTGATAAGATTGAATTAGCTTTTTTTATATCCGAATTAATCCTGCGCATTTTGCAGGAGGATCTCTGGAGACCTATCTCTTGAAGAGTTCTGAGGAGCCGAACGTCGCACTTCTGCTGAAATATGGCCTCGAGGCAGCCGAGGGACTCGCATATCTTCACCAGATCAACATCATCCACAGGGATGTGGCCGCACGTAACTGCCTTCTGACCGCCGACCACAAAGTATGAGCTATATTATCAACAGTATAGTCATTCCTCCTTAGTTGAAAGGCGGAGATGTGGGCGGGAGATGTCATGCAAAATGATCTCTGACTCTCCAACATTTAGTGATCTTTTCCTTTCTCTAACGGGTATTTTGAATTTCGCGGAATCAAATTGAACACGGCATGAACTCGTGCCAAGAACCGCGTACGCACACGCTACGCATCTCGCCCACTTCTCCGCCTCCCTCGCCTTTCAAGCCGAGAAAAATGTATTGAACAAGATTTTTAAAGCTCAAATTGGGCGATTTCGGCCTCGCAGTGCCCGGCCCTCTGTATTACATGCTGAAAGGGGAGACGTTACCGACGAGGTATCTCAGCCCGGAAACGTTGGCCATTTTCCTCTTCCTTCATGCATCAGACACGTTCGCTTTCGGAGTGAGTTAATTGATTCCTCAAGGAGAAAAATAATTAGTATTTCAGAATTTGCTCTTCGAAATCTTTTTCCAACGGCCTGATGCCGTTCGAAAAACCTAACTTCGGCTGAAGCAAGACAGAAAGTTGGTTTAACTCTGTGAAAGGATACAATTTCAATTCTCTAACATTCTTGAGTGGCAACTTCCGAATAAGCCGTGAAGAAGTAGGATCATTGTCTTGGCACCTAGTCTTTTTAAAAAAATATCAAAAAGAAACATACTTGATTACCCAGGAAGCCCGAAAAAAACAGATTTTTTTGGAGTTTTTTTAAGAAACAGATTTCTTTTTCATAAAAAAATGAGAATCTGGTGCAACTTCACTGAGCCGAAAAAAATCAAAAATTTTTTTATCGGAAAAAAATCTTTGAATTGAGATCATGGAGGGGAACTCAACGATCTAGAGGACACATGTGCTCCTCCACCTCTTCGTCAGTTTATAAACGAAAACTTGTGGACCTACGAGATGAAGTCCAGGGCTCAAATGGATAAGGTTTCTCTTATTCACTCTTTTTCAATCTGACAAGAAATATTTAGGTGGTTGCGTTCCTCAAGAAAAACGTACCGAGAATTGAAAAGAGTCAGTTTATATCCAAAAAAATTATTTTTTTGATCGGGAAAAATTTGCAGGAGCAAGGAGGCCCGAAGACAGGCACAATCGAAACGGAAGAAATCACGGTGAGATTACAAAACCGAAATTTTTTCAGTTTCGCAATAAATGGTATTGCAAAATGTACAAAAAAAAAACCCATTTCACAAGTTCAAATTCGAACAGTAAAGAAAAACCAGTGTCGGCGTTGGAAGAAAGTGTTATATAGCCGGAGATTTTGTAGTTTTGTAGCAGCATGACAGAGTTTTCTAAAATTCGCATCTTCTCAAGAAATTTAGGGAAAAGATGAGCCAGGACTTCCGAAGAAAAGAAAGCTACGTCGACGCCTACCGCCTAACCGCCAGGTCAATCTCTCCTTTTCTGACTCCATATTGAACCTTTTTAGGAGCTCATGGAGGAACTGTGTCCGACTCAGGAAAACTCCACCAACATTGAGTGAATAAGAGCGATTGGTTAACCATCTTCTCAACGTTTATCCAAGATTGATTTCTCAAATCAATAAATCTTTTTATTGCACTTCGAAGCGTCGTTTTTTTTTCTAAGCAGGGGATGCTCGTGACCTGAAATATACTTGTTTGAAAATGTGATGATTCTATTAAAATCTGAAGATTTCATACTGATGCTCGGTATCAACATCATTCTTTTTCCACTAGTACATCTAGGTAGCGCGAAGCCCCGCCCTTTCACATAGCGGGTAAACCGGCAAATTCCAGTTGAGCGCTCGTTTTTTGGCCATAACCAGGCCTGTGCGTCAGGCCGAAAAAAAAAATTTAACGTACATTTCAAGTGTCGCATCCTCGTTTGGTGTCCACACAAGATCTCTCACATATTTCTTCGTTTTTGATAACATCATCACTTTGCTCCCATCTGAAGAAGAAAAAAAAAATAGAGCCGCAAGCCACTTTTTTCAAAATTACGCAAAATATATATTTTTTAAACACTTTTCGATAGAGGAGACTGTCAATTTTCATAACCCGCTTTGTTTCTGAAAAAAGGTCCGCTAAGAAAAAAATTTATGGCCAAAAAACGAGCGCGTGCGGCGTTCAAGGATCTATATATATAGTCTGTTCAGATTTTGAATGTCAACCAGCTAACTCCGCCCCTGCTGAGACTGTACCTTTTCGCGTCGATGTTTCATCGCGCGGGACTAACTTTGATCTTTTTCGATCTAAAAGATAGAAAAAGAGGTCAAAAAAGCAGCCTTATTAAAGGGCCATTGGCATATGTAGATAAAACATTGACGCGAAAGATATTGTAGCCTTGGGGGTGGAGTTAGCTGCTTGACATTCAAAATCTGAACAGACTATATCTGCCGGTTTACCCGCTGCCGCACGCTTACTTTTTGATTTATCGATTTTTGATTTACCGACTTTTTGATTTACTGATTTACTTTTTGATTTACTTTTTGACTGCCGGTTTACCCGCTGCCGCACGCTTACTTTTTGATTCATTTTTTGCATTTCTGAACTGTGTTCGAATCGGTTTTCTGTTCTTGAAATGATCAGAACTGACCTTGATGTTTTCACCCAATTTTGTGGACTATATCGCAGCGAGAGTAACGCTATACCGCGGGGGAGCCGCGAGCGATATCGCTCGCCTCTCGCTGCGACCTCGCAAACGTCTTGCGCTATATCGCTCTCTGAAAAATTTTTCTTCAAAATAGTTTTTTTCTTGTATTTGATTGATTTCATCATAAAAGTCAAAAATAAAGCAAAAAAACTGTTTTTCAAATTTCAAATTTTTGAGAGGGAGCGATATGGCAACGAGACTTTGACGAGGCCGCAGCGACATGTTGACGAGATCGCAGCGAGAAGCCTTGGCTATATAGCGTGCGGCCCGCTGCGATATCGGCAATTATGTTAGGGTGTTCACATAAATTTTTTTATGTAAACCTGTCATAAAAATTTATGCTAAAATAATTTTTAAAAAAACTGCTTCAAAAAAATACGATCAGGAGGATTTTTTTCGCATTTTTTTCTCCTTTCTAATGGGAAAAAAACTATTATCATTCGATTTTAAGAGGAGAAAACATGAAAAATGCTCTCAATTAGAAATTAAAAAAAAGAAGTGAAAAATAATGACGAAAAACGGCTCCTGTAACATTTAAATGCCAGCTTCATTGTGTTTGATGCAAACACACCACGGACACTCGCGGATTTTTTTTCAAAAAAAAAGCACTAAGGATTAAGCTTTTTTCTACCTCGCCACGGTGTTCCGCGCAATGAAAAAAAAATGCGAAATTTTGGGTCCCAGCGGCATATTATCCGTGGCGCATTATTGCGCCCTTCTCATGGTTTCTGATGCAAAAATTGAATTTCTTCACTTTTTTCATTGGTTTTTTACTTTTTTCTATTTCTTGCATTTATGTGATCCGCCTCTCTATGGGTACATCTTGTGGAGCTTAAAATTGCGCACTTTTTCTAAACCGGTTTTCAGATCTTTAACTTTTTTTCTCAAAAGAGCTGAAGATTTTTTTCTTAAAGTCCTAATTTTTTTCAAAATTTTTGAAATCTGTTTCGCGACATGAAAAAGAGTCACTCAATTTCGGAAACTATAGTTTTTAATTTAATCAGTTAATAATAAAAAGTTATTATCTAGTTCCTTTGACGTGGTTTGAAACCGGTTTCGTGTAAATTAGAGCCAAATTGAATTTGCTGATGCAGTTTAATGATTTTGATATATGCATCATCTAAATTGTATATTTTTTTCTAGTTTTTTGATGGTTTTTCGGATTTAAACAAAAATTTCGCCATACGAGGTTTTTTTTCTAAAATTTCTGCTTTCTATACATTATTTGTTTTTTTCTGAAACTAGGTTTTCGAGGTATATAAAATGTTTTTCATTTGCTCCTCGAATTTTTCCTCATTTCAATATTTTTTTCGTATTTATAAATGCTTATTCAATGGGAGCTGATTCACCTTCATATTATTTTTTGTTTTTATTTTGTAATCAGTAATTTAGAGTTTTCCTCTTTCGAAATCGTTCCTAAATGTTTTTTTAACGTAAGCGAATGTTTTTTTCACATAATATTCTTCAAAATGACAAATTTCGAACTTTTCAGGAGCTTTTATCCTGAAATCGCAAATTATAAAATTGAAAAAAAACATTTTGAGTATGCGATAGTGCGTCTCGGTGTGCTTACACCCTAAGCATCATAATTTACGAAAAGTCTTGACCTTGCGTAATGAAAAAAACACCGTGTCGCATCAGGCGCAGATTTGTTCTGCGCCATTTGGGTTTCGGCTGGGTTGGAAAAAAAAATGAGCGTTATGGTAGAATTTTCTATAAATCAAATATGTTGTAGAACATGATTTTTAGGATTTTTTGAAAAAAAACAACTGAATATCATCACTCGAGCCGTTTTTGAGATACGGTAGCTCAAACGATTACGGTGAAAAGCTTCGAAAATTTATATCTTGACAAAAAATAAACGAAACTTAACCGAAGTTTGTAATAAGGTACAAAATAATTTTTATTCAATTTTTAAAAAAATCTAATTACTCATTCTAGCTCATTATTGCTCATGTTAGAGAATTTTTCTTGAACAAATCAAAACCAGTATAGGACGTTGCGAACCGGCGTTTTGTCTTGTTTCTATCAAAACCACAAAAAAATACTCTATCTATTGAGCCAAACATGGATTAGGCGAATTTTCCATCTATGACCCGAAAATTCCAAAAAACACTTTTTTAATTTTGGGTAAGTTTCCCGAATAACTTTTTTATCTCTGTTCTTTTGGCTCGAAACTGAAAAAATCCTAATCAGCACGCATTTTTACATCCACTAGGTCATTTCCAGATCGAAACAAAAGAAAAAATTTTTTCACCCAAAAAAAATTCCACGGGAACCGAAAAATTTTGTATCGAGGTTTTTCGCTCATAACTTTTTTCGAGATCAAAGTATCTGGTCGAAACAAAGTTTTTTGTCTCCGTTACGGTTACCATAACAAGGGGCATACACCATTCTAGGTTAACTAAAAAAATTTTTTAAAAAGGTCATTTTCAAAAACCCCAGGGAGGAAAAAGACTTCGTTTCAGGTTCGCAGTTAATAATCGTTTGAAATTGTTCAAACTGTATTTAAAAAAACAAATTTTTTTATTCACATCTCAATGAAGAAAGGATTTCTTAAAAAAATAATTTATATAGGAAAGTGTAAAATGAGAAGTTTCGAGCTGTGAAAAAAATTGAAGGTAGTAAATCACTAGGACATGTTTTTTTCGGACAGTAAAAATGTTCAAAATTTGAGATTTCATTTTATATCCATGGACATGTTTCTTCAGACATTTTTTCCGCTTTCAGCACATGAAAAAATTCAAAGGCATCCTGCGGATGCCAACAAAACTTGGGAAATCCAGTCGCCATCGTGGGGGAGCGACGAAACAAAAGGATTTGGGTTTCCCCCGCAATTTTCCAAAATTTAATCAACCTGAACTCAACAAAAGTTCGAAAATTCAAATCATCGAAAATTTTTTCTCTGAAAAACATCTTCCCAAATTGTGTGCCTTACTGAAAATTAATTAATCATCTTCATGAAAAGAAGCTTCATAAATCATATTTTGATTAAGTCGAATGTCTAACCTTTTGAGGCTTCAATATCTCTAGTGAAGCTTTTACTGACAGGAAAACTCAAATTTTATATAGTCGATGTGCCACGAGTTGAAATTTCATGGAACGACACTCCGCTCGGTGGCCTTGTGGCCGTGATAAATCAATGCCTTTGCGGATCTCGGTCACGCTTTCCCATTTCATAATTTGCCGTTTTCAAATACATTTTCTTCGATAATTCTTTAGTTTTACGAACTTTTTAGCAGTGTAATGGATGAATAAATTTTTTCGGAATGCCAATAATTCAACCAGAGGATAAATAAGCAGTGAAAAACCGTATGTTGACAGAAAACGATCTCTCTATTTCATAGTGCGTACACGTCTATATTTTATAAGCCACTCACTTTCTGAAAAAATCCATTAATCATTGCAACAAACCGAAAAAAAAACGATGAAAACATTAAAACATGGCTTTAAAAAAAACACACTTTTTTAATCCCTCATTTCGAGGAAGATCATGAAATTTACTGTGTTCTTTCGTTTACATTTGTACAACGCAATCCTTTTCAACGATAATATTACATTTTAAAGAAATAAAACAATTAAAAAACGATCAAAATTATAATTAAAACCAAAAAATTAGCGTGGCCGAGGTTGGCAAATTCGCACGATGCGCGCTACCGCACAAATCGAAACAGCGGAGTGTCGTTCCATGAAATTTCAACTTGTGGCACATCGACTATAGCACTCAATTTGGGAACATGTTTTTTAAAGAAAAAATTCTCGATGATTTGAATTTTCAAACTTTTGAGTTCAGGTTGATTAAATTTTGAAAAATTGCGGGGGAAACCCAAATCCTTTTGTTTCGTGGCTCCCCCACGATGGCGACTGAGTTTTGTTTATCTTGCATTTCGAAAATACATGCGAGATGGCGCCTATAGTCCGTTCAGATTTTGAATGCCAAATAGAATGACGTCATTCGAAAACGCTCCGTGGATGGCTCGCTCTCTGATTGGTTCATCACGCCAGGGGGGCGGAGCTTGAGCGACGACTTGACATTTAAAATCTGACATGGAAGGTCATTTTTGTGTAGGGTTTGGAATTTTCTGAAAATTTGCTCAAACAATCTTTGATGGACTGGGAATCGATTCCTCATAGCCGCTATCTGCGCAAATTTTTCGTTTTGGAGATATGATTTTTTAGAGTTTTTGTCGTGGTTTGAACCAGAAAAAACGTCTCAAAACCGTTTTTGCGAGCAAAAAATCGTCGGTGGTGTGAAGGAGATGTACTAGTGAAACAAGAAAGACAGTAATACTGAGATTTAGTATGAAATCTTCCGATTTTGAAAGAATCATCAAATTTTCAAACAAGTATATGTCAGGCCACGAACACCACCTTAGAAAAAAAAAAACCAAAGCTTCGAAGTGCATTAAAAATTTATTGATTTGAGAAATAAAACTTTGAAAAACATTAAAAAGATGCCTTCTTTTATTTTTTTTGAATTCAATTGTGTCGATTCGAAGCCATACTGATTTCCTAAGCCTTCTTCGGGTTATTTTCCTTCGACTTCTTCTCCTTCGAGTTCTTTTCTTCTTTCGGAGCAGGCGGGTTTTTAGCTTCCGTTTCTGTCGGTCGTAGTTCAGGGTGCAGCCTGTAGTAAGCTTCCTTCATTTCAGCCAAAATTTTTTCCTCACGTTGCTCCTCTTCTGAAAAAATGTTTCATTCAACCAAACTCAAAATACATCAAAGTATGAGAACAAAAAAAAAAGAAAAAGGACTTCAACCATCAATTTGGCTCTTTTTCTTTTTTTTGCACCTCGTTCAAATGAATCCTTACGGAGAGTTCTAAGAACAGCGTCGCCGTAACCCTCGCCCGGCAGAATGGTTCCTCCAAGTGGTATAAAAGCTGAAAAAACAGTTATTGTTAAATAACTGACACGGTTGCTGCAAAATTGTTTACACCTACTAGGGATCCCAGAAACTTCAGACACCTTTTTAAGAACTCAAAAAGGAGCTTTAGACTTTTCTTTTTGAGGCTCTTTGGAATTTGCCCGTATCGTTTTTCTCTACGTCAATGTGTGCCAGGGAAATTGAGATTTTCACTCAAGTTTTTTTTTCCAAATATCAGATTCAAGCCGCAATTAAAAACTTTTTTTTCAGAAGAACTTTTCGCGACCAATTTCGATTCTCGCTTTTTTGAAAATTTTTTCGGATTCCAGTAATGCGACTTTAATAGTTATTCTTGTTTCTCTCGAAATTCTCACAATTGTCAAAAAGAGGATTGTCGGGGCAGATTGTTCTATTTTCTAAAGATCACTTTTGTTCAGAAAAAAAGATGAATTTTGTTTAGAAAAATTTCAAAAAAAAAAATTCAAAACATATAATATATCTGAACCTTTTTTCCTTCAAATTCCATCGAAAAATGACAAGAAAGGGCACGGTGTTCCGCGAAATGAAAAAAAAAAAGCGAAATTTTGGGTCCCAGCCTTCACCCATTATGATGGACTATATCGCAGCGAGAGTGGCGCGACATAGCAGCGACATATCTCGCTGCCATCTCGCTCAGCTCTAGCAAACTCCCGGCGCGATATCGGCGCGAGGTCGCGTATTATCGATTGGACACTATTTAAGTGCCATCAAAATTTTTACTTGAATTGTTTTATTTTTTTCGTGTATTATATTCTCTCTGATTTTTTATGTCTATCTGTTTTTTTCACTTAATATTTCTAAAATTTTTAATTTTACAACTAAAAGTAACGCTAATACAGTATGTCAGAAAAGGAGAAATATTTTTCGCTCACAACTTCCTCGTATGGAGCTCAATCTTTCTGAAACTTTTTCAGCTGTGTTTCTAAGTTTTCACCACGGTGTTACAAATAACAGTCATCACATTTCCAGAAAGTTTCAAAAGGGTTAAATCCCATTAAAGAAAGTTGTGATTCAAAAAAAAGCTTTTTTGTACATATTTTGACGGAACTGCACACCTTTCTTGAATTTGAATGTCCTTTTTCCGCACTTTTTTCATGTTTTAACCAAGAATTTCAGGTTATTAGTACTTCAAAATGGCATCTAACATTTTTTTTTTTCCGATCAATAAAAGTCAAGAAAGATACCGTGGGAGATGGCACCAAAACTTTGCTTTTGGATACAATCAATAAGATTCTTGGTAAACTATTTTTGAAACAGTATATCTATTTTTACTTGAAGATATGATTTGCACTTTGGCGTCGATGGGTAAGGGAAAGAAGAAATGAGGCATGATTTCGAGAAAGCACGTATAGCTGATTCACGGCTGGCTTGAGATCTCGAGAAAAGGGTCCTGCCACGAAAAGAAACGAGACAGTGCCCTGGTTGGTGGAGAGTGCAATCAGGCGACGCCTTTTTGCGTCCCAAGCTAGCCGTGAATCGTCTATACTGCTGTCTTGATACAGTCGGTCCTGTGAGTTATTCTCTTATTCAAAGTTGGAATTTTTTTTCAGTATTTCTCTTTTTTGACCGATTTTATCATTTAGAAAAGTTCTTGACGCAGCAAATGAAGGATATGCTGAAAACTATCGAGTCAAAGCTTACTGACATATTTTCAAGGGAACTTAGTGTCAATCTGATTGTTTAACTTAATTTTCTTTTTCAAAACTTCTTTCATTTTCATTTCGAGCCTCCCTCCTTCATTTTTTTTTTCTAATTTGAACTTTTAAAGATCATCTACGAGCTTACAATCGGTTTACTTTTCTGTTTTTATTGATCCTACTCTTTTCCTAATCAGATTTTTTTTTCCTATGAAAAATAAACGATACACATGTTTTCAAGAAAAATGGCCCGCCCGGCTACGAAGCGCGCAATTTTTTCTAATCGGATATCAAGTTTTTTTACGACAAAAATTAGGTTTTTGCTCAGTTTTTCAATTAAAGTTTAACAAAAACGATGATTACACAAGTAAAAGCCACATTTCGGTAAAAAATTTTTAAATAAAACTTTGAATTGTTTTTGAAGCCTGCCCGGCCCGAGCCCACGCGGGCTCTTTCTTGAAAATGAAGCCCGAAGCCCGGCCTGACGCACAAGCCTGGTCCCAGCGCACAGTGTTCCAAAAGAGACGGCGGCAAGCGAAAAAAAAAGGTCGTCGCAATGGGGCGAAAACGCGAGTTTTTTCTAACGCAAGGCGGTGCGGCGCGTGTCACCCCCACGAAATTTCATTCACTTTTAATACGGTTTTTTCTCTTTTTCTTGCGTATTTTACCATTCTTTTGTATTTTTTCACATCGTATGTGTTCTTAAAACGTGTTTATCGCGTTTTCCAGAGATTTGAAGTGATTTCCGATTGTTCTCGTCACTGAAATCTGCATTAAAATGACATTTTTGATGACAACTTATTTCGCATAAGATATTTCGTTTGTTTTTTTGTTTTAGAATTTTCAAATGGATTTTCTTAAGAGAAACGCTGTGAGATTTTTCTCAAAATTTTTTTTTCGAGGCAGTATTCGACGAATTTATTCTTGAAAATGTCATTTTTGGGTGACAACTTTATTCGTACAAGCTATTATGTATCTGTTTTTTTGTTTTTAAAAACGTTCAAATAGTATTTCTTAAGAGAAGTGCTTTGAGTTTTTTTCTCAATTTTTCCCTTTGGAAGTTCGATTTGACGAGTTTTTCCTAAAAAAACGACATTTTTAGGAGATATTTTTGTTTTTGCAATAACTTTTTTTCGTCTCTTTTTTTCATTTAAATTTGTTCGTTATAATTACATACACATTAAAAAAATCTTTGAAAACTTGCGAGAACCTAGGAAAAACATCATTTAATGGTCTTTTTCCAACCACTAAATCCACAAAACTTGACTCTCATTCCCGCGCCCCTATTGCAATAAACCGTGCCGCTGTTGCAGTCAGCCACGCCTACTGACCACAGCTGCCGCTCGTTTGGGAACACTGTGAGCGGCATATTATCCGTGGCGCATTATTGCGCCCTTCTCATGGTTTCTGATGCAAAAATTGAATTTCTTCACTTATTTCATTGGTTTTTTACTTTTTTCTATTTCTTGCATTCATGTGATCCGCCTCTCTATGGGTACATCTTGTGGAGCTTTAAATTGCGCATTTTTCTAAACCGGTTTCAGATCTTTAAACTTTTTCTCAAAAGAGTTCAAGATTTTTCTAAAAGTCTCAACTTTTCAAAATTTTGAAATCTGTTTCGCGACATGAAAAGAGTCACTCTATTTCGGAAACTATAGTTTTTAATTTAATCAGTTAATTTTTATGCACAATGTGGATTTGTGTACAAGTTATTATCTAGTTCCTTTGACGTATAGTCAATGTTGCCCGACTTGAAAGGCGAGGGAGGCGGGGCAGGGAGCGGGACGCGTAGCGTGTGCGTTCGCGGTTCTCGGCACGTGTTCAATTCAACCGCCATCTACTCTTTGAAAAAGCCCGTTTTTTTCGCTTTTTTTCATTCCTTTTTTTCAATTATTTATTATGTTGATGTGTGCATCAGAAAATAGTAGAAAACATTGAGAAAGAGCGGTGGCCGAGCTTTTTAAATAGTCGGCGACATTTTAATTGATCTCGTGCCAAGAACCGCGAACGCACACGCTACGCGTCCCGCCCCTTGCCCCGCCTCCTTCGCCTTTCAAGTCGGGAAATATTGACTATAGTTAGGGACCGCAAACGAACTTTCAAAAAAATTTTTTCAGCATTGATCTTTGTATGGTTTAATAGCTGTTTCGATTCAAAACTCAGAACCGTTTAGTTTTTCAAAAAAGATTGAGGATGAAAAAAGTTATGACGAAAAATGTGGCTCGCCGCGCACCAATTTTTAGTACTGGAATTTTGGTATTATCCATTTTTGACGTTTTTCTCGATTTTTCTTCTAGAAAAAGTTTTGAAACTGGTCTATTATGATGTAACAAATCATAATAGAGTGCTAAAAAAAAATTTGCTAGTTTGCCGAAAAAGTCGGTATTTTCCAGAAAACAAAAAACTGACGGTATCGAACTGGCGACCTCAAAATGAGAAACCGCAGCGCACGCGCTGCGCCAAGCTGTCAGGTCTAGCGAGGGGAGCTTCCATCCGCCATACCCTTGAGCCGTTTGGATAGCACAGATTGCCTATTTCAAAAATAAAAATTTGAAGTAATTTAGCTGCTATTATCAGAATATGTTCGAAAATCTTTACCCAAACTTTCCGTGGAAATTCACTTCGAAAAAACTGTTTTTTTAGTGCTTTTTGCCTCGTTCAACGATCGCTGCATTAAAACGGCCCCGTAAATTTTTGGCAAAGACGAATTTTTTATTTTATTCTTTTAATTGAAAGGTTTTTCACTGATAAATGTATATAATCGTTCAAAAAACCTGCGTTCGACCGCTTTTTGTGTGAGAAACGCCGCTAATTTTATTCTCTATTTTCAAGAGCATTTTTGCGCACGGTGTTCCGCGCAATGATGCGAAATTTTGGGTCCCAGCGGCATATTATCCGTGGCGCATTATTGCGCCCTTCTCATGGTTTCTGATGCAAAAATTGAATTTCTTCACTTATTTCATTGGTTTTTTTACTTTTTTTCTATTTCTTGCATTTATGTGATCCGCCTCTCTATGGGTAAATCTTGTGGAGCTTGAAATTGCGCATTTTTCTAAACCGGTTTCAGATCTTTAACTTTTTTCTCAAAAGAGCTGAAGATTTTTCTTAAAGTCCTAATTTTTCAAAATTTTGAAATCTGTTTCGCGACATGAAAAGAGTCACTCTATTTCGGAAACTATAGTTTTTAATTTAATCAGTTAATAATAAAAAGTTATTATCTAGTTCCTTTGACGTAGTTTGAAACCGGTTTCGTGTAAATTAGAGCCAAATTGAATTTGCTGATGCAGTTTAATGATTTTGATATATGCATCATCTAAATTATATATTTTTTTCCTAGTTTTTTTGATGGTTTTTCAGATTTAAACAAACATTTCGACATACGAGGTTTTTCTAAAATTTCTGCTTTCTATCCATTATTTGTTTTTCTGAAGCTAGGTTTTCAAGGTATATAAAATGTTGCTTTTTTTCATTTGCTCCTCGAATTTTCCTCATTTCAATATTTTTCGTTTTTATAATTGCTTATTAAATGGGAGCTGATTCATTTTCATAATATTTTTTTGTTTTTATTTTGTAATCAGTGATTTAGAGTTTTCCCCTTTCGAAATCGTTCCTAAATGTTTTTTAAAGTATAGCTTATTCACGGTTGACTTGAGCCATCTGATAAAGGGTCCTGACACGATAATGCACGAGATAGTGCCGGGCTCATGGAGAGCGCAGACAGGCCACGCCCACTAGCGTCCCAAGCTAGCCGTGAATCAGCTATAAGTGAATGCTTTTTTCTCATCATATTCTTCAAACTGACAAATTTCGAACATTTCAGGAGCTATTATCCTGAAATTGCAAATTCTAGAATTGAAAAAAAAAAAACAATTTTGAGTATGCGATAGTGCGTCTCGGTGTGCTTACATCCTGAGCATCATAATTTACAAAAAGTCTTGACCTTGCGTAATCACGGCGTTCCTAATGGGGGTGAGGGAAGGTGAGCGAGGCGTCAAAGTTTCTGAATTTACAGAAAAAATTTAGTGCGCGCTACGGATAGAATTACGTCACGTGACGTCACAATTACACTGAATATTCAATGTTAATAACTTGTTTGTTCGATCGCCTTTGGCTGAAGTACTGTAGATTTCAAATTTCGCGCCAAATTTTTTTTGACGTCTTGCCACCCCGTTTGGGAACGCCGTGGTAATGAAAAAAACACCGTGAGGGGCAAAACGAACTCTTGAACCAGTAGAAATAGTTGAGCCCTTCGGCGTGCAAGATATTTGCCCGATGGGCATGTTCGAACTCCAACATCTCCAAAAGTCGTTTCTCCTTCGGAAGGGCAGAAAAGCGCAGCCTTTTGAGCTCATCGTAAAAGGCTGAAAAATGCGTTCCGAACGGGAAGAAAAATCGTATTACGATATTTTGAGAAGGAGAAAAACGTTTTCTATGTCAACTCTTTGATTTTTCGAATTTTCGTCTACACGTTTTGACTTCCAGCTCGCGGTTGTTCGATATAGCTTACACGGGCAGTGCAAAAGGTGGTGCGTTGAGAATTTGATGAAACTTGGTATATAGGTACTAGAGTTTTCAAAACCAAACGTTTGAACGGACGTGCAATCAAACATTTTTCAAACATTTATTGAAACGGACCTTTGATTTAAATTTCGAAATCGAACGTTTGATCGGAACGAACATTCCTTCAATGTTTGAAATAAGTTTGACCGAAAAAACAAACGTTTGTTTTTCGGTCGGAAAAAGTTTGATCATAACTTGAACGATTTGGATGTGTTCGTTTTCAATCAATGTTTGAGAATAAAATTGTTTCGATATGTTGAAAACAAACTTTTTCATGTTTTTAAACTTTCATTTTTTCAAAAGTTTGGTTTTGAGAACTCTAATGTAGCCGATTCACGGCTGGCTTGAGCCATCGAAAAAAAAGGGTCCTGACACGATAATGCACGAGACAGTGCCTGGATCGTGGAGAGTGCAGAGAGACCCCGCCCCTCAGCGTCCCAAACTAGTAGTAAATTAGTGAATCAGCTATAGGTACTTTAGGACACCTTGATTCCAATAAAGTTGAAAAAGTGCGCCTTTTGCGTTCTAGTCGAGTTATGGTATTTCATGCCGTGTTCAAAGTAATTTCGGCAAGTTAAAAGAGAAAAACGAAAAAATGTGAAAAGTGAAATCAAAAAGCAAGATTTCTGTGAAAAACAATAAAATTAAACTTTTCATGGATCATAAATAACTTAAACATTTGTTTTCAATATGAAAAACTAAACTAAACAAAAAATACGGAAAAAAATATCCTCGCGCTCGCTTCGGCGGCCTAAATGAAAACCGCTTCGCGGGCCAGGCCGGGGCGCTTCGTGGTCGGGGCGGCCTCGGCCAGGGTCGCCTCGACTTGAGAACAGCTCTGATTTCTACACTATTTCTTTTTCTCTGTTCGTCTCGCCCCGTAAAAAAGGCGGCTCGATTTTCGCAGCCCGATTATCATATACCCAATTAAAAAGCTAAAAAACAAAAGAGACACCCCGCGCGTGCGCGCAGCAGGCGGCGCGCATGCGCACTTTTGGCAACAAAAACGCGCCGTCAGTGCCTGAGGAACTTGCATCTTACATCTTACGTGTTAGGCCACGAGCCACTTCAGAATTTTCCATCACCTCGCATAAAATTCATAAAGATTTTAAAAAATGCAATAAATTTCATAAAATCATTCATTGCATTTTGTGAAATCAATGAATAGTTTTTCGAAACAATGAGAATAGAAAAAAAGGAAGAAAAAAATTCAAAGGAAAAAATTCAATGCGAGCAGAGGGTAATTCCCCGCAAGCCGTTTTTTCGCCTTTGGGTAGCTACCGGAACGCAGCGCGGCAATTGCCCTCAGAGTTACCCGGAAATTCCCCACTGGTGTTTGAGCGCACCATGGTGCACCAAGTGCCAGCAGAACTTATCCGCCGCAACACATTCCCATTCAATGCATGTTTCGCGTGCATACTTTGAAATGCCATAACTCGACTAGAACGCAAAAGGCGCACTTTTCCAATTTTATTGGAATCAAATTGTCCTAAAGTACCTGTATACCAAGTTTCATCAAATTCTCGACCCACCTTTTGCACTTCCCATGTTAATAAAATATTTTTCACCGTTTTCCAAAAAATACTTGATTGAAAGTGGACAAATTTAACAAAAGAATGTTTTGGTCCCTGTGAAAACTCACCAACAGCTTGCGTGGGAACCAAATTCCATTTGGGATTATTTTCCCTCTTCAGCGCATCATACGGAAAGTCAGGATAAGACGAAAGGCTTTTATCATAAGCAGCGAAGGTCCTCACTCTCTCGATGACTTTGATATCTACCATGTTCGCGTTATGATTCACAAGCGCCAGGGCTAAAAAAAATAAATAACTTATTTTTCTTTTCTTCCTGCTTTCTTTAAACCTTTCCCATGAAGTTGGAAGTAAAGCTGTAGCTGGTCGATCATAAACATCATTACTGAGAAAGTATCTCCTGAAATACCCATTTCTTCTAAAATTGCTATTTGTAGCGTGTTTTTCAAACTCATAATTGGAATCAGCGTGAGGTAATGAGCTAAATCAAAACAGTCCTAACTATAAGCTGATGAAAAATGCCTTGAAAAGGAAAAACCCACTCAAAACCTTGGATTTAGTCTTGCACGTGTCATATCTCACATTGACTGGTTCCGTCAGAGTCAGCGGGTGACATTTATCGAATTTTATCAAGTTGGACGGCATTTTGAACGTTTCTTTCGGCTTATCTTCTTTCAGAACTCGTACAACGATATTTGCAGCGTCTACGACGTTTCTTGCTTTATCTTTCTTTTCCGCTTCACCTTTCTTTGGATCCTCCTTTTTTGTGCCTTCCTTTATCGCCCCTTCCATTTTCATGTCTTCCTTTTTCGAGTTTTCCTTTTTCGTGTCTTCCTTTCTTGGGTCTTCCTTTTTCGCCCCTTCCATTTTCGTGTCTTCCTTCTTTTTTGGGACTTCCTTTTTCAGGTCTTCCTTTTTCGTGCCTTCCTTTCTCGCCCCTTCCGTTTTCGTGTCTTCCTTCTTTTTCGGCTGTTCAGCTTTGACGCTGGTGGTTCCTTTGGAAGGCGGATCGGCACCTCCTTTTAGCCGCCTCTTAGGAATTTTTGGGGGACCTTTTGACTTCTCGGGTTTTGGTTTTCTCTCGACTATCGGCTGTTCGGCCAGTTTGGTCAGTTCCATCTTATCTGCGTCTTTCATGCGCAAGTCCGACCAAATCTTAGTTCCCGCCGGCGGCTCAAACTCCTTGCCAGTTTCATGAACCTTTCTGATAGTTTCAAACTTTTGCGCCGCTTCAATAAAATCTGCCGTCATTTCTTGTCTAGTGTCGAACTCAGAAAAGTTTGGCTCAGTCCAGGGAGTTTGAAAGGGATCAGCGAAATCTGTTTTCGGGTCCAGCGGCATATTTTGTTCGAATTTGTTTTTTCGTGAAATGGCCAGGTAGTGGATATTCGTCACGTCTCGCACTAAAGAAAAAAAAGAGAATTAGAAGCCACCAATCGTGTATAGTCTTTTCAGATTATCAAGCAGCTAACAAGTATCAGGGTTGCACGGATTTGCATAATTTCGCGGAATCGCACGAATTTAAAATTTCAGAGGAGAATATTTTTTCATCCGAAAATAACCGCGCAAGGCTTGATCTTATGCCTGAGGGGCGGAAATAAGCAGAACTTTTGTGCACAGATTCGCAAGAGGTATAAAGAGAAGAAATATGAGGGGACTCTGATAGGCTGAAACTATAAGAACTTCGTTTCCTTTTTCTGTGAAAAAATGGTTATACCCCTTTTCGATCATCCAAAAAAAAAAGTCAGGAAAGTTCAAACAAAAAGATACCCTAATTTGTGCGCTTGTAATACTTTCTGGACTTCTAGCAACATTAAGATAAAATAACTTTTTACGGTAACTTTTCCACAGGAGTTCGAAAAAAGAGCGGTGCTTAACCAAAGCTGTATCAAAATTTTTATAATTTTACAAAGCGTCTATGTGGAAGCTTCGAGCAGTCAGAAAAATACAAACTTTTTTTTTATTACCAAAAGTTATCGCGTGTCATCGATGCTCACAGAGCCCATGTGTTAACAGGTTTCCTTTCTAGTTTTATTTATTTTTGTAGTTTGGAAGTTGTACAGGTTAAACCTTATACTATACAAAAAGTGCTTTTTTTTTAGCACAGTTCTTTCCCTTATCATCCTCGTTAAAGGTATATAATATACAGGGGTGTTCGACTATAAATTATACTTACACAGATTTCCACGCTTCCCCGCCAGTCTATCCATCATTACCGAGTTGACTGAAAAAGCTCTGAATGAAAAAAAAACGATACGAATTCATGAACTAACGCATAGCCTTATCTCTGCCAGATTGGATGTAAATCATCAAATTGAAAATTTGTGTGGCATAGGACACTGAAAAAATTACACATGAGAGTATCAGAGGAACATTTAACACGGGAAGTGCGAAAGGTCTTGGAATTTAATGAAACTTGGCATACAGGTACTTTCGAACACCCTGAAACCAAAGAAGTTGAAAAAAAGTGCGCCTTTTTGGTTTTAGTCGAGTTAGGGCGCCTCAAAGTTTGCACGCAAAAATTGCATTGGAAGGGAGGAGGGAATGTGTTGCGGCGTGGTGTAGTGGCTAGAGGCCTTACGCTGTGAAACCTATGATGCAGGTTCGGACCCTTTTTGGTGAAATTTTTTTTTGCCATGAATTTTTTCGAAAAAATTGATGAATTTTTGAAGATAGAACGAAAAATACCGTTCAAAGTGTTAAAATTCACTATTTTATGTCGTTTTGAGAAAGAATTTCAACAAAAAAATTTTTTTATTCTTTTTTTGTCCTGCTCTGTGCAGGAAATTAGGGCGTCGAGATTAATCTCGCCACTACACCACGACACCTGCTGGCAGTGAAAGTTAGTCGCCGCAACACATTCCCTCCTCCCTTCCAATGCATTTTTGCGTGCAAACTTTGAGGCGCCCTAACTCGACTAAAACCAAAAAGGCGCACTTTTTTTCAACTGTTTTGGATTCAGGGTGTTCGGTAGTACCTATATACCAAGTTTCATTAAATTCCAATACCTCGACCTTTCGCACTTCCCGTGTAAGCATCACGCATCACTAAGAATAACTGCCGAGATAAACGTGAGGCCGGTGGCGGACATTGACAAACTCGCAAACATCTCGCTCTTTCGTCTCGCATTTTTTTTTTGGCGCGACCTCGCATTTTGGAATTTTTCAAGGTGCGTGAGTAAAGCGAGAAAAATGCGCAACTCGAGCGAAGACAGAGCGAGTTGTTTACGAGATCGTCAATGTACCGCCACCGACCTAGCATTTCTGGCCGATACTTTTCCGAATCGAAATCCGAGACGATACTTCTCCGAATCGTACTTTTCCGAGTCGGGCGTATACTTTTTCGAACCCAAAGTTATTATGCTTTTCCGAATCGGACTTCCATTTTTTTAGATAAAACCTTTCTTCGATCTTCTCATTTCCGACCGGTTCCATATAATTTTTCTCGATCGGTTTCAAGCTCTGCCGTAGTTAGTCAAAGACTTCTGTTCAGATCATTCTTCCCAAAAATACTATTCATTTTGTAACGCTCTAAAAAAAGATATCATTTCTTCTGAAGACTTGTTATTGAGAGATCAGGAAGTTTGAGAACTGAAGCTTAATCCAAGCTTAATTGTCATGATAACTTTTTTGAGTATTTTTCATCCTCAAACGACTATCAGCAGCGTAAACGCAAAAAAATTTTTAGAAATTGGCTGGGAGAATCAGTAGAATCGCCTTTTGACAAAATACAGGGAAAAGCCTTGACAATAAATCCTCTAACCAGAAGAAATCTGATATTGAACCCGAAATGAAAAAAGATTTAGAAATTTTTCAACAATCGATTTGCAAGTTCTAGTATCCAGAAAATTAATTCGAATGATTTTTGCCGTAATACCTCTTCACACATAGTGGTTTGCTCTCATTTGAAGGTTTCCGCCTAGGCCTCCGAAATCAGCTTCACCACCTAATATATTTTTCGTCAAAAAAGACTTCTAGTTCACAAAAGGCAGCTGATCGAAAGAACTCAAAAAGTTGTTGCTCAAAGCTTAGCCGATGACATGTTTGACTGAAACAACGAATGAAATGTTTGGAAAGAATGATCTGAAAATTAGTCTCTGACTAATTACGACAGAGTTTGAAACCGATCGAGAAAAATTATATGGAAGCGGTCGGAAATGAAAAGATCGAAGGAAAGGTTCTATCTGAAAAAATGGAAGTCCGATTCGGAAAAGCATAATAAATTTGGGCTCGGAAAAGTATACACCCGATTCGGAAAAGTATCGAATCGGATTTCGATTCGGAAATCGCCGGTTCAGACAAGTATCGGCCATTTTTTTTTTGCTTTGGGAAACTAAAGCTTTACAGCTTCAAAAAGATGTCTATCCATTTCCCCTAATAATAATAATTTATTCATAGATCAGTGTGAACCCCAACGAGTTCACTTCGATCTACAATTTAAAATGAGGAAAGAAAAAAAGTTGAAGTAAAAAAACAAAAAAATTGAGATCATTTCTTCGGGAAGGATTGACTGTAAAGGGAAAACTAAATCGGAATATGATGGTTTAGATTTTTTTTTTAATGATCATACAGAAATTGGCGATTTCGGCGTCCTCGTTTTTCCTGAAGAAAAACAATCTGAGGGCGGCAAACGTCGAGATGGCCAGTAGGATCAAAAGCACAACTATAATTATTATCGCTGTGATGAGCATCCCGGCTGCAAATAACTAGGTTGGAAGCCCGAAAAACTATTATAAATACTGCTGCAATAGCTAGGGCAGTCTTTCCGATCGGCGTTGGCTTGAGCTCGCGCTGAGGCGGCGGCTGACGAATTCTGCCCGCATCGAGAGTCTGCCACAATGCCGATCGTGGTGTTGAAAGTCTTCGTAGTCGTGATGACTGGTTCTGATGTTAGTTCTGTTGTTGGTTCTGTTGTTGGCACTGTTGTTGGTGCTGCTGTTGTGGTACAAATATCGAGAGTCTGAATAGAAAAGACATCAAAATTTGGTTTTATTTTACGTTATTTGAAGTATATGATCGTAAGTTCAATGGAAAGATTCATGGAGGCTTTTACAAATTTTTTCGAAGTAGCGTTCCACTAAAAAAGGCGTTCGAGGTGGAGAACTTTCAAAGCAAGTTTTAAAATTCGAGACAAAATGTCAACCGAAAGGCAACCATGAAACTTCAAAAACATTATACTTACCGCAAAAGCTTTTTTTCCGTTCAAAAACTCATGCTATTTTTTTGTTAAAATTTCAAAATTTTGGAAAAAAATAATCACCTTATTTGCCACTTTTTCCAACAGCTCTCTCACTTTTTTTGAGACATTTCCTTCGAAACGCAGAAGGTCCCGATTTTTGCAATATACATAAGGATCATCCACTTCTATTCTCTCGAGACTGTTAAAAGATTCGTCATCGACCAACTTGGAATTTCTCAAGTGAACAGCCGGACCTGCAAAACTACCATTCAACGTAGAATTGCTATATTAAAACATGGGTGAAGCGTTGCGACGCGGCTTTTGACGCGCAACTCGTAGTCGAAGAAGCTGAGAAAATTTTGAATGGCCACTTTAGGGTTTTGACGTTTTAGTGGCCGCTCTAGCAATCAGGTTATAGCTTGTTCACGGCTGGCTTGAGACAGCGCACGGGCGGCTTAACTTGCGCGGCGATGGTAGATGATGGCGGTCATAAATGCGCCTTTAATAAGAGCCTCATTTGGTGAATTGTTTCTGTTTCTATTGACTTTAGTTTTTGAAGTAATGTTAAAAAAAAGTAATGTTAAAAAACATTCAGGAACTTTTTTTGAGAGGGGAAAAACTCTAAATTACTGATTACAAAAATTCAAAAATTTTATGAAGGTGAATCAGCTCCAATTGTATAAGAAATTATAAATATTCTAAAAAAAGTGAAATGAGGAAAGTTCGAGAAGCATTTCAAAAAAGAAATTTTTTTATACTTTGAAATCCTAGCTTCAGAAAAAAACAACAAATGGATGGAACGCAGAAATTTATTAAAAAAACTTCGTATGGCAAAAATGTTTATCTAAATTCGGAAAAGCATAAAAAAACTAGAAAAAAATATAATCCAGATTATTCATATATTTCATGTAAAAATCTTCAAACTGCATCAGCAAATTTAATTTGGCTCTAATTTGCACGAAACCGGTTTCAAACTACGTCAAATGAACTCTTGAGAACTTCAGAGGGTGGGTCTTGTATTAAAAAAACGGGTCCTGAACAGTTCAAAACTACGGTAGTCGTACAATTTAAGGCGCCCGCCCCTGGTATTTTTTTTCTGCATCTTTTTTTCACTGAAAAAAACGCCGTGAACCTTCGAGGATCCTCTTTCCTTTTTTTCACATAGTATTCGAAGGTTTTTAAAAAAATTAATAATTTTAATTGAATAAAAAGTCGTACCTATTCCTTTGTGAACAATCTCTTTCAGATTGGACATTTTTAGTGATACACCTCCGGTGTCGAGTATAATGATAGCGCCGGTCTTTGTGGCTCTCATCAAAAAGCTCGAAACTATTGTAGATTTCTTAGAAGGTTGTTCGACGTGAACAGAGCCTTCCGTGCAAGTGACTTTAGAATCCTCGCATCCAGGGGGGACGGCGTCCCCAGATGGATAAGACCACATCGACCCCGGGCAGCATGCATCTAGGAACATCAATCAATTAATACCTCATCTGCCAAAGGTGCCATCAAAAACTTGTAATCCTTATTCAAATTACTTTAATTTTTTGAAAAAAAAACTCACCTTGGGCGGAAGCGGTTGACAACGCGCAAAAAAGGATCCCGCATATGACGACAAGCTGTCTTTTCAGACGAGCTTTGTTCCAAACTGAAAAAGCGAATTTCAAGAGATCAACACAGGAAAAAACACCATGTCATCCTAGACCGGAAGAGTGAGAAAAATAATAATTCTCACAATTCATGTCATTATTTGTTTTTCAAACTCTTCGATTCAGGGTTCAAATCAAGTGAGGACCAATAAATATTTCGAATTTACGTTCATAGAACGAATCGACCAAAATTTTTCAAAAAGAGCTTAAAAAACCAAATTCTAAAATTAATTCTGCGTTAAAAAAATTACGTTGAGGAATTTAGGGAAGCGCGGAAAAATGAATACAGTCTGTTCAGATTTTGAATGTCAAACAGCTAACTCTGCCCCTGCTGATACGGTACCTTTTTGCGTAGATGTTTTATCGTTGACCTTTTTTAATTTAAAAGATAAAAAAAGAAGTCAAAAATGCAGCCTCGTTAAACGGGCCATCGTCATCTGTACATAAAACATTGACGCGAAAGATATTGCAGCCTTTGACGTGGAGCTAGCTGTTTGACGTTCAAAATCTGAACAGATTATACGTTAAAAAATTCGCGAATATTTAACATTTAACCATATTTGAGCCCTCAGACACTGAGCATTCACGGAATCATTGGTGGTACAGCCCATCCCGAACCAGCTTTTCGACTTTTGTTTCCCCCCTCCCTCCAAGCTACAGAACCCTTGCTGAAAGCTTCCCTTCAATGCGCGCGGCCTTCCTCTATGCATGCTCCTTACATTTCCCGTTATATCCTATAATCTCTTCCGATTTCGAACTCCAAGTCATCGCTCAAGCTCCGCCCCTGATGGCGCTATTAACGAATCAGAGAGCGGGCTAACCACAGAGACTTTCCCAATGACGTCATCGTGCTTGACAATCAAAGTCTGAATAGACTATACTAAATCTAGACTTTATAACTATCACTGAAAACAAATAAAATAATAATTCATAAACACGAACAATTACATATTGAAAAAAAAATAAACTTATAAAAAATATGGGGGTTATAGCTGATTAACGGCCAGCTTGGGACGCTAAGGGGGCGTGTCCTGTCTGCGCTCTCCACGAGCCAGGCGCTATATCGTGCATTGTCGTGTCAGGACCCTTTTTCGATGGCTCAAGGCAGCCGTGAATCAGCTACAGCGTCATATATTCAGAAAATCTTTTCCCCCAGCCGTTTTCACGAACTTATTGTAGATTGAAGAATGGAAAATCGTTTGAAAAGAAATCAAATTAAAGGCGCATGCACAGAAGTAGGTCGCGTGCGTCGATGGGAGTGCTCCCGGAGGGGTTCTGGGCTTCTGGGGCTCGGAGAATGAAGAATCTGGACAAGCTGGCGCGGAGTAAGCAAAAACAAAAATGGATGTTCTCAAAGTTACCCATTGCTGCCAGTTGGCGAAGATCCACGACACTAAATGCCAGTTCCGCGTCTGAGAACTTCACTTTAATTTTATTAATTCCACGTTTTTTTTTCAGGGTCATGGCAAAGTTTATAGAGTCGTGAATCTAAATGACCAATTTGAGGAAAGCCAGAAAGGGACCTATAGGGGTTAGGTAATAAGAACCGTCTCTGTAGGATTAAAATTTGGGTGGTCCCTATAGGGTCTCTGATTTTCATGCTTCTTCTTTCAATCCTTTACTGCTCACTTTTTCAAGATACTCTTCAAAAATTTCTTTTAGTCGAAATTTCGTGACCAGCTCGATCAAAAAGTAACTCTAGTACTTCTCAAACGCATCAAACACGGTTTCGTATGAAGTCTTCCAATTTTGATAAAATTATCTAAATTTCAAATAAGTATATTTCAGACCGCGAAAACCACCTTAGAAAAAAAAAACCAAAGCTTCGAAGTGCAATAAAAAAATTTATTGATTTGAGAAATCAAACTTTGAAAAAAACATTAAAAAAAGATGCCTTCTTTTTATTTTTTTGAATTCAATTGTGTCGATTCGAAGCCATACTGATCTCCTACGCCTTCTCCGGGTTATTTTCCGTCGATTTCTTCTCCTTCGAGTTCTTGTATTCGTTCGGAGCGGGCGGGTTTTTAGCTTCCGTTTCTTTCGGCCTTTGGTCAGGGTGCTGCCTGGGGCACGCTTCACTCATTTCAGCGTTCTGACGCTGCTCTTTTGCTGAAATCAACTCATTTAGTTTGCGTCTCAAAAAACATCAAAGTATGAAAACCAAAAAAAGGAAAGAAAAATTTAGGCATCAATTTGGCTGTTCTTCTTTTTTTTTTGCACGTCGTTCAAAGAATTTTCCTCGTGTAATCCAAAAAAAAATGCAAAAAAAAGTTGATACAGTTCACAAAACGAACCCGTCTCACAAAACAACATGTCACTAACTAAGAATAACTGTCAAGATAAACGCGAGGCCGGTGGCTGATTCAAGGCTGACTTGAGCCATCGAAAAAAGGCTCCTGGCCCGATGAGATAGACCACGCCCCTTTAACGTCACAAGCTAGCCGTGGCCGTGAATCGACTTTACTTAAACGAACTCGCAAACATCTCGCTCTTTCGTCTCGCATTTTTTTTTTGGCGCGACCTCGCATTTTGGAAGTTTTCAAGCTGCGTGAGTAAAGCGAGAAAAATGCGCAACTCGCGCGAAGACAGAGCGAATTGTTTGCGAGATCGTCAATGTACCGCCACCAACCTAGCATTTCTCTCCCGCCAGACTCGGCAGTTATCTTTAGTGTAATTTGAGGTCAGTTAATATTCTTTTTTTATAAATGTCGGAAGAAAAGTTTCTTGAGAAGCTAACCAGGGAACGTTTTCTACCCCTTTTTAGGATCCGCTGATTGCAGAAAAAGAAAAAAAATTTTAGCAAAAGATCTTGTTTCCGAGTTATGAAGCTTCAAAGTCCGCAAAATACGCAAGTTGTGACAAAAAGCGCTATTTCATGCTTTTAGAGCGTCCTAACTCGAAAACAAGACCTGTTGCGAGACATTTTTTTCTTGTTATGCACTCAGAAGGTCCTTGAGTACACCTCAGTGAAGTGTCATCCAAAGTTAAGAGTCAATTTTTCCCGACTTGAAAGGTGAGGGAGGCCGGGCAGGGGGCGGGACGCGTAGCGTGTGCGTTTGCGGTTCTTGGCATGTGTTCAATTCAAGGTTCACCGACTATTCAAAAAGCTCGGGCACCGCTTTTTTTTATATGTTCCACTATTATTTTAATGCAGACATGAAAAAAATCAATTTATATTTTGAAAAGAAATGAACATTGCGGTAAACTAGCACTCCAATTAGTCGCTCTCGCATACTGCACGGTATTCCCAAACGGGGTGGTGAGATATCAAAAAAAAATTGGCGCGAAATTTGAAATCTACAGTACACAGCCGAAGGCGATCGAACAAACAAGTTATTAACGTTTGATACTCAGTGCAATTTTTCCGTAGCGCGCACTAATTTTTTTTTGTAAATTCAGAAAGTTTGACGCCTCGCTCACCTTCCCTCACTTCATTAGGAATGCCGTGTACTGGCCAAGTGTCTCAACGGGTGTACCCGTATTAAACCCGTGTTTCTGAGGTTATTTTAGTCTCAGTTGGGCTAAAACGGGGGAACAACGGGTGTAAGAAAAATATGTAGCCCAGCTGTGCTATAGCGGGTCTCAGTTGGACTGAAAATTGCCAAAAGTTCTACCAGCTGGGCTTATAAGGGTTTAATACGGGGGCACCCGCTGAGACCCCGTGTTAGCACGGCTGGGTTACCCCGCTCAGCATGCGAAGCTGGCAATTGAAATGAACTCGTGCCAAGAACCGCGTACCCACACGCTACGCGTCCCGCCCTCTGCTCCGCCTCCCTCGCCTTTGGAGTCGGGAAACATTGACTATAACCGGGGGATAAAAAAACGTTCCTCAGTAAGTTAAAAATTTAGATTTCGCAACAAGAAAAACTCAATTTTTTAGGTTTTGTTATTTTTGCTTTCGGAACTTTAGACTATGCTGGTTATGGTCTTCAGAAAAGGTATCTATTTATTTCACCATTCTTCGGGATGGATTGACTGTAAAGGGAAAACTAAATATGAATTTGATGATTACAATTTTTTTAATGATCATACGGTGATTGGCGTTTTCGGCGTCCTCGTTTTTCCTTAAGAAAAACAATCTGAGAGCGGCAAACGTCGAGATGGCCAGTAGAATTAAAAGAACAACGGAAACTGTTATCGCTGTGATGAGCATCCCGGCTGCAAATAACTATGTTAGAAGCCCAAAAAACTATTATAAATACTGCTGCAATAGCTAGGGCAGTCTTTCCGATCGGCGTTGGCTTGAGCTCGCGCTGAGGCGGCGGCTGACGAATTCTGCCCGCATCGAGAGTCTGCCACAATGCCGATCGTGGTGTTGAAAGTCGTCGTAGTCGTGATGACTGGTTCTGATGTTAGTTCTGTTGTTGGTTCTGTTGTTGGTTCTGCTGTTGGCACTGTTGTTGGTGCTGCTGTCGTCACCTTGTTACAAACTTCGAGCGTCTGAATAGAAAAGACATCTAAATTTGATCTTATCTCTTTATCGCGTTGCTTGAAGTAAATGATTGTAATTTCAGTTGAAAGATTCATAAAGGCTTTTACCAAGTTTTTCGAAGTAGCGCCCGACTAGGCGTTCGAAAAAAGGCAAAAAAAAAAACTGCGTTCGAGGTGGAGAACTTCCATAGCAAGTTTTTCATTTCGGGACAAACGGTCAACCGTAACGCAACCATGAAACTTCAAAACATTATACTTACCGCAAAAGCTTTTTCCGTTTAAAAACTCAAGCCATTTTTGTTCAAAGTTCAAAATTGTGAAAAAAATAATCACCTTGTTTGCCACTTTTTCCAACAGGTCCCTCACTGCTTTTGAGACATTTCCTTCGAAACGCAGAAGGTCCCGATTTTCGCAATATACATAAGGATCATTCACTTCTATTCTTTCCAAATTGTTGAAACAAACACCATCTAACAATCTGGCATTTTTTAGGTGAACAGCCGGGCCTGCAAAACTACCAATAAAACGTGGAATTGCTATAGTTCGTTCCGCGAGAGATAGTCACGTTTCTAGAGTTTTTCGGCAGGAAGAAAAACGTGACAAGCTGGCGCGGAATAGGCTATATAGTCAATCATCCCCGACTTGAAAGGCAAGTGTGAAGCGTTGCGAAGCGGCATTTGGAGGGAAACTCGGGGTAAAAGAAGCTGGGAAAATTAATAAAACTTTATTGACGTTTTAGTGGCTCTTACAGTAATCTGCCACAATTTCAGAAACTTTTCATAATATAAGTACATGAAAAAAGCGACTTTAGATAGAAAAGGCTATCGAACTTATTTGGAAAGGTTTTACCACACGTTCTCCGAGAAAATCGATGAACTGAGAAATCCCTTGGTACAAGAATTTTAAGTTGGTTCCTCAGAGCTCGTTTTGCTATCAGAAATCTACTACATAACCTTTTTAACACATGACACCCGGTTTCGACAGGCTCCGCCCACTTTCAGGGTTATGGTGGAGAAAATACCTTAAAAAGCTAACTTTTTTCCTGGCCGAGCAAATCGGTTCAAACCAACTGTAACGCAAAGAGCACGTCATTTTGAACATTTTTCATGTTGGAAACTACTCTGGAAAAAATTTTCTTCTTGTGGAAAAAAATGGCTGAAAGTTGAAAAATGACGATTTCCGCAGTATTTGAGCTCTACTAAAACGGGGACCCCCGATGGCCTTGATTTTTATTTTCTCAATCGATGTATTGAGGTCTTGTGTGTTCGAAAAAAATATCCCTATATTCAAGTTTTTAAGTGTCGTAGTACATCACCATCTCAAAGAACGCGTCCAACTTGAAATTGGCCAAAACTTCAAAAAAATCCATAACTTTTTTTGAGAGTTTGATTTCAGTTGAGTTTTTTTGTTCTTGATGTACTACAACTAACTTGTTTTTCAACTCAGGACAGTAAAAAAGTGGAAAACGAAAACTTGAAAAAAATTTTTAATTTTCAAGTTTTCGATTTTTTTGGACTTTTTTTGTTTTTTTCCCCCAGCTTTTTCCTTTTTTTCACCTCTGCTGAGGAGAGGACCCTAGAAGGCCTGGAATTTTTATTTGATAAAATGATTAATTAGGTCTTGCTTAGTTCAGAAAAAATATTCCCGTCTTCAAGTTTTAAGTGTTGCAGTTGACCACCGAAGCGCCGAAGCTGGCGACCTCAAAATCGAGTAAAAATGAAAAAATTCATAAACTCAGTTTTTTCACTTGAAAGTGAAAAGGTATCCTTCCTAAAACTTTTCTTGAGTACATCTCATTGAAAAAATGCATTTTGCCTGTGAAAAAATGACATTTTTTCGTTTTTTCCAAAATTTTCCACTTCAATTTTCCACTTTCCACAAAGCCCGTTGGTAGGAAGGAATTTTGGGTTCCCGAATATTCATGAGCGTTAATTGTTCAAACACCAATCTTGGAGGCTCGAATCTTCGAAAATTTGAATCTTTGCAAACGATTCTTGCGCCATCTGTTATTATGGACTTTTCCGCCACATTATCGAAAAAAACTCGAACTATTGTTTCCAGAGAATGAGTTTAATGTTTCGAAACACGATTTTTTGCCGTTTCACGTCTGCTAGATTTGGAACTCTGCCTTACCTTACGCAGAAATCTTCCGACTATAAAAAAAAATCAATCATCATGTCGTTTCGATCAATAATTATTTTAAATCCATTCTCTTTTCCTTTCGTTTTCTGTATTTTTTGAAATCAGGGAATCATATTTGCTTTTTTTTGTACTTTGAAAAGAAAAAGGGGGAAAAAAATTTTACCTGGATCAAAGTGGACCTAAAACTCATCATTAATGGATGGCGCGAAAATTATTCGAGTCGTATATGAATGTGTAGTAAACAATTATTGAAAAATAATAGAAAAAGAACGAAAAAATAAAAGTTTGAAATAACGGCGCAAAACGATTTGGCGCAAACGGACCACACCAGTTCAGACCTACAGGGACCCGTCCGGTTTGCACTGCGCCGTCTCCGCTGTCCTTGCTAGACCATTTTTTTGATCATTTTTGGTATTGAATACAATTAAGAAGGCAATTTTTCGACATTAATAGATAAAAAATCACAGAAAAAAAGACTTTTCACGTACTAAAGACGCATTTCCCAAATTAGGCCATTTTTTTCAAGGCTTGCCAGCGTTCGCAAAAAAACTTGATTATTAAAACTAAATTTGTATCTTTGCATGTTTTATACGTGTTTTTCTTCAAATTTGTTCATTTTTTCGTACAAAAAGCGCGTTGATAACGAAGATATTGCCCAAAAACCGCCATGGGTGTATGCACAATTTCACCCTACAGTGTGCCAAACCGGACGGGCTGAGCAGACACGGTGTTTTTTTCATTACGCAAGGTCAAGACTTTTCGTAAATTATGATGCTTAGGTGTAAGCACACCGAGACGCACTATCGCATACTCAAAATGTTTTTTTTCAATTTTAGAATTTGCGATTTCAGGATAATAGCTCCTGAAATATTCGAAATTTGTCAGTTTGAAGAATATGATGTGAAAAAAACATTCACTTACATTAAAAAAACATTTAGGATTGATTTCGAAAGGGGAAAACTCTAAATTACTGATTACAAAATAAAAACAAAAAATATTATGTAAATGAATCAGCTCCCATTGAATAAGCATTTATAAATACGAAAAATATTGAAATGAGGAAAATTCGAGGAGCAAATGAAAAAAAAACATTTTATATACCTCGAAAACCTAGCTTCAGAAAAACAAGTAATGGATAGAAAGCAGAAATTTTAGAAAAAAAACCTCGTATGGCGAAATTTTTGTTTAAATCCGAAAACCATCAAAAAACTAGAAAAAAATATATAATTTAGATGATGCATATATCAAAATCATTAAACTGCATCAGCAAATTCAATTTGGCTCTAATTTACACGAAACCGGTTTCAAACTACGTCAAAGGAACTAGATAATAACTTTTTTATTATTAACTGATTAAATTAAAAACTATAGTTTCCGAAATAGAGTGACTCTTTTTCATGTCGCGAAACAGATTTCAAAAATTTTTGAAAAAAATTAGGACTTTTTAGAAAAAAATCTTCAACTATTTTTGAGAAAAAAGTTAAAGATCTGAAACCGGTTTAGAAAAATGCGCAATTTCAAGCTCCACAAGATTTACCCATAGAGAGGCGGATCACATAAATGCAAGAAATAGAAAAAAGTAAAAAACCAATGAAATAAGTGAAGAAATTCAATTTTTGCATCAGAAACCATGAGAAGGGCGCAATAATGCGCCACGGATAATATGCCGCTGGGACCCAAAATTTCGCATTTTTTTTCATTGCGCGGAACACCGTGCAGATGTGGGACTCGGCGCAAAAGAAAGCGCCGTCTGCATACACGTCGCATACACGCGACGGCGCATTGCGGGCTGGCGCTCAGTTTAAACGGCGCTCTTGGAATCGGCGCTTTTGTCCTACACTCACTTAAGTTTACAAAAAAATTGGAAAAATTAGAAAAGAGGTGACTATTCCCAAGAATCGTTTGCAAAGATTCGAGCCCCCAAAATTGGCCACTTTAGTGTCCTCAAGGAGTAGACTTGAGGAACCTTTCAAGTGGCCACTAGATTTAGTGGCCACTCTATAGATTTTTTCTCACCAGGGAATGGTTTCAGGTCGCAGTGGGACCTCTCAATGAGACCAAGTTTTCTAGATGTAGTCTTTCACGCTGATCTCAAATCTGGTCTCAAAAAATGCCCTCAAGGCCTGTGAAAAAAGCTATGGACCCTAAAAAGTCCAAAATTTCAGTGTTTCCGATTGAGCTCATTTTTTAAGGGTATATAGGTTTGGTCCCTCTGGTCACGAAAAACTATCAAAACGTATTCAAAAAAAAATTCGGAGCCAAGATATGAATCTTCAAAGCCCCGCCGCACAAAAGAGAATACGCGCGCGCGATGTCCTATTGCGATCCGGCGACCGTCGAAGCAACGGCAGCGAGGAGCAGTGGTAAGGCGGCGGAACGGTACTAGCGAGGTCATATAGGTTGGGTCCCCACCCAAAACTTTTTTTGCAGTTTTTTCTTGTTTCTATACTTTCGTTTAAGGGCTCATCTTTTGAGTTTTGAGGCGTATAATCATGAAAATTCATCGTTTTTAACCTATTCAAACATCTAGAATTATTTTCGTCAAAAATTTTTTTCATGGAATTTTTCGAGATTTTTTATGGTACGAGTTTTTTTTCCTTTTTTATGTTCCTAAAAGAATCTAAAATAGTCATAGATACGCCAATGAATCCCACGGAAAAAAATTTTTTTCCTGGCTTTTTTTCAGACCTCACCGTTCACCTTCGACTTCATGAGGAAAAAATAATACCGCATTTTTCCAAATTTTTGCTGAAACTTTCAAAGAAATTTTTTTCTGATTGATTCATTATACAATTTGGACCAAAATCTCCCAAATAAGTTGTTGCAATGGAATTTGTGAAATTTAACAGTCCATTCAGACTTTTTCGAGAGAGACTTTCGAGAAAAAAAATTATTTTTTTTATCCAACTTTAAATTTCGTTTTTGCGGATTCTCACTTTTTCTACTTCGGGGAAATCGCGCGAATTAACTTTTTTTCGGCATAAGGCGATGGTCATGGGTAAGTCACTGCAACTATCAAAGAAGTTTTTTTGGAGGAAAAATTCTGTGGTTTTTTTATCGGTGTATCAATCATTAATTAGACTAACAAAATTTTTAAGAAAAAAATTACTTTTTTTGAAAAATTTTTCCCACTCGAGCCCATGCTCACATGGAAAAATCTCGAAAAGTTCCATGCACACAATTTTTTTGGCAAAGAGAGTTCTTTTTCTGATTTTTTTGCACACCATAAAGTTATTTCTTCTTACTAGCGCCAAATAATTTTATGATATTCGTACGTATCTCAATGAGACGGTTCGAATGATTATATTTTCATGCTGAAAATCAAACATGTTGGTAACGCCGGATTATTCCGAAAAAAAGGATAAACGGCCCAAAATCTTCCACTATCACCCGCGATCAGGCGAAACCCGTTCAGAAATTGACAGTAAAAAATATCTGAAAATTAAAAAAAAAAAATCTTGGCAATTATTTTAAACATTTCTAGCCAAAAAAAACCTGAGATTAAAGTACAAATTATAATTTTTGTGCTTCGACCTAGAACATGATCTATGCGCTTCAGTTTCAAAATTAATCAAATTATGAGCTCATCGTAGCGCAACTGGATGAACTACGCGCAGAAGAACGGAGCGAAGGACCGTCAGACAATGCTTCCAACCCCTTGGACTGTAAATGTTGACTTCCAATTCGCCAGAGACGATTTTGAATGGGGCTTCAAAAGCTCTTGCATACAGCTCAGTCGATAACATCTGTGAACAACGAAATAATCGATTGATTGAAAAAAAAAATCAAAAAAGGTTGAAAATCTGAATGGTTATGCCAAGATTAGGAAGCTTGGCAGTATCTGTGCCGGCGTCATTTCTACCACAGACGAATCGGATATAGAAAAGTGAAAACTACACGGAAAAGTATTGAAAAAAGTCAAATTAATTATCGAACTCAACGAGCTAGAAGGGAGGTTTGTGGCCTTTAGAAATGGTCTTCCTATACACTGCGACCCATAATTATAGACCCACCCTAATTTCTCCGATTTTAAGAAAGATTGAAAAACTTTCAGCCACCAAACTTTTTTTGTGATAAACCTTGTTGATAAGGAACATAATCATATCATAATTATCAATCACCCAGTTGAAAAAGTTTTTTTCAAGATACGAGAAAATCTGATTTTTTTGACCGACGCAGAATTATAGACCCACTATAAGTAATCAACAAAAATTCATTTCACAAAGTCAACAAAGTATAACAAAAAAATTAATTAATTATGTGTGATGCCTCCTTGTTCCTGAGCGACTTCGAAAAATCCTGTTCGGCATGCTGCCAACGAGTGATTGCAGCAGAGACTTGTCCAAACCATCCCACTCGGCACGAATCGCTCTTTTCAGATCGTTGACCGTTGTATACTGCTTGGCATTCGCGTAGACCCTTCGTACAAGGACTGACCATAAACTCTCTACAGGGTTGAGGTCAGGACTGCACGCGGGCGAGTGTAGAAGAACCACGTTATTGGCCGCAAACCAAGCCAATGTGAAGTTGCTCGCGTGAACAGATGCATCGTCTTGTTGGTAAATCATATTAGCACGTCGTCGGCGACGGAGAGAGGGCAGGAGATGCTGGGCAAGCAGTTGCTGGTAGTCTTGCGAATTCGTTCCGGTCCCAATAAAAGAAAGAGCTACCGTCCCGTTGCCGCAGAAAGCCGCCCAGACCATGAGGCTGCCGCCGCCGAAGTTTCTCTTGGAGAAGTACATCGGATCTTTCCTCAAATCTCTCCAGTAGTGAGCGTACCCATCTGGCCCATCAAGGTTGAATTTCTTCTCGTCGCTGAAGATGATCTGAACAGAAAAACTGGGAATCATAAGGTGATAGAAAACATTGATACCTTATTCCAATCCGTGGCCATGTTAGAGCGTGCAAACTGGAGCCGTTCATTCTTATGGCGTTGCTGTAGACGAGGTGCTGCCTTCATTGGAGTATTCACAAGTCGACCGGACCGATGAATTGTTCGTAAGATGGTGTTCTTCGAGACGTTTTCAGGAATTTCGGATCTGATTTGGTTGGCGGACTTCGTAGAGTTTGATGCTTTTCGACAGACTTCTCGTTCAGCTTGAACCGATAGCAGCCTGTGCCGTCCAGAATGTATTGCTGTGCCGTATTCTTGCGGATTCCTTGCATAAAGGTCAATAGTTCGTCTTGAGCGACCCGTCTGACAAGCGATTTCCCGATGGGACAAGCCGTTGTTGAGTAGAGCATCGATTACCGCTTTTTCGGTATTATCAAGTTGAGTAGATTTAGGCATTATGGCTTATAGTGATACACGAGGACTTTTTCTCTTATATACCACTGAAAAAAACAGGAAAAAAACGTGTTACCTGAAACGAAAAACTCGGAAAAACTCTGGGGTGGGTCTATAATTCTGGGTCGGTCAAAAAAATCAGATTTTTCTCGTATCTTGAAAAAAATTTTTTTCAACTGGGTGATTGATAATTATGATATGATTATGTTCCTTATCAACAAGGTTTATCACAAAAAAAGTTTGGTGGCTGAAAGTTTTTCAATCTTTCTTAAAATCGGAGAAATTAGGGTGGGTCTATAATTATGGGTCGCAGTGTATAGGGAAGACCATTTCTAAAGGCCACAAACCTCCCTTCTAGCTCGTTGAGTTCGATAATTAATTTTACTTTTTTCAATACTTTTCCGTGTAGTTTTCACTTTTCTATATCATAAGGCCATGCTTTCGACTTGATCAACTACACTTTTGGCCTTCTAGTTCTCTATTGATCGACATGAATTCAAAAGTTCTTGTTTTTAGTTAAAAGTTCTTGTTTTTAGTCGATTAGATCTATGACCAAAACAATAAAAAAAATCATTTATTGACTACTCCGAAGTTTCACACCTTCTTTTCAAGTAATTCAACATCTCCTCCTGAAAGATATGAGTTGCGTACTTGATCACGTATGCTCACTTCAAAAACGTTTCTGGCCAGAAGACGTGGCTTCTGCAATCTGATGTGATCCCAGGAGAACCACCGACCGGCGTTCCACGGCGGCGTCGTCGTCAAGATCAACGTCAACCAGCGTTACGCCACGACGGCTACTACTCACGCCGTCCTCAAGCAGGTCGCCTTCGAAGCCGGCGTTCCTCTCCAGGTTCATCCGAGACGAACTTTGAAAAAAACAGAAAATGTTCAGAAAATGATCGTGAAGAACGATTCGCCGTGCGGATCTACGGTTGGTCCGATTTTGGCGACGAAATTGGGCCTCCAGACGGTTGACGTCGGTTGTCCGCAGCTTGCCATGCATTCTATCAGGTTAGAAAAAAAAATAGATCTCCATATAAATAAATTTGAGGAAAATATCGTTGGAAAATAAGGAAAAAAGAGAACTTAGCTTTGAATTTTCAAAGAAAACCCTCATAAATGAGCCCAAGAATTGTTTCGAAATAGAAAAATCGAATCGAATCGAATGGAGAGGAAAATCTTAATTTTTAAATTCTAGTCAGAATGAGCAAATAACTTTATGAATATTATGATAAAAAGAAATGGATTTGAGAGAAACGATCGAAGGAGGAAAAAAATAGTCGCTCCCAAAAACCAGCAGGAAAAAATCCCTGAAAATAAAATTTCAACCAAAAATTAATTTTTCCTGACAAAACTTTGAAATTTGCCCTGTCTCGTTGATAACAGTTGAGCTCTAATGAAAAAAATTATCTCAATTTTTTTATTTTTGGAAATTTCACAACGCGATCTGACTGTTTTTGCTTTTTCTGTAACCAAAAAAATCTAAAAACTTTTTGACTTATTTCAATTATCATCTTTGCACATTCTCATTGAAAGACATCGTTTTTTTCCAATAACTCTGGCTTTTCAGAGAATTCGCAGACACTTCCAGCATCCACCAGGCCATTGAACTTTACAAGGTAGACATTTTTTTTCAAGACAAAATGAATATTTTAAATTTCAGAAATTCTTCTCGCGCCTGCCCCAAGTCCTCTCCAACGTTGTCTAAGAGAGAAACGGATAATTTATTGAAAATCTTGACGATTACGGTTTAGAAAAGATTCTGATTGTTCTGATTATTATAGAATGATTTCTTGTGATATTAATAAATAATTCGCCTTATTTTCTACTACAAAACGAACACTCTTACAACAATATCGAAAAATGATTACAAAAAAAATTGCTCTTTGAATTGCTAGATGTGAGGGTTTCTCGTTGACGATTTCAATCCGAAACAGGAAATTTTTTTAATTTTTTTCGCTCGATTTCGAAATTGACGTTTCAAAATTTCAAAAAAATGAGTACGAATTTCGGAACGTTGAAATCGCACAATTCCAATTTCACGCGGAAAACCCGCTATCTCGTTGTGTAGTCGAATCACGACTAGCTTGGGACGCTAACATAGGCAAAGTCGGAAGGACCCTCCGAGGGTCCATTAAGGACAGCTTATGCACCATTTTTGCTGCCTTTCCCTTTTTCTACCATTTCTCGAGCCTTTAAAATCCCAGAAAAATGTAAGGCTTTATAAAGGGACTCTTTTTGTTACCTTTTTGCAGCCTTTTTGCTCCCTTTTTGCAGCCTTTTTTGAGCCTCTCCCTTTTACCGGCCTTTATCCACCATTCCGACTTCGCCCGAGAAGGGGCGTGGCCTGTCTGCGCTCTCCACCAACCAGGCAATGTCTCCTTTTTTTTTTATCGTGTCAGGACCCATTTCTCGATGGCTCAAGCCAGCCGAGAATCAGCTATAAGGATCGAATTTTTGTTCTTCATGACTCCCGAAATTCAAATTTTTTGTATTTCGTGAGATATTTCCAAACAAAAGCACGTCGATTTCGGAATCCTTGATCACGGTTCAGAATAGATTCTGATTGTACTGATTATTATAGCATGATTACTTGTGTTATATTAATGAATATTTCGCCTTATTTTTTTCGACAAAACGAACATTTTCACAACACTGGTGAATCGAGAGGTAGATACAAGTCGGTACCGGGTACCAACTCAAGTGAATCGGCGAATCGTAATCGGTGGTCATTTGTATGCGACCACGTACTATCTCTATGGTACCTGGATAGCACCTGGTCGGTATCTGGATGCTACCTGGTAGGTACCTGAAATTCGCGATTGCTAATGGCTGGCACATCGGTCGTTTATATATGTAAAAACGTTCCTGAACTTTACACGTGAAATTCCCCGTGTAAAGAGTTTCTAAGATGAACTTCTGAGATAAGAAGAAAAAAATCGACGCGACGAGTTCTGTCCGGAAGAGGGTTATTCTCGAAGCCCAACTTGGGGACGAAAGCGAGCTCCGAAACCACTGCTACGATGGACGATAAAGCACGAGGAGAGAATTGGATTAAGCAGCAGCTCACAGGTATACTTTCAACAATTTCAAATCTCCCGGCACAATCAGCTTTCGAGCAGCGCTTTGGCATTACTTTAGTGGTACTGTAGCATTACTGTAGTAGTCATGTAGCATTATTTTAGTAGTAGCAGTACTGTAGCATTATTTAGTAGTCATGTAGCATAACTGTAGTAGTACTGTAGCATTACTGTAGTAGTACTGACCTTGAATCGGCTACATAGCTTCCTAGTTGATTCACTGCTAGCTTGGAGCACAGAGGGGAACAGGCGCTGTCTCTTTTTCTTATCGTGTCAGGACCCTTTGTCAATGGATCCAGCCAGCCGTGTATCAACAATATACTTGTCATACCTTGTGGATGAGTGAATATTTTATCAACAACCTGAGCCAATTTTCCATCCATCTTTTCTTAAGACACTTTTTTTGATGCATTTTTAGGTAGTTTTTTCTCAAGTGATCACTCTTCTCTTATGGTATAACTATATCAGAAAAACGCAAAAAAACCGCTGATAGAAATTGATTGATCGAGTTATAGAATCCGAACAAGGAAAAAGTACGCGACTCGCCACGCTGGAACGCCTTTGGCCGGGGAATCCAGAAAACAAGTGCGTTTCAAATCTCGTTCAATAATCCAACCCTGGTGTTCTCGGCGAAATTTAGTGGATAGTTCCAAAAACCAAACAGTTTTTCCTTGAGAGGACGTGTGTTAAATGACCTCTTGTGAAGACTTCCTTCGAAAAATTTCAAGTAATATCTCTTTTTGGTCGCAAATTTTTTCCTCAATGAGGCTTTTCGAAAGCGCACGGACTGTGCAAGAAGTCGTTTCCAGCGTATTTCGAATCGTGCAAGACTAGAGAGCAAGATTTTGAAAAAGCAACTAAAAAGAGGAAAGTTAGAGTTTACACTTTTAAAGACCTACCGAACGAGGTCCTCGGAAAAAAACCAGTATTAGGAAATTCAAGACTTGAAAATTTGTATTCGAAACTCGAACTTTGGCTCTACTCCGCTTTTGTTTTCTCTCAATGAAAATTTTAAGAGAACGCGCTTTACTGGTTTTTGCGGGGGAGAAATGCGTCTGAGAAGCGGGGCGGAAAGTCACACGACCACCATGCAAGAGCAGACGGGCTCCGAACAACTCAATGGCAGCCACGAAGTCAAGAAGCCTGGTAGCTTTTTTCGACTCAATTGAGAAGTCTTTTCAAACTAATAATGGTAAATCGAGTGGCCGGGCACAGGAGAACTAAGAACAAGGAAAACGCATAAATATATATGAGAAGCTTTGTCGTTTCAATTGATCGAAGAAAGTCGAGTTTTGAATGAATATAGTATGAACCCAACAGAAAGTGCCAATTTATTGATGAAATCAAGTGGAATTTTTTATGAGAAACATTCTCAAAAATGCTTTTCAATGGAATTTGCAGGGCCAGTTGGTTACGAGGACGTCGGTTTCGACGCGGGCCAGACTGAGAAAGACGGAATAAAGGACGGGCAGAAGACCAGTCTTATTGACAAACTGATGTCGGACGGCGGAAACACAAAAAAATCGATTATGATGGACCAAGAACAGACACAGGTGGCCGAAGACTTTGCTGGTAGACTCGAGAGCCGAGCCCGTGAGTTATTCTTTTTCTCTTGTGCCTCAGTGTTAAATAGAACGTTTGATTTCGTCGAGTTTTTTTTCCCCTCTAAAAAAAACTTTCATCAAAAGTCATTTCAAAACCCGCTCCGAGAGAATTCAATCCATTTCAATCAAAAATCGACATGTTTCTATTAATTGTTCTTTTTTTTTGCGTTCTTCCTCTTTTTTTTTCATTTTCGAAAGAAAACGCTCTAGTAAAGAGATTTCTGCCTCAAAGGCTTAACACGCATTCTCCAAGAAAATCGAACAAATGCGAAAAAGTTTGGTACAAAAATTTCATCTTTGTTCCTGAGAGCTCTCCTTGCTATCATAGATAGTGAACAACCTCTTGAATATTTAGAACCAGGTTTTATTAGGCTCCACCCACTTTCAGGCTTACTGTAGAAAAAACACCGTAAAAACCAAACTTTTTTCCTAGTGGAGCAAATTGGTCCAAACTAATTTTAAAACAAAATATGTTCTCTTTTGACCATTTATAGTTATAGAACTGACCCTGGAAAAAAATTTTTTTCTTTCAGAAGAAAAAAATTCAAGTTTTTTTGAAAAAGGACGATTTTTCGCAGTCTTTGAGTCATAACTAGTACTAGAACCCCCGTTCTAGTATTATTTTGGACCAATTTGCTCCACTAGGAAAAAAGTTTGGTTTTTCGGTGTTTTTTCTACAGTAACCCTGAAAGTGGGCGGAGCCTAATAAAACCTGGTTCTAAATATTCAAGAGGTTGTTCACTATCTATGATAGTAAGGAGAGCTCTCAAGAACAAAGATGAAATTTTTGTACCAACGGTTAATCGAAATTCTCGGAGAACGTGTGTTAAAGGTAGTAAAAAACGGGATTCGAGGTGAAAACAGTACCTTGTAGAGCTTTTAATTCCGAACCGAACATTGTAATTGAAAAATCACAGATACAAGTTCTGAAGAAGGCCTCCCTCCTTAAGGAGGATTCGAAAATGCTATGTGGGTGGCTCGCTCTCTAATTGGTTTATTGCGCCTTCAGGGGGCGGAGCTTGAGCGAGGACTTTGAATATGAACAGACTATAGCCGGATATATGCTTCTAATCATATTTTTTGTCTGGAAAGAAATTTAGCCGAACAAAAAAACACCGGTGGTACAGAAAACGCGAAATATCGACTTTCCAATTGAAATATGTATACAAACATCGTTTTTAATTCGAAAAGCATTTTGCGGATTTGAATTTTTCATAACGGAAAAAACTGTCGTGACAGCGCCGAAGAGAGATTACACGTTTATCAAACCCCATCTTTTCATCTCGGCCTTCATATTTTTTTGAAATAGCAGTTCAGACTGAAAATCCATGAAATTAATGAAAATCACACACAAAAAATTCGAAAGATTCTTCTTTTTCATTATGAATATTTTCAATTGCAGGAGCAGACATCCACCAATTTATAGTGCCTCAACGGTTGGAAATGGTGCAGAAAGCTCCGAAAGATCCTGAAGAATTTTTGAAAAGTTTTTGTTATTTTCATGGGTAAGAAGTTTCCGATCGAATATCTCATTGAAATCGATTCTTTCCAGCTTTTTGCCAGAGTTCGAAACTAGGAGGTTCCTTCGGAGAGCCGGAGACTTTCTTGTGCGGAAAACGGAGGGTTCGAGAGAAAAGACGTGCCAACCATCTATTATGAATTTTCAGAAGAAGGCGAATTATTCACTTTAATATCCGTCGGCGTTATGCTGGATCATAAACGTGATATGTCGGAAAGTAATTTTTTTTTCAATCATTAATAATCTTAATTTCATCCGATTCAACTGAGTAGAATTATTTAATTTTTGAACGAAAAAGAGCAGAATAGTTTCAAGCTCGAACGTTTTCGACCGCATTTCTATCACAACGAATCTTGAAACATTTGAATGTTTATAATATGTATCGAAATTATAATTATTTCTTATAAATCTTTATCTCATCCAACTTTACAGGCCTGGGCGAAAACTACGGCAAAGATGAACCGATAAGAATAATGGACTATGCAGTCCGTCGTGTCGAGAAAGGGATATCAATCGAGCACGAGCACGTGTTTGTATGCCTGAAAGACTTGCTGATATTCTACATGCTCAACCCTCGGAAGGTAATGCAAAGTTGGACTCGAAAATAATCTCACTTCAGCTATCGCTCAACATCCAACTCAAGCGTGGCTGCCCAACTCGTGTGTTCCAATTCAGAGAACGCCATATCTCCCGCCTCAAAACGGTCAGTAATGAAAAGTCAAAAATTAATCCTTCGTCAGAAGTATAAAGAAAACAAACAATAATCAACTATGAATAGCAGTGGATTTTTCCCAAACCGATAGAATTGATACCATCGTTTTTTGAATTGAAGTAAAACTCCTTGGCTTAATTTTTTTTTAAATCAAGACTTCCTAACAAACTTACCAGAGTCGTTAACAAAAGAAGTCATTTTACAAAATTTTACAAATTTGCTCAAACACTCTCTGAATGTCTAGATGAAGATAGTCGCCTCCTGCGCAAATTTCTAGTTTTTGAGATATAGTTTTTTAAAGTTGCGAAATATAAATTTCAAGCAGAAAAATCGAAAAGTAAAATGACTTTCCGTGTGAGAATAGAGCAAAACCCACCAAAACGCGGCTTAAAATAGGCAAAAAAGAGCGTTCCGCTATAAGAAATCTTCATGTAAACCGGAAATGAAAGCTTGTGTTGAAATAATATTCTAGAACAGTCTATTCAGCTCGGCAGCGGAAACTTTGGTGAAGTCTACTTAGCCAATGTGAATTCGTTCGGAATGATTGGCCAGAAGGCCGCCGTGAAGAGTGTGAGTTCTATTGAAAAAGTATCATCCAAAAAACAACTTTCCTCTTGCAGCTGAAGAAGGATTCTCCCAACTTCAGCGAGAGAAGCGAGAGCTTCATGGAGGAAGCGCGTCTGATGTTGACGCTCCACCACCCACACGTCGTAAAAACGTTCGGCTGGATGTTGGATGTGCAGCCGTTCATGATCGTAATGGAGTACATGGAAGGTGAGAGATTCCAATGAAAAAGCCTTCTATGATCCGGCTATCACAGAACAGAAATTAGAAAAAAGCAGCTAATTTTTAAGCCTCAACTGTTCATTTTCCACAAGCTTTTTCTCGGTACTTCATCAATTTTACCAGATAATCTTCCTTGTTTCCAAGCTGAACTAGGTCTATAAAACACCGAAGTTTGAACTAGATCCGGAATACGAGTTCGCGTTGTTCCCTAGTAAGGAAACTAGGAATTTTTTTCAAATTCGTTTAATTACCTTTCTACTTTGAATGTTATGACTTTTTCCAACTTCCAAAAAAAGAAAAATCAATCTTTCAAGCAAAATTTTAAAAAAAACATGAAATTAAATTATCAATTTTAAGTAGGTGGACCGGAAATTTTTCATTATTTTCATTCGTTTCGATCAACTCGCGAAATGAATTCACTTCGTAATTTAGAATTTTTTGAAGATTAACCAGAAAAATATTCGATTACTGATTTTTTGGAGGAAATGAAATCGGCGTGATAAGATTGAATTAGCTTTTTTTTATATCCAAATTAATCCTGCGCATTTTGCAGGAGGATCTCTGGAGACCTATCTCTTGAAGAGTTCTGAGGAGCCGAACGTCGCACTTCTGCTGAAATATGGCCTCGAGGCAGCCGAGGGACTCGCATATCTTCACCAGATCAACATCATCCACAGGGATGTGGCCGCACGTAACTGCCTTCTGACCGCCGACCACAAAGTATGAGCTATATTATCAACAGTATAGTTCCTTAGTTGAAAGGCGGAGATGTGGGCGGGAGATGTCATGCAAAATGATCTCTGACTCTCCAAAATTTAGTGATCTTTTCCTTTCTCTAACGGGTATTTTGAATTTCGCGGAATCAAATTGAACACGGCATGAACTCGTGCCAAGAACCGCGTACGCACACGCTACGCATCTCGCCCACTTCTCCGCCTCCCTCGCCTTTCAAGCCGAGAAAAATGTATTGAACAAGATTTTTAAAGCTCAAATTGGGCGATTTCGGCCTCGCAGTGCCCGGCCCTCTGTATTACATGCTGAAAGGGGAGACGTTACCGACGAGGTATCTCAGCCCGGAAACGTTGGCCATTTTCCTCTTCCTTCATGCATCAGACACGTTCGCTTTCGGAGTGAGTTAATTGATTCCTCAAGGAGAAAATAATTAGTATTTCAGAATTTGCTCTTCGAAATCTTTTCCAACGGCCTGATGCCGTTCGAAAACCTAACTTCGGCTGAAGCAAGACAGAAAGTTGGTTTAACTCTGTGAAAGGATACAATTTCAATTCTCTAACATTCTTGAGTGGCAACTTCCGAATAAGCCGTGAAGAAGTAGGATCATTGTCTTGACACCTAGTCTTTTAAAAATATCAAAAAAAAAGAAACATACTTGATTACCCAGGAAGCCCGAAAAACAGATTTTTTGGAGTTTTTTAAGAAACAGATTTCTTTTCATAAAAAATGAGAATCTGGTGCAACTTCACTGAGCCGAAAAATCAAAATTTTTTTTATCGGAAAAATCTTTGAATTGAGATCATGGAGGGGGAACTCAACGATCTAGAGGACACATGTGCTCCTCCACCTCTTCGTCAGTTTATAAACGAAAACTTGTGGACCTACGAGATGAAGTCCAGGGCTCAAATGGATAAGGTTTCTCTTATTCACTCTTTTCAATCTGACAAGAAATATTTAGGTGGTTGCGTTCCTCAAGAAAACGTACCGAGAATTGAAAAGAGTCAGTTTATATCCAAAAATTATTTTTTGATCGGGAAAATTTGCAGGAGCAAGGAGGCCCGAAGACAGGCACAATCGAAACGGAAGAAATCACGGTGAGATTACAAAACCGAAATTTTTTCAGTTTCGCAATAAATTGTATTGCAAAATGTACAAAAAAAAAACCCATTTCACAAGTTCAAATTCGAACAGTAAAGAAAAACCAGTGTCGGCGTTGGAAGAAAGTGTTATATAGCCGGAGATTTTGTAGTTTTGTAGCAGCATGACAGAGTTTTCTAAAATTCGCATCTTCTCAAGAAATTTAGGGAAAAGACGAGGCAGGACTTCCGAAGAAGGGAAAGCTGCGTCGACGCGTGCCGCCTAAACGCCAGGTCAATCTCTCCTTTTCTGACTCCATATTGAACCTTTTTAGGAGCTCATGGAGGAACTGTGTCCGACTCAGGAAAACTCCACCAACATTGAGTGAATAAGAGCGATTGGTTAACCATCTTCTCAACGTTTATCCAAGATTGATTTCTCAAATCAATAAATCTTTTTATTTTCAATTTCAATTTCAATTTGTTTATTTTTCGCAACATCGGGATGGTATGGTGATGTTGCAGGGAGGGAAAAAAAGACCACTAGGTGGATTAACTAACCCCACCTGTGAAGAAAAAGTTTTTTTGTGTAAGAAAAAGAAACATAGAACCATAATAAGTAGATATTTAAAACCAAGTTGATCATGGCACAAATCTGTGAACACTTGAAAGAATATGCTCGACGCCAACATCTTCTGCATACACTAAAAAAACATGTCCTTAAATTTTTTCTTGTCTTCCTCTGCCAATAATTCATGTTCAATGTCATTCCAAACATTAGTAATGCGGTGTGATAAGAAATTGAAGAAAACCAGTGAAGGTTTCGTTTTTATTAATTTAAAACCATTTCCTCTGAGCTGACTGGGACGGTCAAAGATGTTATGTACCTGGATGGGAGAGTCTGACCAGCACTTATTATGCAAAAACTGATGTGATAATACCAGATCCTTAACTAGACGCCTAAACCAAAGAGGTTGAAGACCTAAAAGTTTTAACCGTTCATTATATTCCATTCTTGGGGAAAGGCGCTTCGTGAAACGCCTCTGGACCGATTCTAATCGATCAATATCTGACTTTGTCAATGGACACATTAGTTCCGAACCATACTCTAGAATGGGAAGTACCTTGGCCTTATAGCATGTCAAGAAGTTTTTGTTTCGAGAAGCTAAAACAGCGGAATAGGTTGTTTATAATACGCATAGTTTTTTTGACGATAACTTCAATATTATTATGCATTTTGAGGTTAGATGAAAAAATAACTCCGAGATCTTTCACACAATCCTCGTTATTCACTGTTGTACCATTAAGCTCGTAACTCGCAACACTTCGAACTCGTTTACCATAACTAACATGGAGACTTTTATTTGCTGAAAGTATGAGTTGTCTATCTGCAAGAAAATTTTCAATGGAATGGAGATCCTCTTGTAGCTTGTTTTGATATCCTGGAACAGAACTGCTAATCATTACTTTACAATCATCCGCGTAAATCAACAGTTTACTATATTTAAGTGCTTTTATCCAAATCGTTAATGTAAACAAGAAACATTAAAGGACCTAAACAGCTTCCCTGTGGAACCCCAGAAATGACTTCAATATCTCCCGAAAATTTATCATTTACTTTTTACTTTTTTTGAGTCCTGTTAGTCAAATAAGCTCTAATCCAGTTACCAAGTTTTTCCTTTACATCCGTGAGGCTTCAAGTATGGTTAAAAGTCTACGGTGACTGACTGTGTCAAAAAGCCTTTGATATATCCAAGTAAATACAGTCAACATTGTTTTTTTATTGTAAACTTCTTCAAAAAAATATCTTTGTTTTTTTCCAGTAACTGAGTTATTGCACTCCGATTGTTCAAAAAAATCCGAACTGAGTTTTTAGAAAAAAAATTTTTGCTACGCCAAAGATGATTTCTTAAAGCTCTCACTACAATTGATTCGAAAATTCGGCATGGCACACAGGTTAAAGAGACGGGCCTATAATTTTCAGCGGAGGAAGGGTTTCCTTTTTTGAATACTGGAGAAACAATAGATTTTTTCCAAAGAAGAGGTAACGAGGTTATTGCACTTCGAAGCGTTGTTTTTTTTTCTAAGCAGGTGATGTTGGTGACCTGAAATGTTTAACACGCATTCTCCCAGAAAATCGAACAAATGCGAAAAAGTTCGGTACAAAAATTTCATCTTTGTTCCTGAGAGCTCTCCTTGCTATCATAGATAGTGAAAAACCTCTTGAATATTTAGAACCAGGTTTTATTAGGCTCCGCCCACTTTCAGGCTTACTGTAGAAAAAACACCGTAAAAACCCAACTTTTTTCCTAGTGGAGCAAATTGGTCCAAACCAATTTTGAAAACAAAAATATGTTCCCTTTTGACCATTTAAAGTTATTAAACTGACCCGGAAAAAAATTTTTCTTTCAGAAGAAAAAAATATTAAAGTTTTTTTGAAAAAAATGACGATTTTTCGCAGTCTTTGAGTCATAACTAGTACTAGAACCCCCGAATGCCTGGAATTTTATTTCTTCAATTGACGCATTAGGGTCTTGTGAGTAGAGAAAAAATGTCTAGAAACTCTGAATCCGGGTGATCCAGTTGACCTCCATCTCGGAGAACGCGACCAACTTGAAAATCGCAAAACCTTTGAAAATTTCTATTTTTTGTGAAAGCCGGATTCCGTCTTGTTTCTTATTTTTGCTCAACATAACACAGCTTGCTGCGGAATCGCAGCTCAAAAGTAGCGAGCTGGAACCCTTTGAAAAAAAATTTCTGACGTTTTTCTGATTTTTCGTTTTTTCGGCATTTTCAAACTTTTCGCTCTAACTAGTACTAGAACCCCCGAAAGAATTGTTTCCGGGTGATCCCGTTGACCTCCAAGCAACCAAAGCGGTCGACCTCGAATTCGAGCAAAATTAAAAAAATTTTCCAAACCGTTTTTTTGCTTCCTAACCAGTAGTTCTGATCATCTGGAGGGTTTTCAGTGTAGTTTCCACCAATTGCTAGCGTCAATTTTTATGTTTAGCTCATTTTTATTTTTGTCAGAATTTTTTAAAGTTTTCGACGGGAGGCTGCCCCAGCAATACCCGTGTCTGTCGAATAATCTGGAACTTCCTGGTATTATGCCTAAAAAGAAAGTTCCAACTTACGTAAAGACACTACTTACGAAAACTAGTGACTACTATTTTTGTGAAAAGTAAGAATCTTGTTTATCGATTCCATTTGTTTGACTTTTTTTGAGTTTTTTTCAAGATGAATCATTTTTTTGGATTTCGCACGGAAAAAATGTTCAAGTTCTCCTATTTTCGAGGTTGAACAGATTTTCTCATACAGAAAAAAAGACAAAAATGTTTCAACCGAAAAGAATCAAAAAAATTTTAAAAAATACTGACAAGGGGAGTGTTTTTTTGGTGGCCGGTTGAACTTTTGTTGAAACTTTGCTGAAAGGTACTACACTGCGACGCATAATTATAGACCCACCCTAATTTCTCCGATTTTAAGAAAGATTGAAAAACTTTCAGCCACCAAACTTTTTTTGTGATAAACCTTGTGGATAAGGAACATAATCATATCATAATTATCAATTATCCAGTTGAAAAGTTTTTCAAGATACGAGAAAATCTGATTTTTGACGCCACTCTCGCTCAAGACAGCTATGGCAGTTCAAGGACGCTTCAACGCGAAGTTCAACATCTTCGACGCTCGTCATCGTTCTACCACTGGCTCCGGACGATGCTACGTCACCGAGAAGACCGACTTGCTCGGACTGGATTGGCTCATCGCGATCCTGCAGTATCGACATCTTCCAAAGGAGCTGAGCTGCCGCATGACGACGACCTGCCTGAACCAGACCCGAGAAGAAAGCGTCGCTCAACTTTGCCACAAGTACGCCTCCGTCTTCGAAGAAGGGCTCGGAAGTTGCACCAAGACCAAGGCCAAGCTGTTCCTAAAACCTGAAAGCCGACCCGTCTACATCAAGAAGCGACCACTCCCATACGCCTCTCAGCCTGCGATCGACGCCGAAATCGATCGACTCGTCAACGGAGGAGTCTTATCGTCAATCGACTACTCGCAGAGGGCTGCGCCGATTGTCGCCGTCAAGAAAGCCAACGGAACCATCCGAATGTGTGCTGATTTCTCGACTGGACTCAACGACGCGTTGATGTTGCACCAGCACCCTCTCCCAACCGCTGAAGACGTATTCAACAAGCTGAACGGAGGACAGCTCTACACGCAGATCAACTTCGCTGACGCGTACCTCCATATCGAGCTCGACGACAGCACCAAAGAAATTTTGACAGTCAACACACACCGAAGACTCTACCGGTACAACCGACTGCCCTTTGGAGTCAAGTCTGCGCCCGGCATCTTACAAGAGGTCATCGACTCCATGATCTCTGGACTCAACGGCGTTGCTGCGTATCTCGACGACATCATCGTCACTGGCCGCAGTACCGACGAGCACCGCCGAAACCTGGAAGCCCTCTTCGACCGGATCCACAACTACGGCTTCCGCGTTCGCCTACCGAAGTGAAATTTCCTGATGCCCGAGATTCGGTACTTCGGACACATAATCGACAAGGACGGACGCCGGCCGGACCCCGAGAAGGTCCGCGCCATCACCAAGATGCCACCACCCAAGGACGTGCAACAACTACGCTCGTTTTGGGATGATCACCTACTACGGAAACTTCATCGACAAGATGCGACAGATCCGCACACCTCTGGACGCTCTACTCAAGAAGGAAACCCCATTCGAATGGTCGCCCGAGTGCCAGGACGCCTTCAAGCGCGTGAAGGACGTTCTCGCCTCGCCACTCCTGCTCACACATTTCGACCCCACGTTGGACATCATCGTCGCGGCCGACGCCTCCGACTACGGAAATGGGAGCAGTGATTCTACATCGCTACGCCGATGGCTCCGAGAAGGCAATCTGCCACGCCAGCCGCAGCCTCACCGATGCAGAGAAGAAATACGCGCAAATAGAGAAAGAAGGACTTGGTCTCGTCTTCGCAGTTCGGAAGTTCCACCGCTACATATTTGGTCGACGCTTCACGCTTCTGACGGACCACAAGCCGCTTCTCACCATCTTTGGCAACAAGAAAGGACTGCCGGTCTACTCAGCCAACCGTCTTCTACGCTGGTCGCTGATTCTTCGTGGATACGCAGACGAAATGGATCTCTGGAAAAGTTCTACTTCGCTTGAGCAACGCGCTGTACGACGTCCTGGTCAACGACAACATCGTTCGCCGACACGCCAACCAGCTGCGCCGACGCGAAACCGACGACACGCCGACCATGCTCTGGGACGACTTCGACTGGCCGCAACCATCGTCACCGTCGCCATCGCAGTCATCATCGTCATCATCGCCGCCGTCGCCGTCGCTGTCGCCATCACAGAAGCTGCCACCGTCCGACAACGACGTTCCCGCCGCTTTGAGACGCTCCGAACGCCATCATCAACCGCCGAAACGACTGAACATGGACCCCACTTTGAAGTCTTATGTTTAGTTTACCTAAAGACCGCAAAGCCACGCCCCTTTTTGCGATGGTGAAATGCGATGGTTTTTTAGATTTCGTGTTTGATGTTTTCGTAGGCGCAATACTGAATCAAACACAGAGAAATTTGGTGGAAACATAGAGAAAACCTTCCTCTTTAATCTGATATACTTTTCACCCGATTTTCGTAGCGTTTTAGCGGAGTGTCGTACAAAAAACTAAAACTACTTTTTTTCTTCGGGTTTTTTTAACCTAGTTCCATGTCGTTGGCGTCTTTTTTTATTTTCGAATTCGATTCTTAACTGAAAAACAAATTTTTTTAAGACAAAAAAATTAAAATTTTTTTACGGTGCCTAATCTTCGTGAGGCCGCGCAAAGTTGAAAAATGTTGTACTCGGTTTCGAAAGCGTGTAAGTAAAAAAATTTTTTTATTTTTAACTTGTGGATTAAATTGTAACTAAACTTTTTATTAATTTAAAACTTATTCCGAAAAACTTTGTTTTTCTGAGAAAAAAATAGACAGTGAAAATTTCGAAATTCATTTTTAACATGGTCAGATGTCTTTGGCGCCTTTTTTTATTTCTTAAATATTAGCGTAGGGACCGCAAGGCCACACCCCCTCGCTGACCAAAAAAACGTCGTATATTTCGTTGCATTTTTTTGACATTTCATTGTTGTTTATGCAGTTTCCCTGAACCGTTTTTGGGAAAAAAATTGAGGGAAACATACAATCGGCTATGCTCTACAACTCTACATAGAAGAAATAGCTGTAAATAAAAAGGATCGGTAAAAAAATGACGTTTTTTTCGCGACGCCTTTGTGCGAAAAAAAGTGGAAAAACGTTGAATACTTACAATCCCGCTCGTAGGCAAGTTATTTTTTTTTCTTATTTTGTTAAGCATGTGAAAATACACCATATAAGTAAAAATAAAAAGATTCCTGCTTGTGCTTTCAAATATCGAAGCGTCGGAAAATCGCAACTTTCGAAATTCGGGAACTTTGGCATTTTCCGCGAAACATCGTAAAAATTTTTTTTGAACTGTTCTCTATAAATTTTTAGAACATTTTTGAAAATAAAAAAACAAAACTTTCATTCCAACCTTAATTTTTAAAAAAAATAAGTTTTTGATTTTTTTGATTTTTTTGAAACACTTGGAAAAAGTGTTTTTAGCCGCCGTAGGCAAATTATTTTTTTCTTATTTTTGATTTGAATTACTTTTTTTCTTCAACATAGTTAAAAAAATAAAAAAATCCTGCTTGTGCTTTCAAAATTTGATTCATTCTAACGATAAAAACAGCGTCCTGCATTTGCGCGTTGGCGAAATTGTGCATTCACCGCCCCACGAAAATTCCGAAATCGCGATGTTTTTAAAGCAAAAAGAGTGTAAAACTTTTTTGAAATGAGTCAAAACGTTCAGTAATGTGATTCGGAAAACAAAATAGAACTTCACATGCTTTTCCAGAACAAAAAAATTATTTTAGTCTCGCCAAACTCCCACTATCCGGATTCCACTGGAAAACACGTTCAAAGTCGGGATATTCACCTGAATAAGACATAAAAGTGGATTTTAATGAGTTGAGCGCATTTAAAAGTGCTGTATTGCTACAAGAATGGTTATAAAAAGTCATTAATAATTAATTTATTCGTGTTTCTATGGATTCACAACCTTTTATTGGTTCCGAGTTCTGTACACTAAGAATAACTGACGAGATAAAAGCGAGGTCGGTGGCGGTACATTGACGAGCTCGCAAACATCTCGCTTTTTTTCAAGGCGCGATCTCGCATTTCTCTCGGCGCGGCCTCGCATTTTTTTCTTGGCGCCATCTCGCATTTATCTCGCACTTCGGAAATTTTTCAAATTGCGAGAGAAATGCGAACTCGCGCCTAGAAAAAAATGCGAGCTCGCGCCCAGAAAAATGCGAGACCGGCGCGTGAAAAAAAAGCGAGATGTTTGCGAGCTCGTCAATGTACCGCCAGTGTCTCGCGTTTATCTCGGCAGTTATTCTTAGTGTATCGAATCTTGTTTCAGGGAGATTTTGCGTTTATCCATGCTTCCTAATGATATTTTAACAGTTTTGAACATCAAAAGCATTGAAAACTCCGTGAATATTAATTTTGCTTTTTATTGCCGTTGAAAATCGTTCAACTTATTGTTTTTAAGTGTTTATTTTTGCTGGTCCTCATCTTTGGACATTGTTCTATCATTTCCAATAATGAAAAACTATCATTAGTGTGTTTTAGTGCGAAAAAAATTAACAAGAAACTTTTTCTCTAATTTTTTTACTGTTCTTTGAGAGCGCGCCGCACCCTTGCAACGCCCACTTTTTTCGCGACCTCGACCAAATTTTCTACAGAGAATTGAAATCGCGAAACGCGCGCTTTAATGGCTGTAATTTCGTTCAGAGTCAATATTTTTCCAAGATCTGTTTTTTTTAAAAGTTGCCAGGACTATGAAGCACACGGTCATATGAAAATCATTTAAATCTGATGGTTTCTAGAAAACTGCCTGCGGTCCCTATATTAGCGTATCTCAGTTTTGAATCAATCAAAAAAATAAAATAAAAAAATTTCCACCGTGCCTAAAAAGTTTAATTATTGTTAATTTGAAGCCAACGTTAAAAAAATAGGTGATCCGAACACACGTGACTAATAATTGTTCAACTATCATAACTTTTTTTAAACAAGATAGTCGGCAAATGCTGTACTTTGAGGTGAAGTGCTGTATAGCGCGAACGCCTTCCATCTCCGAGAGATGTGCGTGGAGCAGCGCAAGTGCGCTTGCATACGGTTTTGATATCGCGAGCTCGATCCTCGCAGCGGCCATTTTTTTTATTTTTCATGAAAAAACAGCTTTTTTCTTCAAACTTGTGTTTTTTTATACAGTTTAATTAACTTATTATGACTTTGAAAAACCTAACTAAACTACTAAAAAAATTTAAATCCGATATGAAAACAAAATGAACGACCAAAAGTGTAAAAATCTAAACTTTCAGTACTAAATTTCGCAACTTTTTTTCACTACTGTTTTGACCATAACTTTTTTTGTTCTCAACCTTTTTTAAAAAACTAAACTGTTTTGAATAGTAAATTAGAGCAGCTATCCAGCCATTGTAATATTGAAGTTCGAAAATTTTTTTGAAAATTTGGTTGCGGTCCCTAAGTTTACCTGTATAAGATGATTTCCCCGCTAACCATCATCTTAGGGGGAGGTGTTGGAATACCACGTCTCTCTAATAAATACTCTTATCTCTACGTGAGATGGGTATATAAGGCGGCCCTTTTACCTCTTTGACACTTCTTCATTCTAGCAATAAACCTGCTACTTCAACTTCGACTTTGGGCTACCGCGGAAACAACAGTTTTTTTATCCGGGCCGGCCATTTTTGCTTAAGGCCTCCCTAGGGCCGGGCCGGGCTTGGGAAGTGGCCGGGGCCGGGAGGTTGACTGGGCGATCCTCGCACAAGCCTGGCCATAACTTTTTTCTTACCAGAGAATGGTCTCCGGTCTCAGTGGGACCCCTCAATGAGACCAAGTTTTCTAGATGTAGTTTTTTACGCTGGTCTCAAAAACTTCCGAGGAACTCAGTGAAAAATGTTAAGGACTATTAAAGGTCGAAAATTTCAGTGTTACCAATTGGGCTCATTTTTGAAGGGTCTTGTCCCTCTGGTCACGGAAAACCATCAAATTTCTCTCAAAAAAATTTGCGATTCGGCGACCGTTGAAGCAGCGGCAGCGAGGAGCAGTAGGAAGGCGGCGGACTGGGGATTACGGGGTCAAAGGTTCGGTGCCTTAAAAAACTTTTTAAACCACGATTAATTTATCAAAACCATCAAAAAAATACAAAGTAAGTATTATCTTATGGTTTTTTTATTCAATGAACAATGAACACAAATCAGAACCTAAAAGTTTTATAAAAGACAAATACACGTCTTAAATTAATATTAACTACACGAAAATGAAATAAATGAATAAATCAAAAAAACAAAAAAAGGTTAAAAATTTAATTGAAAAAAACAAGAATTCCTAAATTAAAAATATAAAAAAAACTGATCAAAAAAACACAGGGGGAGCCATTCTGGAATAATCCCTAAAATAATAGAAAAAAAGGAAAAACCAGCAAAAAAAGTTTGCACAGCATCTGCCGGTTTTACCCGCTGTGTGAAAGGGCGGGGCTTCGCGCTCCCTAGATGTACTAGTGGAAAAAAAGAATGATATTGATACCGAGCATCAGTATGAAATCTTCAGATTTTTGATAGAATCATCACATTTTTCAAACAAGTATATTTCAGGTCACGAGCATCACCTGCTTAGAAAAAAAAAATCAAATCTTCGAAGTGCAATAAAAAAATTTATTGATTTGAGAAATCAAACTTTGAAAAACATAAAAAAGATGCTTGCTCTTATTTTTTATAAATGCAATTATGTCGATTCCAAGCCATGCTGATCTTTTAAGCCTTCTTCGGGTTATTTTCCTTCGACTTCTTCTCCTTCGAATTCTTGTCTTCTTTCGGAGGGTTTTTAGCTTCCGTTTCTTTCGGCCTTTGATCAGGGTGCAGCCTGTAGAAAGCTTCAGTCATTTCAGCTATCATTGCGTTCTCACGGTCCTCTTTATCTGAAAAAATGTTGTACTCAACCAAACTCAAAACACATCAAAGTATGAGAACAAAAAAAGAAAGAGAATTTCAACCATCAATATGGCTGTTTTTCTTTTTCTTTTTTTGCACCTCGTTCAAATGAATCCTTACCGAAAATTCTGAGGACAGCTTCGCCGAGATCCTCGCCCGGCAGGATGGTTTCTTGAAGTGGTATGAAAGCTGGAAAAAAACAGTTATTGTTAAAGGCATAGGGGCAGTAAAAAACGGTGTTTCAGTTAAAAGCAGTACTTTGTAGAGTTTTTCATTGCGAATCGAACGGTGAACTTGGAAATGTACCGAACTTCCTAGTTTTGGAGAAAAAATAATTCAAAGTCGGAGAGACGAAAGTTTGAGTTCCCGCCAAAAAGGGCACTTTGCAGTAAAGTTGCTCTAAACTTCCGGATTTTCGCTTTTTTCTTCGTTTCTTTCAAATTTCAATTTTTTTTGTTGTCACCAAAGTTCTTTTCGTCACAAAAGCTTTCTATTCATGTATAATTAGCAAACTTTGATTGCAAAAAAGCTTCTCTGGTGAAAAATGAAGATTTTACAAAGATTTCGATTGGGATTGCGATTATTTGTGTTTTCTTTATTATCTATGTGTGTTTTCTGTTTTCTTAATCGATTTATCAGAGAAGAAACCCTTAATCTAAAGAAGATACCCGGTTATTTCTAACAAAATGGGAGTCTATTGACACGTCCGCAACATGGCGTTCACGGCTACTGTAAACAGTTGTCTGCATACCGATCCAAAGCATTTTTCAAAATTAAAGGCGGGAAAGTAAAATCGCGTTTTTCTTCTGAAGTTGTCACATCAATAATTTTTCTGAGTACTCCCTTCGATTCGCAAAGAAAAACTATATAAGAAGAAAAACTATATACTGCTTTCAAATCCCGTTTTTTACTGCCCCTATGCCTTTAAATGTTTCTTTTCTCACACAAAAAACTTTTTTCTTCACAGGTGGGGTTAGTTAACCCACCTAGTGGTCTTTTTCCCTCCCTGAAACATCACCATACCATCCCGATGTTGCGAAAATAAAATGATTGAACTGAAATGCCCGCGCTCGGAGTGCTCAGCCAGCAACTGGGAGCGTGGTAAAGTGGCTGTGTTCTGGAATGGCGCTGACGCTTTGCTAGGTTCGATTCCTTTTGAGGAGGTATGAAAAAAACACCAGCGAAAAACTCAAACGGCGACTTTTTCCGATTTTTTTCATTTCGCTAGGGAGCTTTCCGACGGCCACTTTTCCGACGGATCCCTTTCCGACTTTTTTTCCCTTATGCTTTTCGGTTTATAAAACATCTATTAACATTTTTTTCCTATTTCTTTGTGTTTTTAATTATGAACAAACTACCTACTTTATATAGGAATATGTAAAACGAAGAGTTAATCGAGAAAAAAAGTCGGAAAAAGTTTCGTCGGAAAGGTGGCCGTCGGAAAGTTCCCTAGCGATATGAAAAAATCGGAAAAGTCGTCGTTTGAATTTCCGCTGGTCTTTTTTTCATACCACCCCTTTTGACGTGAAACTTTTTTTGCTAATAATTTTTTTGCTAATAATTTTTTTGTTAATAATTTTTTTGCTAATGATCTTGTTCATTCAATTTTTCTACACTCTATTATCAAACAAAAAAATCAAAAAAACATTCGAATTGAAGGAGATGATTGAAAATTGGAAAAAAAGGAAGGAGAAAGCCCAAAACAGAAACTTTTTTTGCGTCATATTTAGTTCTTCTATCGAAAAACTTCTAAAAAAATTGTTCAAATAATTGTTGCTTGGGCGGCTTCTCGAGATGACAGCACGATATAATACAATAAAAGGTTTGTTAACTCCTGTAAAAAAATTTATATTTGTGAATGATATCACACTTGGCTCCTCTGGCCTCATTCAACCATTTTCTAGGTTATTTTTCTTTTTACTGTTTGGAAATTTTTCATCGCAAAAATTCCACCGACTCCTCTATTCTCCCGTTTTCGAACCCCTCTCATACCAGCAGTTTTGTTCTATTGCTCACCGAAATTTCTGAAATTTCATGGAGAATGCGAAATTACATTGACAGGACTCCCTGTGCTCTTCGTGCTCGTACTCATACTTCCTTTCTTTTTTTCACAGAACTATGAGAGACTTTTCACTTATATTTTTGCTTTGATTTCATTGTGTTGTGATCTCGAAAGCCATGAACCAATTATCAGAACTTTTTCCCGATATTTTCAATGGAAAAACTGAATAAGACACAAAAAAAACTTTTTTGCTTTCTCCTTACTAGGGAACTACTCGGACTCGAATACGCGTTTTGAGTTGAAACTTTGGTGGCTTATAGACCCGGGTAAGAGAACTTGGAAACAAGAGAGATTATCTGCTAAACCCCATGGGCTTCTGAGAAAAAGCTTTTTGAAAATTATCAAATTTTTGCTTTCCTCCTTCTTCAATTTTTTAGGGTTTATCATAGTCGGATCATCCAAGGCGAATTTATTAAAATGAAAAATAAGGTAAAAAGCCGTATTCTGAAAATTTACAGGCCTGATTTTCACATTTTCTACTAATTTCTTCTCAGTTCTCTATCGGGTTTAGCAGATATTCTCTCTTGTTTTCAAGTATTCTGACTTGGGTCTATAAACCATTAAAGTTTCAAATCGAAACGCGTACCCGAGTCCGAGTAGTTCCCTAGTTAGTTTTTTTTTCAATTTTGTCCAATTCCAAAAGAGCAAAAAAAGTTTTACGTCAAAAGGAATCGAACTAGCATGGCGTCAGCGCCATTCAAGAACACTACCACTTCACCACGCTCTCAGTTACTGGCTGAGCACTCGAGTGTAGGGATATACGTGGCGGCAAAAGTTTGACGAGCTTTTTCTCGGTACCCTATGGTGCTTAGCAGATTTTGTCTTTCGTTTTGGAGCACTCTCCCCTAGGTCTATCTACCATAAAAGCCTCAATTCATAACTCGATGTTCACCGCGCACACTTCGTCTTCCCTTGTTCGACACCTTTTTAGGAACTCAAAAAGGAGCTTTAGATTCTTCTTTTTGAGGCCCTTTGGAATTTGCCCGTATCGTCTATCTCTACTTCGATATGTGCTACGGTAATTGAAATTTTCAATCAAGTTTTTTTTTTCCAAATATCAGATTTTTCAAGCCGCAATTTAAATAGTTTTTTTTTTAAAACTTTTCGTAACCAATTTCGATTCTCCCTTTTTTGGAAAATTTTTCGGATTCCAGTAATGCGACTTTAGTAGTTGTTCTTGTTTCTCTCGGAATTCTCACTATTGCCGAAAAAAAGACAAGAAAGGGGCGAAACGAACTCTTGAACCAGTAGAAATAGTTGAGCCCTTCGGCGTGCAAGATATTTGACCGATGGGCTTGTTCGGTCTCCAACATCTCCAAAAGTCGTTTCTCCTTCGGAAGGGCAGAAAAGCGCAACCTTTTGAGCTCATCGTAGGCTGAAAAAAGGCTGAAAAATGCGTTCCAAACGGGAAGAAAAATCGTATTATGATATTTTGAGAAAGAAAAAAACGTTTCCTATGTCAACTCTTTAATTTTTCGAACTTTCGTCTACACCAGGGCTGTGCGGCAATCGCTTTTTTCGGCAATCGACAATGCCGGCACTTGCCGGAAAATTTATTTTTTTGGTAATCGCCGGCAATTTTAAGCTCTCGAGTTTGAGATGATGATTATTTTTAACAGGAAGCGTAGATAGCTCTAATTCCATAAATATGAGCAAAAAAATGCTCTCCAAAACAAAAAAACTTATCAAGAAAAAAAGATATTTTAATAGATGCATCATAAAAGTTTCCTAAAATAACAACAATAGAATAAGACTTTTCTCAACTTTCACCGAACCTATCTAGCCAAAAACTCCCTCCGAACCCTTTTTTTGGCTTCGTTGGTGGGTTTGAAGTTTGATTTTTTTGTAGCCTGTAGCAAAGGTTTTTTTGAGATTTTTTTACTTTTTATTTTTTTCAAATTGAATGATTGCAAAGATAGTTGTTTTCATTGAGAGATCAATTTTTTTCGAAAAAAATGTTTCCTTCTTTAATCCTTGAATTAGGATTTTTTTCGGCTATTTAACTAACGAAAAGTTTTTTTCATGAATTTATTTTTTTCATTGTTCCGTAAAAAAATGCTCAAACCACTTCAGAAACAGCAAGCACAAAACAGAATTAGAACCGGAAACAACAGTAGAAAAAAATAATAAGTATTGAATATATTCAAAAAAAGAATTGAAATTCTGCCTCTGGCGAGTGTTATTGGTGGAGCGCAACAGTGCCTCAATTTTCTGCACACGATGGCGAAATTTTCGTAGATCGCTTTTCTGCACGGTTTTTATTTTCATAAAAACGTTACTTCTTGCGATTTTCGGATAAGAACGAAGCAACAAAGTTCAAAAAATGCTTTGGAAACTGCGGTACAGTTGGAAATTTTTAAAAATCTGTTTTTTCAGGGCAAATGTTGCTTTTTCAAGCCAATAGTAAGTTCAGAAGGAAGTTTCGGCAGGACAGGTTCAGTGGAAGTCAAGCAATGTCTCATTAATTATTACTTTAAAGGTGCTTGTTTCTTATTTGATAGCTTTGAAAACAGCGGGACAGTTGGAAAGAGAAAAAAATTCGACTTTCCGAAGGGAATCGCGCTTTTCCAAGCAAAAATTGAGTTCAAAGCGAAATTTCGGCTAAAAATGTAGCATAAAAGTCACTCCAAATCCTTTTAAATAATACACAACACACTGTAGTAACATTCTAAAAAGTTTTCACACCAATATCTAACAAAAGAAAAATGTGAAAAATCGTCAACCCCGACCAACCCTGGCCGCCAAGTGCCAAGTTGCGCGCGTTCGGAGTGAAATCTCGAGATGTTAGGTTTAGAAATTCTAACTTTTTTTTGTGGCATCGTGTAAAGCATACTGAAGGGCATATTCCATAGAAGCAATCACGATGCGATTCTATGCCGACGGCCAGGGTGACCGAAAAACCGACTTTCCAAACACAAAAGTCACCGTAACTCGAAAATTGCTACAGTAACCCGGCATGGTATGTACTGTAAAAGTTTCTGAAATTGGATTACCTATCGATTGATATACCACTTGCCTAGTAAAAACTCTTCAATACTTAGATACGCAGGTGCTCACCTGCCTACCGTAACCCGGCTACAGTAGGAGGAAATGGCTCAAAAAGTTGTGTCCGCATTTCAATTTACTGCGTAGCTATTTGAAATCTGTGCAAAGTTTCAAGTCATTTGAGCCACTTTCAGAGAAGTTATGCTCAAACAACCACTTTGAAATACCTTTATGGCCAGTGCTGTATGATGCAGGTTCAATCCCTTGTTGGCGAAATTTATTTTTGCCAATTTTTCCTTCGAAAAGTTGATGAAATTTTGAGAATGGTTCAAAAAAATACCGTTCAAAGTGTTGAAAATCCCTTTTTTTTTCTGCCCTTTTGAAAATAAATTCCGAAAAAAATTTTCTTCTCCATTTATCCTTAAATTTAGCAGACCCCTTTCTCTGAAAAAGTGCTGATGAACAAAAAAAAACGCATAATTTCATGAAATTTATTTTTGTTTTTCTTTGTCTTCGAGGAAGAGCATTAACTAAACACCACCAATAAAAAAAAACGGTTTTTTTTCTATCTACTCGGGCAAAGTCGGAATGGTGGATAATGGCTGCTAAAAGGGAGAGGCTCAAAAAAGGCCGCAGAAAGGCAGCAAAAAGGCAGCGAACGGCAGCAAAAAGGCGGCGAAAGGCAGCAAAAAGACTCCCTTTAACGAGCCTTCCCTTTTTCTGGGATTTTTAAGGCTCGAGAAATGGTGGAGAAAGGGAGAGGCAGCAAAAATGGTGCATAAGGGCTGAGAAAATGGAGCAAAAAGGCAGCAAAAAGAGAGCCTTCAACACCCTAAAAGGAACATTTCTATGGTCCTTTATGGACCCTCGGAGGGTCCTTCCGACTTTGCCTATGCTATTAGGTCGTTTACAAACTATTAAGCCTCTTTCTTTTTGCATTTGAAAGTTTCTTGGTGTATAACTTTATGAATTTGAATTCAATCAGCAAACGATTTTTCTACTGTCATCATCAGCTATCTGTTAACGTGACTGTTGTGATTTAAAAAACCAGTCTAAACAAATCAGAGGTTCGAAATCGGTCCTAGTGAAGTTAGTAAATTCTGGGAAGCGGATAAAGTGAGAAAGTTGGGGAAAACAATGTAAAACTATTCTTGAGGGTGTTTTGAAGTTTTTCAACATGAATCGGGTTGTTCTCAAACAAAATAGACCTCGTATAGTCCATTTGGATGACGAAAATATGATTTTTTTCGAATCTCAACAGAAAAAAATTTTTTTCACTTAAAAATGAGTGTTCTTTCAAAAATTCACGATTTTTTTGGTTTTTTTGATCACAAATCTGGTCTGACTCAAGCAAATCAGTTCTATCTCTGAAAATAAATAACTGTATAGCTGTTTGAAATTGTGCTAAGTTTCAAGTCATTTGAGCCACTTCCAGAGAAGTTATGCTCAAATAACCACTTTGAAATACCTTTACGGCCAGTACTGTAACAATAGAATATCTTTTTCGGTCCCTGTGAAAACTCACCAACAGCTTGCTTGAAAGCCATATTCCATGTGGGATCCTGTTCCGTCATCGACGCGCCGTACGAAAAGACGGGATAAGACGAAAGGTTCTTATCATGAGCAGCGAAGGTCCTCACTTTCTCGATGAGTTTGATCTCCATCATGTTCGCGTTTTTATTCAAAAGCGCCAGGGCTGAAACAAAATTAAATAACTTATATTCTTTCTTTTCTGCTTTCTCTAAACCTCTTCCATGAATATGGTAATAACGCTGTAGCTTGTCGGTCACCATCATCATTACTGAGAAAGTATCTCCTGAAATACCCATTTCTTCTAAAATTGCTTTTTGAAGCGTGTTTTTCACACTCATATTTGGAATCAGCGTGAGGTAATGAGCTGAATCAGAAAAGATAATAAAAATTTCAACTATGAGCTGATGGAAAATGCATTAGAAAAAAAAACCCACTCAAAATCTTGGATTTGCTCTTGCATGTGTCATAGATCATATTGACTGGTTCCGTCAGAGATAGCGGGTGACAGTTTTTGAGTTTTAGCGCCTGGAGCGGCATTTTGAATGTTTCTTTCGGCTTATCTTCTTTCAGAACTCGTACAACGATATTTGCAGCGTCTACGACGTTTCTTGCTTTATCTTTCTTTTCCGCTTCGCCTTTCTTTGGATCCTCATTTTTTGCGCCTTCATTTGTCGCCCCTTCTATTTTCGTGTCTTCTTTTTTCGCTCCTTCCTTTTTCGGAGCTTCCTTTTTTGGGTCTTTTTTTTTCGCCTCTTCCATTTTCGTGTCCTCCTTCTTTTTTGGGTCTTCCTTTTTCGGGTCTTCCTTTTTCGGGTCTTCCTTTTTCGGGTCTTCTTTTTTCGTGCCTTCCTTTATCGCCCCTTCCGTTTTCGTGTTTTCCTTCTTTTTTGGCTGTTCAGTTTTGACGCTGGTGGTTCCTTTGGAAGGCGGATCGGCACCTCCTTTTAGCCGCCTCTTAGGAATTTTTGGGGGACCTTTTGGCTTCTCGGGTTTTGGTTTTCTCTCGACTATCGGCTGTTCGGCCAGTTTGGTCAGTTCCATCTTATCTGCGTCTTTCATGCGCAAGTCCGACCAAATCTTAGTTCCCGCCGGCGGCTCGAACTCCTTGCCAACTCCATGCATCTTTTTGATGGTTTCAAACTTTTGCGCCGCTTCAATAAAATCTGCCGTCATTTCTTGTCTAGTGTCGAGCTCAAAAGCGTCTGGCGAGGGCCAGAAATTATCAATGGGGTCATCGAAATCTGATTTCGGGTCCAGAGGCTTATTTTCTTCAAATTTGATCTTCCGTTTTAGCGCCAGGTAGTGGACATCCGCCACCTCTTGCACTAAAGAAAAAAAATTGGAAGCCACCGATTATGTAAAGTCTTTTCAGAATATCAAGCAGTTAACTTCGCCCCCGCAGGCCCAGAAACTTTTCGCGTTGATTTATTATTGCACTAAGAATAACTGCCGAGATAAACGCGAGACACTGGCGGTACATTGACGAGCTCACAAACATCTCGCTTTTTTTCTCGCGCCGGTCTCGCATTTTTCTGGGCGCCAGCTCGCACTTTTCTAGGCGCGAGCTCGCATTTCTCTCGCAATTTGAAAATTTCTGAAATGCAAGATGAATGCGAGATGGCGCCGAGAAAAATGCGAGGTCGCGCCGAGATAAATGCGGGATCGCGCCTACATAAAAGTTTCAGGGTTGCACGGATTTGCAGAATTTCGCGGAACAGCACTTGAATTGAAAATTTTGGAGGAGAATATGTTTTTATCTGAAAATAACCGCGCAAGATTTGATCGTATGCCTGCGATGAGGAGATAAGCAGAACTTTTGTGCACAGATTTGCAAGAGGTGTAAAGAGAAGAAATGTGAGGAGACTCTGATAGGTTGTAATTTCTGAAACTATAAGAACTTCGTTTCCTTTTTCTGTGAAAAGAACGGTCATAACCTCTTTCGATCATCCAAAAAAAAAAGCATTAGGATAAAATTAGCCTCTCACGGTAAGTTTTAAACAGTAGATCGAAAAAAGGGCGGAGCCTAACCAAAGCTGCATCTAAAATTTTATAATTTCACAAAGCGTCTATGTGAGAGTTCGAAGCAGTCAGGCGAATAAAAAAATTTTTCTGTACCAAAGGTTATCGAGCTTCATCCACTCATTCTGAGAACGTGCGTTAACATGTTTTCTTATAGTTTTTTTTTCTTTTTGTAGTTTTGCAAGTTGTACAGGTTAAACCTTATACTACAAAAAACCTGTTATTTTCAGCATAGTTATTTTCCTTATCACCCTCGTTAAAGATACACAGCGTTCTAAAACGGGGTTCACGCAAAAAGAGGCGCACACTATTCTCAATGGAGCGCGTAACTTGGAGCGTTGTCAATCAAAATCAAGGTGCTTTTTTTTCTTTAATTTACATGCTATTAACTTTTTTCGATTGTTTTTTGAAGTATTTTTTTTGTTTCTATGCACGTAAATTTTTAATTAATGTTTTTAAACGTATTAGAAAGTTTTTAAAGTGTCCTAGCTCGTTAATGTACCGAAACGTTGTTTATAAAAGAAAATACCGTATCCAAGAGACAAAACCGAAAATCGAAATTCCAACTCCAAGAATCGATCAAAATATCAGTTTCCAACTAATAACAAAGAGAAAAAAAGCTGTCAGTGTCCGCGCAAAAGAGAAAAATTTCGACTTGACGAAAAATTCAAAAAAAGGTGTAATTGGTCTGTACCTAAGAGGCAAAACCGAAAATCGAAATTTCAGCTCCAGGAATCGATCACATTATCAGTTTTCAATTACTTAAACAGGAAAAAAAAGAATACAAAATCAAACCTGAGTTAAAAATTTCGACTTTCGTGAACAGAACAATTATGTAGTCCTTTGAACCAATCAAACCACAAGAAAATAAACTGCGAAATTTTAAGAGAGTTATAGGAAATGACTAGCAACACTTGGAAACTATAAATGTCAGGAAAAAAAAAATGCTAGCCTTCAAATAATCAAAAAATCCGGACTCTTAATTACGACGCGAAAAAGACTATTGTTAGCCACGCCCACTCATGCAACGTCCGCATGCTTTTCAGAAAAGGGGCGGGAACCCCGCTTTAGAACGCTGTGGATATAGCTAGTTCACGGCTGGCTTGAGCCATCATCGAAAAATGGGTCCTGAGGCCGTATGCGATAAACTTTCGCCGAGGAAAACGCATTCGCCGGCGAATGTCATTTTCGTATGCAATAAGCGGTAAATGGTAAAGCGAAAATTCGCCTTAGAAAATGCTCTCATTTACCAAGAAAATGATCGCGTCTTTTTGGTGCAGTGTGTAGTTTTTTTTCGTTTTTTTCGGTGTTCATTGATTTTATTATCATACTCCGTTTTGATTATTGCACAGTGCCTCAAAACGGGCGAGCGCTGGCGAAAAAAATGGGCGTCACAATGGGGCGAAAACGCGAGTTCCTTCTAATGCAACGCGGTGCGGCGCGTGTCAACCTCTCAGAATTTCATTCAATTTAATAATAGTTTTTTTTCTCTTTTTCTCGCGTATTTTTTCAAATTTTCGTATCGTTCCACTTTCTTTTGTGTAATATTACCGTGTTTGATGCGTTTGAGAGGTACTTACATGGAAGGTCATTTTTGCGTAGGGTTTGGTTTTTTTGCGGGCATCGAACTCGCGACCTCAAAATGAAAAATCGCAGCGCACGCGCTGCGCCAAGCTGTTAGGTCCAACGCGGGGAGCTTCCATCCGCCATACCCTTGAGCCGTTTGGATAGCACAGATTGCCTATTTCAAAAAGAAAAGTTTGAAGTAATTTAGCTTTTTTTCATCAGAATATGTTCGCAAATCTTTACTCAAACTTTCCGTGGAAATTCACTTCGAAAAAACTGTTTTTTAGTGCTTTTTGCCTCGTTTAACGATCGCTGCATCAAAACGGCCCCCGTAAATTTTTGGCAAAGACGAATTTTTTATTTTATTCTTTTAATTGAAAGATTTTTTTACTCATAAATGCATATAATCGTTTAAAAAACCTGCGTTCGACCGCTTTTTGTGCGATAGACGCCGCTAATTTTATTCTCTATTTTCAAGATAATTTTTGCGTATTAAACAACTTTTTCAAGCACATATGCTGTGAAGAAAAATTTAAGTAAGCCCATGGTCTAAATTTTAAAAAAACAAAGATTTGGAGATATGATTTTTTAAAGTTTTTGTCCTTCACGTGACAATGTTCGGAAGGAATGTGTCCGCAGCACAAGTCATTGCATGGCAGCTAGGAACGTGGTGCAGTGGCTAGCGCTGTTGCCTGCGAAGCCTATGATGAAGGTTCGAATCTTTTTGCGGCTATCGGTTTTTGCCATTAATTTTGACGGATCATGATGAACGATGGCCATTTTCTTCCAAAAATAACTTTTTTTCAACAAAAAAATTTTTTTCTTCAAATTTATTTGCAAAAAAACGTTTTTAGACTACGAATTTTTTGGAGAAAACCATTTTCAGTGAAATAAAAAAAGGAAGACTTGAAGAAAAATGTTTTTCAATAAAGCTCGTTTACCAGGTATTCATATCTTGTTTGGACTTTTCCATAGAAAAATGACGATAGTTGCCTTTGGACATAGTGAAATGCTACCAAACTCTTATTTATTTCAAACAGGGCGTGCGAAGATCTTTGATGATAGTTTAGCGCTTCTTTCAAAGGGTATCAGCTGTTCTTCAAAAAAAGTCTCTGATGATGTGATGGTCGACCAGAACATCAAGAAATTATTCAAAAAAAAATTTTGTTGAAAAAGTTATTTTTGGAAGAGAATGGCCATCGAACGGTTTTGGAACGGTTTTATTCGTGAAATTTCGACACGTTCATCATGATCCGTCAAAAAAATTAATGGCAAAAATCGATAGCCGCAAAAAGATTCGAACCTTCATCATAGGCTACTGCGCTAGCCACTACACCACGCTCCTGGCTGCCATGCAATGACTTGTGCTGCGGACATAGTCTTTCCGAACAATGTCACGTGGTTAAGGAGGAAAACTTTAAAAATTCATATCTTCAAAACGAAAAGTTTGCGCAGATAGCGACTATGCAGGATCGATTCCCAGTCCATCAAAGATTGTTTGAGCAAATTTATAGAGAATTCCAAACCCTACGCAAAAATGACCTTCCATGTAAGTACCTCTCAAACGCATCAAACACGGTAATATTACACAAAAGAAAGTGGAACGATACGAAAATTTGAAAAAATACGCGAGAAAAAGAGAAAAAAAACTATTATTAAATTGAATGAAATTCTGAGAGGTTGACACGCGCCGCACCGCGTTGCATTAGAAGGAACTCGCGTTTTCGCCCCATTGTGACGCCCATTTTTTCGCCAGCGCTCGCCCGTTTTGAAGCACTGTGCAATAATCAAAACGGAGTATGATAATAAAATCAATGAACACCGAAAAAAACGAAAAAAAACTACACACTGCACCAAAAAGACGCGATCATTTTCTTGGTAAATGAGAGCCTTTTCTAAGGCGAATTTTCGCTTTACCATTTACCGCTTATTGCATACGAAAATGACATTCGCCGGCGAATGCGTTTTTCCTCGGCGAAAGTTTATCGCATACGGCCTCAGGACCCATTTTTTTCGATGATGGCTCAAGCCAGCCGTGAACTAGCTATATCCACAGCGTTCTAAAGCGGGGTTCCCGCCCCTTTTCTGAAAAGCATGCGGACGTTGCATGAGTATGCGTGGCTAACAATAGTCTTTTTCGCGTCGTAATTAAGAGTCCGGATTTTTTGATTATTTGAAGGCTAGCATTTTTTTTTTCCTGACATTTATAGTTTCCAAGTGTTGCTAGTCATTTCCTATAACTCTCTTAAAATTTCGCAGTTTATTTTTCTTGTGGTTTGATTGGTTCAAAGGACTACATAATTGTTCTGTTCACGAAAGTCGAAATTTTTTTAACTCAGGTTTGATTTTTGTATTCTTTTTTTCCTGTTTAAGTAATTGAAAACTGATAATGTGATCGATTCCTGGAGCTGAAATTTCGATTTTCGGTTTTTGCCTCTTAGGTACAGACCAATTACACCTTTTTTTGAATTTTTCGTCAAGTCGAAATTTTTCTCTTTTGCGCGGACACTGACAGCTTTTTTTCTCTTTGTTATTAGTTGGAAACTGATATTTTGATCGATTCTTGGAGTTGGAATTTCGATTTTCGGTTTTGTCTCTTGGATACGGTATTTTCTTTTATAAACAACGTTTCGGTACATTAACGAGAAGCTGAAAGCCGGTTAAGGGCGAGAAAAATTATATGGAAACGGTCAAAAATGAGCAGTTCGAAAGAAAGGTGCTATCCGGAGAATCAATTGAATTACGAGTCGGAAATAATAAGTTTGGGTTCGGAAAAGTATACACCTGATTCGAAAAAGTACGATTCGGAAAAGTATCGGCCAAAAAAACTGAACTCTTAAATTTCACATTTGAACAAAAAAATTGTTCAAAAAAAGGTAAAAAAATTTACTTTTTCACTTTGAAAATTTTTGGCCATTAAGGCGAAAAAGTTATTTACTAGTCTGAATATGATGAAAAAAAAGGCCATTCATTTTTCAGTCTCTATTTGAAACGTCACAAAATGAAAAGAATGAAAGTGTTCAATTTTGATTTATATTTTAAAAACGACATTCGTTTGAGATGTCAAAAAGAAAATTTTTCGTTTTTGAAAAATGTCATTCTTTTCAATTGGTCCTTTTGAGAGCTCTAATACATAGCTGTTCGATAAATTATACTTACACAGTTTTGAACGCTTCGCAGACAGTCTATCCATCATTATCGAGTTGACTGAAAAAGCTCTGAATGAAAAAAAAAACGATGCGAATTTATGAACTAACGCATAGCCTTATCTCTGCCAGATTGGATGTAAATCATCAAATTGAAAATTTGTGTGGCATAGGACACTGAAAAAATTACACATGAGAGTATCAGAGGAACATTTAAGCATCACGCATCACTGGTGGCGGACATTGACGAACTCCCAAACATCTCGCTCTTTCCTCGGCGCGACCTCGCCTCAAACACCAGTGGGGAATTTCCGGGGAAGGGCAATTTCCCGGGAGTCTTCCAGGCAACTACCCACAAACAATCGCTGCACGCTGTGGGGAATTACCGGCAAATTTAGCTCGTCGTCGCTGTTTTCAAATTTTTTGGGATTTGAAGTTCCAGTTTTATTCATTATATTGTTTATTATGTATTTTTTTATCGTTTTAATGTTATTTCATCTTTTTTTCGCCTGATGAAAATATGTTTCAAAAAAATTTCAAAATTGTAAAATAATGTGAATTAATTATGTTCATTAATGCCGTGTACGAAGTAGTTTCCGCGAAAACCAAAATTATCCTTGATTCTAAAAAATTCAGTTATCTATTCCGCTCTCCTGACGGGTATTTTGAGTTTCGCAGAATCACTGAACACCGCAAAAACCTTTAAAAAAATTACTTGTTGAAGGTATCGTTCAGCACTCGGCCAATGTCTGGATACCACGCAACTTTGAAAAACTATTTTAAAAGGGTGATTTGAAGGAAGGTTGGTCAACTAAAACGTTTCATAATATCTTTTTGATTCTATTTCAGATCTAATGAACGAGCTCAAACTCGGAAAGCGGTCTGTGTTAGAGTTTTTCGGTCAGTTATAGTCTGTTCAGATTTTAAATGTCAAGTCGTCGCTCAAGCTCCGCCCATAATGGTGCGATAAACCAATCAGAGAGCGAGCCATCCACAGAGTGTTTTTGAATGACGTCATTGCACTTGACATTAAAAATCTGAACAGACTATAAAGCGGACTGGAAAAAGTCACTTCATTTTTCGTTATTCGAAACATTTCTAAAGTTTTCAGATTTGAAAAAAGTTCGCGAGTCACAAAGTCCAACGTCACTTCAGATAACGCTGTGCTCCTCGGAAGACTCGGTAAAGTTCAATAGTGAAACTGTACAAAATCAATAAATTGTTTCAGAGAAATCAGGCAGACCTTCTAAAACCTCATGCAGCTCGAGGAGAACAAAAAGATGCTCGACCGAACAATAAAATAAAATTTACTTCTAAAGTTTTTTTATAGTCCACTTGTGAAATCAGAATAGTAAAATATTTACTCATTTTTTTCCTTATTCAATTTATCTATGTGATTTTTATTTATTTTTTTGATATGTAATTCATTCATTGTTGTTGCTAAGTTGTTCTTAATCTGATTCTTCTTTTTCTTTTTCTGATGTTTTCCTCCTACAGTTAAAATTCAGATTTTTCCATCATAATCTCATTTCATAAAATCATTTCTTGCTATTGTAAAATCAATAAATAGTTTTTCAAAACAATGAGCATAGAAAAAAAGAAGAAAAAAACATTCAAAGGAAAAACTTCAATGCGAGCAGAGGCGATTCCCCGCAACCCGTTTTTTCGCCTCTGGGTAGCTACCGGGAAGGACTGTGAGGAGCTACCGGAACGCAGCGCGGCAATTGCCCTCAGAGTTACCCGGAAATTCCCCACTGGTGTTTGAGCGCATTTCAGAATTTTTCCAGCTGCGTGAGTAAAGCGAGAAAAATGCGCAACTCGTGCGAAGACAGAGCGAGATGTTTGCGAGATCGTCAATTTACCGCCACCAACTTAGCATTTCTCTCGCGCCAGACTCGGCAGTTATCGTTAGTGTAATTTGAGAATAGTTAATGTTATTCTTTTATAAATTTCGGAAGAAAAGTTGCTTGAAAATCTTAATTCGATAGTTAGATTTTGCAACAAGAAAACAAAATTTTTCAGGTTTATTGTCATTTTTTTTTTCTTTGGAAAACTAAGACTTTACAGGTCATGATCTTTAAAAAAACATCTATCCATTTCACCTTTCTCCCGAAGGATTGAGTGTAAAGAGAAAACTAAGTCGAAATATGATGGTTACAATTTTTTTTAAAATGATCCTACAGTGATTGGCGATTTCGGCGTCCTCGTTTTTCCTGAAGAAAAACAATTTGAGAGCGGCAAACGTCGAGATGGCCAGTAGGATCAAAAGCACAACGATAATTATTATCGCTGTGATGAGCATCCCTTCTGCAAATAACTATGTTAGAAGCCCAAAAAACTATTATAAATACTGCTGCAATAGCTAGGGCAGTCTTTCCGATCGGCGTTGGCTTGAGCTCGCGCTGAGGCGGCGGCTGACGAATTCTGCCCGCATCGAGAGTCTGCCACAATGCCGATCGTGGTGTTGAAAGTCGTCGTAGTCGTGATGACCGGTTCTGATGTTAGTTCTGTTGTTGGTTCTGTTGTTGGCACTGTTGTTGGTGCTGCTGTTGTGGTACAAATATCGAGAGTCTGAATAGATAAGACATAAAATTTGGTTTTATTTTACGTTATTTGAAGTATATGATTGTAAGTTCAATGGAAAGATTCATGGAAGTTCAACTAGTGTCCAACTAAAAAAGGCGTTCGGGATGGAGAACTTTCAAAGCAAGTCATTTCGGGAAAAAAAGTCAACCGCAAAGCAACCACGACACTTCAAAACATTATCCTTGCGGCAAAAGCTTTTTTCAGTTCGTTCAAAACTCGTTCAAAAAGTTATTTTGATTTCAAGTTGGAAATTGCGGAAAAAATAATCACCTTATTTGCCACTTTTTCCAGCAGGTTTCTCACTTCTTTTGAGACATTTCCTTCGAAACGGAGAAGATCCCGATTTTCGCAATATACATAGGGATTATCCACTTCTATTCTTTCCAAATTGTTGAAACAAAAACCATCAAACAATCTGGCATTTTTTAGGTGAACAGCCGGGCCTGCAAAGCTACCAATAAAACGTGGAATTGCTATAGTTCGTTCGGCAGGAAGAAATACGGGACAAGCTGGCGCGGAATAGGCTATATAGTCAATCATCCCCGACTTGAAAGGCAAGTGTGACGCGTTGCGAAGCGGCATTTGGAGGGAAACTCGGGGTCTGATTGGTTTATTGCGCTTTACGGGCGGAGCTTCAGCGACCACTTGACATTCGAAATCTGAACAGACTATACTCTCATCAGAATTCTCAAAAAAAATTATGGCAATAAAAACTAGCGACAAAAGGGTTCGAACCTTCATCATGGGCTCCGCAGGTTAACACTCTAGCCACTGCACCACGCTTCTAGCTGCCATGAATTAGTTTATGTGGCGGCCAGATTTCTTCCAAACGGCGTGACATGATTAATGATAAAAACTTTGAAAAATCATATCTCCAAAAACAAATTTTTGTGCAGATATAGCTGATTCACGGCTGGCTTGAGCCATCGAGAAAAGGGTCCTGCCACGAAAAGAGACGAGACAGTGCCCTGGTTAGGGAAGAGTGCAGACAGGCCACGCCTTTTTGCGTCCCAAGCTAGCCGTGAATCGTCTATAGCGACTATGGGGGATTGATTACTAGTCCATCAAAGTTTGTTTGAGCAAATTTATAAAAAAAATTCTGAATCCTTTGCTAAAATGACCTCCCATGTAAGACGGAGAATATGGCTTCCACAGGGGTGCTTTTGGTAGCCACTTTAGTGTCCTCATCAAGTAGTCCTTAAGGAACCTGGTCACTAGAGTTTTTTTCTCAAAGAACCTTTTTTTCTTCCTTTCCGACATTTTTGTCAATGAATGTCAATTGTAACTGATTATGATTCCGAAAAAATTTGGTTGAACGCATAAAAGAATAAAAATCATAGACTAATTGTAAAATGTAATTTTTTCCTGATTGTGTTTGACGTCGAAATCCCCTCCACAAAAAGCCGCGTCGCACACGCAACACTTCACTTTTTCCAATTACCCATCTCGCCTTTCAAGACGAGAAGACTTAATTATATTTCGAACTTTGTTATAAAATAATGTATAAAAAAAGTCTGAAATATTGGTTTTGAGTCTGTTCAGATTTTTGAATGTCAAGTCCTCTCTCAAGCTCCGCCCCCTGATGGGGCCATAAACCAATCAGAAAGCGAGCCATCCTCAGAGCGTTTTCGAATGACAAATTCTACTTGACATTCGAAATCTGAACAGACTATAGAGAATTTTAAGAAAACAGAAAGTAAAAAATCTATTGGTAAACTCGGTCAGCACGGAAAAGATTCTGTTCAGTTTTTTCAAAACAAGAAAGTGCTTTCAAAAGATTTTTTTCGTTTCTCTTTTGAATTTTTTCTCACATCCTTAAACAAACAGACGCAAAACGGTTCCAGGGGATTCAAAACGGCTGAGGCTATGAAGGAGGAGCTCAGAAGCTTTTTGACATTATTCTAGGAGCTTTTCGGGGAACCTTTTTAGCTCCCTCTCAGGATACTTTCAGGACCTTCTTTTCTTTTTGTCCAAATATAAACTTCGAAGGTTTTGAAACCCTTTGAAATATTTTTCCGAAATTGATTTTTTTTTTATTTCTCTCCTCCGTCTAAAGATCAAACTGAACTTCTAAGGTTTCGAACTGATCTTTGAAACGAAAATTTATTATTGAATTAAAGTCGTACCTATTCCTTTGTGAACAATCGCTTTCAGAAAGGAAGTTTGTAGTGGTACACCTGCGTTGTCGATTATAATGATAGCGCCGGTTTTTGTGGCTCTTGACAAAAAATTCGAAACTATTGTAGATGTCGTAGACGGTTGTTCGACGTGAACAGAGCCTTCCGTGCATTTGACTGTAGAACCATCGCATCCAGGGGGAACAGCATCCCCAGATGGATAAGACCACATCGAGCCGGGGCAGCATACATCTAAAAACATCAATTAAGGTATTCATCGGCGAACCGTGCCATCAAAAAAACTTGTAATTTTCATTCAAATTACTTTAATTTATTGAAAAAAACTCACCTTGAGCGGAAGCGGTTGACAACGCGCAAAGAAGGATCCCGCATATGACGAAAAGCTGTCTTTTCAGACGAGCTTTGTTCCACACTGAAAAGTTGGATTTCGAGACATCAACACAGGAAAAAAACACCATGTCATCCAAGGCCGGAAAACTGAGAAAAATATTAATTCTCACAATTCATGTCATTATTTGTTTTTCAAACTCTTCGATTCAGGGTTCAAATCAAGTGAGGACCAATAAATATTTCGAATTTACGTTCATAGAACGGATCGACCAAAATTTTTCAAAAAGAGCTCTAAAAAACCAAATTTTAAAATTAATTCTGCGTTCAAAATTACGTTGAGGAATTTAGGGAAGCGCGGAAAATGAATACAGTCTGTTCAGATTTTGAATGTCAAACAGCTAACTCTGCCCCTGCTGATACGGTACATTTTCGCGTAAATGTTTTATCGTTGACCTTTTTTGATTTAGAAGATAAAAAAAGAAGTCAAAAATGCAGCCTCATTGAAGGGCCATGGTCATCTGTACATAAAACATTGACGCGAAAGATATTGCAGCCTTTGACGTGGAGCTAGCTGTTTGACGTTCAAAATCTGAACAGATTATACGTTAAAAAATTCGCGAATATTTAACATTTAACCATATTTGAGCCCTCAGACACTGAGCATTCACGGAGTCATTGATGGTACAGCCCATCCCGAACCAGCTTTTCGACTTTTGTTCACCGCCAAGCAGCTTTGCCCAACCTACAGAACCCTTCCGGGAAGCTTCCCTTCGGGGCGCGCAGCCTTCCTCTATGCATGCTCCTTACATTTCCCGTTATATCCTATATTCTGTTCCGATTTCGAACTCCAAGTCATCGCTCAAGCTCCGCCCCTGATGGCGTGATTAACGAATCAGAGAGCGAGCTAGCCACAGAAACTTTCCCAATGACGTCATCGTGCTTGACAATCAAAGTCTGAATAGACTATACTATATCTAGAGTCTATACTTATCACTAAAAAAATAAATAAAATAATAATTAATAAACATGGACGATTACAGTTACATATTGAAAAAAAAATAAACTTATAAAAAATATGGGGGTTATAGCTGATTAACGGCCAGCTTGGGACGCTAAGGGGCGTGTCCTATCTGCGCTCTCCACGAGCCAGGCGCTATATCGTGCATTGTCGTGTCAGGACCCTTTTTCGATGGCTCAAGGCAGCCGTGAATCAGCTACAGCGTCATCTATTCAGAAAATATTTTTCCCCAGCCGTTTTCACGAACTTATTCTAGATTGGAGAATGGCAAATCGTTTGAAAATGAATCCAATTAAAGGCGCACGCACAGAAGTAGGTCGCGCGCGTCGAAGGGAATGTTCCCGGAGGGGTTCTGTGGCTCAAAGAATGAAAATCTTGACAAGATGGCGAGGAATAAGCGAAAAAAAAAAAATGGATGTTCGCAAAGTTACCCATTGCTACCAGTTGGCGAAGATCCACGACACTAAATGCCAGTTCCGCGACTGAGAACTTCACTTTAATTTCATTAATTCCACGTTTTTTTTTTTCAGGGTCATGGCAAAGTTTTAGAGTCGTGAATCTTAAAATGACCAATTTGAGGAAAGCCAGAAAGGTCCCTTTAGGGGTTACACAGTGTTCCCAAACGAGCGGCAGCTGTGGTCAGTAGGCGTGGCTGACTGCAACAGCGGCATGGTTTATTGCAATAGGGGCGCGGGAATGAGAGTCAAGTGTTGTGGATTTAGTGGTTGGAAAAAGACCATTAAATAATGTTTTTCCTAGGTTCTCGCAAGTTTTCAAAGATACTGCCTCGAAAAAAAAATTTTGAGAAAAATCTCACAGCGTTTCTCTTAAGAAAGTCCATTTGAAAATTCTAAAACAAAAAAACAAACGAAATATCTTATGCGAAATAAGTTGTCATCAAAAATGTCCTTTTAATGCAAGTTTCTGTGACGAGAACAATCGAAAAATCACTTCAAATCTCTGGGAAACGCGATAAACACGTTTTTAAGAACACATACAGCGTGAAAAAATACGAAAGAATAGTAAAATATGCAAGAAAAAGAGAAAAAACCGTATTAAAAGTGAATGAAATTTTGTGGGGGTGACACGCGCCGCACCGCGTTGCGTTAGAAAAAACTCGCGTTTTCGCCCCATTGCGACGACCTTTTTTTTTGCTTGCCGCCGTCTCTTTTGGAACACTGTGGGTTAGGCAATAAGAACCGTCTCTGGTCTCTGATTTTCATGCTTCTTCTTTCAAGCCTTTACTGCTCACTTTTTCAAGTTACTCTTCAAAATTTTCTTTTAGTCGAAATTTCGTGACCATCTCGATCAAAAAGTAACTCTAGTACTTCTCAAACGCATCAAACACGGTTTCGTATGAAGTCTTCCAATTTTGATAAAATTATCTAAATTTCAAATAAGTATATTTCAGACCGCGAAAACCACCTTAGAAAAAAAATACCAAAGCTTCGAAGTGCAATAAAAATTTATTGATTTGAGAAATCAAACTTTGAAAAACATCAAAAAGATGCTTTCTCTCATTTTTTATAAAATGAATTGAGTCGATTCGAAGCCATACTGATCTCCTACGCCTTCTCCGGGTTATTTTCCGTCGATTTCTTCTCCTTCGAGTTCTTGTCTTTGTTCGGAACGGGCGGGTTTTTTTAGCTTCCGTTTCTTTCGGCCTTTGGTCAGGGTGCTGCCTGGGGCACGCTTCACTTATTTCAGCGTTATGGCGCTGCTCTTTTCCTGAAAAACAACTCATTTAGTTTGCGTCTCGAAACACATCAAAGTATGAAAACCAAAAAAAAAAAGAAAATATTTAGGCATCAATTTGGCTGTTCTTCTTTATTTTTGCACCTCGTCCAAATTAATTTTCCAACACTACGAAACGATCACATAGCTTATGGCTGTTTGCCCTTCTGCACGGCGTTCCTAATGGGGGTGAGGGAAGGTGAGCGAGGCGTCAAAGTTTCTGAATTTACAGAAAAATTTTAGTGCGCGCTACGGATAAAATTACGTCACGTGACGTCACAATTACACTGAATATTCAACGTTAATAACTTTTTTGTTCGATCGCCTTTGGCTGAAGTACTGTAGATTTCAAATTTCGCGCCAAAATTTTTTTGACGTCTTGCTACCCTCGCATGCTGAGCAGGTGTCTCAACGGGTGTACCCGTATTAAACCCGTGTTTCTGAGGTTATTTAGTCTCAGTTGGGCTAAAACGGCGGAACAACGGGTGTAAGAAAAATATGTAGCCCAGCTGTGCTATAGCGGGTCTCAGTTGGACTGAAAATTGCCAAAAGTTCTACCAGCTGGGCTTATAAGGGTTTAATACGGGGGCACCCGCTGAGACCCCGTGTAAGCACGGCTGGGTTACCCCGCTCAGCATGCGAGGCTGGCAATTGAAATGAACTCGTGCCAAGAACCGCGTCCCGCCCTCTGCTCCGCCTCCCTCGCCTTTGGAGTCGGGAAACATTGACTATAACCGGGGGATAAAAAAAAGTTCCTCAGTAAGTTAAAAATTTAGATTTCGCAACAAGAAAAACTCAATTTTTTAGGTTTTGTTATTTTTGCTTTCGGAACTTTAGACTATGCAGGTTATGATCTTCAGAAAAGGTATCTATTCATTTCACCATTCTTCGGGATGGATTGACTGTAAAGGGAAAAACTAAATATGAATTTGATGATTAAAAATTTTTTTAATGATCTTACTGTGATTGGCGATTTCGGCGTCCTCGTTTTTTCTTAAGAAAAACAATCTGAGGGCGGCAAACGTCGAGATGGCCAGTAGAATTAAAAGAACAACGGAAACTGTTATCGCTGTGATGAGCATCCCGGCTGCAAATAACTATGTTAGAAGCCCGAAAAACTATTATAAATACTGCTGCAATAGCTAGGGCAGTCTTTCCGATCGGCGTTGGCTTGAGCTAGCTCTGAGGCGGCGGCTGACGAATTCTGCCCGCATCGAGAGTCTGCCACAATGCCGGTCGTGGTGTTGAAAGTCGTCGTAGTCGTGATGACTGGTTCTGATGTTAGTTCTGTTGTTGGCACTGTTGTTGGCACTGTTGTTGGTGCTGCTGTCGTGGTACAAATATCGAGAGTCTGAATAGAAAAGACATCAAAATTTGGTTTTATTTTACGTTATTTGAAGTATATGATCGTAAGTTCAATGGAAAGATTCATGGAAGTTCAACTAGTGTCCAACCAAAAAAGGCGTTCGGGATGGAGAACTTTCAAGTCATTTCGGGAAAAAAATTATCCGCAAAGCAACCACGACACTTCAAAACATTATTCTTGCGGCAAAAGCTTTTTTCAGTTCGTTCAAAACTCGTTCAAAAAGTTATTTTAATTTCAAGTTAGAAATTGCGGAAAAAAAAAACCACCTTATTTGCCACTTTTTCCAGCAGGTCTCTCACTTCTTTTGAGACATTTCCTTCGAAACGCAGAAGGTCCCGATTTTCGCAATATACATAAGGATCATTCACTTCTATTCTTTCCAAATTGTTGAAACAAACACCATCAGACAATCTGGCATTTTTTAGGTGAACAGCCGGGCCTGCAAAACTACCAATAAAACGTGGAATTGCTATAGTTCGTTCCGCGAGAGATAGTCACGTTTTTAAAGCTTTCGGCAGGAAGAAAAACGTGACAAGCTGGCGCGGAATAGGCTATATAGTCAATCATCCCCGACTTGAAAGGCAAGTGTGAAGCGTTGCGACGCGCCCTTCCCCGGAAATTCCCCATTTGGAGTGAAACTCGGGGTCAAAGAATCTGGGAAAATTAATATGACTTTATTGACGTTTTAGTGGCTCCTACAGTAATCTGCCACAATTTCAGAAACTTAACATAATTTTGGTACATGAAAAAAAAAAGCGACTTTAGAAAGAAAAGGCTATCGAACTTATTTGGAAAGAAATTTTTCTCATAAAATTTTAATATTCTCATCAGAATTCTTGAAAAAAATTATGGCGAAAAAAGCTAGCGACAAAAGGGTTTGAACCTTCATCATGGGCTCCGCAGGTTAACACTCTAGCCACTGCACCACGCTTCTAGCTGCCACGAATTAGTTGGTGTGGCGGCCAGATTCCTTCCAAACGGCGTGACATGATTAAGGATAAAAACTTTGAAAAATCATATCTCCAAAAAAAATTTTTGTGCAGATAGCGACTGTAGGGGATCGATTCCTAGTCCATCAAAGTTTGTTTGAGCAAATTTATAAAAAATTCTAAACCCTACGCTAAAACGACCTTCCATGTGAGACGGAGAATATGGCTTCCATAGGGGTGCTTTTGGTGGCCAATTTAGTGTCCTCATCAAGTAGTCCTTGAGGAACCTCTTAAGTGGCCACTAGAGTTCAGAGAGCCTCATTTTTCTCTTCCTTTTCGACATTTTTGTCAATGAAATTCAATCGTAACTGATTATGATTTCGAAAAAACTTGGTTGAACGCATAAAAGAATAAAAATCATAGACTAATTGTAAAATGTAATTTTTTCCTGATTGTGTTTGACGTCGAAATCCCCTCCACAAAAAGCCGCGTCGCACACGCAACACTTCACTCTTTCCAATTACCCATCTCGCCTTTCAAGTCGAGAAGACTTAGTTATATTTCTAACTTTGTTATAAAATAATGTATGAAAAGTCTGAAATATTGGTTTTTTTTTGAGTCTGTTAAGATTTTGAATGTCAAGTCCTCTCTCAAGCTCCGCCCCCTAATGGCGCGATAAACCAATCAGAAAGCGAGCCATCCACAGAGCGTTTTCGAATGACACTTTCTACTTGACATTCGAAATCTGAACGGACTATAGAGACGTTTAAGATAAAAAGAAATTGAAAAAAATCTATTGGTAAACTCAGGGCAGCACGGAAAAGCTGCTGTTGTTTTTCTCAAAACAAGAAAGTACTTTAAAAAGATTTTTTTCATTTCTCTTTTGAATTTTTTCTCACATCCTTAAACAAAGAGACGCAAAACGGTTCCAGGGGATTCAAAACGGGTCCGCTGAGGCTATGAAGGAGGAGCTCAGAAGCTTTTTGACATTATTCTAGGAGCTTTTCGGGGAACCTTTTTAGCTCCCTCTCAGGATACTTTCAGGACCCCCTTTTCTTTATTTTCACATATAAACTTCGAAGGTTTCAAAACCCTTTGAAATATTTTTCCGAAATTGATTTTTTTTATTTCTCTCCTCCGTCTTAAGATCAAGCTGAATTTCTAAGGTTTCGAACTGATCTCTGAAACAAAAATTAATTACTGAATAAAAGTCGTACCTATTCCTTTGTGAACAATCTCTATCAGATTGGAAATTTGTAGTGGTACACCTGCGTTGTCGATTACAATGATAGCGCCGGTTTTTGTGGCTCTTGACAAAAAACCCCAAACTATTGCATATGTCGCAACAGGTTGTTCGATGTGAATAGAGCCTTCCGTGCATCTGACTTTAGAACCTTCGCACCCAGGGGGAACAGCATCCCCAGATGGATAAGCCCACATCGAACCCGAGCAGCATTTTTCTAGAAACATCAATTAAGGTATTCATCGGCCACCCAGCCATCAAAAACTTGTAATTTTCATTCAAACTACTTTAATTTTTTGAAAAAAAAACTCACCTTGGGCGGAAGCGGTTGACAACGTGCAAAAAAGGATCCCGCATATGACGACAAGCTGTCTTTTCAGACGAGCTTTGTTCCACACTGAAAAGGCTTGTCATCCAAGGCCGGGAAACTGAGAAAATATTAATTCTCACAGTTCATGTCATTTTTTTTTAACTCTTCGCATTAAGGTTCAAATCAAATGAGGACCAATAAATATTTCGAATTTACGTTCATAGAACGGATCGATCAAAATTTTTTCAAAAAGGTCTCTAAAAACAAAATTCCAAAGTTAATTCTACGTTTAAAATTACGTTGAGGAATTTAGTGAAGCGCGATGAATAAATACATTGAAAAATTCGCAAATACTTAGCAGCCCTAGAGAGATTCCTTGAACCAAACTCACCGCGCACCTCTCCAAAACCCATCTTTCCACTCTCCGAAGGCTATTTTGAATTTAGCAAAATCACTTTTAACACGAAGTCTGTTCAGAAATTGGATCTTAAGTACAATTACGTCAATCGAAAACGCTCTGTGGAAGACTCGCTATCTGAGTGGTTTAGAGCTTAAGGGACGACTATACATTTAACCATATTTGAGCCCTCAGACACTGAGCATTCACGGAGTCATTGGTGGTACAGCCCATCCCGAACCAGCTTTTCGACTTTTGTTCCCCCCTCCAAGCTACAGAACCCTTGCTGAAAGCTTCCCTTCGATGCGCGCGGCCTTCCTCTATGCATGCTCCTTACATTTCCCGTTATATCCTATAATCTCTTCCGATTTCGAACTCCAAGTCATCGCTCAAGCTCCGCCCCTGATGGCGTGATTAACGAATCAGAGAGCGAGCTAGCCACAGAAACTTTCCCAATGACGTCATCGTGCTTGACAATCAAAGTCTGAATAGACTATACTAAATCTAGATTTTATAATTATCACTGAAAAATAAATATAATAATAATTAATAAACATGGACGATTACAGTTACATATTGAAAAAATAAACTTATAAAAAAAATATGGGGGTTATAGGTAGGGACCGCAGACGAATTTTTCAAAAAAATTTTTTTCGAACGTCAATATTACTATGGTTGGATAGCTGCTCTAATTTACTATTCAAAAACAGTTTAGTTTTTCGAAAAAGGTTGAGAAAAAAAAAGTTATGGTCAATAGTGAAAAAAGTCGCGAAATTTAGTACTGAAAGTTTAGATTTTTACACTTTTTGGTCGTTCATTTTTGTTTTTCATATCGGATTTAAATTTTTTTAGTAGTTTAGTTTGGTTTTTCAAAGTCGTAATAAGTCATTAAAACAGTATAAAACCACAAGTTTGAAAAGAAAAGCTATTTTTTCTTGAAAAATAAAAAAAATTGGCCGCTGCGAGGATTGAACTCGCGATATCAAAACCGTATGCAATCGCACTTGCGCTGCTCCACGCACATCTCTCGGAGATGGAAGGCGTTCGCGCTATACAGCACTTCACCTCAAAGTACAGCATTTGCCGACTATCTTGTTTTAAAAAAAGTTATGATAGTTGAACAATTATTAGCGTGTGTTCGGAGCACCTAAAAATAATTTATTCATAGAGATTCAGTTCAAAATGCTTTCGTTTTTCGGTGTTTTTTTGTTATTTTTAAACGTTGGCTTCAAGTTAACAATAATTAAACTTTTTAGGCACCGCTAAAATTTTTTTATTTTTATTTTTTTAATTGATCGAAAATTGAGATACGCTGATATTTAAGAAATAAAAAAAGGCGCCAACGACATCTAACCATGTTAAAATAAATTTCGAAATTTTCACTGTCTTTTTTCTCAGAAAACAAAATTTTTCGGAATAAGTTTTTATATTAATAAAATTTTAGTTACAATTTAATCCACAAGTTAAAATAAAAAAATTTTTTTACTTACACGCTTTCGAAACCGAGTACAACATTTTTCAACTTTGCGCGGCCTCACGAAGATTAGGCACCGTAAAAAAATTTTTAATTTTTTTCTTAAAAAAATTTGTTTTTTTCAGTTTAGAATCGAATTCGAAAATAAAAAAAGGCGCCAACGACATGGAACTAGGTTAAAAACCCGAAGAAAAAAAGTAGTTTTGGTTTTTCGTACGACACTCCGCTAAAACGCTACGAAAATCGGGTGAAAAGTATATCAGATTAAAGAGGAAGGTTTTCTCTATGTTTCCACCAAATTTCTATGTGTTTGATTCAGTATTGCGCTTTTACGAAAACATCAAACACGAAATCTAAAAAACCATCGCATTTCACCATCGCAAAAAGGGGCGTGCGGTCTCTAGTTATAGCTGATTAACGGCCAGCTTGGGACGCTAAGGGAGCGTGTCCTGTCTGCGTTCTCCACAAGCCAAGCGCTATTTCGTGCATTATCGTGTCAGGACCCTTTTTCGATGGCTCAAGGCAGCCGTGAATCAGCTACAGCGTCATATATTGAGAAAATATTTTCCCCCAGCCGTTTTCACGAACTTATTGTAGATTAGAGAATGGCAAATCGTTTGATAAGAAATCAAATTAAAGGGACATGCAAAGGGAACTGTTGCGCGCCTCGATGGGAGTGCTCCCGGAGGGGTTCTGTGGCTCGGAGGATGAAAAATCTTGACAAGCTGGCGTGGAATGAGCGAAAAAAGGATGTTCTCAAAGTTACCCATTGCTGCCAGTTGGCGAAGACCCACGACACTAAATGCCAGTTTCGCGACTGAGAACTTCACTTTAATTATATTTATTTCACGTTTGATGTTATCTCAGGGTCATGGCAAAGTTTATAGAGTCATGAATCCTAAAATGACCGGAAAGGCAGAAAGGTCCCTATAGGGGTTAGGTAAAAAAGAACAGTAAGATTAAAATTTTGGTGGTCCGTATAGGGTCTCTGAATTTCATGCTTCTTCTCATATAGTCTGTTCAGATTCTGAATGTCAAGCCGTCGCTCAAGCTCCGCCCCTAATGGTGCGATAAACCAATCAGAGAGCGAGCCATCCACAGAGTGTTTTTCAATGACGTCATTGCACTTGACATTGAAAATCTGAACAGACTATATACTTCATAAAAACTGAAAAGGTAAAGTGGTCCCTTGAGTGAAACCTTCAAGACATACGTGTGCTGGGGTGGCGAAAAAATGATGAAGCTTTAAAAAAAGCAAAAAAAAGAAGCAAGTAAAGACTTGGATCTTTTTTAAAGCCTTTTTTAGAATGCAGTTCACTTTCCAGCACGCCGGACGGCCGCTCCTCGCAAGTCAATAATTCGCGTTCTTCTTTAAAAAAAACAGCAATCGAACATGTTTTATTTTAGCCGTGACAATATTTATAGTCTGTTCAGATTTTGAATGTCAAGCAGCTAACTCCGCCCCTGCTGAGACGGTACCTTTTCGCGTCGATGTTTCATCGCGCGGGACTAATTTTGATCTTTTTCGATCTAAAAGATAGAAAAAGAGGTCAAAAAAGCAGCCTTATTAAAGGGCCATTGACATATGTAGATAAAACATTGACGCGAAAGATATTGTAGCCTTGAGGGTGGAGTTAGCTGCTTGACATTCAAAATCTGAACAGACTATATAAAATTAGAAAATTATTTAAAAATCAAATTACTCGGGGAAGAGTTAGATGTGAGATTTCTCGTTGACGATCTCAATCTGAAACAGATGAAATCTTTAATTTTCCGAACGCTGTTTTCAAAATATTTGAGGCAACTTCAAAATTGATGTTCCACAAAATTTTCAAAATGAGTATGTGAATCACGCAAAATCGGGCAAAGCCGTTAGAATGTTGGGTCACACAACGATATAACGGGATATGGAACTTATTCGCGCGAATTTGAAATTTTCGTTTTTTTTTTTTTGAAAAAGGTCTGAGAAAAATCCAATCCGCGCGTAAAAAGTCGCTATCTCGTTGTAGGACTCGACTTTTTTCTTCACGGTTCCCGAAATTCAAAATTCGCGTATTCCGCTAAATAAATTTAAGCGAAAACACATCAACTTTGAAACCTCCGAAATAACTTTGATAAAAGGCATAAGCTTGAATATAGTCTGTTCAGATTTTTAATGTCAAGTGCAATGACGTCATTCAAAAACACTCTGTGGATGGCTCGCTCTCTGATTGGTTTATCGCACCATTATGGGCGGAGCTTGAGCGACGACTTGACATTTAAAATCTGAACAGACTATATTAACAAAATTAGATTTTTCACCTCAGATTTCACTGAAGGCGTAATTCCGAGAGCAGTGGCCAAGAAGAAATACGTCGCCTCCGTACTTTCACTAATCGATTTACTCGTTCGGAAACCGTGGCCTTCGCCTGCAATCATGTTTTATTTCTTTATTTGAATTATGCTGTGTTTCTAGCTGATTTCCGCGAAATTGCAAAATTTACTTCAAAAATTACGGACTTTATTGGGTATTTCGTGGTTTCTTTGCTGCCTGAAATGTTAATATAGCGAATGCGCACAGTTTTCTTTTTTGAGATATGATTTTTCCAAGTTACGAAGTGTAAATTTTAAGCTTAACTTTTTCGACCTTCAAAATTAACTATCTTAAGGACTAGAAGCTGGCGTGGATTGCAACTTCGATGGATTTTCACAGAAGATTCGAGAAGGTAGCATAATTTGTCCATCGTGAGACCTCCGGCATACCTTTTAGCTATATCTGAGCCATCTCGGAGGTACTTTAGAGTCTCCCTCAAGCCCATCTCATTTTGCATTTTGCTCAAAACCCTCAGAGGTATCCTCGAGGTACCATCGTGAGACTTTAGAGCCTGCGATATACCTCAGAAGGTCTCGCGATACTATTTCTCGGTTCTCCTATGTTCATATAAACCTTCACAGATTGTTCGAGCAAATTTGTAGAAAATTCCAAGTTTCAAAGTAAAATTACCTCGTTGTGTGGTCTAGTCCTCTGTTAAACGCGAACTTCAAAAATCAATATTTCAAATACTAAAAGTTTAGAAGTTCGCGCAGTTAGCAACTATGAGTGATCTTCATATAAACCTTCAAACATTTTTTGAGCGAATTTGTTAAAAAAGTCCACGACTTTCCGCGTAAGGATTTCTTCATTCGCCTTTTCTCTAATTTCTCAATGAGGGGAATGGAAAAGAAGAATTACCCTCAAAAAGCATCAAGGCGGTCATGACGCCTCTGGCCCTCAGTTTTTCGTATAAAGAGATACTTTGCGCCATCGGAACTACAGTATCCTTCGTTCCGTGCAAAAACGCGATCGGCGTGTTGATCTTATTGATGTGATTGTTGGGGTTCCGTTCCTGAATCATTCTATCGTCGCTTTGGAAAAGGAAAAAAGCTTGAAAGAAAATTGAATTAACAGGGAAACCTTTTGGTGGCAACTTTAGGGTTTTTGAAGTTTTAGTGGCCACTATAGTAGTCGAAATAGTGGCCATTTGAATGGCTAAAGTTTAGCAGCCTTTTTGGAAGTCCAAATGGTAGTACTAGGCCACTGTAAACTTCGGTGGCCGTTAATACGCAATTAGTGGTTTTTTTTTTAGAAATATGGCCACTTAGTGTCCTCTCCAAGAAGTCCTTGAAAATTGTTTTTCATAGTTGCGAAGTTTGAGAAAATTTCAAATATTTTCAACTTCAAAATTCAAAAAACTCTGGTGGCCACTTAAGAGGCTCCTCGAGGTTCCTGGAGAGGACACTAGAGTGGTCACTGAAATGGTATCTCTAAAGAATCCACTGTTTTGCCACTATAATAGTTTTTAATCTTCTAGTGATACCACTTAGACTTCTTAAGTGGCCACTAATTCGACAAATATGGTAAAAACTAGAACTTCAAAACCTTACAGAGGCCACTAAAAATTTTCCCAGTTAAGATTTTGAATGTTGAGTACGACAACGTCGATAGCGCTCTGTGGATGGCTCACTCTCTGATTGGTTTATCGGGCCATTAGGGGCGGAGCTTGAGCGACAACTTGACTTTCAAAATCTTGACACACTATATAGACATGTTTTCAAGTGGAAAAAGCTGATTTTCGCATTTCAAAACCCTCCAAAACGAAAAAAAAACCTCATAGACACTGGCGACTTCTGGATATTTGCCGACAAGCGATTGGTTATAGCACGTTTCGAACTTGTGGGTATCCTCATCGAGGGCCACCAAATCGGCCACGCCGTACACGGAAACGGCCGCTTTGAAGATATCACTGTGGATCAGGCAACTCAGCAGTAAAAATCTTAAAATCATTTGATAAATCCACAATTTATCGGATTCGAAGCCCTCCAGAAGAGCTTCCAGTGATGGTTATCTTCTCAGAATCCACCAATCCTTGTTCGACCAAAAACTTGGCGCCATTGATCATGTCATTCCGATCCACGACGCCGCATTGTTTCCTCAGCCTTCAATCAATCAATATTTATATTTTGGTTTTAGTTACGTAATCAGGACAATTTTTTTTAGCAAAGAATTAAAATTATTAAAAAAATCTAGTCAATAAATAATAAAACAGAGATTTCTTTTTTGAAACTTGACCTGGGAAAAATGAAGGATGCTCAGTGGCCACTTTAGGGTTTTTCTTTTTAGTGGGTAGTGTAGTAGTAGAATCAGTGGCTAATATTTAATGGTCTCTTTGGAAGTCTAAGTGATACTACTAGACCACTAAAAACTCCTATAGTGGCCGCTAAAACGTAAAAAAGTGGCTACTACAGAGGTGGTTTTAGTGACCACTTTAGTGCCCTCTTCAAGCGGTCCGAAGAAACCTTTTAAGTGGCCACTTAAGTTTTTCGCGGTAAGGTTTTCTAAACAATCTTTTCTACGATACTTAAAAGAGAAAACTTCGTTTTTGACCCTTTTTTTGATTTCTAGGATAAACCGAGTCAAAAAAAGAAATAGTTCTCACATTCTCCGAAAATCGCTTCCAAAGCCAGTGGATCCTCGATAATTGACATCGAAAACGGCAAAACCTCGGCTGGTATAAAATTGTTTTTTCAGGTCGAAAATGCCATTAGTAGCGGCTGTTGGACCCCCATGGCCTAATAAAATGACTGGGGGGAGTTCGCCGGGAGGGCCAACAAAATCGGAACTCTGGAAAAATCGATAAAATTTTCGAAAAATGGACATTTTCAAACCGCCGGCGGGTAGAAGAAGCCGCTGACAAGTACGTCATCAGACTCAAAAAATAGTTCTTGTGGGATCGAAATTGAGCCCAACGCTTCGATATCGGCTCTCGGTTTCGACTCGCGGATGATTGTCACACAAGGTTCCTGAAATTGAAAAAAAAATGGTTTCTTTCAAAAAGTTTTAACACGAAAAAACGAATTTAAAGCTCAATTTCGGAGTTTGAAGATTCTAAAAAGCTCAGTGAACTAGTTTTTCTGCATGAGGAAAGCCTCATAAAGGCCTCAAAAGGAAAAGTCTACAACTTCTTTTCACAAATCTGAAAAAATGCCAAAAATTCTTTAGAAACTCCTTTTTCTTCATTAAAAGGTCATTTACAGAGGAAAAAGCGTGGAAAAAAAAGCCATTGAGACCGTTTTTCTAAAAGTTTCTTTTGAGACTTTTTGGATTTTGCTAGTGTAAAGTGGTCCCTAGAGAGCCCTAAGGTTTCCACTATAGGGGTCCCTTTGGAGTTTCTAAGATGTTTCTCGTTCCGATTCGTCTCGGATTCTTTTTGGAAAACTTTTCTCGTCTGGGTATAGTTGATTCACGGCTGGCTTGAGCCATCGAAAAAAGGGTCCTGACACGAGATAGCACCTGGATCGTGTAGAGTGCAGAGAGACCACGCCCCTTAGCGTCCCAAGCTAGCCGTAAATCAGCTATATCAGAAAACCTCTTTCCGTGAAACCATGCTACTAAATTGAAAAAAAAACCGCATGAAAGAAATGAGAATTCACTCGCACATTTTCCTCTACTTTTGAAGCAAATGGTACCAGAATTGTTTTTCCTCGATGTGAAAAAAATCATACATCGGCGAATCCCTTTTCGAGGTCGACGCGGATCAAAGTCGAGGCTCTGGCGGGACCAGAAGCGATCGCAAAAGCGACATTGGCCGAGTTGGACACGGTGACGTTCAAGAAAAGAGTAAAGTCGGGAATCGGCAGCCGTTTGAAGGTCTGTTCTTTGACGACGTAGAGCCCGTCGCCGTTGTAAAACGCCATGAACTCGGAATTGAAGGAAATTCGTCGGGCTCCAAGTTCCCAAAGCGGGAATCCGAGCTCTTTTTTCATTGGCAGCAAGTTTCTCTCATTGACTGAAAGGATACAAATCTAAGGGTTGAACTTTCAAATTGCTGAGCCGTTGTTCGCACGTAGAATGGCTCAAAGCGTGGCGGCTGCGAAGCGGTTGCTTCAAGCCATTCTGCGTGCGACCAAGTTTTTTTTTTCAAAATACAGCAAAAGAATTACAAGCAATACAATCTGTTCAAAATAACTCAAATTCAAATAAATAGTAGCGTCTGAAATTTGAACTCACAAGTTTTTGTATCGACCTCGTACAAGTTCCAGAAATTGCTGGAATCGTTCACAATGAACAAATTTTCGTCACCGGCCCACATGGGACTCATGTAGTTGATCTGAAGAAAAACATTTTGAAAATAATCAGTTGGTCGATGGGGCGCATTTGATGAGGAAAAAAAGCCGAAAATTGACTGACTTCTTTCCCAGTTCCGTCCTTGACAACGACTTCATCAGAAGCACCTCCTTCGTCGTTCAGTGAGGCCATGTGAATCGAAGTTTCGTCCCAGGGCTGGAATTTTTGGTTTTCCGAGTAAATAGGATTTTGAAGGATCAATCATTTTTATTACCATATTGGGATGATTCCACTGCATCCAGACAATTTTCTTTTCGTCTGGAGAAACTCTCGAGAACGCGTAAAAGTCCGCACCGGAAGCCTTGAAACTATAGTTTTATAGAACTTTTTCAGGTCCTACCACGACAGTTTGAGCCTTCGTTTGTCTATTAATGGAAATGATTCGATTTTCCGGGACTTTTTCCTCGGGGCTTTTAAAAAACTCATTGACGCAGTAAATATGAGTCGGGGTGACGTCGCAGTCGGCGTATCTGACAAAAAAAAAACTTATTTGATCGATATGAAAAAAATCCTTTATATATACATCGATAGAAGGCTACAGAGACGTCTAAACCTTTTGTTTTTGCACGTTATTTCGCTAACACTTAAAAGTGTATATATCTTATTGTGAGGTAAAAATATGTATACTAAAATAGGAATATTATCGATTGTTCTACCACACTATACAACACAAAAAAAGAAAAACCGATTTCTAAAAATGTCTGAAAACACGGCTTAAGTTACACTATTATGTAATTTTGGAAATAAAAAATTGGGGAGCCCTATAGGACACCCTAAAGCTTTAGGGGCGTAGGAGTCAGACCCTGAACCCCTATAGGGGCCCCTAAGATTTTTACCCCATATAGGGGGCTCTATTACGCCCCTATAGGGGTCCTTAAAACAACAAAACCCTATAGGGACCCCTCAGAAATTCCTCAGTAAGTTCATCAAAAAGAAAAAAACTCAATATAATCTTTTTTTCTAGGACCGCTAAAAAGGGAAAGGCTCTAAAAAGGCCGCAGAAAGGCACCAAAAAGGCCGCAGAAAGGCTGGAAAAAAAGGCTGCGAAAAGGCAGCAAAAAGGCAACCAAATGAGTCTTTTTTTATCGAGTCTTTCATGTTTTCTGAGGTTTTAAAGGCTCAAGAAATGGTGGGAAAAGAGAGAGGCAGCAAAAATGATGTGTAGCAGCCGATGAAATAGCGCAAAGAGGCAGCAAAAAAGAAAATTTTTTCCCCCTAAAAGGAACATTTCTATGAAGCCTTTTTCCAGCCTTTCCGACGTTGTACATGTTTAAAAGATCTCTGAAAACACGATTTTGAACTTTTTATCAAGAAAAAAACTCGATATCAAAATATTTTCTTTTCTTCTTTCAGACAAAAATATCCCGATCTGCTTATCGGGGAAATCATTGTTGAGAACTGTCTCAGGTGAAGCTCATAAAATCATTATTTCACCTCGAAGTCATCTTCCACGTGTCGGCAATCTTCTGGGGTGCTTCTGAAGGACTGTTTTGTTGGAAAATCCCGTCGTTCGTGCAGAAAAGTACAGATCCTTCGTAGAGTGCTCGCAGAGCGCCGCCGCCATATTCGTGAACTTCAAATCAACCTTTTTTCGCTTATAAAGTCCTTTTTCTACCGGAAGTCTGAACGGAATGTCCCTCGGCCCATCTCAAAGTCTCCTCGTCTTTTTTCTTCGAGAAAAGTTCGCGTTTTCCAGTCGTTACGCTCTGCTCAACCCAGTAGACCGTGTCTAGAAATTGGATTTCGAATCGAAACACGAGTTTTTTTGAAGCATTTTTTTATGACTTTTTTTCTAAGTTTTTCTCTGTCAAAAAAACACGACGTCTTTTTTTAATTTTTGATTTTTTTCATTTAAAAAACACGAGAACCCCAAAAATTGAGTCCTGAAGGGTAACCGATTAAAATCTTAATCACTCAAATCAAATCATATAATTCGAAATTATTCGAAAGGAAAGTAACCATCAACAGCCTGGATCTCGCAAATCGCCTTGCAGTTGCCCTTCGAGAAAAGATCCGGCGTGATTCGACTTTTCCAACTTCCAAAAGGGGCAACTGTAGCGTTTTCTCTCGTCGTCATCCTCAATGCTGCTCCAAAGTTTTTAAGGATTTTCGCCAAAATCTGAAAGAAAATACGAGTCACAGAATCATGAAAAAAGTTTAGAAGAATCTAAAAATAAAGTTTCTCAAAAAGTTTTTACAAAATAAGAAGATTATAGAGCTCAAACTGAAAGCTTCCCGTATTTTTTTGTAAAGCAGAATTGCAAAAAGCTGTTTATAGGATAACCTTTTTTTCGTGCTGTTCTTAGAAACTCTAGGGTCCCTATAGGGGCAACCCTAGAGAACCAAGCGCATAACATTTTTCTTCGAATGGAAAATAGATGAAATTATGCTTTTTTTCAAAAACTGTAAACCTTCTTATAATCTTTGAAATCGAAAAAAAGCTCAATCAGAATTTTACACACCAATCTGTAAAAAAATAATCAAGAAAAACATTTCAAAATGCGCTAAATAAAGATAAAAATCAAAAAAGTTCTTAAATTGACCTTCTTATCAAGATTCGTAGGAATGGAGAGATGTAAGGTTGATAAGTGTCTACCAATGCGATAAAAACAAAAAGTCGAGAGATAAAATTTCATAATTTTTATTCTTTCTCATGCAAATAAACGCAAGGAGAAACCCATAATGGCGTCAAAACAAGTTTAAATTAATGCAATCAACAACGGGGAATTTTTTTCCTAAACAATGCTAAAATGAACGAAAAAAATGGCAGATGGAATAGTCAACCTTTTTTTTGGACTTGAAGGGCGATATGGGCAGATTGGCGGGGATTTTCAGGTCAAATGAGGGGGAAAAATCTTTGGAAAAAGGGGAAGTTTTTAAACTTATAAACATTATAAATCTGAAAAAAATGAAAGACTATAAAAAACGAAGAAATAAACTTTGAAAAAGGCGTTTGACCTTTGAAATTTCAGCCAAAAAAACTTCAGAAATAGTTCAAAGAACCAGAAAAAAATGGAGAAGCTTAAAAAAGGCCTCTCAAAGGTCGCAAAAAGGTGCCTTTAACGAGCCTCATGATTTTTCCTAGAGAAAAAGGAAGGAACAGCAAAAACGATACATAAAAAAGGAGCCATTTTTCCCCTCGAAAGGAACATTTTTAGACCTCCGGAACATTACCAATCTGTCCATATCACATTTCAAGTCGGGAAAAGTTGACTACAACCAGGGAGACTTTTTATTCAAATTTGATGCCCTGAGCCAAGGGAAGTTGCTTGCTGAAGTTGATGGTGCAGGTCGAGCGACGCATGTACTGACGCCAGGAGTCGCTGCCAGACTCGCGGCCGCCGCCAGTCTCTTTTTCGCCTCCGAAGGCGCCGCCGATCTCGGCGCCCGACGTCGGAATGTTCACGTTGACGATGCCGCAGTCGCTTCCCTTTGGTCTGGAATTCGCTTATTTTTCGTAAAAGGTCTGAATTTTCGGTCAAGCTTTTTTAATTCGGTCAAGCTCTTTTAAGTTGAAGCTTTGAGTATCCTCTACAGCTGATTCAGTACTGGCTTGAACTAGCGAAAAAAAGATCCTGACAAGATAAAAAAGATAAAATGGTTACTTGAGAGCGCAGATGGCCAGGCCCCTTCTTTGGGTCCTAAGCAGTGGAAAAAATGGCAGTAAAATCTTTTTTACTGCTATTTTTGCAATCAGTGAGGTTAAAAAAATATATTATATGCTCAAAAACACAAAAAATTCTCAGAAAAGACGCACTTTACATCAAAATTCCTTCTTCAGTGATACTAAAAAAAATGTGGAGTTTTTCGATTTTTCAGTTAATTTTGGGCTTCTATAAATTATTTTTTTATCAAAATTTTTTTGGATTCTTTCACTTCTGTTACAACTTTTTTTGTATTTTTTTCTAATAATTTATTTTTCCTAAACGCTTCCTTCATCGATAAAAAAATAATTTTTAAATATTTTGACGTGGCTAAGAAAAACGCATCACAATGCCGTGTTTAATTTGATTCTGCGAAATGCAAAATTATCTCTGAATCTCCAAAATTTAGTGATATTTTCCTTCTCTAACGCGTGTTTTGCAATTCGCGGAATCAAATTGAACACGGCATAAAAAACAACAACGTGTTTCAAGTCCCTTTTCTGGTCTTTTCGTCAGTTTCCTATAAATGGAACGTTTTCATCACCTTGAGCAACTTTTCTCGTCATTTCCGCGAAAATGATGATAAGTGATAATTCAGAAAGCAAACATTCCCAGCTTATCAGGAAAACATGGGAAAATATCAGAATCTTCAAAAGAACACCGAGAATGAGTGGAATTTTTTCGAGGAAGTTATGAAGAAGGGTCAATTTCTGTTCAAATTTTGAAAAAAATTCTTTTCAAAAATGTTTTTTGTGACTTCTCAATGCTACTTTCGTCAATCTAGCCATCGAATTTTTTTTCTGTGATAATCATTTTAAGAACCTTAACAGTGATTTAGTTTTTTATGAAGATTCTCAATTAATATTTGAAAAAAAAACCAACCCCATCCATTTGAAAACGTTCTGCAGGTTCGAAGTGAACAGCGAGGAGCTGAGTCCTTGGGCGGACTGTAAGAAAATTATTTTTTAGTGAATAAAAAAATCAATAAAGACAAAAAAGACAGGGAAGGGTCAACTTGAATAAAAATCTGTGAAAAGTGAGTTCACCTACGATTTCCCCTATAGGGAGCACTTTGGCGTTGCTGAGCAAGTTCATGATAAAGAGTACGAAAAAATTCGTCGCCTTCAAAACACCTTCCTAGATCATTTATTATCATTTTGATTGGAGTTACTTTTTCAAAAAAAAAATCGATATAACTCTAAATGATGAGATGTGACCAAAACGGTTGATTTGAGAAAAATCTGAGGAAAGTAAGCTTAGAAGAGACTTTTGAACTTTTCACGACAATTCTTTTGTCCGTTTGAGGTGAAAAATCAAAAACCAACACTGTTATTGATCCGGATGCCCTCGTCGACGTCCTTGCACTTCAAGACGTACAGAATCGGAGCGAAGGTCTCCCGCAGGACGACCGGCGAATCCGGCTTCAGACCGGTCACGATCGTCGGCAGAACAAAGTTTCCGTCGCGTTCCAAAACCTAGAAAGATGAGGCTTTAAAATCTGGATTTCTCAAGAAAATTAAAACAGCGTAAAATCTATCAAACCATTTTAGCATCTTTGGTTCTCAAAATTTGTCATTTTAGAGTTCATTTGGAAAAATGAACCAGCAGCAAAAAAAAAACCTTTTGGGGTTCTTTTTGTGTTATAGGCCATTCCGCGCCAGGTTGTCACTTTTTTCTTTCCGCCAAAAGGCCAGGTCAAATTTAACCAATTTTCGCTTCAAGACCTTTGTTTCTTGTCGTTATAAAAGCAGAAATTTCATCTAATTTTGTATACGGTCTTTTTGGCGTGAAGAAAAACGTGACAAGCTGGCGCGGAATAGACTATACTCTCGATTTGGAGCGTTAAATCGTGATCCTAGACATCTCACTTTAAAAATAAAATTGAAAATCTCCATATCACGAGAAAATTTTTTTTCTACGAATTTGATCTTCATTTATCGCAAATGGGAAAAGTGCATGGAACTTTCAAGAGTGTCTTCAAAAAATGAGAAGATTTTTCGAAATTTTTCAACACTGCTTTTTGAGAATAAGACGTGTCAGAATAATTTTTCTCGAAATAAAGCATCTTCTGGCGAAAAATTCCAAAAGTTATTTGTTGAGAATGTAAAAAAGGCGTGACTAAGAAAGAGATCACGTGGAAGATTAGACCACTATATAAGGGTCTAACTCCACTGATCATCAATTCAATATCAACCCTCGCCTCGCCTCCACCTCATCGCCGACCACGTCGTCCGCCGCCGTTGACAACGCCGTCGCAGACGACGCCGACCCCTGACTCACGACTACCTCTTTTTATACCCAGTACATAAAAGTTTTGGGTGTAATCTATTCCGTCCATATACACGCACACACATATATAAAATTATTCACCTTTTTTTGTTTTTTTCTACTTGTTCAAAAACATCTTTCATTCTTTTTATTTTTCGTGAGCAATACTAATCTTCCAAAATCATCCAAAGAACTTTTTTTGAAACATTTTTTTCAACACTTTTTACCGTTTCTATTAGAGGCTGAGGCGTGACAGAAAAATATAAAAAAATTTCAAATGGTTTTTTTCTTTCATTATTTATTTATTTATTTTTTTCTTTAGTTCAGCCTGCTCAAAAATTCAACTACTATTCAACTTTTTTTCGCCGTCTCTAAAAAGTTAAAAAAGAAAACGTTTTTTTGTGAAAAATTTTTTTAAAATTCTTTTCGATGAAGTAACGGAAGTTGTTCTCGGAAGAAGCCTCAAAAATTTCCTATGACTGTTCCTATTTCGTCATATTATAGTTTTTCTTTCTTTCCGTCGTTCCAACTTCTTAATTCAATCACCTTTCCTCCGTACTCGACTTTTCCGCCGAGGGCGATCGCCTCCGCGATGGAAGCCTTGAACTTGAGGACGGCCTCGTGGTTGTGCAGAGGTCCAATAATCGTGGTCGATTCCAATGGATCTCCGATTCTCGATTCGAACTGAGCGTAGGCTCTCTTCAGTCGTTCCAGGACCTGAATGAAACTGTTATTGCGGTTTTTTATACAACGTCGATCAAAATAAACAAAAAAGAATAAACAAATTTGATCAAGTTTTATTTATTTTTTGTATTTGTCGTACAGATTACGGATTGGCGAATAAACACTTGAAATAATGAATGAATGAATGAAAAGCCCCTAAAAACAAGTTCCGAAATTTGTTCAATTTCAATCAATTTCGAATACCAAAACTTTAATTTTTTTATCGAAAATTACCATGTGAAAAAGAGTTCAAAATTCGAAATTTCACAAACTTTCAAGTAAAAATTCCTCCAAGCTTCAGAAACTCCGAAATGTCATCAATTTTTAATAAAAAAATCTTCAAAATTTATAAGTTTCTGTCTTTTTTTAATGAAACAAGATTCGAGTAACCGTCAGCTCAGATTTCAACGCTTTCCGGGAAAAAAATTATTATAAAATATGTTATATAAAAATATGTTAGAACAGACCTGGTCATAAACTTTCTCGTGGATGATAAGACGACGGGTCGTGGTGCATCTGAAAAAAATTATAGAAATAATAACTAGAATTATTATTTTTTTGATAGTAAGAACCCAGATACCTAAAAAAAAATTTTTTTAAATTCCGAAACTCTTTCTCGTTTGTGCAAGGTTATCAAAAAAACAGGAGAAGTTTTTTTCCTAGCAATTTCTGAGAAGTTATTCGCTTAAAAAAATAAATATAAATGATGGAAAACAGCCATTTTTTTGCGAAAGCGACCAGATCCAAGCTGTAAACGACCTAGTTTAAAAAAACAAACTGAGTAATTTGGAAATGAAATGAACAAATAAATACATGTTTTGTGAAACCGACCAGATCTGAAAAATCAGAAAAAAACCAAAAAAGTCAATTTAAAAAAAAAATCTCTACGTGTTAGCTTCTAACATCTCTTCTCAATTTTTCGATACACATTGGTCTTGAAAATGAGAAAAATAAACCGTTGTCCAGCGGTTCCAACGGCGGCGAAAACAGTCGCCGGAACGACCATATCGAGATCAGCGTCGTCGTTGACGACGATCGCGTTGTTTCCGCCGAGTTCGAGGAGAAGCTGCGAATAAAAAATCTTGATATCTGACAGGATTTGACTGAATTTCGCACTGTTAAACACGGCAATTTTTTAAAATTTTACTGAGAAAAAACGGCAACTTTTTATCTAAGGAGAAGTCTTACGGAATGGTGGAAAATGGTTGCTAAAAGGCAGTTAAAAAAAGTCCCTTCATCGAGTCATCATTTTTTTTTAGGATTTTGAAGGCTCAAGAAATGGTGGGAAAGGGAGAGGCAGCAAAAATGGTGCATAAGGGCCGATAAAATGGTGCAAAAAGGCAGCAAAAAAAGGAATATTTCTAGGGAGCCTCTTTCAACCCTTTCCGACCATCTTTTCAACAATCAGCCCATGAAAAAATTACTGGTCAGTTTTTTAAGCTGTTTATTTTTTTATAAATCTTCTTCTGAAGCTCTTTTGGTTGAAATTTGAAGTATGTGGATATAAATATGTTCCTTTTTATACTTTTTTGATTTTTCAGATCAAAGTAACGTCGTTAGAATTCGCATCTATCTACAAAATGGAACAATAAATCGACCTAAAGCTCAAAATTTACTCAGCTTTTTCTGAAACTCCCTCCCAAAATCACCTTTCCAAAGCGTCCCTGGACCTGTTGGCCGACGATTCGGCCAACTTCCGTCGAGCCGGTGAAAGAGACCAAGTTGACGCGTTTGTCTTTCACCAGGGCTTGGCCAACGTCTCCCTGAAAATAGTCTAATTAGATGTTTTTGAGAGGCGAAAGTTATATTCTATTCTGGGAAAGCTTGTCACGTTTTTTTTTTCTGATCTGAATACCGTATACCTTCATATTATAGGTGACGCGCAAAATAGAAAATTGTATGTATACTGTAATTTTCCTTTTTTTATTGAAAAGCGTGACGAAATGGCGCAAAATTCACTTTACCCAACTTTTTGCATATAAATTTATTTTCCTAGCCCTGAAACCAGAGGAAGTCATGAAATTACATTTTTTTTTTCCTTTTCTAAAGATTCGTGTAAAGAAGATTTATTCGTTAAAACTCGACGTAAGGAAAATTTTGAAGCCAAAAAAAAAAAATCAAACTTCAGAACAATTTTTTTATTTGGCTAAAAAAATTGGTCATATCAAAACATTTATAAAAAAATCAAGATCGAACAAAAAAATCGCATTTAAAATGTATCGGGTTAACCCTCTTCAAAATAAAAAAATATTCGGGGGTATGAAAACAAGATTAGCGAAATTTGCGTTGGCGAACTTATCGAAGACCGCAAAATCGCGGGTGGTGTATGCCACCGTGTATGCATACTGTTTGCGCAAAAAAATCAATAAACACCTTTCCGACGGAACTTTTTTTCCGACTTTTTGCCTTTTTTTCAAATTTTTTTGGATTTCGTCACTCATTTTTTTGTTTTTCTGTTATTTCATCTTTTTCCATCGCATTATGATCCTTGTATCGGAAAAAAAGGCCTCAATTTTTTTGTTTGAAGCAAAAAAAATTTTTTTGGAATAATTTTTCGTCGTGATGGCTGTTGGAACATTGTTTATAACAGTTTTTTCTGCGTTTCAATTACAGAATGAGTGAAGAAGAAAGAGCTATGAGAGAAACATTGGATGACATGCTTGATTACTTGAGGGACACTGATTCCTACAAATCTGTAAATTATTGTTTTTCGTTTCGGGCAACATCAAAAAAATTTCCTATCTTTCACATTCTTCTCGTGTCATTTCTTATTTTTCCAATTTCTTTTTTTATTTCATTTTATTTCACCATAGTCCATAAATTTGTTGTTTCCAAATCTTTTTTTCTTTCATTGACATCGTTTCCTATCGGATAAATATATTGTTATCGAGAAAAATTAGGAACAATGCGTACCAGAGAATCATAATGCGATGGAAAAGATGAAATAACAGAAAAAACCCAAAAAAATGAGTGACGAAATCCAAAAATTTGAAAGAAGAGGCAAAAAAGTCGGAAAAAGTTCCGTCGGAACACCCAGTTTCGTGGACTATATCGCAGCGAGGTGGCGCGACATAGCAGCGACATATCTCGCTGCCATCTCGCTCAGCTCTAGCAAACTCCCGGCGCGATATCGGCGCGAGGTCGCGGATTATCGATTGGTCACTATTTACGTGCCATCAAAATTTTACTTGAATTGTTTTATTTTTTTCGTCTGTTAGATTCTCTCTGATTTTTTTATGTCTATTTTTTTCACTTAATATTTCTAAAATGTTAATTTTTACAACTAATGTAACGCTCATACAGTACCGTCAGAAAAGGAAAAAAATGTTTTTTTCGCTCACAACTTCCTCGTATAGAGCTCAATCTTTCTGAAACTTTTTTTCAGCTGTGTTTCTAAGTTTTTCACCACGGTGTTACAATCAACAGTCATCATATTTCCAGAGAGTTTCAAAAAGGGTGAAATCCCATTAAAGAAAGTTGTGATAAAGAAAAAAAGCTTTTTTTGTATATTTTTGACGGAACTGCACACCTTTCTTGAATTTGAAAGTCCTTTTTCCGCGTTTTTTTTTAATGTTTCAACCAAGAATTTCAGGTTATTAGTACTTCAAAAAGGCATCTAACCCTTTTTTTCGATCAATAAAAGTCAAGAAAGATCCGTGGGAGATGGCACCGAAACTTTGCTTTTGGATACAATCAATAAGATTTTTTTGGTAAACTATTTTTTTGAAACAGTATATCCATTTTTTACTTGAAGATATGATTTGCACTTTGGCGTCGATGGGTAAGTAAAAGAAGAAATGAGGCATGATTTCGAGAAAGCACGTACTGCTGTCTTGATACAGTCGCTCCTGTGAGTTATTCTCTTATTCAAGGTTGGACTTTTTTTCAGTATTTCTCTTTTTTTAACCGATTTTATCATTTAGAAAAGTTCTTGACGCAGCAAATGAAGGATATGCCGAAAAACTATCGAGTCAAAGCTTACAGTAACATTTTTTAAAGGGAACTTAGTGTCAATCTGATTGTTTAACTTAATTTTTCTTTTTTTCAAAACTTCTTTCATTTTTCATTTCGAGCCTCCCTCATTCATTTTTTCTAATTTGAACTTTTTAAAGATCATCTACGAGCTTACAATCGGTTTACTTTTTCTGTTTTTTTATTGAACCTACTCTTTTTCCTAGTCACATTTTTTTCCTATCAAAAAAATAAACGATACACATGTTTTTTTCGTCATATTGTCCTTTTTCTATTCTTACTTGAAGCTTCACTCTTTCGCCTCAATTCAATTTTTCTTCTTCAGATTTGTACATACTTTCCGTTTACTTCGAATTCGAAAATGTATCATCAATTATTTGGAAAAATTTCTTTAATGCTCTCAAGTTTTTCATTTTAATATATATTGTTTTAAATTAAATAAAAAAAGTAAAGAAGGTTGATAAAGACCGATATGTTATCATGTACAACACAATAAAAGTATGAAGCATAGAAAGCAAATCAAGAAAAAAAAGCCCAATCGAGCTAAAAATTTTTTTTGAAAGAGCGACATAGCAGCGAGATGTGAGCGACCTTGCGCCGAGAGGCGAGCGATATAGCTCGCGGCTCCCCCGCGATATAGCGTTTCTCTCGCTGCGACCTCGTCCGTAAAACTGGGTGAAGGTGTTTATTGATTTTTGCGCAAACAGTATGCATACACGGTGGCATACACCGCCCGCGATTTCGCGGTCTTCGATGTTCGCCAACGCAAATTTCGCTAATCTTGTTTTCATACCCCCAAATATTCACAAAAAAAAATTTTTCCTACACAAATCTAAGACCGTCTATCTCTCTGTAAACGAATTTTCAAGAAAAATTCAAAAACTAAAAAAACCTCTCCACAAACGAGGGAGCAAAGACCTCCGGGCAAGTTATTCGCCTTCAAAACTTCCTCAATGAGTCTGAAAATTGAATTTTGAGATTTGAATTTATTTTTGAAGATCACTTCGTGACAGCAATTGCAGTGAGGGGAGTAGAGGGAGCCGGTTTCCAGATTAGGGAATTTCCTGAAAAAAAGGGAAAATTAGCTAGGAAATTATTGAGTTTGGGTTAAAACTGTAATCAGCAAAAGTAATTGATTTTTTATTTTTCAAATTTTGTGTGCATTTAAAAAATCAAGCGGGCCGGTCTCCAGATCAGGGAATTTTCTGAAAAAAAGGGAAATTTAGCTAGGAAGTTATTGATTATTGAAATGAAGCTAAATTCAGCGAAATAACTTGATTTTTTATTTTTCAAATTTTGTGCGCATTTAAAAAATCAAGCGGGGCCGGTTTCCAAATTAGAGGATTTACTGAAAAAAGTAAAAATTAACTAGAAAATTATTGATTATTGAACTGAAGTTGAAGGCTGAAGCTAAATTCAGCGAAATAACTTGATTTTGAACTTCTCGATTTCTTCTGCGCTTACAGAAAATTAACAGGGAATTATAGCTGATTCACGGCTGGCTTGAGCCATCGAGATAAGGGTCCTGCCACGAAAAGAGACGAGAAAGTGCCCTGGTTAGTGGAGGGTGCAGACAGGCCACGCCTTTTTGCGTCCCAAGCTAGCCGTGAATCGTCTATACAAAGCAATCAAAGTGAAAAATGATGAGATGGAAAAAATGGAAATTTTCGAATAGGTGCTTTTTCTTCTTAATTTCTACCTGTAACCAGGGCCAAGGCGTTGTTCCATCCATAGACGGCACAAGGGAAGTTGAACGCCGAAATCACTCCAACGACTCCTTCAAATAAATATTTCTTTGATCTTTCCTGAAGTGAATGAAAAACCAAGGGGGTTCCACTGTTCCAAAAGGGTGTGTCCAGGCCTTTCCGAGGGGAAAATTCGGCCTTCGAGGCTTCTGGAGAGACCCGTGGCGTAGTCGCAAATGTCGACGTATTCCTTCAAATTGAAAACTTACTTGTTCCTATATTTCTGAACCCCTCAATCAAATACTCAGTGAGAATTTCGAAGCCCATTTTTCAAGAAAAGTGGCTCTTTTTCGAGCTTTTTTACACCAATTTTAAACAATTTCAAAAAATGTAGGTCATTTATTTTTGAAATTGCTAAAAAAATCCTTTCTATAACGAATAAAAATACTGAAAGTTCCAAAGACCTACTTTTCGAAAGATAACTCTGAAAAAGTTTCATTTCAAAGAATCCTGAAGACTTATTCCGACTAATTTCTCGAAAAATATTCACTTGTGAAAAGTGAAAAATTGAGGACAAATATTAGAAGTTTTAGAAGGATTTTCTTCGGAAAGAGAAACTCAAAAATACAGGAATAAATGAACTGAATGACTTCCAACACCCACTCGAACCTTGGTAACGCGAATCGGACGTGTCGGGACATTTCTAGTGACCACTTTAGTAGCCTCAGCACTCTTAAGTGATTCCTAGAATCGCCCGGAGCACGTCCGTTTCGCGTTACCAATGTCTGAGCAGAACAAAAAAAAATTTGAGCCCTACTTTTGGCTTCAATTTTTCATGATTTCTACCTGAACTTCTCCAACACCTTCGGCGGAGATTTTTCCCATTTCGAGGGAGACAAGAGCTCCCAAGTTCTGGAGGTTGGCGCGGAGTTTGTCGCCAATTTGACGGACGACTTCACCGCGACGCGGCGCCGGGACCTCGCACCATTGCTGAAAAAGTTGAGAATGATGGAATATTTTTTTCAAATTCGGAATCTAGCCCCGCCCCCCGGGTTTACGGTACCTTTTAGCGCCGAAATTTTTTTTTTTTGCTTTATGATCAAGTCCTTTATTAGCTATTAGCATTTTTTTAAAATTTTCATTCACAAGATTTTAGATCAAAAATATCATCAAGGAGCTAACTCCGCCCCGAGGCTACAGTACCTTTTCGCGTCAAAATTTTATTACGCTGGTCCTTTAATAGCGTTGTATTTTTTGACTTTCCATTTCTAAAAAGTTCGATCTAAACGATCGTCAGGAAGGCTACAGTACCTTTTCCCGTCAAAGTTTTATCGCAATTCGTGACAATGGTCCTTTAATAGCTATACATTTTTCAAACTTCAATTTTCAAGACGCTAGATCAGAAATATCGTCAGAAAGCTAACTCCTCCCCGGAGGCTACAGTACCTTTTCGTGTCGATGTCGTAACACGCTTGATGATGGTGGTCCTTTAATAGCGCCCCATTTTTTGACTTTTTCAAGGCGTGGGATCAAAAAATTCAGCGCTATTAAAGGATCATCGGAATATAAAATTGAAGCGAAAAGGTACTGTAGCCCCGGGGCAGAATTAACCGCTTGAAATTCGAATACTAAAGAAACTATAAAAAGCAGCTTTCATAAAAAAAATTATTCTGTTCTCCTAGTAAAAAACAAAAATCAAAAAGAAGCTGTACCTCATAAGCCTTCCTGGCTTCAACAACAGCCTTGTCGAAGTCTTCCGTGGTTCCGTTTTGGATCTGGAAAGTGTACAAATATGAATTTTTTTAAAAAAATCTGGAATGATCCTTATGGAGAGCATTTTTTAGAGCAGAAATTGGTTTTGAAAAAACCCTGATGCGATTTTTTCAATCTCTTTTGGCAACCGAAGATGGAATATTTAAGAAATTCTAAGCTTAAATTGTAAAAACCTCCCAGTTGAGTACTTTACTACTCGGGCAAAGTCGGAATGGCCGGTAAAAGGTAGAGGCTCAAAAAAGGGAGCAGAAAGGCCGCAAAAAGGCATCAAAAAGGCCGCAAAAAGGCCGCAGAAAGGCCGCAAAAAGGCAGGAAAAGGGCATCAAAAAGGCAGCAAAAAGGCAGAAAAATGAGTTCCTTTACCGATCCTTCCATATTTTCTGAGATTTTAAAGGCTCGAGAAATAGTGAAAAAGGGATAGGCAGCAAAAATGGTGCTAAAGAGCCGATGAACTGTCGCAAAAAAGCAACCTTTTTCACCCTAAAAGGAAAATTTCTATAGAGCCTTTTTCCACCCTTCTCGACTTTGCCTATGTCATGTCTAATATAACATATTCTTTTCATAAAAAACCACAAAAAAATCCAACATTGGCGATGGGAAGGTTGTTGGCGGGGCTGAAGGACTGGGTGACCGGTCCGGACGCGGCCCATTTCCCGTTGAAGACGCCGGAATTCGTCTCTGAGAGGCCCAAGTCCTTCAAGAAGGCGTACTTGGAGTCGTTGATGAGCAGCGAAGCCATTCTACGGCTCTGTAACACGGCGGTCTTCACTCCGGCGGAAAGGAAACGCATTGCGATTTTCTTTTCCCCTGTAACTTGCAAACGGACAATTTACGAGAAAAAGTGGGTGGGCTGAAGCAATTTACAGATAAATTTACGGACAGGGCAAAGCTGGTTGAAAACTTAGTGATACCGTGTTCAAAGTAATTTCTGCGAAACAAAAAAATTATCTCTGACTCTCCAATTATCTAGTTATCTTTTTCACTATCTGACGGCTATATAGAATTTGCGGAATCACTTTGAACAAGGCATAAACGTTTCAAAAAAAAAAATATATTAAAAAGACGTTTTACGTAATGTGAATTTAGGAGTTTAAAGAAGGTTCACTTGAAACTTTTACACGGATATGCGCTTTGTAGGCGGAAGAGTTGAATAAAAGTGAAAATGAAATATTTTTTTCTTGGAAAATGATTAGAAAAAAATGTCTCGAAAGTTTTGAAATTTTTGAAAAAAATTCATAGAAAGTATGTGCACATGGTGACGTAAATGGGTTCAAAGCAGGTAATTTCGAAATTGAATTATTGGTTTAAAAACTTTATTTCAGTAGAGCATTTCTGTCAGAATCTCTTCAAAGCGTTAGTATTTTTTTAAAGGCGCATAAATCTTGTTCCGAACTACTTTTTACGCTAAAAACGCCTCTTCTCACTAATTTTTTTGTAAATCGGATTTTCCTACTATAAAAGCAGCAGCAAAAAAAACTAATGAACTCAGAATATTGATTAAAGGAAATCTAATGAAAAGCGAAAAAAAAATGGACACCGAAAACTTTTTTTTAAATCAATCAATCTTATCTGAAACTCAAAATTTATTAAAAAAATTTAAAAAAAAATTATAAAAAAATCTCTATAAAAAAACTAACTTCCACAGACAAGAAAAAAAGAAATTCTAGAACACGAAAAGCCATTAAATTCCTTTCAGGGACATCGTTATCTCAAAAAAGGCAACTTTCCAAGGTTAATGTTCTTTTTTGCACATAAAAGGGGAGTTGGGGAAGGATTCATATAAGTTTCGTTTTTTTGGGCTAGGGTTTTCAAATTTTAGTAGAATTTTCTTAAAGACAAAGGAGAAACATGAAAACCATTTTTTTAAAGCTTGGAGAACTGAAAGAAGCTGAAAATCGGAACAATTTTTAAATTTCCAGACAATCGAAAATCTCTTCAAAAAGTGATAAAATGAAAAAAATTTCCAATTAAAAAAAGGAAAACCCTATCAATTTCTAAAATCTATCGAAACAGAGGGCAAATCGGAGTTTCAAAAAGTGGCCAGCGGCGGGAAGCACGTGGAAGAGCAACAGAGACGCAGACGAAACAGACATTTCTCAGAAAAAAAAGACACTCCAGAGATCAAACGATGAAGAAATAGAAGATCTTTCGATACTTTTGAAATATCTCGGCTTTTGAAACCTCGAGAAAAAAATCTTTCGAAATCTTTCGCCTGAATATCTTTATTCGAGAGGTAAAAAATTAATTAGAAAAATAACCCATTTAAAAAAGACGAGTATCAAGCCTTGATAGTACACGGAAAAAGTGAAAAATCACCGATTGGAGCAATAAAATAAAACATTACACGTTTCGGAGGGTACCGGAGTGAATATGAAACATAACGGAATGTTTGAAAGATATAAGAAGGTCATTTGAAACAGTTAAATGTTGTTGAGAACGTCTTGTCGGAGCTGGGAATCGGCGAACATGGCGACGATCATCCGATGGACTTCTTCGTGGCTCAGCCACTCGGCCAACGGTCCTTTTCCGTTGCACCAACGCATTTCAATGTCCTGAAAACGGTTGAAAATTGGAAAAAAATTAGCTTTTTTTGGAGGATTGAAGACATTTCATGACCAAATTATCTGTAGCCCATTGACCTGTTCAAAGTGATTCCACGAAAAAGTAAAATAGCCGTCAGAGAAAGAAAAAGACAACTGAATTTTGGAGAGTCAGAGATAATTTTGAATTTCGAGGAAATCCCTTCGAACACGGCATTGCTTCAGAACAAAACAATCAGGGATAATTACATAAATCATATTTTTTTTTCATTAATATCTTGATTTTCTAAAAAAAAACCGCATGATTCGTCACTTCTTTTTTACTGATTTTTATATCGAACTGTGTCAGAACGACGTTTTTGTTTTCGAAAAGCAAATTACCTATTTTTTTTTCAAGTCTTCTGCATGTACACTAGAAACAAAATCTCATGAAAAATTCCGAAATTCGGTTCTAATTTTTTTTTTTCGGAATGCTAGGTAAATTTCCTCCGACCACTATCTAAATAACTACTACTTGCGCACTTAAGACTTCCTCCCGCGGAAGAAATTCGGTAGAGCCGCGGTAAAAATGAGCGTTCGGAAGCTCGTGCGGGTGGATTTTAGCTTTCACTGTGTAGAGCTACCTGGAAGGGACAAAATCGGGATGCCATTTCCCGCAGTTCAAATTCTTAAAATCGCGAATTACAGCGCGTGTTTCAAGGCGGGCACGCGTAGTACTACCAATTTTTTTCCAGCGGGATTCTGAATTCCTACCGCTGGAGAAAATTTTGAGTACTTGAGTAATGATTGACAGTCATATAATCGAAACAGGAAAATGATCCTGAAAAACCAAAAAACATACCCTCAAAGATCCACCAAGGCAGTAGATGACTTCCTGCAGTCTGAAATATTCTCGATCGCAGAATTCGGGAACTCTAGACCGGCCGCGGTACTAAACTTCACTTTCAAACGCATAAAACGACATATTTTCCTCACGAAAAGCAATTTGTCGCATTCCACCAACAACTGTCCGAAAATGGTGACAAGAGCGCGGCCGTCGTTCTCCCGAATGTCGCATTTCGACGTCATTCTGGTGGTCAGAGATCGGAGAATGAAAGAAATCAGAGAGGCGATCGATTTGCAGTAGACGAGTTCAGTGAGAACCTGGAGAATTTTCCTGATTATCGGTCTGGAACTTAAGAAAATTGAAGACTAGGGCAAATTCGGAATGGTGGATAATGGCCGGTAAAAGGGAGAGGTTCAAAAACGGGCGCAGAAGGGGAGCAAAAAGGTAGCAAAGAGGGTCCCATTATCTTTTTCAGGGATTTTAAATGCTCGAGAAATGGTGGAAAAAGGGAGAGGCAGCAAAAATGGTGCATAAAGGCCGAGAAAATAGGGCAAAAAGGCAGCAAAAAAGAGCCTTCCTGGGAAAATTTTTAGTAGCCACTATAGGGTTTCGATGTTTTAGTGGCCACTATAGTAGTCAAATTAGTGGCCACTTAAGAAGTTAAAAGTTAGTGGCCACTATAGAGGTCTAAGTGCTACTACTAGACCTCTAAAAATTTCAGTGGCTACTTTAGGGGTTAATGGACCAACATAACTGGTCCAATCTGTTTGTTTTAAAATGATCAGAGTTGCTGGAAGGAATACTATATGAAAAACTACTGAAGTGGCCACTAAATAGAGAACTTCTATAGTGGCTGCTAAAACGAAAAACAGTGGCCACTATAGAGGTGGGTTTAGTGGCCACTTTAGTGTCCTCTCCAAGTAGTCCTTGGCGAGCCTCTATAGTGGCCACTAAAAAGTTTCCCAGTTGTCACCCTAAAGGGAATATTTCTATGGACATTTTCCGACTTTTTTTTCGTTTTTCATTGTTTTTTCAAACCTCCTTGAAGACCTTGGCGATGGAGCTAATGTGCAAAATGCAGGCGGAGAGGGATCGAACCAGCTCCGGCGTCTCTTCGCTGTTATCAGTCCTAGAGTTGCTCGGAGTGACGGGGAAACTTGAGAGAATGTAGCCCTTAGGCAGGTATTCGAACGCTGGAAATTTTTTTTGAACTTGACATTTTTTTCAGATTTTATAAACCATTGGGGGTATCAATCAAGGTAGCAATGTCCCTTTTGCAGCGGGTCAACGTGGATTCCATGCATTCGGCGGCAACTTCACGGAGTCGGGGAACTACATCCGACAGAATCGGTTCGCAAATCATCTTCTGAACTAGAAAGGTCAGTAAAATTGTTGCGCGGGGGAGGGGAATTTATTTCACTTCAAAAAAAGCTTAAAAATGAGTCAAAACACTTAAAGTACTCTAAATGAAGCCCCTGAAAGTACCAAGCCGAAGCGATTCCTATTTTTTTGCTATATAGTGCTTAAAGTAACATAGAAAAAAAAATTCGACTGACTTTATTTGAATTTTCAGGAACTCGTTCTCCGCAAAACTTCCGTAAGGTTAGAGACTTTGAATGTTAAAAAACTAATTTTGCTTTAAAATCACCTTTAAATGGACCAAAAAATGAAAAAAAGACCAAATGAAAATTCCGAGCCGAGCCAGTTTCTAGTTTTATGCGGAAAAAGGGCTCAATCTATAAAAAAATAAAAACCCATTCAACAGTCTGGGTTTTTTTGAACATAAAAGATCCCTTTTTTTCCAAAAAAATACGCACAAGTTTGAAAAATTGCAAATGAAGTAGAACTAAAATTGCTCCTAAACTTTTTCAAATTGGGGTTAAAACTTATAAAAGTACTAAATGAAGCTTCTGACGTTCGGAAACGGCACCACTTTTTCAGTTTTTTTATTTTTTTTTAAAATATGATTTATAATATAGTCTGTTCAGATTTTTGAATGTCAAGTCGTCGCTCAAGCTCCGCCCATAATGGTGCGATAAACCAATCAGAGAGCGAGCCATCCACAGAGCCTTTTCGAATGACGTCATTCTACTTGACATTCAAAATCTGAACAGACTATACAAAAAAAAACCAGAAATTCTAGAAAATTTTCAAAAAGAAAAAACTGCTTATGAACCGATTTTTCAATGAAATTCTCGTTTTTTTTAAAACTTCTCTCTAAAACTAACATCGCTTAGATTAAATTGAAATCATCCTAAAATTTGAAGAAAAGCTCACAACTCCGCTGGGATCCCCGATTTTTCGAACTTCCACCGAAAGCGTCATCATTCGATGCATCAAGTAGTGGCAATTATTGTAGAAAACGGCTAAAAAACGTTTGTGAGTTTTCAAAAAAAGATATTCTGAATCTTTTGTCTTTACTGGTTGAACAAAAAACAAAAAAATTTAGTTGGAAAAATCTAAATAAACTCTTGGAAACTGTGAAAGTGCTTTTTTTTAAAATCCAAAACATAGGTAAAACGGAAAAATTCCTTTCAGGATTCTCAAAATTCAGCTTAAAGCTTCAAAAATCATAGGGAAAAGCGTTGAGCTCCTTTTTCATAGCCTCAGCGGTTATTTTTTGAACCTTTTGGAATGTTTTTCAGTTACTTTCCAGCATTTTTCTATTACAATTTGTGAAAAAGACGCAAAAGCGAAATAAAACTCATTTTTGAAAAATCCTTCTGGGAAGCACTTTCCATGGGATGAAAATTTTAACGATTCGATGGAAAAAAAAATGGGAATTTTAAAATAATTTTTTTTTGGAACTTTCCAAAAATCATTCCATATTTCCTCTACCAACCCGCCATGTGAGGAATCGTATTGAACATGTGGCCATGATGTCTTGGAGACAAAATGAGGAACAACTGGAGGACATTCCGGCCCGTCAGTGTCAAGCGTCCTTGTAAAATCTTGAAAAACTTCCATTTTCAATGTTCTATTTATTTTTTTACATCATTATCCTTGGCTTCAGCGGCGGCGGTCATGGTTTCCGTGATCAGATCGGCAAGATCTACGGTCGATTTGCTGGAAAAAAATATGGTTCAAATATGAAGAGAAATAAAGTTTTATAGACAATTCACGGCTAGCTTGGGACGCAAAAAGTCGTAGCCTGTCTGCACTCTCCACCAACCAGGGCACTTTCTCGTCTCTTTTCGTGGCAGGACCCTTTTCTCAATGGCTCAAGCCAGCCGTGAATCAGCTATATCCTTGTTTTATCTACTTTTTCAAGCGAAGCTTCGAAAAAACATTATTGTGGTAGAAAAATTTGTAGGGTGTAACTGCTCATTTTTTTCACATGTTCCATTATTTTAACATCATATTTCTTTTTCTGAAAATACAAAACTTTTTTTGTTGATATCAAACTTTTTTTGAGCTCGCAATTAATGAGGATTCGAAAGAAAATATTATCTTAATAAAAAATATATTTCGAGTATTCCAGTAAACTGGACCTTTTTCCACATATTCCACTATGTTTACCAGCATTTTCTTAGAAAACTTTCGAATTTTTTTTTTTGAAATCTCGCGGAAAATCGAGTGAAAAACTCTTTCAAATCATTTCTCTTAAACTAGTGAGCCCTTTTATTAAATAAATTAATTTTTAATCAAGGAAAGTTCTAAAATTATGCGCATATCCAATTTTTATATCATGAAAAGTGTAGTAGATCGGAAAAGAAAAATTTTTTCAAAAGACTATTCAAAAAAATTTCTTATCAACTATTCCAGTCAAGCTTTTTTGAGGCAGTTTTTGAAATTATAAAGAATTTGAGGAAATTATTACATTGGTCCAAAAACAGATTTCTGGGTTTTCCCGTAAACTCCAAATGATCCACTATCTTCTTGAAACTTCTATAAACCTTAAAACTTTGCGGAGAAAAAGAAACAGCAAAATTTAAAAAAACAGGAAAAAGCTAAATTTAAACATACTACATCAAAAAAAATCTCGAAAACTGTTACTTTTTTTCAAAAAAATTGTCAAATATTTTGACTAAATTCACCTCACGGTGCACTTCATGAAGCGGAAAATGCTCGGGAACAGGGTCTCCTTTTTATTTCGAAGAATCTCCGAGAGCAGTTGTTCCTGCTCGGTTCTGGCGCCTTTGACGCTTTCCAGAGTTTCGCCGATCGCATTGAAACTGTCCGAAGTCTCGCCGTCGCAGCCAACCTTCAGAAAATCATTACATTCACAAGGGAAAATTCAGAAAGTTCAAAGAGGAAGATTTCTCGGTGGTATGAAAAAAACAGCAACGAAAATTCAAACGGCGACTTTTCCGATTTTTTCCTATCGCTAGGGAACTTTCCGACGAATCTTTTTCTGAATTATATCCCTAATGTTTTCGGTTTATAAAATATCTATTAAAAATATTTTTTTCCTATTTTTTTGTGTTTTAATCATGAACCAACTACCTACTTTATATAGGAAATTAAAACGAATATTTTATCGAGAAAAAAAGTCGGAAAAAGTTTCGTCGGAAAGGTGGCCGTCGGAAAGTTCCCTAGCGATATGAATAAATCGGAAAAGTCGCCGTTTGAATTTTCGCTGGTCTTTTTTCATACCACCGATTTCTCGTTATTTTGATAGAATGGCCTTCCTAGTGAGCTAAAAATTACAGTGACGAGTTCGGTATAGGCGTCCGTGATGAGCTCCTTCGCACGGGAAACGATCGCGAAGCAGCGTCGATCGATGAAGACGACGTCTTTGTCCAGATTGTACAACAAACTGGCGTCAGGGGGCAGGAATTCCAATTTCTGAAGTTCAATAAAGTTTAGCTAGAAAGCAAAGAAGGAACTAATTTTTTTCTTACACTTCAAACTTTTTTTTTAAAGAACCTCCGTGAAATGATATCGAAAAAGGATTCGAGAAAATACTTTTTCGAACCGTTTTTGCTTTGGCTTTTCATGAAATTCCTAAAATTCTAAAAAAAGATTTGCCTTCTTGAAATTTAGAAAAAAATCTAAATTTTGAAAATATTCCGCAAAAATTTGGGCGTAATCTGGGTAATCTTCATGTCAAGTTTATAAAAAAAGATTTTTTTGGCAATATTTTTTTCTTAAATTTCTCAAAAAAAGGGCCTTTTTTTCAGCTGTTAAATCACTCAGTTTTTTTGTGTCTAAAATCCAAAAATTAGAAAGAAGGGATAAAAAAATAGAGGAAAGTTATATATTTCTCTATTTTTTTACATGAAAAACGAACCGATTTCTCATCTTTTTATAGACTTTTTTTGAAACCGCATTTCGTGAAACTTTAAAAAAAGTTCCAAAAAAATTTTCACTGAAAATTGCCAATTTACTCACCCCAAAAATTCCAAAAATCTCTTCGAATTTTTCCATTTTCTAACAATTTTTCCCTCAAAAAGCCGCAAAAAGAGTTTGAGTTACTCACTTTCAAAAAAATCGGACCTTAAGAAACAAAAAAATAAAAACTTACTTTTTTTATTTGAAATCTCATCGAAGTTTTTTTCATATATTTCTTATGAGACAATAACTTTTTACCGCATAAAAAAATAAAAAAACGTCCCAAATAATATTTCCTTTAGAAAGTTCCTTTTTCCAAGCCCTTTTTATACATCTGGAAGTTCGAATAAACCTTCAAAAACGTGACAAATTCCTCTCCCCGTTCAACGAGATCCAGAAAATGTTGATGATCTTTGTCGCCCGTCGTGCTGACTGGCGCCGCTATCGCGATGCATTCCTAGAAAACTTTATATGAATTTTCAGAAAATGAGAGAAAACCTTCAAGATCTTTTCAATGAGTTGTTCACGACAGACAGATCCGATCAAAGTGATAAATTTTTGTCCGGTCGCGTCGTGCATATCAACGTTTTCCAGGGCCGTGGCCAACTTGTCGAAAAAGTTCTCCAAAGCACTGGAAACAGGAAACTGTTTTAAAATAATTAAAGGAAATTTCAAATTTTTGACGGCCATTGAAATAGGCCAAAGACATGAAAATTGAGGAATTTTCTTCTCTTCAGTCATTTTTAATCTTTCCAGCGTACAAAATTCGGATACACTTTGAAAAAATCAGAGTTTTACTTGTTCAAACTCGTTTGCGATGCTCGAAAACTCATTAAAATGGTCTCATAGTGTTTTTTTAACCAAAAAAAAAATCCAAACCGGTTATTTCGAGATTTTTTTTTCAACTAGAAGTCTATGCGACTTATCAAGATAAAAAAAAAACCTTCCTCGTGATTTAACATGATTGAAGACTAATGAAGACATATCACCGTCCAAAAAATTTTCTTGTTTGATAAAAAATCGGATTGTAACTGAAAATTGAGCTAGAAATCGCTTTATTCGCTCAGAAATTCATAGTTTTTCAGAACTGATTTTGATTAATTTTTTAAATTTTTTTAGTCTCTGCATTTTCTCGAAATTCAAAAATTTGTGTTATTAAAAAGACGAGAAATGATAAATTATCAGTAGAAGCTGAAAATTTCACGATCTAAAAAAATTCGCCTTTTTTTAATCGCACTAAATTTTTGAGATTTTTTTAAAAAAAGATTTTTCCGAAATATTCAATCCCCCTCCCCCATTAATTTTTCTTAACACACACCCCAAAACTTTATGGACATCCATTGATTTTTCCACTGTCGTTTTCGGGAGACGAGCCTTGAAGGTATAGGTATTGCCGCATTGCTGAAATCCCCCTTATAACAGGTATTTTCGTTAATTTCCCACAGTAATGTCAAGGATATCGACTCCATCGCGGCTGGAGATGACAGAGTTGCAGAAGACGTCGATTATCGTGTTTTTCCAGTCTTTGAGTCGACCCGTCAGTTGGCCGATCATATTCATGGCCGTCAAATACTAAAAATGATATAATTTAGTTGGTTACTTGCACTGATTGTCATGACCTTGTGGTCAAAATAATGTGAAATGTTCAAAAAGTTTTTTTCTTTTTCCAAAGCAGCAAATCTCATGTAGGTCTCGAGAAGAAGAGTCATTTGGCTTTTCAAGGCTTCGGGACCTTCCAAAACTAGAAATGGGGAGTTTGAATCGCTAGTTTCCCAAAAAATGTGAAAAATATCCTCAAAAAAAAACGTTTGAGAATTTTTTTCAAAAGAAATAGAACTATAAAAAACTTCTTCATGGCAATAAATAAACTACTTTTCATAGTCCATTCTTAGAATTTCGTTCAACTGAGCTATTTTTTTCGAGATTTTCTTCACCCTCTCATTCATTTTCCACAACCTTCCCCTTAAAAAATATTTTTGAAGCAAAATAAATGGAAAATTGACCAAAAAAACTTCCAAAAAAATTGAACCCATAAAAAGCATAAATATCTCATTTTTTTAAACATTTCTTGGTATTTTGCTCAAAACTAATTTAAAAAAAACTCCTTGAACTTTAATTATGTCCAGTTGGTAGTGAAAAAACTATTACTATGAGCGTAGCTTGCCATTTTCCTCAAAAATCAGCCCATTTCTCTTGAATTTTCTTTACCCCATTGTTCATTTTTAACAACATTCGTGCTCAAAAAATTTTTCAGAGCAATTTTCCAAAATAAAAGCCTAAAATCCCACTCAAAAACTGTACCTGAGCAGTGATATCGGGATTCTCATTGTTAATAGTCAAGGTGAGGACGTTCTGCATGGCGCTGTCCTTCTCCGAAGCCGAATTCTTCGGGAACCAGACAAAATTCTCATAGAAAGTTGAGAAATAATAACGATGCTCAAAGTTCTGATGGGCGTACTCGGCGGCCAAGTACTTGACCGGCGAATTCACGTTGAATCCTTCTTTTGCCGCTTCTTCCTTTAAATTTTATTATAAGGAGACTTTAAAATCTACGGCGAAAAAAATAGCAAAGATATTGAGACTATCCCTCCAAGCTTCGAAATTCATTATTGTGATGGAAAATGCAATTAAAAAAATATCGTCTTATCTTGAAAAAAATAATTGGAATCTTTCTTTCTTCAATTTTTTTCAACTGCAAAGAAATTTTTTTGAACTACGAAAAAAATTACTTTTTTTATTCTAGTTAAAATTGAAACTGAATGATCACTTCTTTTTGAAAAATCTACATAAAATTTCATTTTTTTCAGGTTTTTTTCTACTAATAGCCGTTTCTAGTGATCAAAATATTTAATATTTTTTTCTACTTTTTCTAATACTTCGAAATTGTTAACTCTTTTTCAATTTTTAAAAAAATCCGCCCTACATCTTTCGAAAAAGAAAATTGAAGAGATTTCCTATAAAGTTCATAACAAAATTGACTAATTTTTGTTGTCTTGAAAATCAAAGAAAAAAAACAAATAAATTTTTTTATTGAATTGAGCCATCAAATACCGTGTTCAAAATGATTCCATGAGATTAAAAATATTCGTCAGAGAAAAAAGATAATTAAATTCTGGAGATTCAGAGATAATTTTGAATTTCGCGGCACTTGACAACTTCTGAAAAGCATACCTCCTTGATTTTTTCCGAAAAAAAAATCCCGAAATTATCTTTTTTCTGAATTTCTCTCATCAATATTTTACCTTTAAGCGCGAAACTTCCTGCAGCTTTTCCTTACAAACGACCAGAGTTTGGGCGATATCTTTCGGCGCATTTTTCACCGATCTCAATGTGACCAGGTGTTCTTCGATCTCTCTCAACTAGAAATTAAATCCATAAATTTTTTCTCGGATATTTTTCCCACCAGCTCAATAAACTCCAATGTTCTTTGACATGATCTTTTCTTGTCTTCAATCATACTGAGCTGAAAATTGATCATGTGAATCAATTTCAACAAGAATTCTTTACATTCATCGCGACATTTTCGGCTTCAACTTGTCGGATTCCCTCGGATATAGTGTCCAACTTTTTGAAGGCGTTCTCCTGGACCCGTTCCAACTTCTCCATAACCGTCTTTCCTTGACTGGCGACGTTGATGAAAGGCAGCATTTTTTCGTACTTGTCCGCAAAATCATTTGTCACCGCCGTGAGGCCTGAATATTAAAACTGTCATCAGTTCGAACAGATGAAAAATTTTTTTAGGTTTTTTTAAAAAAATTCTTTTATAAAATTATTAACATTGCAAAGGACCAAAAAAACCTTTTTAAAACCCTTTTGGAAAACATAATTTTATCTGAATTTATAATTTTTTTGGGTCTCTTTTAACATCGCGCGAAGACATTAAAACATTTTTTAAGGTTAAAATAAATGCTTTGAGCCGATTTTTGAACACCAAAAAAATACGAAAAAAACTGAATCATTTTTTTCTAGTCAGACAAGAAAAAGATGTTGAAGAAAAGAAAAAAATATTTCGAAAAAAATTGAAAGGGATCGAAATTTGGCACTAAAACCTGCGTTAATTTGTACTGAATTAATCATTTTTTTCCCAAAAAGGCTCATATTATTCAAATGAAGGTAAACTGATTTGATTGTGGAAAACTGGAAAATGAGTTATTTATAATCACATAGAAAGAAAAAAATCCGAAATTATTGAGAATTACTTCTAGTAAGCTCATTTTCGAGCGTCGTGCACTCCGCGTCCAGGTTCGACATCTTCGAGTCCCTGGCGACTGAAAAATTAAAAAAATTTTTTTGGAAACAAAAAAATTAATTATTTAATCAAACAAACGCGAGAAAACGAGACAGTAGAATGAAGTATTGTTTTTTTCAAATTATTTCGCGATATTCAAAAATTTAACGAACGAATATTTTTTTGACAAAAAGAACTGACCAAACAGAATAAAATAAGGTTTTTCAATGCCTAAAAATTTCAAAAAAATCTCAGGAAATTCAACATTCCAATTTTTCGACGTATACATCAGAGATGGGCAAAATTCACCGTTTTTTTCTTGGATTTCCTCAAAAATTGGGTTGCGCCCATCAATGTTATAAATGTAATTTCTCAAAACTGAAAACACTCATCGCATGACCTCAATTTCCTCATATAAATTTCCAGAAACCGTAAATTGTCTTTAGAACGCAATCTCCATACGGCCATGGTTCCGCGAGACTTGAAACAGCCGTCTGAGAGTGGAAAAGATAACTTAATTTTAGAGAGTTAGAGATAATTTTGAATCTCACGGAAGGATGCTCAAATTTGACGGTATTTCTGACGTAAATAAAAACGTGACGAATTTGACCGCAATGGGCTATAGCAATTTCGACCACACTCCGCTTCGAGACCTTTGTTTTTTGCTGCCTTTTTGGCACTTCGAAATTGCAAAGAAAACTGTGTTTACGAAAGCTTCACTTTCTCCTGTTTTTAACCGGACTGTCTTGAGCAGAACGCACTAACTACAATGAAGATTTGATTAGAGCAAAACCGAAGCCGGTACGTGAAACGTGAGAGTATAAAAAGCGAGTGAGATCCTCATTTCGGTTATTCACAAGATCGTTCCAAACTGCTTTCGGTTCGTCGACCGTCCGTTATGGCTAGCAGCAAAGAAAAGAGGAAGAAGAAGGACAAAGACGAGGAGGTCGACAATGACAAGAGTGAGATTCCTAGTTGTTTCGAAAAGAATTTAGCTTCAGCTTCTTTGTTGAAAACGACCAAGTCGACTAAGCAAATGGAAGACGGGGCTGATGCGACGAAGATCGACGCGGCTAAGGTACGAAAAATGTAAAGATTTTTTTAAAAATTGTTTTTTTAGATTGGGAATTTTTATAAAGCGTTGTCTGGAGAAGTCGCCAACTGGACTGAGAGCTGAGTTTCAGTCAATGAAAAGGTTTTTCGTTTGAGTTTTCGGAGTTTCATTCTCTGATCTGAAGTTTCCTATTTTGAGCATTTATTTACAAAATTGTTCATCAAAAGTCTTATTAGAATATTACTTTTTATAGAGCATGCCTTTTACTTGAAGGAATTCGGGAGAAACTATGGGTTTTTATCCAATTTCTTAATTTTGCATTTTTCTACGAATCTTTCAAGAAGAACTATACTCATTACATGTTCGCAATGATACGTGCTCCACTTAAAAATGTGTCAGCCTTTTTTTGGCAAAATATTTTGCTAATCATATCGATTCTCACCCAAATTTTATCTCAAGCCAGAAAGAACTATAGCTCCGGAGTTCTTCGAAAACTATTAAAAAAACGAAAAATCTTCAGATCGAACAACTGGGAGGTGATGAAAGCATTCAAAGCGGCCAACGAGACTGGAAGGAACCGATACAAGGACGTTGGTTGCCTGGATGCGTCGCGAGTGAAGCTGAAGACTCCGCCGTGGACCCATGAGTACATCCACGGAAACTACGTCGCGACGCCGAGCAACCCGAAGCGGTTCATCTGCACCCAGGCGCCTCTGGAGAAGACATGCGCCGACTTCTGGTTCATGTGTCTGACAGAACGAGTGGAAGTCATCTTCATGCTGTGCAACCTCAGCGAGAAGGTTTGTGACTTCGTTTTGCACTATTATTAATGCCGCTTCTGGCACGATGAAACCAGGAAAGTTCTCATTCCACTCCAGCTTTTCACGATTTTGTTTCTCTCCAAGCTACGGAATCATTCCGTTCAAAGCGCGCTAACTTTTTCTGCACAAGCCTCTTTTTTGACCTAAAATCCCGTTATTAAAGGCGTATACAGAGATAAAGGTCACGTACATCGAAGCGAAGGGTTCTGTAGCTTAGAGAAAAACGAAAATCGTGACAAGCTGAGCTCTACTTTCACGACCACAAAAGGCTCCCATGTGCCTTGAAACGCTCCAGAATATACTTTCACAAGAATGATCTCTGAAAGGACCCTTTTTGAACATACGAAGCCATTCAACTTGACTGAAAATATTTTGCAGGGAGCTAAGAAGTGCTTCGAATACTATCCGACGAAAGAAAAGGAAACGCTCAGTTTCGAAGAAGGTTCCAACAAAATAACGGTCAAACAACTCGGCTCGAAATGGGTAGGCTCATTGGAATCTTGAGGCTGGATAAGATGTCTCTTATTTAGTTCAAATTTGGCGGCAAGAACATCACGGCCAAAGTGAAGGAAACGACTTTGATCATAGAGGGTTTATCGGAGAAACCGCTGAAGACCTACCACTACCACTGGATCGACTGGCCCGACCGTGGAGTCCCTAGCGCCGACACAGCTATTATTCAGCTTCTCGAGAAGACTCGCGGATCAGCGTAGGTGTAAAAAAAGGATAAAGCGAGATAAAGTTGGAAAAAATGTTTTCAATAGTCATACTTATGTGCTTTACTGATAATTTCCTTATAGTCCGAAAAAGTTAGTTAGGCTCCGAACCGATTGGGCTCGCCATGTTCAGAACAAACTTTCTGAAACCCTTTGAAAGTTGAAGAAATTACTTTTACTGAGCACTTTGTATCTCCCCTTCTAGTTTTTTTTTTAACAAAAAACTAGCTTGAGTGATTCTTCATTAACATCGAGACGAATAAAATATAAAATTTTTACGCCTTTAAAAAAAACTTCCGACAAATTATTTTATACTGCCCCGTCCATTCAAAGGAGCAAACTGGAAATTTGCAGTTACCCAATCGTGGTTCACTGCTCTGCGGGCATCGGCAGAACCGGAAGCGTGGTAATGATCGAATACATACTCGAACAGGCCAAGACAGCCGAAGTCGAAGACACGGACAAGATTCTCATTAAGATTCGCGAGCAGCGCAACAACTCTGTTCAGGTTTCACCAATTGAAAATTCTAATCAACGTGAGAAATTTCCAGACCGACCATCAGTACCTTTTCGTCCACCAGGTTCTGCTCAACTACTTCAAACTCAGATGCGCCTTGCCTGAACACGTTGCAAAGGCCCAAAGCAAATTCACTGCTGAATATGAAAAGCTGGTCGCCTGAATAAACTGCTTGACAATCAAACGACTTCAAAATTGCCTAGCAAAACACGAAAGAATGTAATAAAACTACCAAAATTGAAGAAGAGAGATTGGCGGCAGAATTTCTTATCACTCCATGGAGCGCATTTTCAGTATCCTGCTAGTTCGCAGAACTAAAACCACTGAGAACTTCATTTTCAAACAATGCATGGTGAAGTTGAATTGAAACTAGAATTGAAAAAAATTTGATACCCGATCTCGATGTTTCAATTCCAAAAAAAAGAGAAAAGAAGGAAATTGAGGTTGCTATGAAAAACAACACCAGAGCTTACAGTCTCAACATATCAAAAAAAAAAGCCTGTTTCCTTAAAAAGTAAATTTAAAAATAGCTGGCACAAGAAAGAAATGGAATATAAAATAATGAGAGATGGAGGAAAAATGAAAAAGCAAATTCAAGAAGCTTCGTAAATTCTGCGCAGTCCTCGACTTACAGTAATTTAGCAGGCATCTTCACTTTTTCGTGGCGATTCTCGCCATAGTATGTTCCCGCAATGTTCCTTTCCTTTTTCAAAAAATTTTTTTCGTTTTTCCTTTCCTTGGAATTTCGTTTCAGAAGTTTATTTTATGCGATAAAATTATTCTTCAACTTAGTCAATACCAAATATGAAACGTTTTTAGGCCCAATAGCAAATTCCTAAATTTTTTTTCGTTCGAAGAAGGACAGTTTTCGTATTTTTATTTCTTTCTTTCCATGTTATTTTGTAAATGTAGGTATGGCATCGATCCAGTGTCTGAACCCCAAGGCAGAATTGGCCAGACATGCCGCTGCGTTGGAGCTCAACATTAGCGGAGCTCGCGGTCTGCAAGAAGTTATGCGCTCGAACCTTGGGCCCAAGGGTACTTTGAAGATGTAAATTAGTTCTTTGAATGATAGATGATATAAATTTGGTGTTCAGGCTGGTCTCGGGCAGTGGTGACATCAAGCTCACCAAGGACGGCAATGTTCTTCTTCATGAAATGGTAAAATTTCATTGTTTTCTTTCTTTATTTTTTTCAAAGCGATATCGTATGTATTCTATTTTTACCCTGCGTTCGAATTATCAGTTGAAAAATCAAAATGTTATCAAATCATTAATTCTCATCAAATTATTGAAAGTTTCTATTTTCAGTCCATTCAACATCCAACGGCGTCAATGATCGCCAAGGCTTCGACGGCTCAGGATGACGTCACCGGCGATGGAACCACATCGACCGTGCTTTTCATTGGAGAGCTTCTCAAGCAGGCAGAGACCTATGTTCTTGAGGTTTTCCAACTTTTTCAAGTGATATAAATCTCGTTTTTTGCAGGGAGTTCATCCGCGCCTGTTGACCGAAGGTTTCGAATGGGCCAACGCAAAAGTTTTGGAGCTTTTGAACACCTACAAACAGGAGGTTTAGCTTATAAAACACATGAAGGCGATGATAATTCAATTTTTCAGGTCGGAGCTGATCGCGAAATTCTCATCGAAGTCGCCAGAACCGCTCTTCGTACTAAGCTTCATCACAAGCTTGCTGACCACATTACCGAGTACATAATTTAAAGTAGTAAAATTAGTCGCGGCTCTTTCTTACTTAAGTATCGCCTTCTCTCTTTTTTGGGTAATTTCTGATTCACAAGGGAGGTTCAAAAGGTTCATATATTCGATAAAACGTTGCTGAGAGGTACTTAAAAATATGTCTTACGCTTTTAACTCCAAAGTTTTAAGATGTGGCTTTCACCAATATAACTGTGTGAAAAACGTTTTTGGATTAAAATAAAGCCTGCTATAATTCTGATGACGATAAACCAGCCGGGCTAAAATTGGGTAAACAGCGGGTGTGCCCCTATTAAACTTGATTGAGGACTACTTTTTTGACTTTTGAAATTTTCCACCACACCGTTTTAGCGCAGTTAGTGTCATATTTTCAAAATAAACAGCTGAGTCACATTTTTCTTGTTGCACCCGTTTTTCTCCCGTTTTAGCCCGACTGAGACTTCGAAAAAAATTTTAATAGGGGTACACCTGTTATTTTTCGCGATTTTTGTGAAACTCGAAAATGGCTTTTTTTTTCACACTGGAATATGTTTGTTTCAATTACGATCTTTTTATAAACCATATCCCTTCAGAAGAAATCGAAATTATTGGATTAGTAGCAAGTTTCAGGCCTTTGCCATTTTTTCCTGCTTCATTACGGCCTCTTTTTCGAAAAGATGAACTTGATCAACCCCTTTTTGTCTTATTTAATGTTGAAAAACACTTTTATATTTTTGAAGTATCAATTTTTAGATGTGTTGTCGATGCGGTTCTGGCCATCAGAAACGGCGACGAAGAGCCTGATTTGCACATGATCGAGCGGATGGAAATGCACCATGAAAGTGACATGGACACCTCTTTGATCCGGTTTTTATATACTATATATTTATCGATTGTAACTTCATTTTTCAGCGGCCTGGTCTTGGATCACGGAGCCCGTCATCCGGACATGCCGAAACACGTCGAAGACGCCTTCATCCTCACTTGCAATGTCTCTTTGGAATATGAGAAGACGTAAAATTCCGTTCTAATTACAACAATATAAAATAATATGTTTCAGGGAGGTCAACTCGGGTCTTTTCTACAAGACTGCTGAGGAACGCGAGAAACTTCTGGCCGCTGAACGCGAATTCATCACTCGTCGCGTTCATAAAGTCATTGAACTGAAGAGAAAGGTAGAATATTGAAGGGTCTCGAGAAGAAGAGACTTTGATCTTTTTTAATAAATTAAAAAATGCTCAAGAAACGATATTTGAAGATTTGACTTTTTGATAGTTTTTGTAGTATTTATCTGGAAATTCCAAAAATAAAAATTTTTAGTATATCGTATGATCCATGTTCTATAGCTCTCTTTATTCATTTCAACACTTTAGTTTTTATTTTTTTGTAAAATGTTAAAAATTTTTATTTTTAGTTGAATTTTTTTGAAACGTTTTTGGCCAAGTTATAGCGAAATGTACCCGAATTTTCAAGTTTTATTTTTTTGAAACCAGTTTTTCTGAATTTTTTTCTGAACTGAAAAAAATATGTGGGGTATCAGCTAAACTCCCTAAAAAAATACTATCTTGGTAAATTGACGTTTTTTTCTGGCTTTCAAGGTGCTCCCATGAAAAAAAATATATGTAGGAACTCTTCAATAATTGACGTTTGAAGGAGTTTTTTGTTCCTGATGAATGAATTTTCCGATTTTGAAGCTTGAATTAAAAAAAAATTCAACTCGTTAGAATAAAATTGTGTTCCAGATCATCAACGAGACGCCCGGCAACGAGAAGAAGGGCTTCGTGATCATCAACCAGAAGGGAATCGACCCTCCTTCTTTGGATTTGCTCGCCGCCGAAGGAATTCTGGCCCTGAGACGGGCGAAACGCCGCAACATGGAACGTCTCCAGCTGGCCGTCGGCGGAGAAGCCGTCAACTCGGTCGAAGATATGACCCCCGAAGTTCTGGGCTACGCCGGCCTCGTCTATGAGCATTCTTTGGTGAATAACAGGGCCTATAGAAAGTTAGAGAGCATTCAAAAAAGAGATGGCTCGCGTTTTTTTTTTCTCTGAACCTCTTGGTTATCAGTGCTCTCGAGCTTCAGACGATCCAAGCGTAGAAAAATTGATGGTTGACTCAGCATCGCCTTTATAAGGTGCTGTAGCTTCACGGCTGGCTTGCAATCAAGAAAAAAGGTCCTGAAACGATAAAGAAAAGATAGTGCCTGGCTGGTGCGATCAGCTTGCGACACTTAGCCACCCAAGCTAGCCGTAAATTGGATATACTATTTCTCTCTAGCTTCATAAAATTTGAACCTAGATATTTTTAACTTGACTCGATAACACCTTCCTTGAGGTAGTACGAATTAAAGTAGGGAAATCTTCTGGACTTTAATTCCTTTTCATATCGTTCTTTTTCATATCCCGACTTTTCATATCGTTAGTAACTTTTTCCGAGTTTTTTTTTTTCTTGACTTTCTCGATTCGAATGCCCTTATACGAATCATGATAAAAACCAAAAGAAAGCTTTTTGAAACGTTAGAACTTTGTTCAATCCGTTTTAATTTTTCTTCTGTCGATAACTATAAGACAAAATATCTCCAGAAAAAGCTGTATATCCGTGATATTACGGGAAGAAAAAATGGCCCGTTTTTTAATTGCAATCTTCCCGCTTTTTCATGACTGTAGAGAATTTTTGAACCAATCCTTTTCCTTGTTTTTTGTTTTTTTTTTTCTAATTAGTTGCTTGAAATTTTTATCATACTATTAGATAGGAGACCATCACAAAAAAACACAAAGAAACAGAAAAATAATGTAATCTGTGGAAAATCTGTACCGGATTTTTTTTTTTCAATTCATTATTCCAGGGAGAAGAAAAGTACACGTTCGTTGAGAAGTGCCGCGATCCCAAGTCGGTCACTCTGTTGATTAAGGTTTTGGAATAGTTCAGCTCGATCCTTATTTATTGAGATTCCAGGGACCCAACAAGCACACGATCACTCAGATCAAGGACGCCATCCACGACGGCCTTCGCGCCGTTTTCAACACTATCGTTGATAGTGCGTTCATATCATCATTTCAATCGAAATCAGGCCAAAAAATATAGATTATGGAAAACTCAAACAAAAAAAATTCCGAATACTTAAGGGGTTTTAATTGAATTTAATTAAATTTCTAGAAGCCCTAATCCCTGGAGCCGCTTCCTTCGAAATCGCTGCCTACGTCATGCTTCAGAAGGAAATCCAGAACATGAAGGGACGAGCGAAATTGGGAGCCAAGGTATTTTTCTTCACAGAGACTACGCAAAACTGTGTTTTTCTCAATTTTTGAGTTTTTAGCAGCTTTTTCATGAATTACTGTGCGAATAAGGTGAATCGGAATAAAATGAAGTTTTAGAATAGTAAAATAGATGATTTAATATGCCTTTTGTGCGAGAAATTTCTCGTAAAGTTCATTCTCAATTTTTAAAGTTTTGAGTAGCGTTTTCATGAAATAATGTTCGTATGAACAGAATTAGAGAGAATTTAGCCATTTTAACAGTATAATTCGTGATTCTAACCAGATTTTAGTGCTGGAAAGCTCTGAAAAGTTTATTCTCAATATTAAGACACACACAAATTAATTGAAAACTTTGAATTTCTCGATAAATTAGAGAAAATTTATTCCCAGTTCGAGAAGCTATGAAAAAAAACTTTTGAGAACTTCAAATTACTGAATTTAATCAAAAAAAAATTAAGGCCTACGCTGATGCTCTTCTCGTGATTCCCAAGACGTTGGCCATCAACGCCGGACATGACGCGCAAGACACGATCGTCAAGCTCATCGAAGAGAAACATTCTGTCGGAGATCTCGCCGTCGGAATCGATTTGGAAACTGGCGGCGCTGCCGTTCCCACGGTAAAAATGATTTTTTAAGCTGGCAAACTAATAACCGTTAAAAAAGGACCAAATACGACTGGTACATTTTTGCAAAAATTGAAAGCTTCTATAGTTTTACCAGAGTTCCTTCCATCATCGTTGATTTTCCATCCTTTTTCTGATCTCTAACTGAAATTTAAAGTCTTTTCCGACAAAATTCAGGCGCATATTCTGTTGAAATATCTTTTAAAAATCAATTTGGTTTCCGATTTCGACTCTTAAAAAAGCTCAAAAAAAAAAGGAAAATCCGAAGATTATAGAATGTACCCGAATGAAGATATAATTCAGCGTAAAAGGTGGAGCATTCGAGTGTTTTAGAGGTCCGTCCCGAAAGGAAAAGAGTATTCGAGAACAATTTCGAAACTAGAAAGATAAAGAAAAGTTGAAAAGATTGTGGGACCTTTACCGACTTTGTCTATGTTCTAGAATTAACCTTTTATAGGCGTGATGCTCCAAAAAATTTCATACTGTTTTGCCTCGAATTTTGAAAGTTTCAAGGATATTTCTTCAATTTTCATGGACTTTTCTTGAGTTTTTATAAGTGTTAAACTGAGTTTCTTCGACTTTCAGGGAATCTGGGACAACGTGACGGTGAAGAAGAACAGTCTCTCGTCGGCCTGCGTTCTCGCCTGCAACCTGCTTCTGGTCGACGAAGTCATGCGTGCCGGAATGACCAACCTGAAACAAACCCAACAAGAATAATTCCATTTTCTCACTTTTCTTTTTCGTTTGTCTTTTCTCAAAAATCAGTTTTCCCGTGTGCTGTTTCCTCTTCCTAATCCCTTTGACAGTGACTTTTCCTTTTCGAAATTCTCAAGCTTTCTTTGATGTGTGTGTCCTTGGCATCTCAATCGTTATCTCGCATTGCTTGCTTTTTTTATTGTTGATTGTTTTTTGTTTGCACGTTTTCACATTTTTCTAGCCTTCTTTCGAATGAAAATTGAATAAAATGAAGTTTTTTCTCCGCTTTGGCTTTTTGAGCATTAGGTGAAATCCAAAAGAAATATTGAGAGAGCAAAAAAAGAAATAGAAAAAAAGAATGAAGGAAAAAGATGATGGCCACGGAACCGCCGTCGTTGGAGGAGTTGCTCGAGAAAAAGAAAAAGGACGAGGAACAGTTGGCCAAGGTAAAAAATGACTTGAAATATCGATTTTTCGAAAAAAAAAGTTGCCGCGTTCAAAAGGATTCCGCGAAATTTAAAATAGCGGTCAGAGAAAAAAAGATAACTGAATTTAGGAGTGTCAGAGATAATTTTAAATTTCGCTGAATACTGAAAAAAACCTGGAAAAAAAGTTTTAAAGCTTATCCTAAGAATATGACAGTTTTTCCACATAATTTCATTGAAAATCTTCGCAAAAAACCAATTGTTTTTAAATAATTCTATTGAAGAAATCTGAAAATCTAACACAACAATTTTTCAATTTTTAAGTTGCGTTTTTTTCATTATAAATGGGCAAAAAAATAACGTCTAAATCTTTTGAATTTTTTCTTGAAATGGAACCTTAAAAAGGAATAATTTTTCTAAGTTTCTCTGCGATCCAGTAATTTCAATTTTTTTCAGAGCTTTGCTCAAACTTTATTAATGAACTTTGAATAATTGTATTTCATAAACTTGAGATTTTTAAGCTAATATTTTTCTTTGAGAACATAAAAGATTGGCTATCACGAGATTCGAAGCAACTGTTGAATTTCGACGCTTTAGTTGCTTCAAAAACTGCTATTTCCTTTATATTTAGTGTTTTTTTAAAGCAAAATAACCCCGGAGAGTGCGTAAAAAAATTTTTTTACCTTTTTTTGGAATTGGTAAGTCCTGAAGTACATTTCAGTCAAGTTTCATCAAAAATTTTAACCAGGGGTTGACAAAAATCCCTTTTTGGAGCAATCAGTTAAGATACATATTTAAAAAAGGCAGTTTTTTCTTTAGAAAGCTTTGATGATCATGAGTTATTTTTGGAATTTTCAATAATTTTTCTACGAACTTTTCAGCCGAAATTCCTGTCGAAAGAAGAACGCGCAGCTTTGGCGATCAAAAGAAGAGAAGAAGAGGTCGCCAAAAAGAAGGAAGCCCAGAAACAATTGGAAGAAAGTCGGAAGGCTTTTCTGGCTGGACCGGCTAAACCAAATGGTTTGGAAGCTAACTTTTTCTATAAATTTTTAGTAGAAAGGTAAAATTGACGAAAACCTGTATTTAATAGCATAGCAAGGATCAAGATCAAATTCTGGAGCCATAACGTTTACGCAGCGTAAATAAGTTCAGGGCAGGTTAAATTGAAAATTTTTCCAAGGATATGAAAATCCTGTAAGCTAGAAGAGTTTAGTAAGAGCAGAGATGAAAAGACATTCTTTTGGGGTTCAATTATTATTTGCGCCGCTCAAAATTTGCGATTTTTGAGGGAAATAAATGTTAAAAATAAATGTCTTGAGCCGGAACGTTTATGCAGCGGGAGGTTGAGTAAAATTGGATTATTTCAAAAATTTGCGATTTTCGAACTCTGGAAACAGAAGATAGAAGGAAAAATTGTTTTACCGTTTACGTTTACCTTCAAATGAGTTCCAAGTGGGTAAATATACAATTTGTTCTATTTCCGGAATGAAGCTTCGAAATTGCAGAAAAAGATAGAGAAAAGGAGCGAGACCGGGGTCGCGACCGCGACGCTGATCGCCGACGCGACAGAAGTCGCGACCGTCGCGATCGCAGCCGTTCGCGCGACCGAAAGGACCGACGCGACCGAAGCCGCAGTCGCGACCGTCGCCGGGACCGAAGTCGCAGCCGCGACAGACGCGACCGCCGCGACAACGACAGGAATGGCCGCAACGGCGATCACAAGGAGAAGAATGTGAGGGGGATTTTCCGACGCAAATTGAGGATTTTTGGTTTTTCAGGCCGAAGAAGAAGAAGTTTTCGATTCCAACAAGCTTCAGGATGCCGTCAAGGCTCGATATTTGGGAGGTTCCAAGGTAAAAAAAAGTTCAAGAGTGATTTTCTTAGTTTATACTGGACTCTAATGAGAAGATAATACAATTATATTCGATTTGTGACTATAAAAATGCTCCGAAACGTAACTTTTGCAGGTTTTTTGAACTGACGTGGCTTCATTAATGAAAAAAAAGTATTGGGTCATTTTTGATTTGAAACCATAATAATGCATCAAAATCAATTTTTTTTTTCAACTTCCTGAATTCATATATTGTAATTGAAGTAAAGAATACGGTTCTGTGCGGTTTGAAACTATAAAAAAAACCTTCAAAATGAAATCGAAAATGATTTTTTTTTTCTAGATAGAAAAAAGCTGGATTAATGCTTATACATGGTTTCAATGTTTCATTAATATTTTAAAAAACAAGCAATTTGAATTTTTTTGTTGGTCTCTGGTACTTACTATAGAAACGCTGGAAAAATCGGTCGATTTTGTCTTTTTTGAAAATGGCCATTTTTTTTGAAAGTTTTGAAGTTTTTTTCAGTTCAAAATTGTTTGAATGTCCAAAATGGGTAAAATTCTCGATTTCGGTAATTTTTTAATTTTCGAAAAACTAAATATTGGCGTCCTAAAATAGGAGATTTTGTGTTTCTTTCAATAAATTTCAGATCAACCTATTCAATTTCACCCGAAATAGAAATATGTTAAGAGCGAAATAGTGTTCATTAAGATTTGGGAGCTTTTTGGCGAAAAAAAGGAAAAAAATTCAGAAGGGAAAATTTTTGTAAATATAATGGCCAGAATTTTCGAAAAAAAATTGACTTCGAAATAATGAAGAAATAGGTACTTTGAAACCGTTGATAGCTTAATAAAGCGCAAAAAAATTGAAAAAATTGAAAAATTGAAAAAATAGGCTTCGTAAGAAAGTCAACTTTTCCATCTGTAGTCTGTGTGCCACGACTCGAAATTTCACGGAACGACATTCCGCTGTTCCGCTGCGTGCGGTCGCGAAGCGTCCTTCGAATTGATTGTTATTGCTGTGGCTGCACATGAAAGTAGAGTACCTTAATAAAAGAAATAAAAATTAAAAACGCGACTAAGTTTCGCAAAGGCGCACAGCGGAAAAGCGGAATGTCGTTTGGGGAAATCCCAAGTCGTGGTACATAGGCTATTTTGCAACGACGTCAATTTCAGGAGAAGAAAAAGCGGGGCCGCAGATTACACGAAAGGAAATTCGTTTTCGATTGGGACGCTGGAGAAGACACTTCCCAGGACTATAATAAGCTCTATCAAGAACGGCATGAAGTATTAAAATCCAAAAAAAGACTTTCAGTTCAAAAAATAATCATTAAGGTCCAATTTTTCGGCCGTGGTTCGATTGCCGGCGTCGACGTGAATGCACAGAAAAAAGAGAAAAGCTCATTTTATCACAATATGATGGAGAAACGGCGAACCGATGTCGAAGTTCAACAGGAGAAGGACCGGTTTGTCTGCTCCTTTTTTGGAAATTCATTGTGGAAGCTCTCTGATTGGTTAACCGTGAAGTTAGGGGCGGAGCTTAAGCGAAGACTTGACGATAAAAATCTCAAGAGACTAGCGAATAGGAAAAATGATCCTGCCGAATTTTGGCGATTTCGAAATTGAGTCGTTATAATGATTCCGCGAAATAGGAATTTTAGGACCCGCGAAAAATAAAATTTTGGTCCTACTATGAGTGAACCTCCACATTTGGGAAAAAATTGGGCATTTTCCGATCAAAATTTTGTTCTCTAACGACTCCAAAAATGCCAATTTAGTGTACTACGCGAGATCTTTTTCAGGAAATAAAATGAGAAAAAAATTATTTTTTTGAAAAAAAGGCATCATCTCTTATTCGCGGTACGAAACGGCGAAGTGAACCATTTCATTTCTATTTGCGAAGCGGTTGCGTCGCGGTTCTGGCGCCAATCCAAAAAGTTATCCTTCTCGTCGAAATCATTAACATTTTTCTCGAGGCCTTTTTGGAAAGCGTTTGAATCAATTTGGTCAGAAGGAAACTTAAGAAAAATTCAAAATTCCGATGGTTTAAAATTCTCAAACATAATTTGAATGCCAAGCTGAGAAAAATATGTCTTACATAGTCCGTTTTTTTTTCGTCTTGAAACCCTGGGATTTCTCTGCGCCCTCCTCGTCTCTCGGTGTCTCTCTCATGTTGACGTGCTATTTTCATGTTTTTCTGACCTCGTCGGTGAGGGAACAGAGAGACGCAGACACTCAAAAACTCTCAAGTCCCGTTGGACGAACTATATAAAGTTTCAAAAAAGAATTATTTTTTTTTTGCAGAATGGAAAAAGAGAAGCAGAAAGAACGGAAAACGGCTCACGACGATCGTCATTGGAGGATGAAGTCCTTGGAGGAAATGACGGATCGTGATTGGCGCATTTTCCGCGAAGATTTCAACATTTCCATCAAGGTAGCTCACAGTAAGAAAAAATCCAAATCGAGTGTAATTATCATCGAAATTAAGTTTTTTTATACTGTTTCGTAAATTTTACAAAGCTTGTTCTTCTGTTCACAACAGTGATTTTGCGTATTTTCTTGATTTCGTCATTAAAAAAAGGAATTTTTATTGAAAAATTCATCAGCTCTTTTCTATCATTTTTGCTTCCGAGTCCCTTTTTCGAGCCCTCAAAGTTCCAGTAAAAGTTCAAGACTTATCTTTTCCCACCTTGATTCATTTCCATGTCCTTGTGGACTTTTTACTGTTTTAGGGAGTTTTTTAAGCTCCTTTTGGTGAAACTTGACAAAATGGCACCCTAGGACCTCCTGATTTCGGAACAAAAATTTTTTTTTGCAATAGATCTTTTTTTGAGTCTATAAAGTACAAAATAGCAAATTAAGACAAATAAACGCAATTTTTTAGCTTTTGAAGTGTCCTAACTCGAAAACGAGATCTACCAGGAAAATCTCTAGTGGCCACTATAGAGGCTCGCCAAGGACTACTTGAAGAGGACACTAAAGTGACCACTAAACCCACCTCTATAGTGGCCACTTCAGTAGTTTTTCATCCAGTATTCCTTCCAGTAACTCTGATAATTTTAAAACAAACATATTAGACCAGTTATGTCGATCCATTGACCCCTAAAGTGGCCACTTAAATTTTTAGTCGCCTAGTAGTAGCACTTAGACCACTAATTTGACCACTATAGTGGCCACTAAAAATTTTTAAAATTTTTCTTGCATCGGAACACTTCAGAAATTGAAAAGTTTAACCCAGGGGGGAGGGATAAAAAACACGTAAAAAAGGAGAGAAAGGAAAGAAATCTCACAATTTCAAACGATTTCCAGGGCGGTCGAGTCCCAAGACCTCTGAGAAATTGGGAGGAATGCGGCCTTCCGGTTGAAGTCTACAAAGCCATCCAGGAGGTTTCGAAACACGAAAAAATCTATTCTGAAGCTGATTTTTCCAGATCGGCTACGTCGAACCGACGCCAATTCAGCGTCAGGCCATCCCGATCGGCCTTCAGAATCGTGACGTCATCGGCGTCGCCGAGACGGGTTCCGGAAAAACTGCCGCGTTTCTGCTGCCTCTTCTGGTGAATTTCTTCGAAAAGTTGTTCAACTTGGCCACGGTTAACCCAATCGCTCCTATGAGACGCAAAATATTCCTCCCTAAAAGGCTGAAGTTTAGGCGGTCCTTATAGAGGTTTAGATCTGACCCTCCTGTGACTTTTAAGTGGTCCCTATAGGGATCTTTGAGATTTTGTTCTGCTTAGAAAGGTGTCTCAAATGTGACGTATGGAGATATAAGGCCATTTTTGCAAACTTTAATGATCCCTTTAGGGGAAGATTAAGTGACCCCTAGAGGGAACCTTCTAGGGACCCTAAGACTGTCCCTCTAGGGACCACTCTAAATATTATAAAAGTAGACGTTTTTTGACCAGAATAAAGATGAGACAAGCTAGTACGAAATATAGTCTGTTCAGATTTAAAATGTCAAGTACTCGCTCAAGCTCCGCCCCTAATGGCGCGAGCCATCCACAGAGCGTTTTCAAATGACGTCATTCTACTTGACATTCAAAACCTGAACGGACTATAGGCTACATAGTTGCAAAGACTTTCAAAGTTCAGTATTAATTTTTAAAAAATGGTTGCAGCCTTGAATGAAATTGGCGAATTTTTAGGTCTGGATCACGAGTTTGCCAAAAATGGAAAGGCAAGAACATCGCGACATGGGTCCTTATGCGATTATCATGGCCCCGACTCGTGAATTGGCCCAGCAGGTTCATTTTTTGTTTGAAAAAGATGATTTTTTGACGAGTTCAGTTTTATTAATTGGTAAAGAAAGTTCCGTAGGAAGGAACAGTATTTTTGGATATAGAAAAAAGAAAAAAAAAGCTGGAAAAGGTTTCAAGTTTGAAAAATATGTTTAAGTGTTCGTTTCCGATTTCAAGTATAAATTATCCAATGTTTTTTTCTTTCATTTCTCGTTCATTTTTTTAGGTACCCAAGTAGAAGTTATTCTTAACTTAGATAAAGAGTGTCGATTAAAAAAAAATCTTTTGAAAAATCAAAAAATTCGGGGAAAGTTATCTGAAAAAAAAGCTGATTTGGAAGGATGGATGAAGCGGTACGGTTCATTTTCAGATCGAGGAAGAAACCAACAAGTTTGGAAAGTTGTTGGGAATCAAGACTGTTTCTGTGATTGGAGGCGCCAGTCGTGAAGAGCAAGGAATGAAACTTCGACTGGGTGTGGAGGTAAAAATTCGAATTTTTCTGGGAAACTTCTCACCTTTCTGTTCGAGAACTTTCGATGGATTTTTTTAAAATTATGGATCTTTAAAATTTTCTAAAACCTTTCGGCCACGTCAATAAAATTAGTAAAAAACTCTGACTTTGACGTGAAAATTCAACGAAAATTTCAAGTTTATTATTATTTTTTGACTTATAGCACGACACTGTTAGAAAAAAAAATATTTTGAACTGTGACTAAAACAGTAGTTTTTGAAACGAAAAAAATATTTCAAAAATATTTTTTTCAGCCAATTTCTATTTTTATTTTTGTGGTGAAAATGTGTTGTAAAATTTCATAAGAAGTGATAGGAAGAAGTTATAGAAAATGTCACATTAAAAACGGACCATTATACTCAAATTACTAATTTTTCATTTTTTTAAGTGTGATTTTTTTGAATTATAGGAGCTTGAAGTTACTGGGGGAACGATACGGATCATTTTCTAGATAGGAAAAAAACAACAGACTCATCTGGGGAAATGTTTAGGGACCACTTCAGTAGTTTTTCATCCAGTAACTCTGAAAATTTCAAAACAAACTGATCCTTTGACCCCTTAAGTGGCCACTAAAGTTTTTAGTGGTCTAGTAGAAGCACTTAGACCCCTATTGTGGCCACTAATTTTAAACCCCTTAAGTGGCCACTTAATTGACTACTATATTGACCACTAAAACGTCAAAACCGAAAAGCTGAAAAAATGAGGGAAGGAAGCTCAGAGATTTCAGCAATTTTTCCCGAACATTAAAGAAATTTTCGTTCCTTTTTCCAATATTTTTAAAAGGGCTTGTGAACTTTTTCAAACTTACAAGAGCATGTCTGATCAAATTTATTTCCATTTCCAACATTTGAACACTGTTTTTCATCAGTTTTTTGAAAGGAAAAAACGTTTAAAATCGCCTATTTTTCCTATTTCAGGTCGTCATCGCCACTCCTGGACGTCTTCTCGACGTTCTAGAAAACAGATATTTGCTTCTGAGTCAGTGTACTTATGTAATTCTCGATGAGGCCGACCGGATGCTCGACATGGGTTTCGAGCCTGATGTCCAGAAGGTATCTTCTTTTTTTTTCTCAATCTTTAAAAAAAAGAGATAATTTTCTGAATCTTTAGGTTTTGGAATACCTACCGGCGACGAATTTGAAACCGGACACTGAGGAATTCGACAACGAAGACGCTTTAATGCGATCTTTCTCTACCAGGGAGAAATATCGACAGGTTAGTGGAACGGAAAATTTGATCCATTATTTAACCTAATGCGTTAAATAATTCTCTGCTCCCTCTTTATCTCTCAGCGATTTTTCTTTTTTTTTTCACGTGCTTTTTCATGTTTTGACGAGGGAAAAGAGAGAGCAGACGAGTCAGAATCCTTTGATTCGGGAGGAATAAGAGTAATTTGAAAGTTATGAAAGGGGACTGAGAAATTTCAAATTCATAGGTTCAAAAACGAAGGTTTCTATTTGTTTATTGATTAAAAAAATTCTTGAACATCTTAAAAAAATATTTCAAAAAAATAGAAATTCATAAGTTTTTCAACGTATCTTTTTACGCAGGAAGATTTTTTTAATTCAGAATTTTGAAAAAAATTCACACGATAAGAATCAATATTCCGGGACAGTTTTTTTCGGAAACTTCAGATTCAAATTTAAAAAAATCACAGTATTATAATAATACAATACAAATTTAAGGTTATGAAGAAGACTTCTTTTTAAACTTTTTCATCTAGACTTTTTCAGACAACGTTATAGAAAATGTCACATTAAAAAAACGGACCATTATACTCAAATTACTAATTTTTCATTTTTTTAAGTGTGATTTTTTTGAATTATAGGAGCTTGAAGTTACTGGGGGAACGATACGGATCATTTTCTAGATAGGAAAAACAACAGACTCATCTGGGGAAATGTTTAGGGACCACTTCAGTAGTTTTTTTCATCCAGTAACTCTGAAAAATTTCAAAACAAACTGATCCTTTGACCCCTTAAGTGGCCACTAAAGTTTTTTTAGTGGTCTAGTAGAAGCACTTAGACCCCTATTGTGGCCACTAATTTTTAAAACCCCTTAAGTGGCCACTTAATTGACTACTATATTGACCACTAAAACGTCAAAAACCCTATAGTGGTCACTAAAAAAATTTTTCCCAGAAAAATTAAAAAAACTACAGACTGTGATGTTCACGGCGACGATGTCACCGGCTATCGAAAGACTCGCCCGGGCTTACCTCCGTAGACCCGCAATTGTACACATCGGTTCCATTGGAAGACCCACCGAACGTGTCGAACAGGTTACTGTTTCAGCTTTGTCTATAATAATAATGATACTCTATTCCAGTTAATTAAGCAAATGAATAAAAAATGTAGATAACAAAGAAGTGAAAGAAAAATACTGGAAAAAGTCGGTTTAAAAAGTTTTTAAGGAGGATTTTTTCTTTTGAATGTTCTTGAGTGCAGGCTCCTGTTTCAGTTTTTTCGAAGAAGGAATAATTCCAAACTTTTTCAACAATTAGGCCCGGATATCTGAATTTTTTTATGTCCAGGATAGTTTTTCAATAAGATTTGATAGAATTTTTTTCGATGAAAAAAATAGAAAATCAAAAGAATTTTTTTAATGATTTAATGACTATTTTTTTAGAAGTTTCAGAAGGAAGAAATATGTATTTTTTTCAACCTCAAACCTCTTGAAAATAAATTGGAAAGATTTTTTTCTAGGATAAATCTAAAATGCTGTGGAAAGGCCGCAAAGGTCCTTAAATAGCAAAGAAATATGAATTTTTCAACCTTAAAGCCTCGTGATAATGTGAGAAAACTCTCGAATTTCGAATTGAAAAAAAAAATCCTTCATAAAAACGGACCGGCTTTTCCAGAATTTCTAGTTTTGAAGAAGTAAAATTGGAAGTAATTGGTCAGATGGAGCTTTAATGAACTTTTAAGCGAACAATGAAATCGTGAAAATGAATAAAATGTGGATTTACAGTGATAGGGGGAAGGTTTGAGATTAGACTAGATCAGATCTCTTAGAGAGAAGAGTTTTTAAATTTTCGGGGTCTTTTAAAATCAAATCGACCAGTTAAAGGAATTGATAACAGCTCGGACCAAAAAAAAAAAACGTGAACGGGGCATTTCTAGAGACTACTTCAGTAGCCTCAGCGCTCTTAAGTGATCCCTAGAAATGGCCAGAAACGTCCGAAGCACGTCTGTTTCACGTTATCAATGTCCGAGAGAAGTCGTGAAAATAACGTTTCATCTAGAGCACATAAGAGTTTCATTCACCTTCCACATAATCTAGTTTTTTGAAGGTGGTCCACATGATTCCCGAGGAAAGGAAGCGAAAGAAGTTGGTCGAAGTTCTCGAGGAGCAGTTCCAGCCGCCCATCATTATCTTCGTCAATCAGAAGAAGGTTAGGTTGGAAAAATAGCACGAAATCGCAGTTATTCCCAAAATTTTAGTAGTCTCTCCACTAACCAGACACTATCTCTTCTATCATCGAGCCAGCCCTTAATCAGCTAAATGAGAAAATAACTTTTTGATGATTTTTGTCTTATTTTCAAATACTATTTTAGGGAGCCGACCTTCTGGCTAAAGGTCTCGTCAAGCTTGGCTTCAATCCGACGGTTCTTCACGGTGGAAAGGGCCAGGATGCCCGTGAATATGCCCTCAGCGCCCTGAAAGACGGATCCAGTGATATTCTCGTCGCTACGGATGTCGCTGGAAGAGGTTGGTTTAGAAGAAAATTGGTCCCTAGAAAATTTTTGGGTACAAATTTGAATTGAAAAGGGACAAATTTGACCGCGTCGCCGACAACTCTAAGAATAACTACCCAGCCCGGTGAGCGAGATCGCTGGCGGTAAAAAAAAACTTGTCGCTTTGCCCTCTTCTAGGCGCTGACTCAAGAAAAATTGAAAAAAAGGCGGTATCGCGCCAAAAAATTTGCGAGATCGCGTTAAAAAAATGCAAGTTCCACAAAGCAGCACCTTGGCTAAGAATAACTAGCGAGAGAAAGGCGACATCGCTTGCGCGACGTTGCATGCAATCCGAAAAGTTTGCGAGTTAAAAAAATGCGATATCGCGTCGAAGAAAAATAGGAGACCCACCGCGAGGGCAGAAGCGACATGTTTGCCAGGTCGTCAATTTTCCGTCAGCGATATCGTTTTGGCAGTTCATCTTACCAGGGGATGGTCTTTGGACGCAGTGGGACTTCTGAATGAGAGCTGTTGAATTTAACAAGCTTTTCTAGATATAGTTTTTCACGCTGATTTCAAATCTGCTCTCAAAAGTTTCCAATACGTCTGTAAAAAAAGTTATGGACCCTCAAAATACCGAAATCTTCAATTAAACTTACTTGTAGGGTGAAGATCATGCTCCTCTGGTTGCAGAAAACTACTCGACTTTTGAGGGTCCATAACTTTTCTCACAGGCGTATTGGGCAACTTTTGAAACCAAATCTTGAATCAACGGAAAAAAATAAATCTAGAAAATCTGGTCTCTTTAGACCAATCTCTGGTGAGTGTAGGCCAGGCTAGACGGTCCTCAGCTCTCTTCAGAAGACAAAATGATAAATACAGTTTTTTGAAATATATCAAAGACAGTTTGACTTTTTCCAGGTATCGATATCAAGGACGTTTCTCTTGTTTTGAATTACGACATGGCCAAGACGATCGAGGACTACACTCACAGAATCGGACGTACCGGTACGCCTTCTTATTATTTTGTACATTTTATTCATTTTATTCCTTCTTTTTGATTTTTTCATACTTTTTACCAAGCAGTATCACCACAAGTCGACAAAGATTTCTTCTCAGAAAACTAATTTTTGAAGTAATTTTTTCGGAACTTTTTCGGAACTTTTTCAGAGATTTTGTAAAGGATTCTTTTGGACTCTTTATTTTATTATTTTCCCTTTTTAGATTTTTACATGAAAATCAGTTTTATAAGACTTTTTATAGATTTTTTTGAAGAGGTGGAGATTTTTTGGACTTCTTAATCTTTTTATATTTCCTTTTTTTCAATTTCAAAGAGGCGAAATTTTACCAAATATCAACGAGGAATTTTTTTCAGGAAATTGAACTTTTTTTATGCACTTTTTTTGTGACCTGAGAAGGACTTTTTTTCAACAGCCCACACTGAACTTTTTTTATTATTATTTTTCTAAATTTGGAAGATTTCTTCAGAAAAATCTAATTTCTGAATGAGTTTTTTTATGCTGAAAATTTCGTGAATGATTTTTCTTAAACAGCTAAAAGTGTGAAGAAGCCTTTGGACATTTCATTTTTTATTTTTTTCGAACAGTTGTTCATTTTTCAAAGCGATTTCCTTTTGGTCAATGGCTAAGTTTCCGAAATTTGAGATTTTAGAATATTCACATGGTTCGGAATAAAATTCCAAAGTTTGAGTTTTATCGTATATTTTTTCCCAGGGTTTCCTTCTTTTTTCAAAGAATTAATGCATTTTTTTGAACCTAATGCTGTATTTCAATCCTTAACGAAATTAGTTGGAAATTTCTTATTTTCATTGGAAGGAAGGGAATTTCTCTGCCACCTGCTCTATTCTCGGACTTACTGGAAGCTGCTGGAAGTGTTTGCCAATTTATTCCAGAGAGATTACTGATAATAATTATCTCTGCAATTAACTGATCCGCGACGAGTCACGTTTCATAATTGGTGTCACGCGTTTTGATCGAAATTACCCCTTTGGAGAGATTTCGCGTCGTTTTATATCAGGCTCAGCTTGGAACGACCAACCACGGCATTTTTGACGTCAATTTGGAGTTTTTCGCGTGTTAGAAACGCGCGAGTGGTCCCTAGAGTGATTAGAGAAAAACAGCTTTTCTGCGGGACAAATAGTGCTCCCTTGAGGGCTAAAGTTCCTATAGAAGTGTAGGATTTGATCCCTAAGCCTCCAAAGTTTTAGTGGTCCCTATAGTGGTATTTTAATTTTTTTTTTTCTGATTTGAAAGTTAAAAAGACGTTTAGAGACCATCAGAATGCTCCCAAGCTTTAGTGTTCCCTATAGGGGGAGGTAAAGTGGTCCCTATAGGGAAACCTTAAAGCTCGATGCTTTTTCGAACCAGGGTTTTCCGAACCAATGCTTAGGACCCTTCCGAAAGCCCTCTAAAGTTGCCCCTCTAGGGACCACTCTAGCGATCCTAAGGTTTCAAAATTATGCTCAGGTTTTCCGTAGAAGAAATTATTATTTTTCTTTGAATACCTTTTGAAATTTTTTTGACATTTTTCTATCAGATAAACAAAGATAATTTACATGAAAAAAATTTTTAATTGAGCCAATTTTTTTGAATTGGCGCCAAAACGCATCGCGACCGCTTCGCACTGCAAACCTTTTTCAAGTTTCAATCAGAGTCATTTGAATTTTATTATACGCATAATTTGAAGCAATGGCGCGGAAGTGTTTCGTCACCATGGCAATGTATTCTTTTTGTTACGCAACGTGTTTTGGAATCCTCAATTTGTACCTTGATTGACAGCTATTTCCCCGTTTTTCTGAGAATTTCGGTGACTGAGGGTGCGAAATAGCAGGTTTTTTTCGAGTTTCTGAGCTGATAAGAGGTTTTAGAGTTTCGGTGGAGAAAGAAGAAAAATTTTTGATTTTTTTGAATTTTTTTAAAAAAATTTTTCATTTTTTTAAAGGCTAATTATTGAGAAAAATCATCTTGAAAAAAACGAGGTTTTTTTAACCTGCAAAAATCGTTCTCAGATTTCTTAGGACTCATGAAGGACATTTTTTTCTCCTATTAAGGTGTATAGAAATTTGAAGTAAAAAGCAGTTTTTTTGATTTATGAGCTTCTAACGAAACTTCTGGGCATTGTACTATGTGAAAGATATCAGAATGGTTCGAAATTTATTTCCACGAAATATTAAACCCATTTTGAAACAAATACAATGAAGATCTGTTATCAAGTGCTTTTGAAATCGATATCAAAACCATTTATTCTTTTTGCTTTTATTTGAAATAACCATGAAGCCCCAGTTTCAGTCATTTTCGGACAGAAAAAACCGACCTACGCGCGGAAAATAAGCTCAGAAACCAATAGAATTTTCCTGGAACTATCGCGGGAAATTAGATTGCAAAAAAGTGGGGATATTTCCCAAAAATTGGGTTTTTTTTGGTTTTGGTTTTTGAGATTTTGATGGGATTTGTAGACTTTTTACTGTTTGAAAAAGAGTTTTCGAGAAACTCTGAAATATTTCAAAAATTTAAAAATAAAAATCATAAAGATGATATTGCGGTTTCAAATGTAGTTCAAAGTATGTATAGTTTTTTGTTATTCATTGCTTCAATAGTCGTCGTTGTTCGAAGTACATTTTGGAATTTTTCTTATTCAAAGTACATTTTGAAAGGTCTCAAAGAAGTTTTCAGAAAAACTCCGAAGAATCAAAAAAAATTCTCTAGTATAATTTTTGAATAGAAAAATCAAAAATTTTTCATCCCGTTCACTGAAATATTTGACTGTTTGAAGAAACCTTTCGAGTTATGAGTTCAGACGCCGCCATAATGAATATTTTCGATTTCATCAAATTTCAGCCCCACATAATTTTGGTCTTACGGGCGCGAGTAAATTGCATATCGGTAGTTGGGTAATTACGAAGCAGCCGAAATGAGCCGTCTAATTAGCGACGGAGCGCAGATGCACCTGTTTTCCTGCAATTTTAAGGAGGGAAAAATATTTTTGAAGTTTTTAAAGACGCTTTCCTTGCGTTGAAGATCTGGTATAAAAAGTTCTTCGGCTCTTGAAAAGTTTTTTTGAATTTTTTTCTACAGAGAAATAAACTTGAGAATGAATATTTCCGAGCGAAATTTTTGAAACTTTCTAATCTGAGATATAAAAAAGTTTTTTTTAATTCCAGCTAAATGCCCCTGTGGAAGCTATACTCTGTCTAAAGTTTCGAAAAAATGCAGAAAATTCTTAAAAATTGCTCTTTTTTGAACTTGTGAGGGCTGAATTTCGGCTTTTAATAGAATTTCCCGATGTGGTTGCACTTTTTGAAAATTCCAAAGCAGACAAAATGAGCCGTCTAATTAGCGACGGAGCGAAGATGCACCTTCTTTTCAACAGTTTTGAATCGAGAAAAAATATTTTCACATGAAATTTTTAATTTGAATATGGAAGATTTGTTTGATTTTTAGGATAGGTAATCCGACTATTTTCTCGATTTTCCTTGAGAATTTTAGGAATTTCTTGAATATTGACATGAAAAAAAGCAGAAATGGTTTTTTTGAAGTAGAAAATTAGTAAAAAGCTTCAAATTGAAAAATTTTTTTCGGCTCCTAAAGGTTTTTTTAAATTTTTTTCCAACAGCGAAAAGCTGAGATTGGGATTCCATCGTTTCATACAAAATTTTAAAATTTCAATTATTTATTAAAAAAACTTCCCTCTTTGCCAAATTTGTCTATGAAGCCTTTTCTTTTCGTCTAAATTAGTCGCTTTTTTTTCAAATTTTATGTGAAGAGATCAGGAAGCTTTTTAGCTAACCAACCAAACCTCAATACGAAAAGATAAGAAGTCTAAAAAAGGCGGGGAAACGTTAAATGTTGTGGATTCAAAATGGTCTTCACACGTGTTTTTTGGAATAATTTGATATTTTCTTAACTTTTTTCGAAATCATGTCATTTTCCGCACTATTTTTATTGCTTATAACATTATAAAGCTCCCTATATATTAATTTTTTTCCATAATCCGACGCCAAAAACGGAAAAACCAACAAAGGTACTTGAAAACAATAGTACAAAATACCGGAAAGGGCAATTTTGAGGCTGAATAATTTCCTTTTTGTCCGTCTTTTTTTGATTGAATTATTCATTGGGACAATAAAAAAAACGTTCGAAAGGTATTAGACGGAAAAGGGCGAGTGAAAAAACAGAAAAAAAAGTTGCGGTGGGGCGCACAAGCTTGAACAAAAGTCGCTGTTTTGTTTGACTTCCCAAAAAGGTTTTTTTGAGTTTTTTTGGAGTTTTTTTAAAGTTTCAAACTTTTTTTCTTCTTCTTTTTTTAAAATTTCGAAACTCTTGAAAAAAAGAGGAAATATTGAAAAAAATAGAAGATCTGGAAAAAAATTATCGATGGGGCGCACTAGTTTGGACCAAAATGACTGTTTTGTCTTATTCCTAACTAAGTACTTTTTTGGGTTTATTGTTTGAGAGTTGGTTTCACGAAATTCAAAAACCTTCTTTTTTTCCTTTATTTAAATATTCAAAACTCTTTTTTTCCTTTCACAATTTTTCTGAAAGAACCCCTCATTTAGAGTTATGAATTTCTTCGAATTCAATAAAAGTGGTCGATTCTTATAATTCTGTTTTTTAAGCTTTTCATCAAATTTTGGATAGCAAAAAAAAGAAAATAAATAGCTCAAATCTGAACTTTCATCAATGGGGCGCACAAGTTCGAGTTTTCACGGCTTTTTTTTGAGTTTTTTTTTTCATAAGGCTTATTTCCAAGCTTTTGACCATCTCAAGACGGCTATCCTCAAAGAAATCTCTCCTCAAAAGTGTTCCTATAAAAAAAAAAGTTGAGAGGCCATGTGCTCCTGATTTTCATTCTCTGCTCTCGTGGCTCCCTCTGTTTTTTTTTCTGCTTTTTCTTGGCTTTTGCGTTGCATGGAGGCCACGTGCCAGCTGGCCGAGGGTGCCCCCGGCTGCGGCGGTGGCGGGAGAGAGACGGGAGGGCGGCGGGAGAGCTCCCTCGGCTGAGCACGGAGGAGCAACTGCTGCTCACACGGCAGCTCGGCTCGGCGAGCCCTGGGAGACGAAAAGAAAAAAAGAAAGCGAAGAGAAATTGGCCTCTCTCGTTCTCTCTTTATTTCATTTCTCGGCAGCACTTTCGATTTGTTCGTCGCCTTCTTTTTTTTTCGCTTTTTTTTCTTTTTTTCTCTTTCGTCGCACTCGTGGGAGGCGAAATTCTTCTTTTTCTTGCGCACTTGGCCGCCTTCCACGCGCCTTTTCGGATCTTGACTTTTCCGTTTGAAACCAGATTCCAGGTAGCCCTTTTTGGAGGCTCTCCTTCTCTCGATTTTTGTTAGGTATTTGACTCGTTCATTTGAAAAAAGGCCCTTT